TCTTCTCAGCAGCATCCGCTGGCTTCACTCCTTCTTTTTTGGCCTTTCTCTCCTGCTTGAACTTCTTCCAGTCCTCGGCTCTCTGTTTCCTCTCTTCCTCGGTTGGTGGAGGATGCGCCTTTTTGGCGAAAACCGTCCTGCCTTTGATCTCCTGGCCGTCAGTCTTCTCCAAAGCCTTGTCTGCCTCGTCCTTCGAAGAAAACTGGACAAATCCGAACCCTAGTGTTCTGATAATCGGCTTTTTGGTCTTCAGGTGTTTGAAGAGTGTCTTGGTGGGGAGCTCCACCTGCTCGACCAGCAAGCCTTCGTAATACGCCCGGAGATCATCTTCCGTGACTGAGTAGTCGATGTTTCCGATGTAGAGTCTTTCTTCAATGATTGGCTTGGACATGGTAGTAGTTGCGTGTTGACTTCGGCTTGCGGGCCTGCATACCTTGTTGGACTAGCCAGCAGTTACCGTGGCGGAGGAACCACACCTGCGCTATTTTGATAAATCAGTGAGATTTATGAGGTCAATTGGTTCTGAATATTTACGCTATTTGGCTGGTTTCAATATTTTTACGCCTGGGTGGTGAAATTGTTGGGGTAGGTCCATTATGGTCTATGCAGGTTGTATCATTCGGTCCATGTTGGCCAAGTGGTCTGAACAGGGCACGAACAATATTGATTGATAATAGTAGAAAAAGAGCTTGCGATGAGTGTTTTGAGGTAATTCTTGAAATTTGCTTGGTTTTATCGGCTCAATGGCGTTGTAGGGTACTATTGGCAGCATTTGTTTCATGTCACGAGCAGTAGTTGCAATCACGAGCATTAGAAATTCGACCAATAGACGACTAGAGAGTATAATTAGTCGAACCTGTGGAGAATTGACGAGAAGGGAGTAAAACGTAACAAATTCGAGCGCTTTGATCTCTCTGGTCAATTATGGGAATTAGTGTACCCTGTTGGTCATTTCGCAATCAGTGGGTATTCTCCCAAAATGGTTGCAAATGAGATCTACAAGCGAGACGTCATCACTTCTTGGAATGGGTGTCGATACATTGGCCAGCAAAAAAAAAAAAATGTCAAATAACATTTATTAGCCACTGTTAATGGAAAATAGTTTCAACGCTTTGAAATCATAAGGTTATAAACTTGTCAAATGATGATTTAATCAGTCTATTAGTTGGTGCAATTGTCGAGTAAAGAGGACACTACAGGTAACGATGAAGTATACTTTGGTTCTGATGGCCTCTTTCCTTTTCCATTGGATTTGCAAAAAAATTGGGAAAAATTCCCGCTCTCTGGCTATAGGCGTATTGCCAAACGAGATACAAATCTTGTTACCCACACTTCGGTAATATTTAAGTTTTGAGACGATATCTTATGACATGCAATTGTAGTATCCATTGAGCTCGAAACCAGCCATAGGGCGTTATCTCGGTTAGATCACATTCATTGCACATTGGGCCTCGTGAGGTAGTTTTGGAAAGAGTCTTCAATAAAGAATTGACGACTTTCTTCAACCTGACGCTGAATCAACAAAGCTTAATTTTATACTCATATCTTCTTACTCGTTGAATAGAAGTAGGCACATATTCATTTAAACTAGCAAACTCGTTTTTCATGGTTTTTCCAAAGTACATGCATTTTGTCTGTCCGTCTCGCTTGATCAAACATATCCATAGTACAAAATATGCCGCCACCTCCAGCTCGTTCTAATCGAAAAAATACCATTTTCCCTCTACAATCTACACTTCTCCATGACGATAGCGTTTCTATTTGTAATGCCGGTGTGGCGATGTCGAGTGAATGAGGAATACATGCAGTGGATTTTGATGGGCGCCTACTTCAACTTGTAGAACAACCTAGGGGCAGCGCAGTCGTTGATGCAATGCTGCAAGTGGAAGAACTCCTCAACACAGTCCTCCTTGTAGGCCTTTTGTTGGTAGTCCTCCTCCTCTTGCTCCTTCTGCACTCTCTCCACACAGTGGTCAAAGTGGTGCACGTATGGCACACACGAGGCGGACTTAGCACACTCTTCACGGAGATCGTCGAAGGGGTCGGTCACCTCCTCCTCGTCATCCTCGTCGTCCTCATCTTCGTCCTCGTCTTCCTCTTCCTCCTCTTCTTCAGGATCGTCGGATGCTGGAGCCTCCTCAGCGGCGTCCTCGGCAGCCTCTCCGGCGTCTTCTTCCTTGGTTTCTTCCTGGGACTCCTCCTGGGACTCCTCCTCGGCGTCAACAGGCACCTCTTCCTCGGGCTATCGGTTAGTAAATTGTCTATAGATTGGATTGAAGATTCAGGAAAGCACATAGCGAAAGAAGACGCTCAAACGGATCATCTCCAGTTTCACAGTTGAGTGTTTTCTTTGTTGCTGGCGGCGGAATCGTAAGACATCTGCCTCACCTTGCTTGTCTTGAATCTTCGATGCTTCAACATACCTCGGCAGCATAGGCCACAGGGAAGGCCTGCTCGATCAAGTCTCTGAAAAACGACATTCTATACTAGGGAACCTGGGCAGCTTTGTAAATGGGAAGTGCCTCTGGGTGTGGGGAACCTGGTTTTATGAAGGTGTCTTGGTGAAGGCTGTTTTTTTGGAAATTGGATGGTGCGAAGGTTGCAAATCATGAGCCTAGCGATTGGTCAATCTGGGACACCGCTATACAGGCGCTGGTGCACGGGTCTTTCGATGGATGGCCCGACGGATGTGAAGCAGCCGACGGAGGGAGAGTTTGTTGAATTACTGAAAGATGTCAAAAAGCAGACAAGATCAGAAATTGTTGATTTGCGTTTAGTTCAGGCTCATTTGAGGAATTGTGGAGGCACTCTTTGCGCATAGTAGTGCAACGCTAGGCAGTACTGAGAAAGCAGCTATAGTAATATCGAGCAAGATACAGGGTAGAATAGAATGCTTACCGTTGAACCGGCTGAACCAAGCGAGACCCTTCCATGAGGCCCATTCAAATCGAAGGCCTTCCGTTCTCAAATTGACATTTTTAGTCTTAAATCCATCCTTTTAAAAATCATATCCACTATTTTCAGTAACTTTCAGTTAATCCATCTTACAAGTCCACCCGATCGTAATCTTCCCACGCTACGTCAAATGCACACTAAATGCTACAAATCTCGTCCAACGGGCGGTGCCCTGATTAACTATACATGACTTAAGCTTGACCGGAGGCCTGGGCAACTTCCAAAGCCTTAGCCTTCTTAGCAACCTTGTCGTTGTGCTTCTTGCCCATGATACCACCACCCCAGTGCTTTCTGTGCTCCTCGTACTTCTCAATGAAGTTAGCGTTGATGGTAGACACCAACTTGGACAACTCAGCCTCGTCCTCAGCAGAGACCTCGGTCAAAGCAGCGACAGAAGAGGTCTTCTTGTGCACCAAGGTACCCAATCTAGCCTTACCCTTGACAATGGCGTAAGGGACACCCATCTTTCTGCACAAAGCTGGCAAGAAGATGACCAACTCAATAGGGTCGACGTCGTTGGCAATCAAAACCAACTTGGCCTTCTTGTTCTCAATAAGAGAAACAACGTGGTTCAAACCGTACTTGACGACAACTGGCTTAGGGGAAACATCGTGAGCCTTCTTGCCCTCAGCAATGGCAGCAGCCTCCTTGGTCAATCTCTCCTTCTTGTCAGCAGCAGTCTCAGGTCTGTACTTGTTGAAGAGCTTGAAAGTCTGGGCAGCGGTGTTCTTGTCCAAGACGTTCTGGAACTGAGCAATGGCAGGAGGGACCTTCAATCTCATGGACAAGATCTTCTTCTGTCTCTGCAATCTGACGTACTGGGGCCACTTGACGAATCTGGACAAGTTTCTCTTTGGCTGGATGTCCTGACCGATACCGTAGTTTCTCTTTCTGGTCTCAATCAAAGAGTTGGCCTGCTTTGGCTCAACAGCCTGGGCCTTAGCGGCCAAAGGGAGGGGAGCGACTTTCTTTCCTGGAGCCATGTCTGTGGTTGATGGAGGATGCAACTTTTTTGATAGAATTTTTCGTGGGTCCTCACTATGTGGTGCACGGGTGCGCGAAGCACGGTCTGTGTATAAGCTGGAAACCGCATCGTTAGGTGGTGGTTGTCGATCACGTGTGTATTGTGACTGTCGCACTGTCTAAGTACGTAGACGGACCAGAGCTTCAGAGTCAGGCTGTCATACCATAGATATGGGAGTTTTAAGATTAATTTTTTGAATTTATTTTTTTGAATTGTCTTTCTTTCTTTTTGTGATGTGGAGATTTGTCTTTACAAAATCGTATGCGTTGTTGAAGTCTCACGAGACTCCAATACAGAGGTAGTTGTCAACCTCAAGAAGGCAGTGGCCAATTGCCAAAGCCTTGTAGAGTTGGGAAAGTCTTTCATTCAAGGTGTCATGCTGAAATTGTTTGTACTATTGTTGTCAGCATTCAGAGACACAGCTTCCTTTGAAATATGACACCAGGTATAGAATCAGAGGACCTTAAACAAGGTACCTTAAACAAGGTAAAAGATGATGATCAGATTTCTTTAAGTAGACATCGGCTATTCTACCATTCATGTCCCGCTCAAAATAAAGCCACATTGAGTTCCTGTTCTAAATAATTACCTCAATCATCAGCATCTCGTTTAATGCCACACGACAACACAATTCCGATAGGCCATTTTTCCATTTTAAAGCTGTAGGTGGGGAGTGTAGGTGGGGAGAAATCACCTCCTTCGAAAACCCACATTCTCCTTCACTTTCCTACAATCGCTCTACAAATCTCCAATAACATTAAATCGTTGTCTCGTTACTTATCATCCGAGCATGCTCGAGACCTGCTCGATCGGTAAATGCAATCACATCTCTGGAACTGGCCCAGAGTCTAGTTTTATAAAATTCAAAGCAAACGCTCTCACGGTAAATTAGGGTATCACGGATGTGAGACATGGCGCCGCACTGAAATGTCAATGTTGGAACTCCGGCGCAACATGCATGTTTCGCATTTGCAGCCACCGAAGACAAAGTTGCGGTGAAAAGTTTCACTTCATGGCCTAATCACTCCTTGGGGACAAGCCTCGAGGGAACCCACCCTTTCACGGTGTACTGTCCGGTGCCCATCTGACCAGCAGGAGGAACCCATTTTCTGTGGGGAGCCCAAGGCACAACTTTACTACCGTTTCTGCCACGCTCAATCACCAACCCGCCTTTGGCTTCCATACGCAAATACGCGTAGCTGTCCACTGTAGACTTGGGGAGCGGATCGGCCCGAGGAGGCAACACCACGGCGTCCCAGAGCTTCTTGCACGAAAGAGCCGAGATTCTGGCCAAATCGTGGTTTTTGTCGAAACGACGGAGTGCTGGGATTCTTCGAAGAAGCGCAAGTTCCTCGGGCGAATTGAGCATAGGAAGTCTGCCGTGGGCACGAGCGGCAGTGTCGTGGGCATAGAGCCGTAGAAACCTCGAGTTGGCGCGTGTCTCGCGGCTGCGAAATTTGGGTTTGTGAGATTCGGTTGGGGTCTGCGGTTTGCTGGCAGAAAACGTCTGCAACTCCTGTTCTGAAGCTGGTTCCACCTTCTCTTCCTTCTCTTCCTTCACCCGTTCCTTTTCTTGTTTTTCAAGATCCTCGGCGGCGGCCAAGATGTACAGAAGTTCCGCCCGCGGGTCCCGCACTGGTGATTTTTGGGCCTGTGCCGTGGCTGCCGTCAATACGGGCAGACAGGCGCACTGGGCACTGATGTCCGAGAAAGTGGTGTCGATGCTGGAAACCAGTTCACGACGATCAAATATGCTGTCGAGAGAGTCATCGGAAAAGTCGCTGTTGAGCGACAGGGAGCTGGCCACGGCGAGCATTCCACTGGGTTTTTGGTACTTTTATGAGTTTCTGAAGTTCTGGGGAAAGCTGTCAGATATGGTCGGCGTCTCGAGGGTTTTATACTTTGGGCCCAGCAATTGGCGCAGCGCGGTAAACTGGAGGTACGTCGTTTGCGGTGCCGCACGTCGGGGCATCATCCTAGATAGAAAAAAAAAAAGAAAGGAAGCAAAATGGGAAGTTTTAGTAGACACAGAGCAGACGGTGATTGCCGGTGTTCCACATTTCCTTCTTTTTTTGGCCTTCACTGAAATTCTTCCTCCTGCTCAACTCGCAAACGCTTGCTCCCAAAATAGCCTATTTGCACCCAGACGCACCAGAGCCACATCCCGACCACCTAGACTCGCGCAAACCCTGGCTTATGCGTCAAAGCTGCAAAGCATTAAAAAACCTCAAACCCAACACAAAACCTACCCGGGCAAGCGCCCGGCGAAATAAAAAAACTTGTATCGAAATCTACTAACCTGAATAATTTTCGACTCCTGCCGCGAGCCGCTGCCGTTGTACCGTTTATCAACGCACGGCGTCTATCCTTGTCCACCGCTTGCGGTGGATCATGCCGCTCTGGGGCGCTCGAGGCCCCTCCTAGCTTTCTCCTGATAACCGCAGCAGCTCGTTTTTCAGCTTGGGCTCCTCAGGGCCGGGCTCCTCGGGGCCGGGCTTCGCTACCCCAAGCTCGTAGTCAAATTCGTCAAGCTCCATGGCAGTGGCATCTCCAACCTGCGCATACCCAGCGGTGGAAGTTCCGTAGTACTCGTCGAATAACTGGTCAATGTTCTCCAACTCCACACCTTTTGTCTCGGGGTAGAAGTACATCACAGTAGCAATGGAAAGCACACAGCTTGTGGCGGGGAAAATGTACATGGCCCAACCGATGGTCTCTTGGAAAATCGGCGTGAGCTGACCCACAATATAGTTTGCAAGCCAGTTAGTGGCCGTAGAGAGCGATACACCCTTTGATCTCACTGCCAAAGGATACACCTCGGGTGGAATAAGGAAACCAATGGGGCCCCAGGAGTAACCAAACGAAGCATTGTAGACGACCACCAAAACAGCCACAAGCAGCGGCGTAGCTCCGACATCGAGCCACATGACAAACGCAATCAAACTGAGACAGATACCCATAGAGGCACCACCACTCACCAAAATGGGTTTTCTTCCCCATTGGTCCACCAAGAACCATGGTGGAATGGTACTGAGCAAGTAGACTGTACCATTGACACCCGTCATGAGTAGCGCCATGGAATCCTTGAAGCCTGCTTCGGTGAAGACCATGGGGGCGTAATACGAAATAATGTTGATGCCGTTGAATTGGGCAAAGGCCAACGCCGAACAGGCAATGAATATACGGAGGCGGTAGGTGCGGAACATGTGTCTCCATGACCGCTCTTTCTTGGGGATCTTGATACGCTCCTCCAAAATACTGTTTTTGATCAAAAAGAACTCGTGTTCTGCTTTGAGGGGATCTGGGTCGTCGTGGAAGAGAAGACAAAGAACATGGAAGCCTCGCTGGTCCATGTCGACATCAAGAAGCCATCTAGGACTCTCAACGACAAAGAAGCCACCAATAAACAACACAATGGCCAAGAGGACCTGGATGAAAAGGGGAAAGCGCCATGAGACGTTCGCTGCGAGAGTATTTGGGTTCTCTCTAGCATCGCCAATGTCCTGGATAAAGTAGCAGGCGTAGTCGACCCACACACTCAAGCAGTAGCCAGCAATGTTTCCAGTAAACTCACCACAGACCAATTTACCACGCTCTTCGGACGGCGAGATCTCACACTGGTACAGCGGCACCATGGTCGAGAGAATACCCACGCCGAAACCACTGAAAACACGGCCCACGCCGAAGATCCAAAGGTTGGTTGCAAAAGATTGAAGACAACCACCAAGCATAAATATGACCGTGCCGAGCAAGATGGTCCGCTTTCGGCCGATCGAGTCCGAGATCTTGGACACCAAAAGCGACGAGATCATGGCGCCAATCTCCAAAATGGAAATGACCAAGCCGATCTGCGTCGCCGTGGGATAGTTGAAGTACATTTTGAACGTGACGAAAGTCAAGATGCCCAGGCACACGCCCTGCTCGTAACCGAACAACGACACGAAAAGCGACACGAACGCTGACGTAAAGTACACCAACCTCTTACCCTTGAACCTGAGCTTCCTGGTGTACCTTCCAGCATCGAAATCAACGTGATCGTACGAATTGCCATAGTTGTCCATGTGGACACCCGGCTCCGAGGCACCCCTGCGTCTGAGCCCGTCATGCTCCGTAGCAGTGTCTATGGTTTCCCATTCAGCAAAGTCGTCAGGGTCCACCCTTCCATCCTTCAGCAGCAGCATATCCAGCGAACCCAACATCACGGGATCGTTGTCGGAACCCACAGAAGAACGGGAGGTAAGCAGGTCGCTCACGTGTTCGTGGCCTGGTTTCTCGTAGGACTGGTCTAGGGAGTCCAAGTGGCCTAAAGGCTGGAGAGGCTGTTTTTCGCCTGGGGCGGTGTAAAGCACGGAATGTAAAGGAGAAGGTCTTCCGGGAGGCCCTGTTTCTTCGTCAGAGGCCTGGCCGGAGTCCGGCACAGAATCGATCCTTTGGTACCTGCTCATGTTGGCATTAGAAGTAGTTGGCAAGTGAGAATAGATGTTGAGAATTAGGGTACAGTCCGTTGAACACCAGCACCACACCTGGAAGTTTTCTTTAGAGGGATTTGGGAGATGTTTAGAAGGCGATTTTTTAGATTCCGACTTTTAATTTGCATCAATCAAAATTGACCCAAATTCGACACTTGGTCCTGGTTTGGTGGACCCTGCCGAGTAGGCCTACTGAAGCGAGCCAAGGACCAATAACAATGCCCCTTACCCCCAGGAAAACGGGTATTTCTTACGCAAAATTCCGACTCCAGAGTGTCAAGTCGTACAAAACAGATTAGGCTTTTCGCCTGCTACTCTTTTCGTCCTTACCTACAGCCTGCCTCTTATCTACTGTTATCTTATCGTAGGCTGCAACTCGCAATTTACGACTCCACCATTGTTCCGATGTTCGGCGACGTGTCCCCGGGTTGAAGAACTGTTATTTCAAGACAAACGCTAATAAAGAAAAAAACATCCACACTGGTATTGTAACCCGGTTTGCATTCGGTCGGCATGCACGATGTCGTATTTTGCTTGCTGGAAGCGGGACACCTCCAATCTTCTGAGACATTTGCAACCGCGGTGTACAAAAATCGTAGTTGGCTGGAATTGATGGTCTGGAGCACTGGACTCTCGAGGCTGGTTTTCAGAATCGGCGGATTTCGGGCTATGACGTCAGACATTCCAGGGTCCTACGCGTGGGGTTTCCTGAGGGGTGGATGTGGATTTTGTAGCATTTCGATTTCGAAGTTTATATGGAATTTTCGATGGTTCACGGTTCTTTGATTGTGGAGTTGCTTGTGGCTCTTTGTTCCCCGTTGGCTTGACGTCATACAATAAGCTTTCGCAGCCAGCACGAAAATGCAAAAGGGTGAAGTCAGCCGTTTGGTGAATGTGGCCTATGAGAGGGTTTACATTTAAGATTTTGATTTTTTGATATTTGGGAAAGCTGGTTATGGGGATTGTCGGGTGGGGTCGCTATCTGAAACTCCGAGGTCCCGAGAACGCCGCAACCAAGAGATAAGAAGATGAAGCCATGGAAATTGCAGTGAAAGGAGGGCATTTTCGTTTCCTCGAGGCTACTTTCAAAAAAGCTTAAAATAGTGACGTTTGACTGCCAGGCTGATCATAGAGACGCTTTTTTGGTCGGCTTGGTGAGCTTCATTACCCCGGATTTCGTTATCTAAGACTCGGATCAACTTTCCACAAAAGCAGATATTCTACTGATAAAGGGAGTTGTTCGAAGGACAGTTTCTATCATCATGCGTGATCTCAAGAAGTCAAACGCCATTCTTGTGCTTCTGAATTGAGTCCCATAGAGTATTTCAGTCTCAACCAGGCCCAGGTCAATGCCTCCCTCCCAATCTACAACCAACACTTTCGTGCAACTGTTCTGTTCTTATTTACATCCGCTCGCCCGCTACTTCTTGCCGCCCTTGATGTAGCTCTCGATGTAGAAAGCGGCAAACAACATGGTCAACGGCGTCAAGTAAGCCACGTTGATCATGAGAGGCAACGCCTGCTCGGCCAGCTCGATGCAGTTGCTGTAAGAGTTGCTCTGCTGGTCCCAGTACCAGACAAAAGCGTGGAAAACAGCCAAAGAGCCGCCCACGACAAACTGGGAAATCTGAAGCGACGTGAGCACTCTCTTGACAATCACAGGCACCCTGATCTTCAAGCAGCACACGGAGAAGTAGAAGTACATCAACGAGTGGATGAAGGAGTTGAAGACCACGAAAATCCAGATTGGAGGAGAGCGGTAGCGGATTCCACTCCACATGCACATCATGGCACCGGCGTGGTGGTAGCTCTGCAAAAGCGACGAAGGGCGTCCTTTCAAGAGAATGACCACGGTGTCCAAAACCTCGTAAAACTTCAGCATGTAGAACCACCAGCCGTAGATGGTGAGGTTCTTGGTGAGGGAGTCCTGCTTGAAGACGCCGTTTTCCACGTCACAGACGGCGTAAACGAAATTGGAAAGCGAGTGGGACGAGTTGTACTTGAGCGACATGGACGCCACGGTTCTGCCGAAGCATCTGAGCATGCCCACAAACGTCCAGACCGAGTAGATACAGAGGAAGACGTTGTGGAAGAAAACGAACACCTTGAAGAGGCCCGTCTGAGCGATTTTCGTCGGAGCAGGCCTCAATCTCTTGGTCTGCGACTCTTTGAGCTTCTCATCGGCCAAGTTTGCTTTCCTCTTCTGTCTGTCAATGACAATTGGGTTGACAAAGTGCACCGCAGAGAAGTACACCACGGCGATGGTTAGCGGCATCAGCACCTTCATGGAGGCATCGAAGACGGCAGATAAAAGGGGGTTTTCAAAAGGCGAAGATGGAGGACCCGAAGGCGCCAGCCAGCGGAAAATCTCCAGGTGTGGAAGACCAAATGAAAAATGCATGGGTGGTTGAAGAGCAGAAGCTGTAGGTTATAAGCACTCCGAGCGAAGCGAGCGAGGAATCTGGCGAGGCTTTCCTCCGAGCATAATGGCTGCAAGACGGTGCAGATTGGTGCCGGGATGGTGCGTTTTGAGGGGTGGAAAAGCAAAAAGTATATAAGGCGGCGGACTCCCAGGATCTTTTAAAAGTTTTCTACTTTTTTTCTTTTGGCATTGGCCCCGTCGTGGTGGCCTGTTCTCGCTGGGACGGTCGGTGCCAACAATCCGGCGCCAGTCCGCGGCGCGACAGCGGCGGACAGCGAATGTTGGGCAGGCGCTAGACTAATTCGTGGGGCGCCAAAACTGCGTTCCAGCGATTTTGGAGCAAATTTTTGGATTATTTAGGAAACCGTGGATCGAAACTTTCTTTCTGTTTTTCTCTTTTGGCCTGAATTATGCTGGATTCGAGGAACCCGGCCTCAGGAGTTAGACAGTTTAGTCCTGCGATGGCTGCGAATCACTACCGGATGAGGAAACGCCCGACACAAAGACCGGCGATTGTTCGTCTAGTTTTTACAGATTGCCCTGATTTGGATATTCCAGAAACTGAAGGTGTGTTTTGCCCCTGATTCAGTGTCTTTCGGATCTAAGGCGGTGTCCTCATCGGGAACGCCGTTAGCTGACATGTAGGGTGGGCTAAATGCGCAGCTGGAGCCGAGGAACCTTATGTGGACTTGCTGGACGGCGGGAGGGTTTTGGTTGTTTTGTGTTGTTTTTTGTGATTGTTTTGTGGTGTTTTGGAGGTGATCTAGATTTTGGGAGAGTTTGGAAGATTTGGCCAGCGGGTTCCGACGTGGTTCTTATCGGGAGCCGAGCGTAGTGAGCTCAATGGAAGGATCTCAACCAGATCCACCAATTTTCAGCACCCCAGTTTTGCATTATTCTACTTATTATGAATTTTTGCCTAAAGTCGATTAATGTTCCGCCAATCGCTTTCATCAATTCCTCTGCTGCCCAGAATTCCACGGTTTATGGGCCAAGAAGCTCAAGGTGATGCACCAGGTGTGCGTCAAGATGCATACCGTTCGGATTTTGTAGTTGCGTTTTGGAGCCCAAAGTTGGATCCGGAGTGGAGAAGATTTCGGCTTTGGGGAAAGTTCTCCGGGATCCGATTCTGATTAATTCCGGCAAGTGTGGTGAAATGAACGAAAATGAAATTAACCAAGTTTGCACGAAATTGAAACTTCTTGTGTTGATCTTCCTCGGTCCCTCTGCGGCTCTAGAAGGCATCATCGGAGTCGCCGTGCAAGGCTCATTTATTTTTGGGACAAAAGATCTAATTGGTGCAATAACTTTTCTAGGCTGATGAAGGATGGGAATGTGAGGCTGAATGCTGGATTTTGAAAGGTGCACATATACATAGCACAGCTGTATTGATGCTGATACAGCACAAGGTGGAGCGCTTTGGGATGAGATGTAATTTTCCTCCCACTCCTCTTTATTCTCTCATGTTTGTCTAAAATAATCTTTTACCGTTTCACTGGCATTTGGTTATTCAGAAGCAGAACTCTATAATAGGCCCACAGCGTACTCAACGAACGATCTTTCTGTCGAGTCCCATGATATCTACTTAGAGATACAATCAACTGTCCTCAAATGGTTACAGGAGCTCTTTTGTATCACTCCAACAAGCTTTTCTAAGTTCCTTCCAGATTGTATCGCAATCAATATGCATATCATCTCCTTGACAGACGATTATAATAGGCTCACAACCTACTCGGCTGCAAATGTCGCTATAATCGTTCTCAGTCAGAATGATTCTAGTACGAAGATTCACTTGAACAGTCCTTCCTTTCCTTCTTCACTACTCCTACACCTCTCTCAATACTTCGTGGATTACTATACAGTGTATCATGGTCACCACTGGCTGGGCACATTGTGGAAGTTGGGGGCCAAAGGAGCCACCAAGCTGGGTATCTTTTTCATGGAGTTGACCGGCTGGTTGGTGATAGTTCTGAGAGCCTGGGGCCGGTTGGGGGATCTTTTGGGGGATCCACTGTTGCTCATAGGCTGTCTGGTAGGAGACCTCGTGGGGGACCTTGTGGGGGACCTGGAGTAATCCGTAGACATGTCTGAGTAGCGTTCTGGCGATCTGGTGGGGGATCTTGTGGGAGATCTGACGGGAGAACGCAATGGTGAAGCTAATGGGGTAGGTGGGAGCATCAAGGCTGGGACGATGGGGTCAAAGTTCATGGCCTGTTTGTCCAAAATAAGGAAACGCTCTTCTCTGAGGTAAATTGTCAAATCGTGAATGGCTTTCTGGGCGTTGGCCTTGTTGTAGGAACTGAGGAAAACCTGGTGGTACGGAAGCGGTTCCTGGGTTTCAGAGTCCACGGGGTTTCTGTTCCACGCAAGCTCCACATCCAAAAGAAGCCTGAACGGAATGACAACTTTTTCTCTGAAATCCTCGTTGCTTTCGCTGAACGTTCCGTCAAACTTGCCGGGACAGAAGGTGACTTGAAACTCCCATGTTTCAGGAAGCATGGAGGCCAATTTGAGTGCACAAGAGTGAGGTCTATTGTCGTTTCCTTTGATAGCCAAAAGGTGAGAGCTCTCGCCCTTGAACGTTTCTAGCGAGGTAGGGAAGTCAATGTAGGTGCTGAAGTCAGTTTCGAGGTCGTTAACGAATCTGAGATCCTGGCCTTGTTTCCTGATAAGCATCTGGTAGTGACTCTTGAGAAGCCTAAATCCAACGCTGTTGTAAATAGTAGCCATTCCTCTCAGCTGGGCCAATGTGTTCAGACAGCATTGTGCAACCAACTGGTCAATTTCGTACTTGACGAAAAGGATGTTCTTCAGGTTCTTCATGGGGCACTTGATGAGCACGTTGTTGTCTCTTCTGAAAGAATAGAGAATTCTATCGTCGGTGGTTTTCTCGGGGTTTTCTTCAGACTCGAAAACTTGATGAACACATTGTACTTTTTCATGATCAGCTGGATGATGGATCCACCGTTGCCGATGATGCTCTTGTGGAAAACTTCAGGAATATTGAACTGCATTTCCGCTGGGAGCTCCATCTCAATAAGGCTGACGCTCTTCAGAAGAATGTCAAATACTGACGACATCTGCTTGTTCTTGACTCCGGCGGATACAGAAATCGTGGAGGTGATCAAGAAGTTGTACTCGTTCAAGTGCCTGAAACGGATTTGTGGCATATGGTTGAGCTGGTTGAGGATTTTGATGATCTTGCCGTTTTTCTTGCCGCTGAGGAACTCTCTATGTTCGTTTTGAAGCTCCATGCTGACAGAGAAGCGGAACTGGCTTGATCCGTCGCCGGGATCCGTGAAAAGAGAGGTATTCTGAAGCGCTGCAATCAAATCCTTAAGAAGCAGTCTGACCTCGTCCTTGACTCCCACAATGTTCATTCCGTTGCAGTTGTATGTGAGAATGCACGTTTTGCGGACATTGATAAGGTTGATCAAGTAATACTCGAAGTCAGGGGATCTCGAGCCTTCCGGAAACCTGATGTCCAAGCTGTAGTAATTGCAGCTCAAGTTGGAGATGTCTTGCACGGTTTTGGAAACAGCCTCCGTGCTGTGGCCTTGAACGATTATTTTGTTGTTCTTTGCCTCACCTAAGCTGGGAATCTGGATAAATGTGCCGTGCAAAAACATAATGTTCAGAACATCTCTCTGTGCATAAAGCGTGATGATATCTAGCTTATCCTTAGCAATCTCAATCTCATGCAAGTACAAGTTTGCAGCCAGGTTGATTCTGCAATCCACCGTTGCCACCAAATCCAGGAGAATACGTTTCGCTAAAAGAAGCTCAGGCACCTTCTTTGCAGTAATCCATATGCTGCTTTCACTGGTCTCAACGAGCTCACAGTTGAAGCTGTGTGGCATAAGCGAAGGGAGGTAGATGTTGACGTTCAGCTGGCGGGCAATTTCGGCAAAATTGGCCAAATTCACTCCTCCAATTCCTGGAAGAAGCGATAATGGAATGTTGATCTGGTGCACTTTGCAGCCATGTAAAAGAGCATCCACAAGAATCCGACACTCGGTTTCAGCCACAGACAAGTTTTCCGTGGGACCAGCGATATATAGCCCAAACGGTCCTGGTGCCATTTGTGTGCTCTTAAAGTCAATGTTCTTGTCGGTGACCATGAGTTCAACCCGGCACCTTGAGGCTATCGCTTCCAGTCTCAGAACAAACTCAGGGCCAATATTGGCGAAATCAGCCTCGGAAAGCACGATTTTCTTAGCGTCGACGCGGTGGTACGCACGTAAAAGCTCAATTCTCGAAATGTTAATGAACGTCTCCAGGCCATTTATCAGGATTGTGATGAGCTGGTTGTTCAATTGAGGCTCCACCAATTTGACATGGTTCTCCTCGCCCATGCCGTTGTGATTCAATTTCCTCACGGTTTCCCTTAAGGGCTTCATGTTATCCAAAACTCTGAAATGACCAGCCAGGTGGATCAAAGTAGGCAGGTAAGTAGCCAGACTCTGCCAGAGTCCACAGTCGGACTCGAACAACCCAGCCAGTGGGTTGAGCAAGTAGGAGTACTCCAAGGAGAGAATAACGAGATTCGAATCCATGGTGTGTGAATATGATAGAGAAAAACGGTTGGCTATATAAGAGGATGCAAAGAGCTCCGAGCAAGAATGGCTGCAACGGTTAAAAGGTAAACACAGACGCAGTGTGCTGCAGGCCTGGGGTATTAGCTTGCCTCTTTGGGCAATAGCACAACACAGCACAGGACGCATCCTACCACATCTGGTAAAGACCTCTAACCATGTGCAGGCCATGCATCCGTTGTCCCTGGCTCCAGCAAACACACTTTTAGTTAGCAAATAAGTACAAGTGACAGCAGCGAGAGAAGACGCAAAAAAACATTGCCTCGTCATGCAGGGGTACCCCGAGCTTCGGTGGTGTTTTGTTTTTATTTGTGTCAGTTGGTATTTGATGGAGTTTGAATGAGGGGTGCAAGTAGGCTTTCGGGCAAGTAAACGGGGTAATTAAAGTCCATATGGACCAAAAGTGCTCTTTCGCTGAAGAAAATATTGAAGCGGGCGATAAGATCATGTGGGGGAAGCCGATCGCAGATCACTTCGATTCACCGATACGGTGAGAGCCTACAATGAGGAAGATGTAGATGCTCTCATTCACAAACAAATAGGTAGCATTGGGTAATGGGAAGGTTATTCTGGGTATAAGCTTCCGGTGGCGAGGACAAAGGGGGACCGCTCAAAGTTTGACTTTCGGATTCCCTAATCGTCCCTCCGGGCCATCACCGTATGTGAGGTGATGTAATGTTTGTCTATCTCGTGTCGGTCATCTTGGCGAAGATTAGATAAACAATGTCACTTCTCCAGTTGGGTCTTAAAAAGATGAGCATTACTGATTGGCTGCCCGTGTCCTGGATTCCAAATTTGCAAATTCAAGAAGTACCACCAGAATGGTGATCATGATTCACGGTCAAAAATGCAAATGGAGCCCTCTTCCTACCTCTGGAGACAAGTAATTGCTCAACTGAATCTCCAGTACCCCATCAAGTAATCTTCGTGGTGCCTCAGTCGCCAGACAATGGTATAGCGCGTTTGCTCACCAGCTCATTTAGGAACCAAGTACGGCTGGCCTTCAGAAATCCACCAAGCAGCTCAATCGAGTCAAAAGAACACCCTAAAAAACACAATTCCTTCTTTATCTCGGCGGCACACGCTTGGTGTCCCAAACATACACCATTTCGTCCCAGCCTGTGGTGGCACACCAGCCAGGCTCACCCCAGAGACTGTAATCACAGCCCACTATAAACTCCCTGTGCTGACGCATCACCCCCTTGCATCCAGAACCGCCGTTGTTCAAAAATCTCGCTCTATCGTCCAGCTGATCGGCCCACACTCTCGATGTCATGTCATACGACGTCAGCAAAAGCTCCTGTCCCAGATGAGGCGACCAAACCACCTTTCTGACGGCAAATTCGTGACCCAACAATTCGTTGAGCGGCGTTGGACCACGCAAATGGTATGCTGGCAGCGGCTGTCCAGGAACTGGGTTATCGAGTTTGGCAATCATTCGGAGGTCCCATATCCTGATGGCCTTATCGGTACCTGCTGACGCCACCACGTTAGGCTTGTATTTGTTCCAATCGCATGATAGAGCCTCGAGTCCTCCGTGAGCAATGTAATCAAGCTGAAGCGGCTGGGGAGCTCTGATGTCCCAGATTTGCACATGCGACAGGCCATTGCAACTGATGATTGTCAGCGGCGAATGCGGAGAGAAGTTGGCGTTGTAAACACACTGTGTTGTGTTGAAATTGGCCTTTTGGTTGTGGCTGGTTGGAGGTGCTTGTTGGTTCACCTTGGTGCTCTGATCCACCTTCGGATTTAACGTAAGCATCGACTGCTGCCGCAGGGGCTGCCATACCTTGATAGAGCCGTCCCACGACGACGTCACAAAGCTGGATTTGTCCACCAAGTTCCAATTCACCGAGAATACCTCCCTCTGGTGTTCCTTGTAGTTCATCACCGGAAACTGAGGCACCTTCAAATCAAAAATCTTCACCAGCCCATCCCCAGCGCCGTAGCGAGCTGATTCTCATGAACCTCACTCCAGGCCACGTCGAAAAGTCCATCTTGAGTTTCCCATCCGATCTCGTTGTGGATCTGACCTTGACCATCTATGGAAAGAATGAAAAGCTTGCCGTTTCCGACCAATCCATAATTAGCCGCGGTGGCTACTGCAAGCTTGTTGTCGAAAAAGGGCGAATACCGGACCCCGTAGCCGTTGTAGCCTGCTGTTCTGTACGAAAGCATGAATACGCTTATATCTTGACCTCCAACTTTTCGCACATGGAGTTGGAGACCTGGATGCACACTGGGTGGGAGGTACATTTTGCAAAGAGGGAAAAGAGACAGAGTAGGCCAATTAATTGCCTTTACAAAACTTGTTCCTTTCAATGACTGTATTGGTGAGTTTCAATAGCGGTGTCGAAGCATACTGGGTCGCCAATGGCTGTCCAAGCTAGGCATTCTAGCGCATGTTCTATAGGGCATAGTCTATAAGGGCATGTTCTAAGATGTTGCGGGCATCTCTTGCTGGTGGAGACGTTGTGGTGCGCCAATTGCGCCAGTGTTCGCCTTTGATAGTCGGGCCATCCGGTGACCTAAATATCAAAGGTACGGGTATCAAGGAACTTGATGAGGTTGTGGTGCTCAGGGCGAATGTCGTTGATGCTCAAGAGTCCAAACGAGATCATGTCTCCCACAATCAACGCAGCTTTCTGTTGTGAGTACTTGAGGTAGTCAAAGTCGTCGTCATTGGAGGCGATGACGCCATCGTCCTCGACAATCGCCGAGTCGTCAACAGACAAGGCGTCCATTCCGGTGGTGATCTTGAAAGTAGAGTTGACACCCTTCTCCTCGGAGTTGAAGCCCAACAAGCCGACATCCGACTTCTTTGGCGGCCCGTTCTGGAGAAGGCCCCAAATGGACCAGAAAAATTGAACGGTGGCACGCCAGAACACAACCTCGTTGTAGAGTTTCTTGACTTCGTACTCTTGCATCAACGTCACGTCGCTCTCGTTGACTGATGGCTTCGTTTTGGTCTTCAAATTGGAGGTGGGGATGCGGAAATCATACTCGGTGTACGACTTGAGCAAGTTGAGCTGCTCAGCCTGTTTAGGATACGCCTCCTCATGAATAAAGTGTGGCTGCTTGGCGTCAGTGTAATCAGACATCCATTCGGCAAAGTGGTCAGCAATGTCGTAGGCGGGGAAATTGGCGCCCGAATACTCGAAATCAATGACGGCCAAATCGTTGTCTCTCTTGGTATTGGTGTTCATAATGGCTCCGTCAGAAGGCTGTTGGATCACCTGCTCGGGGTCAAAGGTGTTTCTCAAAAGCAAGTTACCGTACTGAGTGTCATTGTGACAGAACTTGTAGTTCTCAGAAAATTTCTCCGAGTCATACTTGGCAAAGAGCCAGTCTCTGTACTTGAACACCAACTCCTTGAACTTGGGCCATGGCAAAAGCACGATATCGTTGATCTCCTCGGGGTGTACATCGGCAAAAACGTCTTTTCAAACACATCGAGCCATTTCTGGATCTGGTGCCATGCATTCGGGACGTTCAACGCCTTGTCTCTATCGTCCAAATCGATCTTGTAATGCAAATCTTTCATTCTACGCCCGATCATCAGGGATATCACGGGGCTTCTAACGTCCTCCTTGGTCATGGTGACAAAGCCCTCCAAAAACTGCTCGAAACGGCCATTAGTGAAGATACCCAAGAGCTTGGGGCCAATCTTTTTAGGGGAGAGCTTGACCAAAATGCTGAGCTCGTAGTCTCTGTCGATAATGGAGTCCACGTTCTTACCATAGACACGTAACAACAAAGAAGGAGCGGTGAAGGCCGGGTCCTTGAGCTCCACTTTGTAAATGCTGTTTGTTAATGCACCGGAGATACGAGTCACCACGACATTGTTCACCGTCAACCACTTCTTATGCCATTTGCTGATTCTAAGGGCTCTAATGAGCGCAATGAGCTCCTGCTTGAAGAAATCGTAAGGCAACGTGTTATCTAGTGTGACCAGCACCGAGGGAATGGTCATTTCCCCGCCATTGTCGAAATGCTGTTGAGTTAAGGTAAGGCTGTTCAAGGAGGAGGATGAAATCGATTTCCGTGACCCCAAACTGGGTCTTCTTGTGGCAGAGGTTGAGCGAGAATTGGCGGTCGAGTTTCTAGTTCTGGATCGAGATCGAGAACGAGACCGTGTGGTTTCGTACGGCGTGATGTCCATGGTTGAAAATTTCGAGATTGATTAGGGTAGTTATTGATACTCGGGATTGATCTTGTGAGTGGTTGTGGTGTACGGGTGTGGACAAGGTTGACTTTTCGAATTTGGCCGATAACGGAGCAGTTGGGTGGAGGAGGTGTATTTTTGTGGATTTCAATGGCTATTAGACGATTTATGAAAATTGGGTAATTTCGTTCGTTACTGTGTAATAGCCGGAGGGACCACTTCGCAGCCTTACTGATAAGGAAATGGTTGCAAACCACCATACAGTGGGGATCATATTCATCAAGTGGGGTTTATATTCATCAAGTGAAATCATCCCAGAATCGATGATTACAGATGTAAATCAAAAGTTTTGTATATGCTCGTTATGACCACATTCCGTTTACAGTTTGTACTTCCTCCAAGTCTAGAAACCCAGCTTGAAGTATACCTTCAAAACATATATTGCAACCCAAACTGAACCCACCCTGTCTCTTTGATTGTGCTGCACGAATCACATTTCAATTAAGTCTCAAACTCAAACAGTAACAATAAACACCGTGATGTCAACGCCTGGACATGAATAATAGAGGCCCCCTATGCTACAATGACCCCTAACTGAGCCAAATTCTCCTACATGTACAGCCTCTAAATCCATGGATTTGCTTCCGCTTTTTGGGCCCTAAAACCTTCCGATTTCCGGAACTTCCATCTTTTTCATCCCTTCCAGCATCTTGCTCAATGCCACCAATTTTCTTCCCCGGATGCTGGTTCCCCAGGTTCATAATGGCCAAGAAAACGTCCATTTTAAGAAAATGCCCATTACAAGAAAACGCCCATTTCCATATCTTTCCATAATGGAGCTCGTTTGGGTAAGGCCCAGGAAACCACATTGTCAGAGCATGCGATGAAACGGAAATGAAGATTGCTGATAAGACGAAAGTCGGAAAAAGAGAAATCGGATTTTGTATCACGATCCCAGTCAGGGATCCCGCAGGGTGTGCTATTGTTGTAATCCATTGTTGCTTATCTTCCCGCATTGTCCCACCTACCAAGTAGTTTCAGCAATATGATGAACGGCATTCGAGACAGATTCTGCAATTATGAATATTCAGAAAGAATCACATAGATTGTCCAAAATTGTCGTTCTTCATTTTCCAACACAACCACCTGGCAGCGCTGGCTGGTCCAACTCGGCCCTTCATACGAGCGGCTAAATTGCTCAGACTACATCGATAAACGTGGAATCATCGACAGCAGCAAGCGGTGCGGCAGAAGGCCGACCTTCAGGGCTTTTTTCGACAAACTAAAAAAAAGCAGCTTCTTTCTCATGGATTTTCTTGACCGTGGTGAGCCCTGAAGCTCGCGAGCCCTGGTTTGCAGCCATTCACAGCAAAAGCAGCCTCCATCAAAAACAAGCTTTTTTGGAGCTTTTGCGTTTGTGTGATTGGGCCACATTAGGTCGATGTGTGTCTCAAAAAGGAAGCCCCGATGCAGCAGCAAGACAGCGTGGATCTGGCGCCACGGCGAAGCAAGGTGAACCAGGCAGAGGAGATGAGAGGAAGGAAAGACAAAAAAACTCAAGGAGTGATTGAAAGAAAACTTTAAAAATTCAAAGTCAACAAAACGTCACCTGGGTCGTTTTCTGGTTAGGCGGCCCCGGAATGTGCTATTTTCGGAAAAGTAGGCACTTCGGCGAAGCAGCCAATCAGTCAAGCAACGGCCAACCGCCAACCGCCTAATATTCCAATAACGCCACGAGTGATTTTTGAATTTGCGGCTTGCCTGGTTGCGGGTCCGGTTCGGCCAAGGACTAAGTCTCAAGATTACGAATGCAGAGGGAATTTTTGACGAGATGAGCAACAAATGAAAGATTACCGCTGAAGCAACGGGGGCACCAAAAAACGGTCCAATCGGGCCGCTAGCGCAGCAACGACGTAAAAAAAAATGAAGTGTCCAAAAGATGAAGAAAATAAACGAAGTGTCCAAAATAAACGAAGTGTCAAAAGTACCTCGATATTGCCTTGCCGTATCCTGCCGCATTAACTTTTCACTGCCCATCGGATAACCCACATGACAGGTGACGTCGCTTCGCTCAAGACGGCCCATAATAATACAGGCTGTGTAGAAACAAAATAATCAGGGTGCCGATTTCTCTAAAAAACACCAAAAATGAACCGCCTTCAAATCGCCTATTCATCACATTCCAGGGTAAGACAAGGCAACGCAGGGAAGCCTGTAGCACCCCTTATCCAATAGGCACTGGTTGCTGCAAATCCGGACAATCACGCACCAGCCACACCGGGCTGCAGTAGCCCACGCCGACAAAAAGGAGTAGCAGCATTTGAAAGATTGATACTTTACGTTTATTATTTTTGCAGTATTTATGTTCTTCATGTTTTTTTTTTCTTTGGTTTTCTAATTTTACCAGGGCACCCTGACCTGTTGCTTGTGAGCCGCAGACGCACTTTTTTTGGCACCTCTTGCTTCTTGGCTATCTTTTCTTAACCGCAACTTGTACCGCCTTATATACCCTGCTTCCAGCTTCCCTCGCTTATGCTGGCCCGCTAGTGCTTGTTTTTTTCTTCTTTTTAAAAAGGCCCCTTCTCCAGGCCCCTGAGGCCACGTCCCACTCAAAACGAACACACAACGCAGAATCCCATCCCGGCGTTTTCTCAAAACGTCAACAACACCCTTTCCAGTCGTCAACACCCGCTTTTCGCCTTCTAGGAGCCCTGGTGTCTCTGGAAGTTTAGAACCTGCTACTACTCCTCGTGATCTTTACCGCCCGTCTGCTCTAGACGTGTTGTTTCCTTGCTTTGCCGTGTCTCACTTTGGTAAACACGCCATCACGATAAGCACCGCAGACAAGTGAAGCAGCTCCCTTAAAACAACCAAAGCCCTTCCAAATTTGCTACCGTCCATTCCAGCGAGCCGTTCCACAGCTTCCATTCCAACGAGCCGTTCCACAGCTTCCATTCCAGCTGGCCATCTTGTTCCACCATCCACTCCAATCGCCATATTGACTGCATTGCCTAAACTACCCAGATGCCCATAATACGCTCCTCCTCCGTCTCCCGACGGAAGTCCCTCCGCTCTGCCCGCCTGCTGTCGTCCTTGGCCTCCCAGTCAACCTACACAAAGTCCCAGACGGGCAACCTGGCCATGCTGTTCCTGACATCCTCCAAGCACGAGCCGCCCCGCTCCGTGGACGACGAAAAGTCCATCAAGGTGCTCCTCAAGCAGTACAAGAAGTTGGAGATTGCCTTGTCCAAGTTCAGCTCCAAGCACAACAACGTCACCAAGGCCAACCTCCTCCGAACCATCTTGCTACCGTTTCTACGTCTGCAGCCCCCGCTCGAGGCCACGTTCCCTGAGCTGCTGAAGATCTACGCCAGCTTCTGCTCCGTGTCCACCGCCATTCTTGGCAAATGGTGGCGCCTGCTTCTTCTGGCGCTAGCGTCTCAGAACCTGGCCACCCACGTTTCCGCTCTGGACAGAAACGCCTACTTTGAGTGCATCTCCCGCATCATGGCTCTACGCGAGTGGACGGCCGCTGATCTGGAGGCCCAGGCGGTCTTCACCTCCTGTCTCACGGAAACGCTAGATTTCTGTGTGCGCAGGGTTCAGACCCTGAAGCTCGTGCCAATCTCCATGTGTGCATTCGTGGGCAAAGTCTTTGCATTCGCTTTCTTCAACTTGCCCCACGTCTGCAACGCCTTGTTGTTTTTGCTCAATGTAAAGCAGAGCCTGGTGCAGAGCCTAGTTGCCAATTGCGAGGCCCCTCTGCCCAAGGAAATTACAGACGCCAAGGCGGCTTTCCCCAAGCACTTGGCCCACCTCATAGCATACAAGGGCGTGGACAACCTTAACAAGGCCAAACAGGGCATCATCAACTCAATTCCCCCACCCAAGCACCCCGTCAAGGGCATTCGGGACCCCAGCGGTCCCTGGGTCCGCAGATGGTCCAGCTCCGACAGTGACATCTTCAATTCTTTCTTCCGTCATTACATTAACCTCACTGATTTGTTTTTGGCCAAGGCTGACTGCAATAGGGAGGTGCTGCCGATGGTGTTCCCTGGTTTCTACATTATTGGAACTCACATCTCACAGGTTTTTGAGTTTTCCATAAACAGAATTGTCCACAACATGAAGAGGCCCGAGGTGCCCACGGGACCAGTAGCTCCTGTTTCTTCAGGTAATGGCTCTCGACCAAAGTCGCCTCCACGGAATAACGCTGTTGCAGCAAATCCTCCTCCTGCGGCTCCCCAGCCCCAACTGTCGAGCTACCCGTTCAAACTGAACGACACCAACTACACTTGCATTCTAAAGATTCTCAAGACAACACGAGACATCAGTTTTTCTTCCATTCCATTTGCGAACAACCTCTCCCGGTTTATAGATTTGTTGTTTGTGAACATTGCACGTTCGACTAGCATCTACGACTGCAACAGAAACGGTCTAGTGCTCAGTCTTGTGCATGTGCATTCAAATCATGTATTTGACACAAGCAACATTGACTGGGAGTTTTGGTTGGGCTGCGTATATCTCATGCTCACAGAGACACATCACCTCCAGATCATTCAAAGAAACTTGGCATTCTTGTTCAACGTGTGGGACAGGATCCCTGATCAGTTGTGCAAGACGGAGATTCCACAGTCGGTCTCCTACTTGAAGGGTTGGCTCGTAACCCCTGGTGAAAGCATTAAGGTTAATTTCTCCAATTGGTTGACCTCCACCGATGTATGGGTCAAGTTCTTCTTGCATTGGAACCCTATTGTGCGCTCCTACTTTCTTCGTCTTTTGGTCTGGAGAGTCATCGGCATCAACAACTATGAGTCCTCTTCTGCTATTCAAACTACAAGAAGAAGTAAAATGAAGCTTGACTCCATGTATAGCACATTGCGCGAGCACAAGGGCTCTTTGACGAAGGACTTGAACTATTCACCTGACAGTCCAATGGTGAACAGAAAGTTTGGCATCTTACCGTTGAATCCAAACCAAACTTACTTGGGTGCTGACGATTTGTCAACAGGCTACTTGACAGGAAACGCAAACAGAACGAGTGACTTGAGAAAGACTCATCCTTTTGAAGTCTTTGATGAGGCAATCTACTCCTGTACTTCTTTGCCCAGCTCTCCTGCCCAGCAGAATGTAAAGGGAAGTCCCCTGCAGAATTCGCTTGGGAAACCAGTCAAGAATGTATCCTTGATCAACTCCTTGAGTAAGTTCTTCAAAAGCTTGTCCACGGAGGAAAAGAATGGATCCAGTCTCAGAATGCAACCTCCCAAGCCATTGGGCAGAAAGGAATCATTTGCCTCTCTCAAACGCAATTCAAGATCGCTTACTTCCTTGTCAAATCCGCCTATGATTCTGTCAAGGAATTCTAGTCCAAGCTTGGCTTCTCATCAGTCGTCGCTCAATGATTTGTCGACCGACTCATCAGCAACTTCAGATTCAGAGTCGTCCATGTCTGACTTCATTGGCTCCTCAAGCTCGTCATTCTCCTCTCGCTCATCTAAGCACACACAGCCGCCGGAGCTCTTCAAAGTACCTCCTGAAATCGTTCGTCCAGTTTTCAAGTTCGACATCATCGTTGATAACGACATTTTGGCTCACAAGTTCACTCAGATGCAGAGGGCCAACAACTCCGACGTTTACAGCAAATTCTACATGCAAGGACAAGCTGTTCCAAGTTCGGAACCCAAGGCAGTGAAGGTGCCCTCTATTTCCATATTCCTCAACTCGGATATCTACAACCCATTTTACATCAGCACAGATAATTACCTCATTGACGAGGACATCTTTGATGACGAGGAGGAATGTGAGAAGAACCGGTTCTTCAAAAAAATGTCGACCTGGTGCTCAAATGAGGCGTCTTTGCAGTGCTTGGGCAAGTCAATTAACGAGTGGAACATGATTGTTGAGGAGTTTGAGCGTTTCTTGTTTCACACGATAGAGGCTGACCAGGCCAACTACGTGCCCACAGTGACCAGATCGTCTGACGAAGATCTTCAAGGCTCGCCAAAGAGGAAAGAGATTAATGAGAGCGAGTACTTCCAACGCATCGTACCCTTTCTTCCAATTGATAGCTTTACAGAACTCAAGTTGCTTAATGCGTCTTGAGGAACTCTTGCATAGATATAATCAATTTCATTATCGTTACACATCTTTATGCTCATAGGGGTGTAGACTCAATGTCTCTGGTGTTGGTAGTCATCAGTCTTGCTTCTGTGATGCTGGTGGCTTCTGTGGGGACTCCTCTGTCTCGTCGCTAAACTTGTTGTAGTAGTAAAGTGTGGAGATCATGCAGATAAAGGAGCTAATTCCCCAGAAGATAAGCACGCCAACGAAAAGACTGGTGAAGTAGTAGTTCACGAGGTAATACCGGATGCCATTCCACTCAATGACAAAGTCTAGGGTTGTCTTTGAGTTATCAATGAGGATAGGGTCGGTGTTCCTAAACAATATATGACTTTTCTGTTCGTGCAACAATTGGGCAAGTTCCCTGCCAGTGCTGTAGAGCAAGGGCCAGTCCACTTCCACGGTCTTGAAGATGTCCACAAAGATTGGGGGCACCCAGTACCGAAGATGGTACGGAATCCAGCTGTTTCTGTCAACGTAAATGTATCGCAGATCGCAATTGATGATGAAGCTATTCTCGCGAGTCACTTGAGGGGTAAGGCTGAAGAGATACTCGATCAAATGGTACGACTTCTCCACAAAACAGACTGCCCGAAGATTGATCCTCACCGAGAACGGCAAGTCGGCATTGCGTCGAAGAAACGACAAGGCCTTCAGCGGGTCAATGTCTGAGGATGCTAAGCCACTTGAACTCTTCAAGAACAACGTGGGGACAGCAAATCGCTCCACTGGCACGAGCATCTTATAAAAATTCAAGTATGTCACCAATGAGATCGGGAGAAGCACGGCAATGATCGCCGTGAAAAGCGAAGCGCCATAAAGCGACTGGCGGGTGACAAACAAGGATGCACGCGTGTAGCGAGTGGCAATGGAGCCAATCAAGGCCAAAATCTTATCTCTAAGAGCCATGGTGGGAAAAATAGAGCCGCGAGGCACATGAGGATTGTATGATGGTTGTGGTGCACGGGTGTATCCGGGGGTAGGAGGGTCCCACTTTGAAGGAACAGCGCCCGGAAGGACGGAGCCAGGTAGCGATGATAATGTAACAAATGGAACAAAAAACAATAAACCAAAGTAAATGAGGGTCAAAAAATTAACAGCCAAGCTAAACCAAATGGGGCGGGAGGGTGAGGCCCATCCGCCTGAACGAAGAAAACCATAATCTGGGCCCGTAGTAGTAATGCAATAAAGTCTAACCATGCAGAGAGGAGGCCACCTAGTGTGTCGTGTGACCACGGTGATACTTAAGACCGTTCAAGTTCTTGTACCGTTTACCACAAACCTCACAGCGGTAAGGCTTGTCTTTCTCCATGCCTGCACCGTCAAGGTAAGGGGTGTTGGACTCTGGGTCGATGATGGAAAACGTACCGTCGTCGTTCTCCTTGAGCGTCTGGTTCTGGTGGCCATGGAGCCGGTGGTACTTGAGACCGTTCTGGTTCTTGTAGGTTTTTTCGCAACCAATCACCGGACACTTGAACGGCTTGTACTCCTCGTTTTCCATCACATACAAGTGACGGGCAGGATCGTCAATATACATGCTATCGTTTTCGGCGTCTGCAGCGCCTGCTGGGTTGACCCGGTGAGGCGGAAGGTGCCTCTGCTGGGCGTTTCCATGCTGTGGCTGGGCAGTGCCGTTTCCAGAGGGCAGCATGCTGTCGGCAACAGCCCCCTGAGAAATAGTCTGGTTCTGTAAGTTGAAATGAGAGGCCGGAAGATGCAAAGAGCCCTGCGACTGCTGCTGCTGCGCCGCCTGCTGGTGGTGGTGGTTGTTCAAGAACACATCGGTGGTCAGCACCGTTTCCATGACGTTATGGATGTTGTTGATGTTGTTGCGGTTACGGTGGGCCGCAAGGAGATGCGAGTTGGCTTCTTGCGGAGGAGACGCCAGAATGTGGGCCTCCTCGTAGTGTCTGAGTAAGTCGTGTAGCGTGGGCAAAAGCTGGCCGCAGCACGAGTAGTCTTTACAGTAGTCCGCCTCCAACGTAGGGAGGTACAGCGTTGTGTTGGGCGGTGAGAGCGTGCCTGGATGGAGCAGGGCGTTGTTCTGGGCGGCAGCGGGTGCCACGGAAGACATCCGGAACAGGCCCCTTCTAGGGTTAATAAGGTTCCCAGGGAGCTGGGAGTTGCCAGCAGAAGGGTGGTTTTGGTACATCATCACCTCGTCCTTGAGCCACAGGCCGATAGTCACGCTACCCCAGGAAACACCGCCCATTCCTTGAGAATGGGCAATCAGCTCTCTTCGAAAACGGGAGTTGTTGAAGATGCTGGGCTGTCGTTGGTGGGTAATGTCGATTGGTTGAGGCACATTTAGAAAATCCTGCCCGCTGTCCAGCAGGGAGGAGGCGGCGTTGTCGAAGATCGAAGTGTTAAACATGCAAAGGGGGTGGGTTTGGATATGGGTGAGCTGGTCTGGATCTAGCGTTGTAGGGAGCCGATATATTTGAAAGGGTTCAGGAAAGGCCGGTTAAGGGGGAAGGATGTAGCCGGAGGTACGGATGCAATGGTTCTGGCGTGTTCAGCTGGGCCTTTTGGCTGAGAGAATATGGCCTTGTTCCTGGTGCTGATTAGTGATAACGGGTTGATTGAGGATATGGGTTTTCGGCTGACGTGCATGTAGCACCAGTTATTTCTTTTTTGTGCTTCGCACGACCTCCAGGACAGCCCCGAGCGGCCGCCCTTCTACCCCGTAAATTAGCTCCATGCTTTCTAGAGCGTCTACTCACTTTTACTGCCAAATCTCCGGAATAATATCGGCCCCAGGGGGCTGGTAATGTGGAATTTGGGAGTGTCGTACTGAAACGGCCTGCATATAGACCCCACCTCGCCAGCCTCAGCTCCCTCTCCTAACGTGCGAAATGTCACATCCTGTCTGTGCCAACGCTCTAAAGTCTAGCCAGGTTAGTGCTCCGAATGGGGAGCGCTGTGCCACCCGAATTGCCTCCTCAAACGTGGGGCAGCCGGACGCCCAAGGGTTTTTGAAAGGGTTGGTTCCGCTTTGTGTGCAGGATTTTTAGAAATGTCGGGGGCCCAGAAATGTGGAAATTTCACTCCGGATGGCAACGGCATCGCTGCGTCCTGCGGCACGTGACATCTCTGCTCATCTAAACGAACCACAAAGCCGGATCGCCGGTGTGGTGTACGGGTTTAAACCCCCACCAATAGGCATTCTTCCAAAAGCTTAGTGGTACTACAATAGTTAAATTTCAAAGCAGGTTTCTTGGAAGCTGGAAAACGGCGATTTTGGAAGATCGTAAGTGTCGATGTTTTCGGGTGCATCTTGGCCGCTTTCGGAAACATCGCCGTAGGGGCTATGACGTAAGTCCATGATAAGGCATCTCTTTGTCTCCATAGGCATTCCACTGAATAGGGAGTCAAATCCATTTTTGTGTAACTTGTATTGCTACTAAGGAGCAACGATAAGCCCTGGAAACGAACAATTGGTTGCATCACAATCGGTCCATTCTGCTGAAGTATGATCCGGTGAGGCTTCAATCTAGCCCTTCAGGTGATGTCAGGTGCGATATGAACGAATCAGATTGAATGCATCATTTAATATTTTTTTCGCTTCGGTCGTTTGATATTTTTTCGCTTCGGTCGTCGTTTGATATTTTTTCGTTTCGGTCGTCTATTTCCCTTCGATTGCCTGATACGGTGTGGTTTTTTCAAATTGGACTCACTTCAGCCGTTTGGAGTTGGGTTGCTGATTTCAGCCTGAACGGCTTTGGCAAAAAATGGGGTGATGTCCGGGAGCTAAATTGCGTTTTTCTTGCTGCAACGAAGCTTCGATGGAATTGACTGCGGGAATGGAAAACAGCAACTGTGGGGCTGTCTAGGCCGGAATAGGTGGTTTTGGACTATGTGATTTTGGTGAAACGAGGGATTTGATTGGACTGGGTGGGTTGGGTTTTTGGTTCGTGGCAAGCAATGAGAAGGGATTTTATCGAACAAGATAAGTACATCATTTTGGAAATGTACATTGTATTGGAGAACTGCAAAGAAGGGCTGGTCTCTAGGGAGTCTCCTCTTCGGTTACCCTCAATTGCTTTTCTTATTGTCTTTTTTTTATCGATCATTAAAAAAGCCTTTTTTTTTCCAAATCCGTACAATCTTAATTAAAACCGAAAAACTCAGATAAAAGCTTATTTGGCTGCAAAACGGTCTGGGGACCGGCGATGAAGACAGTACCGCCTTGCGTTGACATGACTATGTGCCGTACAAATCCTTTTTGGTTTGCAGCCATTGGGACCATGGGCTCTACGTCATTGTATAATGAGGGGTCTTTAAACCAGGGATAAGAAAGATTTTGACTTTCAATTCGTGACGTTGGCAAATGCTGAGACAAGCGCAAATAAGCGAAGAGCGGTTTTAGCCGAAGTGAATTCAATTGCCTTTTTTGCATAACAGCAAATACTCATCCCATTTGAGATGGGTTTCCGATTTTAAAAAATTCACTGGAAAGTATTTCATAGACGATGGTCTATCAACCCACTGATCCGAATGACTGGGCCATCCTGCAGTATAGGGAGATTCGTACTGCATACTAAAAACTGAAACGTCCTCCTAATAATCATCACCCTTACTTTTGAGCTATTGATATCTGGTGGTTGTGCAGATACGGTGCATTAGGGCAAATGTAACGTTTCAATTGTCGAGCATCCACCCAGTGCACCAGGTCTGTTTTCCTGTTGCTTATATGTAGGTCAGAGTCCTGGGTGAAGACCTACTACTAAGGTAAATCTTCAAAGGAGTGGAAATCGTCAATTTTTTTTTTTTCAAATGCTCTAAATCTTTCTTATTGATTGAGGTGTTTGGAAATGTTCGGTATCCTTACTCAACAGGTCTCAACTGAGATCCTTAGTAGTATCCAACAATCTGTACTTTCAAAGGATACGTCAATATTTTAATCTTCATCAAATTCATCACTGGTCTTCTGTCTCTTAGCCAGTGGCTCATTGGAATCCAGCTCCTCTTGCCTCCTCAATTCAAAGCAATCAATCTTTTTGTGACCCATTTCCTTACAAAAGTGGCATCTCAAGTTTTTATCCTTATTCTCCATCTTCTTGTCTTTTTGTGACTCAATAAACAATTTCGATTTTCTCGCATACTCAATGAAGCTGTACCGCATAATGCCACAATCCTTTATTCCCTTATGAGCAATCAGTCTAAGGTCAAGTCCTTCGACACCAAAAGCTTTGAAATCCGCCTCTATAGCCTTTATCAAGATCCTCTCCCTTACGTTTTCCATGGGGTAAACCGAGTAGGGTAATGGGAGTGTATGGGTAAGCGAGAATAGAGTCCACTTTGTGGCCAAATCATGCGTTCCATTTTCGCTGTGTGATCTGAAAGTTTTCCATTGAATTTCCCAAGCAATCATGAGGGTTGCAAGTTCACACGCACGGTATTGGAGTAATTCGTCAAATAGAAGCGTGAATTCAGCCAAGCTGGACATGGGCTCCGAACCTAGTCCTACCTGGCCTGAAACAATCATATCCATACCTTCCTGTATAAGCACTTCTGCCAAGTGTTCAGAGTTTCTTTTGATCAAAGCTTGTTTCATTTCGTCAAATGGTTTGAGAACTTCTTCAGCTTCCACGTCACCGTGAAGATAGGCCCTTATGTAATAATAAACTCGATAGCTGTAATTGGATCTGATTTCCGGCATCAAAAGTTGAAACCACCACATGGAGTGTTTTTAGTGATTTAGTTTAAATGGGATTCTGAATTTCGTCTTGTCAGGTGGATAGTCCGCGTGGGACTGATAAACTAGATGCCGAGGACTAAAGCTCAACTTTCCAGCCCCAGCCTCAAAGTAGTCAAAACCATATGGATCTATGTTTAGTCGATATTCTGAGAATATGAAGGTTTATTCTCGAAATTGAAGAAACGGTATCGATTTTTCGTCAGATCTCATCGAGCGGCTTACTCTTGGAGCATTATGTAGTCCTACATGTTGTTTACATTTCACGTGTTTATCACGTGCTGAGCCACACCTGTCAAAGTCACGTGACCCCTCCAACAAAACCGTGTTTCTGCCTAATTATGCTGCTCCCACAGAAACCCCGACCCTTAAAATCTAAATTTCATAGTGCTTTGAGTCCACCCACCCCTTAGCACACCCAAAACGCACATGCTTGTGGCTTCGCTCCTCGGCGCACGTGACCTCTCCGAGTCGGATACCGCTCCATTTTGCACCCAAATGAGCAAATCGGTTCCCATTCTTCATATAATGCCTCCAAGGTCCTCCCGACTTTTCTCCCATTTCTATCCCTTCATGTTCCAGGATGCTTGAACTACCCTCGGACATAGTCCTTCAAATCGCCACATATCTTCCTCAGGAAGATAAGCTTGCATTGGCTAAGACATGCCGGGAGCTTTATACCACGCTACACGCTCTGATCTACGAGGTTGTTGTTTTTGATTCTTCCAAGGTCCACTTGAACGGACTCCAAGGTTTTGTAAACCGCCACAAATGGTTTCACGAATTGAAATTCTCATGCTACCCCACGGTGATTCGGTCTTTATACGCCCTTACCCGGTTCTTGAAGAATCTCTCGAAAAATCCACAATACTGCAAGAATATCAAGTGCCTTGTGGCCATGGAGCAGGTGCCTGATATGCCTCATTTGGAGTTGCTGGGCTACCTTGCACAGATCTTTCCACAGTTGGTCAATTTGACTGCGTTCCAGTGGTACTCGATCCACCAACCCTTGGACGCCGATTTGGTGTCACTTTTGCCCAAAAACATCAAAAAGGTCTGTGGAAATCTCCAATTCTCACTGGCTTTCTCCACATTCAACGTGCCCGAGTCTGTCGAGTTTTTGGACATATCCAACTTTGGCTGCGAAAAGAACCTATACAACCTTTCTGGGTTCCCAGAGAACTTGACCTCGCTCACAGTGCTGAAACTGGTTTCCTCAAATTCCAGGATCTTCACATCGTCGCTTTCCTCTTGCTGCTCCGCCGTTTTGTCCAATACCCAGGAACCACTGTACCACTTAGATGCTCCCACATACACCTCGCTGCTTTTCAACTCGCTGTCTTTGGATTCGCCAATTAAGCTCGAGAGTTTAAAACTCAAGGACATTTCCTTGCTGGTCTGCGATGCCCACATTCTCAAAAACTACGTCGACTTGGCCTCGCTCAAAAGCTTCTCTCTTGAAGAATGCACCGAAGTGCTTTTCGACCATGTCTTACCCCAAAACTACATGACCTTGTCTTCATCCGCATACATCCGCCGTAACGCCCCGGCAGAGCTCTTCTTGGATCTTTTGGTGCCGGAACTCACCGCCTTGAAGCTGCTTCACCTCAGCATGACTAACGAGATCTACTATAACAACTGCATCATTGCATTCATTGCCCTGCTTTCTGGCTTGGAGCACATCAGCATTCATTTGAAATACCTCTATCGCCCGAACGAGCCCGTTGATTTGGACGCTCTTTTTGAGGCCTTGGAATCTCACTCAGATACCCTCAAGTACTTGGATGTGTGCTTCAACACCATTGAAAACAACGTTTCTCCGGGCCAGAAAAAGAGGCAGTGTTCACTTTCTGCCAAATCCTTCTCGAGACTTCAGAAATTGAAGAAACTCGAGTTCCTCAAAATTCCCGTTTTCAGGGACCAGGCAGACCTTCTCCGTGAGAGCTTGGAGCCTTTGGAAAACCTCAAAATTGTCCAGGTGGGTTTTGCCGATCTGGCTGCAAATGCCTCAAACCACGGCGATACGCTAATTTACGCCCTCTACAACACAAACTGTCTCATATCACAGGACTACTTCAGCTCGCCCAACTCCTTCACCAGTGTGATTCAGGACGAAAAGGTCAATGAGTACTTGGAAATGAGCAAGAAGTTCAAAACGGCGCTTCCACGCTTGAGGTACATCCGAACGGACTTGAAAAACCAGTCGCTTGTTTACGACTGTAACGGCACCGTTGCTGCTGCCGAAGATGGCGCAGTAGAAAACTTCGACACCCTTGTGGCGTCGGTCATTGGATTTTAAATGATACACTGTTATACACTTACGATAAATTAATGATTGGAATTGGTATAGTAGATGTAGGCAGGGGAGCGATATAATCGGCAAGCTACTTTTTGACATATTGCCAATGGAGGTTTGATGACCGATTTTTTGAATTCCATCAATTTTGCAACCAAAAAGGCACTACACCTCACTTCCATTGCCGTACATTTTGTCGTTACTCCTTGTACTCGTCATCCTCGTCTTCTTCACCATCCTCTTCTTCCTCATCTTCTTCCAACTCCTCCTCTTCCTCCTCTTCGTCATCACCCTCGAGCTCCTTCTTGCCCTTCTGCATCGTCTCCTTGAACACATCCAAAGCACGCTGTCTGCCAAACTTGTAATCCACAATTGGCTCAGGGTAGTTGTTCTTTTTGGCAATCTCCTTCAGCAGAGGATTGTCCCATGGAGAGTGGATATTCTTGGAATCCACATCCTTGAGCTCAGGAACCCACTTCTTGATAAACTCACCTTTAGGGTCAAAACGCTCAGACTGAGAAGAAGGCTTGAAGACACGGAAGTAAGGCTGGGGATCCACACCTGTGGAAGCAGCAAAACCCCATCCTCCGTTGTTGGAAGCAAAATCACCGTCGATCAACTGAGACATGAAGTACTCTTCTCCGTATCTCCAGTCAGTAAGAAGATGCTTGGTGAGGAAAGAAGCCACGATAAGACGGCCTCTGTTGTTCAAATGACCAGTTTCTTTCAAATTCCTCATGGAAGCATCCACAATAGGGTAGCCTGTTTGACCTTCCTGCCACTTCAAAAAATGGTCCTTGTTGTACTCCCAGGGCAAGTCTGAGTACTCCAAGTGAAAAGGCTTGAACATGCCCACGTGAGGCCAGAAACAGAGGATGTTTTTGTAAAACTCTCTCCAGGAGATCTGTCTGAGGAATTCGGTGATACCGGGAGCGGCTGTTTCGTTGGCTTCAGTAAGCAATTCGTTCTCGTGCAAAAGCCAGAGGATGGTTCTGGGAGAAATGGTTCCGGAAGAAATGTGAACACTGAGGTTGGAGGCACCTCCGTCCAAGTTGTTTCTTGTATCGCCGTAGTTTTTGATGGTGTCCAGCTTGACCCACCTCTCCAAAGCCTTGAAAGCGTCGTCTTCTCCAACTTCCTTCCAGTACTTGTTGAAACGCTTTTGGTCGACATTGATCTGTGGAAGTCCATGTCCCGCTTTGATCAATTCCTCAACAGAATTCTCGAGCTTCTGGGGCTCATCAAAGATAATCTTGTTCTGGTCAATGAGGTGGTTGTTGACGTACTCCACCCAGGCACGGTACCACGGCGTGAAAACAGCAAACTGGGTTCCCTTGGACTTGGTGACGATTTCTCCAGGCTGAACCGTGCAAGTATCATGGACAGGCTCGAAGTTGATGCCTTTTTCCAAAGCGGCATCCACCAATTTCGTCGAAAGCCTCAATTCGTCGATTTCGTACTCCTGGTTGACGAAAAGATGGGAGATCTTGTGTTTCTGCAAGAAATCGAGAATCGAGGGCACGATCTTGCTTCTGGTTTCCACATCCACAGTCACAAACGCAATGTTCAAATCGGCCAACTTCTTGTGGAGCTTCTCCATGCTCTTCACACGGTAATGCATTTGGAACTTGGATTTTCCATGGGCCTGGGTCATTTCCTTGCAATTGACCCAGAAACACACGAGCGGCAAGTTGTGTTTTGCAGCCAATTTGTATGCCTTTGAGAGACCATGGTTGTCGAAAGTTCTAAAATCTCTGACAAACCAATGGGCAACGGCATTGGCTGGTTTGACCTTGGAACGCTCTTTTTCCGTAGACTCTACCTTATTGAGCAAGATGTTGTACGGTTTGTTTTCCTCCTTGGCATACTTGGTTGCAGCCACATGAGTGGGCAATTCCTTGGGGTAGAACTTGGAGGAGAACTTTGGAAGCTGTTCGAGCTTTTGCTTTTTAGACATGCAGATTTGAAAACTTCATCGTGGACCTGCTTTATAACTTTACCGGGGGATTGCTATGATGTAACGGTTGCGGTCATGTGATGGACTTTGCCAGACGCTTCAAATCACAAAAGCCGGGATTTGTGGGATTTTGGAAGGCTTCTCAAACAGCAAGGTTACGAGCCTGGGGACCCTTTTTGAGATACGGGGTGACTGTATTGAGGGTGCAAAAATATGACTCTTGAGGGTGCGTTGACGTGCAGATTTTCGGTCTGGTTGTAGTATGTGCATTTGCAACCATTATGGGTGAATAGCACCAGGGCTAGAATATGGGTTTTCAAAGTCGTTTTTCTTTAAATTGTTAAGTAAACTACGAAGACTAAGCCTCGGAAGTCCTCAAGATCCCCCTTTGCCACCGTTCCCAATCCGCAAAATGACTCATAGTGCACTCCGCAACAGGTATATATTTGACTTTGAACAATTCCCAGCAGTATGCCACGGAAGAAAACTCAAAATCAGGACGAGGTCGTTGCCACGTCGCAGAGCTCAAGATTCCACAATGAAACGTTGGACACGCTTTCCAAAGACGTGGATCTCAGGAAAGTCTCCCTTTCAGCAGGTCTCAAGGATCTCTTGGTAGACACAGATTTACGAATAACACAGGGATCCAAGTACGGGCTTATCGGGCCCAACGGATGCGGCAAAACCACCCTCCTTAAGTGCATCGGCTACAAAAAGATTCCGGGAATTGCGTCGAATCTCAGGACTTTGTATGTAGAGCAGGTTGCAGTGGAGGGCACTGAAAAGCTGGTTTTGGAGACCGTGGTGGACTCCGATAAGCAGAGGGTGGTGCTATCCTTGCAGATGGAGGCTTTGGAAAAGGCATTGGAGTCCGGAGAGGCGGATCTTTTGAGGAAGGCGATCAAGTATGTGAAAGTTGAAAGACAGAGGGAGGAGTTGAAAGCAGCACAGAAAATCGCTTCTGAGCGGTCTGGAACCAGAGGCCACAGGGCCAGAAAAGCTTTGGTGGAGCAGGAGGAGATTCTTGAAAAATTGGAGAACTTGTCCTTGGAAGAAGTTGCAGAAACGGACGAAACGCTTCTAGCTGAACAGCTTCTATCTGAGGTTTCAGAGAGCCTTGAGGGATACGATAGTGTGGAGGTGCTTCGAGTGAATGCTGCCAAAATTCTCCAGGGTCTAGGGTTCACGGAGAAAATGATGGCGGAACCTGCTAAGCTTCTCTCTGGAGGGTGGAGAATACGTGCTTCTTTGGCTGCTGCATTGCTCATAAAACCGGATATTCTTCTTTTGGACGAACCGACCAACCATCTTGATCTTCCCACGGTGCTTTGGCTCCAACAGTACCTCCAGTCCTTGGACGACGTGCTGATGGTGGTGGTTTCTCATAACCGTGCTTTTTTGAATGAAGTAGCTGAAGAAATCATCGTTTGCAGAGAGCAGCGGTTGGACTACTTTACAGGAAACTACGACGAGTATTTAGAGGACTACCAGGAGAAACAGAGCTTTCTCCAGGCCAAGGCGGACGCCAACCAGAAGAAAAAAGACGCTTTGGAGCTGAGTGTGGAAAAAGCATTGGTGGCTGCAAAACGCAGTGGAGACGACAAAAAAGTGCAAACAATGGCTGCACGGAAAAAGAAGCTCGATCGGATCGGCATGGACGTGAATGAAAAGGGCCACCGTTTCAAGCTCAACAGAGACAGAGCAGGGTGGCACGAAAGCATACGAGACGACATTGTGGTGGATAAGCAGATGGTGCCTGATGTGTGGAAAGTGGAAACACCTCCACCGCTACGGTACCAGGGCGACATTCTCGTGATGAACGGGGTAGGTTTTCGGTACGGCGAAAATGTTATTTTTGGCCGGGTCAATTTGTCCATTGGCCAGAGGGCCAGAATCGCTATAGTTGGTGCAAACGGAACGGGAAAGTCCACCTTCATCAAGCTCTTGACAGGAGAGTGTCAGCCCACGGTGGGAACGGTGGAAAGGCCTGGAAACGCAACAATCGGCACCTTTGACCAGTTCAACGCCGAATCGTTCAAGTCCTCCCTCGACACCAAGGCCACTCCATTGACGCTTTTCATGGACAAGTACCCCCACAGCAAAGAGAGCCAGGTGCGAGGCCACCTCGGCAAATTTGGCATTCGAGGATCCACAGCCGTCAAGCCGCTAGTCCAACTCAGTGGAGGCGAAATGGCCCGGACCAAGTTGGCGCTTAACTTCTTTGAGGCATCGCCCAACTTGCTCATTTTGGACGAACCGACAAACCACCTCGACATGCTTCTGATCGAGTCGCTAGCGGAATTGGTGACGAGCTATGGAGGCGCAGTGGTGGCTGCTTCCCACGACCAGCATTTCGTGGAGCAGTTTGCCGAGGAGATTTATACTTTTGAGAAGAGGCAGATGAGGCGGGTGGAGTCGATTGGGGAGTACCTGGCCCAGTTTCTGGACCTGAAGACCCTTTAGGGTCTGAAGGGACAGCGGCCCTGCCCAAATTGATAAATCCAAAAATGTCATCGGGGCACATTAGCGATATTCAAATGTTAATTGCCAGGCCTTGGTTGTACTGCCTCACTGAAGTGGTTGGTTGCAAAATCGTGGACCTGAGGCCCTGCTCAACATGAAGAAAACCAAAATGTTCCTCGGGGCCCAGTAGCGATATTCAAATGTTAATTGTAAGGCCTGGTTATACTGTCTCAATGAAGTGGTTGGTTGCAAAATAATGGCACCTCACCGGCAAGTCAAGTCATGGTTGTAGAGATCCACGAACGCATTCACGCATTCAGCACATTGCTCCCGAGAAGCAAATTGATCCAGCGGCAATTGCAATATTGTTGATTGCCATCCGTTTTGCTTACTTGTCAGCATTTTCCAATATCAAAGCAGAGAAAGCATTAACCGCAGATGACTCCCCGTTGGTGTAGACCGCAAGAATCGCCGAAAAGGCGCCTTGGCATCGAGGCATGGGGAGATCCTCCGGCATCCCATGAAAATTCTACTTGGTGGGGCGTTTTTCACGACTTGTTCACCCTCCGCCTCACCTCTACTTCATCTCTCCAAGCCTAATCAACACAACAAACGCAACTAACACAACCATCAAAACCCACCGCCAGGCCTCCCTGATGACGCAAACACGCAAACTGGCAGGGGTGTCTTGGATGTACGGCTGCTAAATGTACCACGTGCTAACCAACATTGCCCCCAGAATCGGTTTCCAGGCCGTCAGACCAGAAAAAAAAAAAAAACGCTATTTAGCAAACTTCAGAGGCCAATTCGTCGAGCGCAAAACTACTTTCAAAAAAATATTTCCAGGATTTGGCCCACTGCCCGCCTCCACACCTCGCCTCGTAGACCTTCGGCTCAGCCGGCTCAGCCACCGAGACGTTCATTGTGAAACGGTTTCAAAAGGTGCAGACAATTCTTCAACTTTGACGCTTCTTCAAGCACACTCTGATTTCGATCAGCCGATCTCGTCCATCCCCAGCTTTTTCAAAACATTCTCCTGGATGCCAGATCTCCCCGACCCAGTCCGTCAACCATCTCAAGCTTCCACCATCTAAACCATATCCCAAATAACTCTCAATTCGTATCCCAATTAAACCCTCAAACCACATCCCAATTAAACTCTCGTAGACTCCTTTTTTTAACTATTATCAACGACCGCCCCGTTAGCCGCTGTCCCTGCTCCCACGTTCCATCTCAACGGCTGCAAAATGGTTGCTGCTGTGGTTTGCTCGGCAACATACATATACCGCTGGCGGTGCCGCAGCGGAAAAAGCGCCATTTTTCGATCCTCGCCGAATCTCCACCCTTTTTTGAAAAAAATACCTCCACGAGGCTTGGGCTTTCTATATTCTTCGAGAGTACCGCAGCACTGCGCGTCTCGTATATTGCCGTCATCGCAGCTGAATCTAAAACTAATGCATAGCCTTCTTGCACAGCCCTCATCACCACCCTTATAACCCAAAGCAGCACACAATCCCTTACTTGCTCAACTACAAAAGTATAGACGAATTCCTCAAAAACTACCCCTACTGGCTTCCACCTCGCCACATCACCACCTCGACTTAGTTACTCAGCCTCGTCCATCACCGTCGAATCCAACACACGTCCAATTCCGGCTGCTTTTTTCCCACAAAACCATGAAAACACGGAGCCGCTTCGCCGTCGTGCTCCTCCTCGCCATAGGCGTCTTTTCCGTCTACGTCTGGCCCTCCAGAACGCTACATACCGTGCTGTCCTCCGACGTGCTAGCACTGTCCATGTTTCTGGATCACGGATCCATGGAGGCAATCTGTGCTTCCTACTTTGACGCGTTGGCGGCCGAGGCGCCGTTGCCAGCATCCTCGTCGACGCTCCTCCCCCTCACGTCCGTCACAAACCACGTGGAGCACCTTCGGATCTTCAACAGGTGCTACATCGAAAAGGGCTACCAGCTCACGCCAGCGGCCCGCCAGGCCGAACAACAGCTCCTTCCGTTCTTCTCCGAGCTTTCTGTGCTGGCCGACAGAAGGTCGTTTTTGAACGGCATCAAGCAGAAGATGGACGGCCGGGGTATAGTGGTGAGCATCAGCGATGCCGAGGTGGGCCGGGCTCTGAACTTGCTACGAGTGCTCAATCACCTCGGCAACGAGCTCCCGATCCAGTTTGTGCATTTGGACGAGCTCTCGGAGGTTTCTGTGAAACTCCTCCGCTACGCTGCCATGCTGCCCAGAGCCTTGGGAAGAGACCAGCGTATTTCCTTTGTGAACGTGGGCAGGCACCTCGCTTCGGGCTTTGACAAGCACTTCAAGGGATACAACAGAAAGTGGTTTGCGGCGATTTTCACCTCCTTCAAGGAGATGATCCTCATGGACGCCGATTCCGTGCCCTATGTGCCGCCTAGTTCCTTCTTTGACCTCGAGGGCTACCAGGAAACCGGTGCTTATTTCTTCAGGGACAGGGAGCTCAATGTGCTACTCAAGAAGTGGAAAATCGACTTCTACAAGGGCCTTCTTCCGAACAAAAGGACGCCGTTCGGGTTTGAGGTCGACTCGGCGCAGCTCCACAACAACTTTTTCCTTTTCAACTCCAAACACGTTGCCGAGAGCGGCGTTGTGGTGATGGACAGAGAAACCCATCTTCTGGGACTCGTCATCCCGGTCGCCTTGCTGTACTTCAGAAAAAGCTCCAAAATCTTGTACGGAGACAAGGACTTGTTCTGGTTCGGCCAGTTGATCAGCGGAAACTCGAACTTTACCTTCCACTACAACACCGCCGGCGCCATGGGCCAAATAGAACCTACAGGTGAGGTTTGCCTGGCCCAAATTGCCCATTACGGTAACAATACGCTTCTTTGGACCAACGGTGGTCTCACAAGGTGCAAGAAGAGGACCTGGGTCAAGGACTACTTGTGGTACTCGACCTTCAGGGAACAGTACGGGTCAATTGCAGAGCTCCGTGAGAGCTACAACAAGCCTGTCGAGGTTTCCGAAATAATCATTCCTGCTGTTTTGAGCGACAAGAACGAGCCTGGAACAGGAAAAAGACCGATTTCCAACTTCAACAAGAGGGAAAGCCGAGGCTGTGCCGCTACATACTATTGTGCCAACGCCATGGACGGCGGCAGGCTCATCATTCTAGATTCGGAGGCCAAGGCCCATATCAACACCGTCATCGACGTGTGGAACGAGCATCATCTCTACGGTAACTTATAGATTAATTTATATGAGAGGCATTAAGAATTATGAACAGTAGGGGAGATCTATAGGGGGAGGGAGGAGAAGGCTTATTCCTTGGTGGAGCTGTGCTCTGATTCGGTGTAGTCGGTGACTTTGGCAGGATCAATTTGTCTGACCTTGTTCTGGATGAACTTGGCAACGAAGGACGAGAAGATACTGATACCCAACATTCCCACAAGCACCATGTTCAGGCCCAAGTACATTCTGTCTTGGTCGTTCTCCCAGCCACTGTACAAGGCGTAAGTAGCAGTCACAGAGCCAAGATTTCCAAGACCAGTGACTAAGGCAGCAGCACAACTAGCACCAACGTCACCATAGCGGTTTTCGAAAATCTCAGCCGACCACGACATACAAATTGGAACAGTAGGGCCCAAGCCGTAACCGGCAATAAGCAAGCCACCGTAACGGCTCCATGATCCAGGTGCAAAAGTAGTAACCATCATTCCAACGATGATAATCACACAGGCGCCGGAAAAGAATAAGAACCGGTAGTTCTTCAAACGGTCTGCAAACGGCGTGATGGTGAGAATACCAAACAAGTCAAAGATCCAGATTGGAGCATACAAGAGGGAGACATCAATGTCTGAAAGGTGGGGGTTCTGGACAGAAATGATGGTGGACCCGAAAACGGCAAGACCAAAGCCGGTACCCACGACACCAAAGTACATGATCACGATGGGGTACAAACGCACGTCGGTTATAATCATCACAATGTCCTTCCAGCCCCAGTTCAACTTTCTTTGTCTGTCCATCATATCCTTCCTGTGGAGCTCCTTCTCCTCTGATGAAAGTGGATGGTTGGGGGTAAAATACTTTCTCATGAACGTTCTGTAGACACTGCTTGAAGGCTCTCTCATCTTGAACGGTCTATCAGGAAGCCACCAAAGCAAGGAGAATCCGGCAACAACGGTGATACATCCATAGATAAGATAGAGCCATTGCCAGCCAGTAAAGCCTCTCATACCATCCATTTTTTGAAAACCAGCACTCACTAGACCACCCACAGCACACGAGATCTGAGCTGCAGTGAAATAGTAACCCACTCGTCTAGTCATTCTGTGGTTGGGGTACCACAAGGTGATGTAGTACGACATTCCTGGCCAAACACCAGCTCCAAGAACACCTCCTAGGAATTGTACAGCATACAAGCCTTGGTAGTTATCCAAGGCACAGTAGCAGGCGTAGATGAGACCCACCGTTATGACAATACGAGCCAACCATGTTTGAGGACTCACCTTTGTCATGATGAGGTTCATTGGCAAATCAAAAAGAATCGTACCAATGAAACCCAAAGCGTTAGCGGTGGAAAGGTTCAAGGGGCTCAAGTCCAATCTCTGGATCAAGGAGTGGCCTTCCTCTCTATTCATGGTCAATGTCACACCATAGGTGTTGGTGCCAAAGGAGGTGAGGAAGTAAAGTGTCCACAAAGCAGGAATGATCCTCCGGTCTAACTTTCTGTAAATTCTGTCAAGCTCCTGTTGCTCCTCAGTATTGGCAGCTTCAAGTTCCACCGTACTGATCTCGTCAGTCTTGGTAAGGGAACTAGAGTCCTTGGAAGTTTTAGGGGGAAGAACCATTTTTGCTCTGAAATACAAAGCAGTGCAGAGGATGGCTATTTATCTGAAATTTTTCGCCCCTATCTGTTGAGTGCTCAAGAAAATTTGGCCCTTGATTCATGCAATTTCTTGTCATCGTGCCCATTGTTGAGTCTTCATCAGTGCGGCTGATATGACTACGAGTCACCCAACGCTGCTCATATTGAGTCACCCAACACGACTCACGGCCCAATAACGTCACAGAAACCCCTATTTCTTCTTTTTTTTTTTTTTTTTTTTTTTTTTTTCCTTTAGCGTCTACTCACGTCTTTCCAGCTGACGCAAGACAAGTCTTTGGGAATCCTGTATCGGTCACCGTCGTGGTACATGTACTTGTCATTGGCTCCCCACCCAAACGGTCCAGGTCCCCACGTAGGAGAATAGCAGATTTCGTCCCATGCACACGCCTCGTTGCAACGGGTGAATATCGACCAGCGTAACACACCCATGAACTCTGAAAGCGCCTTCCTTTCCAGAAGAAGAGTCTTTTTAAATTCGTCATGATGGTCGCTGGAGGGCTCCACGTAGATATCGTGGAGCATTTCTCTGCTGGTGTAGTAGATGTCAAAAATGTGGGTCATCATTTCGTGGGTGATTTTGTAGATGGAGGAGTAGATCAAACTCTCCATGCTGGTGGTCAATGGGTAAGTATGGGAGGCGTAGTCCTCTACAGCCTTCTTGAAAGCATCTTCCCGCTGTGCATTGTCGTCTCTGATGTCCCTCGCGGCGTACCGTCTGACAATGTTGTAGGTGATTCTCGAGAGGTCGCCCACGACGTTTTCCAACGGTTCGCCTAGATCGCCCTTGTCCAGTTCATTCTCAAACACCCGGAACGCCGCCTCCAACATCATCAACAAAGGCGCAAACTTCTCTTCCAAGCGCTGAGTGACCAATTGCCAGTCGGTCTTCTTGTGTGGCTCTGCAGGCTCAAGCATGCTTTTGCGGACATCGCTGACAATGGTCTCCTTTTCGTTTTTGGAAAGAGTAAGCAAACGGCGCAAATAGGGGTCGGGGTCCATCCACGTCTTGTTGTGAGGTGTGACCATCTTGGAGTAGTCAAGCAAGATCCGGTTTTCTCCGTCATTGACACGAGCACCTGCTCTTCCACTCCCAGCCGTTCATGTGGGCCCAGGAATCTACGAGTTTCTCTCTTTTTTTCTCAAGCGGAGTTTCAGCTTCTTCCTTCTCGTTGGGCAAATGAGCCAAATCGGTCACATTCGCCAAAGACACATTTGCAGCAAGCTCGATCCCGTCGTGGAAGTCACAGAGCACCATCTCAAAGCCCACCTCCAAACGGATATAGCCCTGGAGCCCGAAATCCTTGCCCCATTTGCAAATCACATCAGCAGCAGTGTACTCGTCTACAATGCCATCGAAGCTGTCCTGGCCGCTGAGCACCAACTGCTGGTCCATTTCGCCTGTGGCCGTTTTAGCAGCAGAAGCACCCTCCAAGTAGATAATCTTGTCCAAAGGCTTGGTGTTTCTGAAAGTGTAGAGGTACGAGTCTCCACGAGGTTTTCCAAACTTGCCGGGCAACTTTGACGCGTGTGGTTTCTTGTGGGGTGGCCTGAAATGCAGTTTTTTGCCCCGCTGGAAGCCTGCAAAGCTGTAGCTGAACTCCCAGTCCATGGCGATCCACTCGTATGTTTCAGGAATCTCAGGCTGGGACGTGGAGTGGTACATCAAGGTGTTTGGCGGGATGTAGGCTGGAATGAAGGAGACACCCACGGGCATCAAGTTGGAGTCTTTCTGCTTCAATGCTCCGTGGACCGTGTTGAAAACAGCCGAGGCATTGAACAAGTCCACCGGATGGGCCTTATACCAAGTAGCAGCATCGATGTGTTGAGGATGTGAGTGGTGCAAAACGGGGAGGGACGAAAACAGGATATTGGAAAGTGCCCACCACAATAGGACTGCGTTGAGCAGCAACGAGATCCAGAGATACGGGATAGTCATGAAGAAGGACTCGTTATCGATGTGGTAGATATGGACCGACATCGGCGCGCAGATGGAAAAGATAACGGAGCCGATGGAACAGGAATCCGACGGAAAGGGAAGGTACGGGTCCGGAGGCGGAGCAGGGGAGTCACTTTTGTGTGGAAAATTGGAAACTTGTAGATGGTGGCTTTTTGTAGGTTTGGGGGTGTTTGGGGGTTTGGGGTTGGTGGTGGATGGCTGCAAATGAGACACGGCTGTACGTGTTTCAGTGCGGGGTGGACCCTTGACAACGTCTATAAAGAGAATTACAGAAAACTGGTTTTCGGCTATTAATTGTATAAAAATAGTGGTTCAATCGAATCTTGCTTTTTTACTTGATCAGTGGTCTCTCTGTATGGTGGTGGCTGGTTTGGTGGTTGAGGCTTTGTGATGCGATGGTGCATAGGCGATGCATTGTGGCATTATGATAGGTTTGACAGGTGGGTACTTACATTCTGTATTCTCTATCAAATGCATGAATTGAACGTACTTCAAATATGATCTGCAGATGGAGGGATACCTGTTCAGGTGGCTGCCGGAGAGATGAGGATGGGCAGGATTTAAGCGATCAGCGTCACGGAAGTCTGCAATGTAGGTTTTTCTTGAGGTCCGTATATTGAAACAAGAGCTCCACCTTCACACCGGCACTTGGTTGTGAATCGGTAGTTTACAGAAACCAGAGAATGGGAGTATCGTTTCTGCGGATGCAACCCTAGTTGCGTCGAGTACGAAGAGATATAGGCACTACCATGAGAGATATCAAGATCCTCATCTCTTATGCTCTCAGACTCTTCTTGAGCCATGTTCAATTCAACAAAAGCCGTTGAAGTGACTTTTCGATTACATCATGGCTGAAAGTTGCGTTCATGCCGTAGCTTCTAGTGAGGCCATTTGTGAAGAAGGTCGGACCTGTCATGGGTATTTCACAGGAGGATCACGCAAAATACAACTGAAAGCGTATTCCTAAAAGGGAGCCTCTCGATGATCGACCCACTTTGCTTCAACCGAGAGGATCTCGTGTTAATTGAATCGACCTTCTCACTTGATTTTGAAATAATGACATGATTTGATCTGATCTAAACATCACCAGAAGCTCAGAGACTCTCTGGCCTGATAATTTCTTTACAGGAGATTCACGGTCCGCCGGGATCACTCAGCTTCTGTTGATAACATATTGAGGGGGTTTACTATGAAGGTATTGAAGCTATGTGGGTTTTGTTGGAAGTATGCAATTCTTTCCGGCGTCCTCTTAATGCATGATCGTTTAAGAAATGCCACTATGAATCATATGTCGTGCTAATCTCTCTGTCATCCTGGACGACTCAAGGATCTGCTAAAACAATGGTGAGCACGAACGGTGCAAGAGTGTAATTCTAATGTAAAAGTCGCTGTACCCGCTTTTAGAAACCATCGAGGGAGCCCTTTTGGAGCTAAAAGCATAGTCTTATTACCGTAAGTCGTTTAATATCGCCTCCTCTCAACACTTAACGATCTTGCCCATGACTGGATGTGTGATAGGTCGCTGAGACTGCCTGATGAAAAACATACAGTGTCATTGTCGTCTCCAAACACCAAATGAAGTGAAAATCATTACAATTTTTGATTTAGAAATTGTGTAGGCTGTGCTAACGGACTCCTCTGCGCCTCACATGTAGATTATCGTGTGCGACAGAGGCCTCGTTCAAAGTCACCACAGCGACCCCCGAAATCGCTAAAAACCAATCAGCCGCAATTATTCAGCTTCTCTTATACCTTTCACATCCTCATCCACTCAATTGCCCCAAGTTTGGATTTTTGGTGGGTCATCGTAATTCTCGCCTTTTGAGTGTACTACCAACATGCACTGATAAACTGCGAACACCACCCCATTTACCAAAATACACGGTAATATATTTTTTTCCAAATCTTTCTCCAAAATCATTAAACTACTCTATTATTCCCAATAAAAAGTTCTCTTCACGCCAACCACTCAGTTGCCAAAATTCACCCACCACCCACCGTCCAGCCCACCTTAGCGCATACCAACCCTTAATGGCCTTTGTGCAACGACTTCTTACACATGCAGCAAGCAATTTGGACCTCTCCTATTGGTCCTGGGTGATTCGGGGCACTCAAGCCCTGAAAAGTCCCGATTTCCCGATCCCCCATTCCTACAACGGTCTAGGCGCAATTCGTAGATTCCTATAAACTAAGCAGAAGCACCCACAACGCTGGCGTCCAAACGTCTGTAGCCTCCGCAAGCCTTACATTCCTCCTGGATCTTGCCAATCAACTTCTGAGCCTGCAATGGGTCGGCAACCTCGGCAGGCTCCTCCCAGGAAAGATACTCGTTGGAGTAGTTGGGCTCATAGTCGGCAGGCAAAATGTCCAATCTCTTGCCGTATGCATTGACCTTTCTCCAGTCACGGTGCACGTTGTACAAGGAGTCGGAGAAGTAGGCAAAGCACCGCTCGAACATCTTGCCGTTGAGCTTGGAGGTCATCTGCGGCTTGAAGTCACAGTACAAGTCCCAGGCCTCCTTGGGGTTGGAGAGCATGTAGTCGGTGGACTTTTTGAGCGCCTTCATGATGCGGCGAACCTTTTCGGGGTTCTCTTTCAAGAAGGTGTCGTTGCAGATGTAGAGAATGGTGCAGAAGCAGCAGCAGCCCAACTCGGCCAATTCGTCGATTCTGAGCATCTTGGCCTCGGAGGCGGACCGGCCTGACTCCTTGAGGTACTCCTCCAACTCCACCTGCTGGATACACTCAATGCCAATACCAGCGTCGATTTTACCCTCGATGATGTACTTGGCCACGTTCATGCCGCATCTGACGGCAGTGTAGTCGTCTGGCGACATGCCGTAGTGCTTGGTCAACTCGTCCACCTGGATCTTGCCGAACTCGCCAACATAGCCGATTCTCTTGCCCTTCAAGGACTTGAAATCGTCAGTGACGCCAGAACCTTCCAAGTACAAAATACCGGTAAAAGGTTCGTCCAAAAGAGAGCCCACAGAAGTGACAGGGAAACCACGTGCCTTGGCAGCCAAGGTGTGGACCATGGCCTTGAGTCCCATGTCGATCTTGCCAGAGCCGATAAGCTCAGTGACGTCGGATGGGTTGGAAGGCTCCAAAATAGAAACATCCACGTTTTCCTCCTTGAAGTAGCCCTTCAATTGAGCGAGGTACACGGGGATATGGTAGGGCGTGGCCTGCCAGTTGAGACAAAAAGATACTTTTTCAGTAGACATGTTAGAGAAGGTAGAGAAGGAGGGAAAACGGGCGCCCAAGGGGGGTTTAAATACTCCGTGGGATCTTGCTTATCCCGTAAGCGCATAGGGCTTTTGGGAGTACGGCCCCTGAGTCACCCAAAACCTCTGGACCTCTTGGCTATGCTGCTATTGTACGAGTATGTCTCAGAGTATCGGGGTGTTTAATGTGCGCAAGGCCTCGCCCTGTTAGCGCATATACGCTAAGGAGTCTTATCTCGCTGCGCTCTCTTAGTAGGGTAAGAGACATGCGCTTAGGAGGACCATGTATACTCAGGATCGCTGTCAAAAATGACCCACTTGTTCTTCTTCCGATTGAAATACTGTAATCGCTTATAGACGTTGGGTGCGCCTTTACGAGTTATCAAGGAAGGCTGATGAAGCCGCACTGTCGTAAATGGTACCCCATCTCTCGCTTGTATTGAAAAAATCAGTGGCTTTTCAAATTTCCGGGAAATTCCATTGCTTTATTTCATGGTGTCCTTTTGTAGTTTTTGACCCGCAAAACGTTTCAAGTGTCGGAGCAGGGCTCGTAGCATGGAAGTACTCCTACTAAAAGATCTTCTAACCATTGAATTGAAGCCCTGGCCCGGATATTCAGGGGTGGTTTGTAAACCAAGGTACAAAGTTTAAGTTGCTATCTAAGTCGGACGGACTTGCGGATTGGGCATTGTCCAAAAACGGTATCTAAACTAGCCTTTTTCGATTGACACCCTGTGGAGTAGACGATTTTGGTCCTGGAACAATGGTGCACGAGGTCTAAGCTAAATTTGAATCGGAGCTATTCAGACAGCATTGTTGGACAAAACGTTTCGTTATGTTTGGTTTCGAGGGATTCTTAGCAATGAAAGTATTGCTACCGGGATCGTCAATATGACACCGGTTTGAAGAACTCATTGGAGGGACAAAACCGGTTAAAGCATCGGGAAAGTTCGGCGTTTGCTGAATGAAAACTCACCCCTGAGTCAGATAAGGAATATTTTTTTTAGATTCCCTCGAGACCTTGTCGTTATCTTACTCGATTTTTTTTTTCTCAAAAAGTGAGGCCTAGTATAATTGACCCTGACTAATCTTTCAATGTCATTAATTGAAAGTACTATGCCACAGCCAGGTATCCTTTTGGAATTTTAATTGCTTCGTTCGATTGAACCACTTGTTGGGAGTGCTGGAACAGGGTTTTTGTGATAACAAATTAATTTCACAGGGAGGAAACAGCCACTAAATCCACACTTGTGTCATTTTATTTATGCTGGTTGTTATTTCCTTTCATTAAAGCACAAAGGTCATTTCCTTTCTTTAAAACCCAAAAAAAATTAAACTAGAACTTGCAGCTTATTACAGCACTGTAATAAAAAATAAGACATCAAAAAGTGGTGGTGTGGACACTTTGAGATACTTGGTAACCCCTGACTTTTGCTATTGTGGTTGAGAGTCAAGGAGCCAGCCTATAGCGGGTATTTCCCAATGGTCTGTCTGCATTGAGTAAGAGGACTGGCCAAAAGGAAAAAGATTGCTACAAATACTGCAAGACAGTGTGAACTGCGTCTCGTTTCGGGTTTCCATGGCCCAAAACGCTTTGCAGCACGGCTGTCAAAGTTTCTCGGATTTCCTTGGAAATAGGATGACGGACTTACTGGTAGAATTGGAATTGACAAACGAATCTCAGGAATCGACATATTTTCGGCGAATTACGGTAAGAATGCGTCTTCTGTCAGTATTGTGTAGTTGCGAAAAGCACCAAGCTAGAACGCTTAATACCTAATTGAGGTACCATGTGTGCCAGGTCTGTTACGTCTACGAATTCGGCGTAACCTCGGTCTGGGGGTTCGACCCATTTGTCGAAAAATGCAGGGCCAATTGCTTGGCTGCATGTAAGTATCATTTTAAAGCTAATCAGTTTCCGCTTTTCCTATATTTTTTGATTGCTATTACGATCCTACCGCCGGATAAATTCGTATGACAGCCTGTTCAAAAAGCCACACTGTTGTTCTACCAGCTCACTCGCAGCTGAAACTGGCATACAGGGGACGCATGCATGCACAGCGAGACGCACGATAAGCCTTCTCTTCGTTACGAGTCTCGCTAGGGACATGCAGGTCGCTTCGGTTCAGAGGGAAATACTTTTGCACAGCCCACGTTACGAACATAAGGTAAGCCCTAGAAGCCCGCCCGGAACCCTGGTGGCTTCGAGGCAGGCGCTAATAAATTGACTGTCAAGCTCAAAGGAGGGGAAGAGATGGACCAGCCCACTAGCAGAAAATAGAGAATCCAAGCCTTCAGCTACAGTAGAAAGACTTATGAGAGACGAAACAGCACAAAGAACATTCTTGTAACTCTCCCAGACAGCCATAGTTCCACTGGGTCTCTACCTTCTAGTTCTAGTTTCACATGATGGCCTAAGGTGAATTTTGTCAATTTTAACCAGTCCGATAGCAAGCATTCAGCATCCATGTAATCCCCGAAGTGAATCCGTTCTTTTCCAGAAGGATTTAGCCATCATGCTGGTCAATTGCTCCCAGGGGACGCAAAATCGCGACTGTGGCTACCAAAGTTTCAAAGGCTTAGTTGAGACAAGGCGGGATAGGAAGATGCCAAAACAAATTTACGTTGGCTTGATGGCACAAATTCCTTGTTACAAAGCTTATTTCAAGAAAATAAATAGTAAACAAAAACATCGATAAACGTGCCCACCAGCCTAAGTGGTCTGACTGGGTGAATGGTGATCTAGACAAACGTCCTATCTTGAACATCCCCCATGCACAAGGAAAATACTCACTTTTGTATCCCTAATTTTTTTAAGCTGACTCTGATCTTACTCTCGTGTAGTTTTAGGACAAAATCGCCCCCATGTGGAGGCCTAGCACATGCCCTGAGATTCTGAAGTACCACTTCGGAGCAGCAATTCTAGACAAGGCATCTTGTTGACTCTTTTGGATTGTTCAGTCCAGGAGCGGAACAAAAATTTAGCTTTAGCGCTTGCACCTCGGATGTCAACTAATGGTGTCGATAGCCCGCCCTCGTACCATTAGCTGTCTCCAGACCATATAGGTGAGGGTGCGTTTTCGTACATAAGCGAGATGCATTTGCAAGCACACGTACGTATGTTGTCGGAAGCACATGATTTTCTAAAAAGCTTCATTGAACCCTATTGTCGAGAAGCTGGTATAATGAAGCCCACATGTAGAAGGATTCTCGCGGTGGTCCATAGTCTAACTTACCACGCCCCGATGAATCGAACAGGACATTTAGACACACAAAGCAAAATAAAGAACGTTTTTAGACAATTCAGGGTTAGGGCCTCGGCTCGCCCATGAGCTACAATTACGGTTCACGAATCTCAAATCTCGGCTAGCCCTGGTTGCCCCCAAACCACAAAGTCCACAAAGACAGAGAAGAAAGAATAAGCGGTAATCCAAAGAAACCATGAATGAGCAGATTGTTGCGCTTCCATTCTCCAAGCTGGAGATAGGTCTCGGAGATAACCAACGGTGATGTTGTCTATAAATCCAAAAAAAGTAAGCTATGCATAGCGGAGATGTCAGGTGGGCTTGGAAAACAAACAGCAGCATGTGTAGCTGCATAACACACCACCGTAGTATCAAGCCTCGAGTGTGGTGTCGGGATCGCCTAAAAAACTTTATCATGCTGGTCCCTAAGCCTTTCTGCAGGGCTCGCTTATGGGCACCTACGTTTGAAGTGCATCGGTATGCATATGCACAGACTGCGGCGCAAGAAGCATCGGTGCAGATTGACGCATACGCTGCGACAGGAGCTAACGTTGAGAAGTTAGGCTAGAAACACCCTTGACAAGGCTGGATCTTTGATTGCTGACCGCTATTTTTGGACTTACATGTGGTGGTTGCGGTAAAGCGGTTAATTTGCCCATGTGAGTAAATCATGTAGTGTTCCCTGAAATAACGCAAAGTCAGGAGAACCAGGCCACGTTGGGAAATGGGAATTCCCGTTCTGAAAAATTTGGAGCAACAATTGATCGAATTGGGACGTTGATCAAGTAGGATATGCGTACGGGGCGTCCTCGGAGGATGCAGGGCACCATAACGGTAGTTCGATTTTGCAGCCACAGAAACCGCAGTTCCACAACGCTTCAGAACTATATAAACCTGACAAGAATCCACCTAATTTTTTTTTCTCCATCAACCCAGTTCAATGACTTTGATCTCCAAGTTCAGTAGCACTTTGGCTACCACACTCGCTTTATTGTCGACCGCTAACGGTCTTGACATCAGAGAGAACACCATCTATCGTGATCTCACCTCCGCTGACTTCAAGGACCTTTACATCGACCAGGGCACTTTCTTGACCCTTCTCAACATCGGGCAGATCACCAACGACGGTATTTTCTACAACAGAGGTGAATTCTACGTTGCCTCCAACAACTACAAGTCTGTCAACTACGACCAGTCCGGATCCACCTTCAACAACGACGGTAAGATCTCGTTCGACTCCAGAGACGCCAATGACGTTGGCAAGCTCAACATCAGAGTCAAGGACTTCAAGAACGACGGTGAGATCTGGGCCGGTACCTCGGACTCCAAGTTCTTCCCCAAGATCGGCCTTGAGGCCACCAAGTCGTGGGAGAACAACGGTAAGATCAGCTTTGCCCAGGCCCGTGGTGACCCTGGTTTGGTTGCCTTCAACGACCTCACCTTTGACATCACCAACAACGGTGCCATCTGTCTTGACAACGTGCAGTGGTCTCAGTTGCCCACCGTCAAGGGTCCTGGTAGTATCACTCTTGGTGACAACTCCCGTTTGGACTTGAACAAGCTTCTTGCCATCCAGGACAGACAGACCATCTCCTTCAGCGGTCTGGGTGCCACCCTTTACATCTTGGGTTTGACCCAGTCGCTCACGGGTACCAGAACCTACAATCTTGCTGGTTTCGGTGGTGACAACCAGATCTTCATCAACCTCGGCTACACCTCCCACTCCTACTCGGGCGACACCTTGACGCTTTCCTTCTTCTTTGGTCTCTTCAAGATCGACTTTGTCGTTGGCGAGGGCTACAACGAGGACGGTTTCACCAACAACGGTATTTTCGGCGGTGGTTTCACCATCAAGTACAACGGCACCGCTCCTCAGCCAGTTCCTGAGAAGTTCTTGTGTGACCCATTCCCCGAGCCCAAGACCGCTGCCGACGTGACCTCGTCTGCTGCTTCCCTGGCCACTTCTGCGATTTCTTCGATCTCGTCGTCGCTCGCTTCTGAGGCTTCTTCGGTGAGGTCTGAGATTTCTGCTTCTGCCAGCTCAGTGGCCTCGTCTGTTTCGTCTGCGGCCACCTCCGCTTCTTCTGCTGCTTCCGAGATCTCGTCTGCCGCTTCGTCTGGTGTTTCGTCTGCTTCGTCTGCCGCTTCGTCTGCCGTTTCAGATGCCTCTTCCGCTGTTTCATCTTCTGTTCCAGATGCCTCTTCTGCTGTTTCGTCTGCTGCTTCCTCGGTCTTGTCTTCTGTGGAATCCACCGCCACTGAATCCACCAGTGACGCCGTGGACTCTGCTACTTTCGTTTCTGAGTCGACTTCGGACGCCGTGGACTCTGCTACTTTCGTTTCTGAGTCGACTTCGGACGCCGTGGACTCTGCTACTTTCGTTTCTGAGTCGACTTCGGACGCCGTGGACACCGCCTCCTACCAGTCTGCCTCCACCTCCGACGACGTGGACTCCGCTGAGTACCAGTCGGCTCCAACCACCTACACCACCGATGTCGTTTCCACCAACTCCGACGGCGCTGTCTCCACTTACCCTGGTGAGGTTATTGTCTCGACCGGCACCGACGGCAAGCCCACCACTGTGACTGCTGCTCCAGGCGTGACTGCTGCTCCTACCACCTACACCACCGGTATTGCTACCACCAACTCGGACGGCTCTGTGGGCACCATTCCAGCTGAGATCATCGTTTCTACTGGCCCAGACGGCAAGCCAACCACCCACACCTCCGCTGTCGGCCCCGACTCCACCGTCACCGAGGGCCACACCCTCACCCAGTGGGAGACTCACTGCCCAGTCTGCCCTGGCGGTGTTTCTTCTGCTTCCGGCTGGGTCTACACCAAGACCCTCGAGGGCACCGTCACTCTCACCACCGAGGTGTGTCCTCCAGGCGCCACCTACTCCGAGCCTACTGGCGATGTTCCAGCTCCTGCTCCTACCGGCTCCACCTGGACCACGGTGCACCACGGCACCACCGAGTCTGGTGTGGTGGGCTCCACTGTCGAGGGCACCAAGACCGTCTACCTCTCGACGACTTTCCCCAAGGAGACTGCTCCAGTTTCCACCGCTCCAGGCCCAGCCCCAGCTCCAGGTTCTGAGGGTCCAGCTCCAGGCACCGAGGGTCCAGCTTCTGGTCCAGCTCCATCTGGTACTGCCCCAGCTCCATCTGGTCCAGCTCCATCTGGTACTGCCCCAGGTGCTCCAGGTGCCCCAGCCCCATCTGGTCCAGCTTCTGCTCCAGGTGCTCCAGCTCCTTCTGGTCCAGCTTCTGCTCCAGGTGCTCCAGCTCCTTCTGCTTCTGCTCCTCATGCTTCTGCCCCTGGCGCTCCAGTTCCCTCTGCTCCTCATGCTTCCGCTCCTGGTGAGCCAGCTCCTTCCGCTTCAGCAGGCTCTGAGGGCCCAGCTCCTTCCGCTTCAGGCCCAGCTCCATCGACTGTTGCTGGCGAGAGCTCCCCAGCTCCTTCTGTTGTTCCAGCCTCCTCGGCTCCAGCTCCCGCCTCCTCGGCCCCTGCTGTGTCTTCCTACGAGGCTGGCGCTGCCGCCAAGGTCGTCAACTACTCTTGGTTGCTTGCCTTGGCTGGTCTTGCTCTTTTCTAAGCGAGCTGAACTTGCTTAGCTAATGGACGTTTCTGCTGGTCGGGCCCCGCCCGGCCTTCTTCTTCTTCCGTGGTCTTGATGACCCTTCCTTTCGCTAATACCTGCGCCCAGCGCCTTTGGACTCGCTCTACTTCTTAAGACTAATACACTATAAAAATACTTTGATGTAGCTGCCGATTAAAATTGAGGTTTCTGGCTATGAGCAGCATCTTCCTGGCTGCCTCAAAACAACGAAGCACGAACTGCGACGTAAGAGTTTCTTTGCGTCGAATTTTTCGCCATTCGGTATTTTTCGGGGCATGCTTATGCCCTGCGAAAACCTACTACAGATCCCGCCCTGACTCCACAAAAAAATCACGCATTTCAGCCTCAGCACTCCCAATTAGGAGCTTTTTGTGGAGTAAGCACTGGGGCTGCATACCTTATACCTTGTGGGAGACCCTATCGGGTCGATTAAGTACCTCATGCAGCGAGGCAGCCGCAGCGAAGCAGCCGCAGCGTGACAGCCTTATTTGTACGTTGTAATCGATTGGGCGTCACCTTCATACCATGAATTGAGCTTGTAACCTGATGATCTTAGCTACGCAGTAGGGGTCGCCTGGCTATGCAAGGTGACTGACGTTTAGACGAGCGAAGAGACCGCATGAGGTAGGGAATGCGACGTATGCACACCCACAGCAACCGTGCATACTCATGCATAGCCGTGCAAATGCTTCCATCGCGGACTGCCGGCATGGTCTCCGGTAGGCACAGTTGTCAAGAAAGCCTAATTTTGTGTCAGTGTGCATACGATAGTCAAGGCTTTGAAGCAGAAACGTTTTCTCCGGTTTTGTCTTGTAGGGTGATTCTGGTCCGTTTTGGCTGGTTTCGAAAAGGCCACGATGTGTTGTACCAGTTGGCTTGATTTAGATCGAAGAATGCCCTGTATGCCTGAAGATTATGGGAATAGAGTTTTCGGGAAATGGGTAGGGCAGGTATAACCCGATTGCCGAGAATCCAAATCTTTTCGGCTAGCAGACACAGCACATGGGATCGGGTGACTTCCCAGGATAATTGAAGAATCAATGCTGGTACCTAAAGTGATGCCCAGATTTTTGATTTTATCATTTAGATTTCTTTCTGATGACATCTGGCTAATTCTTTCACAGTCGCAAGTTCACAAAGGTACAAAGGGAGACCATGGAGATTCACCGACAGTAGAACTCAAAAAGGTCCTGATTTCCACAGGTCTAATCAACCCAGAAGCCAAGAGATGATCAGCCGATTTAACCGGTAACCCTTGCCCAAATCGCTATTCTCGAAATAGAAGCCTAAGCATTTCAACCAGATGATGAAGGTCAAAAACGCAGGGAGGTAAAAAAGCCCAAGACGTCGCCTAGTCCCATACGGATACATTTCCGAAGGCCAAGAGATTCATGTCACAAGCGGGGTGTCAAATCTTCAAACTTAAACTTAAAACTAAGGCTTTAAGCTTTTGCCGCATTGGTTTTGAGCAGATCGTGAGCTCTGCAAGATGCATCGGGATGACCCGATCAAAGCTGCATGAGGTACGACGATAACTGGAAAGTGAGAGTTGGGGTGATAGAGGTTTATTTGGTTTTGTGAATCACCTATGGTGGGATTGAGATGAAGTGGATTTCCACACTGGGACACAAGTCGTTTACTTGTCGCCATTGCTGCTGCTAAGAACATTTCATTCATCAGATGGATGTCAAGACCGCTTTCCTCAACGGAGAACTCAAAGAGGAGATCTATATGGAACAACCGGAAGGTTTCAAGGATCCCAAAAGACCCAATCATGTTCTTAAACTCAACAAGGCTGTGTATGGCTTGAAGTAGCTCCCCTCGTCTGAAGCGAAAACATCAATGGGTTCCTCCAGACGATTGGATTCACCAGGAGCGAATAGGAACCTTGCATGTACTTTCATGCACAAGAAGGCAAGACCACCAGCCTTGGTCTCTACGTGGATGATATTCTCCTTGCGAGTGAAGATCCCAACCAGATCAAGAAGGTAAAGGAGGCTATTTTTAATAAGCACAAGGTTAAAGATCTGGGTATCGCAAGAAAGCACTTGAGTATCGACTTTGATACTGACCAGTCTGGTGTTACGTTGCAGTTAATTTCCACCACTAGGAACGATTTTCCACCACTGGGACCGTGAAGCTCTACCAGTAAAAAATCAACCCTAGAACGAGGATCCATAAACCAGGCAAGGCCTAGCCGCTGATGAGTTGGAATCACAGGGCACTTTGGCTCAATATTGACAAGAAGTGAACAAGGAACTCCCTAGGGAACCATACACCATGTGAATGCCATTCCAGTTGACGAACTAATATGTGCTGGAACCAAGATCACTAAAGTCGAAAGCTTCTCACGATTCACCGCTACAGAAATCTCTCAAATTGCATTAACTAGGCATCCTCGGAGCTTGTCTCCTCAGACTTCTCCTTCTTTTCCGTCTCCTCCGACAGCGAAGACTTCTCGCCTGATTTCTCAACCTCTGGCGAAGGAACAGATTCCGAATCCTCCATCAACGCTTCCTGAAGCTCCCGGGAAATCTGCTTGACTCTTTCCCGTCTGCGTCTGGTATTATCCCTCCGCCTTCTTCTGTGGTTCTCTCTCAGCGAGAAGCTTTCTCTGTGGTTGCTTCTTCTCAAGGTGATGATTTCCAAAGGAGCATCCTTATTGGTGCCATCTCCCAACACCTTCTCTAGGGAAGAAAACACAAGCTTCTCCGTGCCACGACCAAGATGCACCGATAAGCTGCACCCGTGCTCCCCAATGAAGTCGTAGAGATCCTTGTCGTTGGGTTTAGCCACACTGACCAACTCCTCCTCAGCGGAAGTGGCCGACAGGTTGTTGAAGGAAAAGTAGGCGGTTTCTGCGCTTGCACTGGACAACCAGCTGTTGATGTGAGAGTCGGGACACAGTTCTGGAGAAGTGGCCAGAGCCTGAGAAGGCAAGCCTAGATCGAAACTCAACAGCGCCTTGGTGTGGTCGGGATACAAGAAGTTGAGGAAACGGCGGTTGTCGTCATATATCGCTTCGACAGCATCTTCCGAGGCACAGTTGGTTTCTTCCCCTTCAGAAACCAACTTGACTGGACTGCTACAAGGATCAAGCTCACCAAAGTCCTGTTTTGGGGAATCGATGATCACAGAGGGGAAGGCGCCGTCAGGAGAACCCTCCTCCTTTTCGTTTGAGTCCGGAGTGGGAAGGCTGGTGCTTGATGGTTCAGACTGATCTTCCTCAAGACGACTTCTGGGCCTCAACGACTCCAAGATGTTGATGGCATTCGAAAACGGCACGTGTTCGATCCACGACTTTGTTTTCATGATGGCGTTGACCCCGCTGTAGTCGTAGATGACGGGCTTGCCGTTGGGCAGAAAGCCACAGAAACGGTATTCCTTGTCGCCCTTGGAGAAACCGACTTCAGGCCATTTTCGAGGCGACAACGAGGCGGTGACCAAGAAATGCTTCAAGAGGGGCAAAGGGAACTTTTCTGTCATTTTGGAAAAGATATTCTGGAGGAAGGTCAGCCGTCTTTGGCGTGTTTCGGTGGCGATTTCGGATTCCTCCTTGGCTGCAAAAACAGGCAACTTCAACGGGTTGAACATACACAGAGGAGCACTGAGGGCGTCATAGTCAAAGGAGAAGTCTCTGTGGATGACGCCGGCTTCGACAGAGTAGGCTACGGTGATTGGGATGGGCATGGAGAAAAAAGAGTGGTATGAAGAAGAAGAAAGGTCAGCTCGCGAAGTGGCCTTTTATAGTCCAGGGGAGGGGTACCAAAGGGAGGAAAAGCCCAATTTGCTCTTTATACTTTTTGGAGTGAATCAATAAGAATGATATGGAAGAGGCAGCGGGGGCGTTATTTAAGAATTTTGTGTTGATATGTTGGAAGGTCAGTATACCTATGTCTTGAGCATTGAGATTCAGTAAAAGACACCTCACAGACTCCAAGCCCATTTTAGACTTCTTTTAGTCACTGGATTCTTTGTTTTTTAATCTATTCAGAACATTGGTCTGCTAGACGGTTTTTGGTAATCTGGGTGCTGCTGAGGGAGAAATAACCATATAGAAAGATATGAATTCTATGGGGCTATTCACCATCACCATCACCATCACAATCAACAACTAGAAGTACAGTTACATCGTCATCTGGGACCAAAACCAGTCCCAAACCAACCTACAGTCTTGTCGTCAAAACATCATCTTAAGGGGAAGACTATACCGAGACACGGGTCACAGACCCGCCTCACAACCGACTCTGCCGGTTCAGTCATAAGTGGCCCTCGAACACCTTGGTCAATTCCTCGGGCAGCGAGCCGCTGGAGACACTGCCGTCCACGATACCATCGACACTCACGGTAGGAGTCACATGGACGCCGACGCCTCTCAAGTACTTGGTGAAGTACTTCACGTCAACGGTAGCGCCATTGCCGTCGTTGCTGGCGTCCAGCGCCGAAGAGGAGGCAGGGATCTCCAACTTCTTGAGCACATCCGCCTTATCGAAAGGAAGGCTCACTGCAGCATATACCGTCTCATTGATTTTCTTGTAAATGTCGTTTCTGCCAAGGCTGACGGTGGCAGAGTCGTAGAACTCCTCCTTCTTGCTGAAAAGGGCGTTGGAAACACCCCAGAAGAGCTCGTTGGACTTCTCGGGCACCTTCTCCCTCAACAACTGCGCCACAACCAACGAGTACTCGTGCAAGAGGACGGAATTGGGGTGCCATGGCTGGATGACGTTGACAAACACAAACTGGAATCCGCCAGGGTGCTTCTCGTCTAGCGCTGGGATCACCTTGAGAAGCTTCTGGAACAACTTGCCCGAGAAGGGACAATTGTAATCAAGGTACAAGTTGACCACGTGGGGTGCCTTGGTCACTTTGGAGCGCCAGTAGTGGGTCAATGCGTATTTTGGGGAGATCATTGAGGATGAGTAGTGGTATAGGAGATGTTAGGTGGTGAAGTTGCGACCGCGAAGTGTGGCTCAGGGTCCATGCACAATGGGTCGATATCGGACACTTAGAACACAGCAAACATGATGGATTTGGATTGTGACAATACCGGAATGTTGCTTCTGAGTACATTGTGCTTCATGATCTCTGATTTGAGATATCCGAAAAGAACGGAGTTCGAAGCCTGTTGGCTTAGATGGCTCTTATGAACGGCACAACCTTAATGAAAGTGTGAAACCGACTCTTCTCTCATGCACTCTGGGCCTTGGCTGATTTCTCTAGCTGCTCCCTCCGCTCCTTCAATTGCTGCGCTAGCGATTTGGGAGGTGGAGCTTCTGGTTGAGCCTCAGGCCTCGTAAGCTTCAGATACATGGGGTTCAACTTGATGCGTTTGTTTTGTCCCTGTTTCGCTAGGGCTGGTTTCACTGATGTAGGAAGAGTTCCCACTTTCTTGGGAAGCGTTTGCGGTGGTGGTCTTTGTGGCACTTTCTTTGAAACCGGTTTTGGAGCCGGCCTTTGCGAGGTAGGAGGCTGCTTGGGCGACATGATCTCCTTTTTAACCGTAATTTCTTGAGAGCTTCTCACTGCAAAGTCATTCTCCAGAAGCAGGGATTCCATCACGACACCAGGAGGCAACACCACACTAGTTTCAGGAACCATCAACTTATCCTTGCCCTGTGACGAGGCCATTGAATTGGTTTGCGAGGAGTGGATCTGCCTATATGAAGCAGGCAGTGGCAGACTAAGGAGCCTTTTCCGGTTCCTGTTCAGACCACCAATTGAGCTAGGCAGATGTTGAGGCAGACTGAGAAGCTTCTTCCGGTTTCTGTTCAGACCCCTGTGGTACGGACTAGATGCAACGGATGGAGCCGTATAAGGGCGACTCGATGAGGATGAATCTGCGGAAATAAATAGCGTAGGGCTGCTGTCTGGTCGACTTTGTGCTTGACGAACCAGACTAGGTAAAGTCCCTCGGCTGTCTGCTCCAGACGTCCTGCTGGATAAATGTGAAGTTCCGCTGACAGGTGGAATAGTCGAAGAAGCCAGCAATGGAGATCCAAAGATAACTCGGCCTGGTGCCAGCGCTGGTGCTATGGGATATCTATTAGAGACACGAGCTGGCGTTTCAAAGACCTCTGTAGCAGCATGGTCATCGACATCTTTGGAAATTTTGGCCGTTTTTGGTTTCTTCGCTGAGCTGGGTTCGTTCTTCTCGATGTAGTCGTCGTCGAGAGAGTCATCTATCTGGTCGGACTCTGACATTGACGCGTCGGATATTGGGTCATTGCTGACATTTGAGGGTTGAGTGGGAGTTTCCTGGCTCGATCCAACGTCGGCTTTTTCACCTAGTAGAATCACATCCGAGTCAGAGTCCTCCTTGGTGGTCCACTTTCCTGAAGAGTCTCGGCGAAGTTGGCGAGGTTTCCGAAGATTCCTGAGCCTCTGGTTCAAGAGAGTCTTCTTCACCACTGGTGATTCTTTGGAATTCTCCTTAGCACCAGGGCTCCCGAACTTTGCGTTCTTGCTGTTTTCAAGGCGCTCCTTGAGTAGCTCTCTGTTGACCTTCGGCAGTTTAGAAGACTTCTGAGCCTGATCGGGGCTTCCGAAGGTTCCATTCTTCTCCTTGCCGGCCTCTTGTTGAAGTCTTTCCTTGAGAAGCGCCTTGTTCACCTTGGGCAGTTTGCCAGATGGCGCCTTTTGGGCCACGGGACTGCCAAACGTTTTGGAGCTTTTCTCAAGACGCTCTTTGAGGAGCTCTTTGTTCACCTTCGGCAGTTCAGCGGCCGTCTGCTTTTGAGGGCTGCTGGAAGGGCCGTTTTGGGCTTTTGCAGCCGCTTTGAGGCGTTCTTCTAGTAGGGATCTGTTGACCTTGGGCAGTTCGCTGGATTGCTGGGTATCATGATTCTTTTCGACAGCCGCATCCTTGGCTTTGGGCTTCTCAGGTTGCTTCTTCTGAGGACCAGAGGTAGCTTCAGACTTCTTGATGGTTTCTGGAGCCTGCTCCTTCTTCTCCGCAACAGGCTCAACTTCATCCACGCTGCCGGGCTTCTCAAATGAAGAGTTTTTGCTGGACTCAACCTCCTCAACCTCCAGGTCCATGCTCCAGGATGCCACTTCAGTAACATCCATGATCTCCATCTTCGACACCTCAACCTCCTGGACCTTTTCTACCTCTCTTTCTCTCTGAGTCTCCTTGAGTTCCTCAGTCTCCTTGACATCAACACCCTCCCTCCCTAGCTGACTCTCTGCCTCCACAAACTCATCCTCGCTGTCTCCACTCTCCTTCAACTGCTTCTCCAAATCACCAATAATCTGAGCATCCAATTCCCTCAAGGACTCGCTTCCCTCCTCCAATTCCACAACCTGCAGAGGAAACTCTACTGGAGGCTCGTCTTCCAGCTCCAGCAGGGGATTGATGACTCTTCTTTTGGCACTGACATCGTAGCGTTTATATCTTCTTCTGGACCTCCTTCTTTCCGGCGTAACAGCATTTTCAGCCTTTTTGGGCGTTTCAGGCGTGATGAGGTTCTCAATCGCCATAACACGCTTGCCGGCTTTGTGTACATCTTGAACGTGAGCTGTGGGTTTGACCTTGTGTTGTTTCAAAAGCGCCCTGGCCAATTCGGAAGCTGTAATCTTTTCTGATTTGTCATCTGATTTGATATTTTCCTCTGGCTGGGCCAGCTGGGAACGTGTTCTTCTGTTTGTCGTTATCGGTTCATTGTGGGGCTGTTTCTCTGTTAGCACAGAATCGTCATTTCCTCCGAAAAAAAGGTGTTTTACCCGTCGGAGCATTTCAGGTGTTACAAACTAGATAGAAAGGGGTGTTTTTTTGCAGGGCCAGACTGGTTTCCATGCCTCTGTGTGGGCTAAAGGTGAAGTTTCGATGTTGATTTTTCTGCATCCTTCGCGACTGATAGAGGTTGAGCAGAGTAGGTGATATGTATCCATAAACATGATTTTTGCTGGCAGCGCCAGATATATAGTACAGAGGAAGCCACGGGGGCATCGATACAGACGGGCATTTCTGCCATTGAGACGCGTAGGTCTTTGGTCCAGCGAGGGGCCTAGGTGGCCGGCTGGCACGAAGGGTTTCTTGAAAAACTACCCATCGCCGTCGATTGGGAGAGATTCAATTGCACGAGGTCTAGATGTGACCGCCCTGAGCAAGCAACTCAGTGACTTGAGCAAGCTAACTCAGTGACTTGAGCCACATTCCAGACTTGAGAGCAGCAGCTGGCAACGGTCCTGAAAGCCATTGAGCAGAGCAAAAGCAACAAACTTCGTCGCCAGTGCTTCATTTTCTTCACATTATCCCGATAAAATGACAATCTTGCACTTGTCGTAGAGCACCTCGTGGAACTTGGCGTCCTCGCTGATTTCCTTGTGGAAAAGCAACGCCCGCTGCTCTTCGCTCAACACCTCCGACGCAATCTGGTTCGTATCCATAAAGTCGTCGTACTCATTCTTCAAGAAGAGGAACACAAGGCCCGAAGGGTCGGCCTCGCCAGAATCAAGCCCGAGCCTCTTGGCAAGCTTGGACTTCAAATCCTGAAGCCTGAGGTTTGCGGGCAAGAGAAGCACGAAAATGTCGTCCTCATAGTAAAACTTCACCTTCACCTTGGGCTGTTTTTCCGTTTCAAGCACACGCGGGTCCAGTGTGCGGTTTTCGGCTCTGTTCAGCTCCAGCGAAGGCGTATTGGAGCTTCTGCTTCTCAGGTGGGGCTGCACGTTCAGGTACTGGGAGAGTCTGTCCTGCTGGTAGCCCAGCTGCTGATTTATAGGTTTCAGGGAGCGGTCACGGTCGACGAACTCGCGGTCGAAGCCGTTATTTTGCACTTCGAAAAGCGCCAATACTTCATCGCAACGAGAGACATTTGCCGGCATGGCAATCAAGTTCCGGAGGTAGTAGTCAAAACGCTCCCGGCGCAACGAGGAAATGTTGTCGGAAACGTGGATAACAGGTCCAGGAAAGCCCGGGATCGTTCTTCTGTGGCCTTCCACCTTGCCTGCTTCGTGGGGAACTGCTCGAGGATCTTCACTTGCATGTTGTAGAAATCCTCGTAGAAACGGCACAACTGCCTCGTTTTGCCCGTCAGCGTGCGTGCCGTCACAACGTACTGGTACCTGCTGTTGTCTTCCAGAGTCGCCAAGTGGTACAGATCCACCGAGGCCTCGGTGATGTAGGTGGAGGCCGAGGAGGAGGAGGATCTCGAGTCCGAGAGCTGCGAGGGCGCCAGGGACGCTTTTCCTGAAGGGTGGGTGCTGGCCTGGTAGATGGCGGTCAGTTCTTTCCACTCCTCGACGGTGGGAATCTTGAAGTGAGAAATCACCGAAACCATGTCGTCGCCGGCGTCCATCTGCGCCAGCGGGTTGTACTTATCGACGATCTTGACGTACGACGCTGGCACGAGCCCCGGGCCGCCCAAGCGGTTGATGGGTTTGGCAATGAACCACTCGTAGTCGTGATGAGCGCAGATCACCAAATGCTCCCCCGGCACAATGTCCAACTCGTCCTCACGCTCGGCACGGAAGTCGTAGAGCGTCACGGCGTACAAGGTTCTGTTTTCCCTGGTTTGCGGCCCGTTTTGCTGGAGGTTCTGGATCGTCTGCTGCTGGATGTTATGGAGCAGGCCCTGGCCGAGCTGGTACGGCTGTTGCGGAGGCTGGTTGGGCCCCGCCAGACCCGCCAGCCCCGCCTGGCCCGTCAGACCCGCCTGGGTGGCGTGGCCCGTTCGATTGAACACCTCAAAGTACAGTTTCGGCACCATGCCCCGCTGGTTGGTCATCGGGTTCGTCGCCTCGTACCAGCCGTGCTGGTCGACCTCCAGCGGCGCCTCCAAAACATGGAAGAAGTCGCCCTTTTCGAATTGGAGCTCCTTGGGGCCCTGGGGTCGGTAATCGTACAAGGCCTTGATCACCTTTGTTGGCGAGGAGTTGACGAAATCGGCCGCCTCGTGGGACGCCAGCGAGACCCGCAGAATCAGGTGCTTGGGCAGCGTCGTCAGCAGCAGGTTCAGCAGCCGCTTGCTTCGGCGGAAGGATTTGATCATGGAAGACGTGGTTGTTCACAAGAGATAGATGCGAATTTGAGTGCGGTGGGAGCGTTTTGGATGAAGGTTTGGAGGATAAGATGGAGGATGGATTGGGGATGAGTGGGGGACGGATTTGAGATTGAACTGGTGTTTTTTGTATTGGAGCTTGGAAATCCAGAAAAAGAAGTGGTTGGTTTTGGGGTGAGGTGGTGGAGATAGGGTTTGGTGGTTTTCCAGAAGGTGGGCTTCAGGGCAGGCGCGGTCCGGAAACCGAAGGGGTGGCGAGTTGATGGAGGGGGGATTCTTTATTATGTGAATTTGATTTACTTTTTTTCAAGTCAGAGATAATTTACTTTTTGAATCTTTATGGAATTCCCTTCTTTCTGGAAATCCAAGGGAATTGCTGGTTTTCCATGCCTGGCTCTGCGCTAAGAAGCAGCCGCGAATTACACTTGTCCAGCCTCAGACTCGGGCTCGGTGGCTTAACCAGGGCTTCACGGGGAATACGAAATCGAGACAATCTCGTGATTTTTGAATCTCGAGTTTCGAGAAATGGAAAATCATTGAAACAGAAAATCACTGAATTTTCGGTTTTGCTGGTTTCTCAATCCTCACCTGCGGCTCGGTGCCTTCGCAGCCACGGCGTTATACCTGGAAATAGGAGCAAATCGCCAATTAAGGTTCCCAGGGGGCCGTTGAAACCGGTAAAAAAGCTCGATTTCGGAAAATATCGAAAAAAGCGTATACCGTCTTCTCTGGCTTCATTGGGCCTCTGCCGGTTTTGTGGTCTGATCTAGACGTATCCACAGGCCCGCTGCAAGAGAAGCTTTCCTGTGGAGGCGGCATTGGTTTAGGTTGGTGGATTACCATCATCGTGAAGATTCAATTATTTCATCAAATCTTTGTTGATGTGGGTTCTGAACATTTCAATGACGCAGGTTCCCCCACTGTGGTTGGAATGTTACGATAACGCAAGTTCCGACTGACGCTTAGCAAATGCACCACAATTTGCAACAGCCCTAAGCGATCCAATAAGACGTATTCATGATTTTTTGGAATTCGTGATTCATCAAAATCCATCAAATCTTGATCTTCTCGGTGGGCTCCGTGGCTGCAAATGCACCACCTTCACCAACGTCCATGTCCCCTTTTCCAGCTAGCTACAGGTCACGGGCCAAGAAACACCTCCAACAATGGTTTCTGTGCTATAAGGATGCCCTTTTGGGAAATCCTCACCTTTCATTGTTCGCCGAATCAGGAAGTATCTCGAGCAAAGGGTTCGAGAGGCTTGACGAAAAAAGTGTCTTAACTTGGCCCTCTTGACCAGCCTGGTTTTCGTGCTTCGCTTTTTATGTACATACGGCTCTTTCCGCCGGTGGAAGAGTGGGTGCTCGGAAGATTGGTCTTGAATTCCGATAGAACGCAAATGGCATGCCAGCGCAAATCCAGGAATGCTGTGCCATCAGGGTGGATCCAAACGCCGGTTGCTCGAAAGTTGTGGAAATTGGAGATTTGCCGGAGGTAGTGTTGATCGTCTTTTTGGCCCACGGGCTGGATCGTCAAAACAGGCGATAGAGATCTTTCACCTTCAGCCATGCGATGGATGGGTTTCAAGATGTGCCACACCAATTATGGACCAGCGCTTGCTTTGAAATGTGTGGAAAGGGTACAATTGCAAGGAAGGCGCTGTTAGACCATACTAAAAGCTCGTATGAGTGATTCCCTGGTGGTACTCTTCCCACGGTATTGCCCAAAGAGCCTCTTTAAGACCAATTGCAAATTTACCAAGATACATCGATAATGAAAGTTTTGAAATCTTGATAAGCCAATTGACGTGATCTGGATAGTGGGTTTCGGTGACATTTGGTGAAGTGTGACATTGGGTGACTATTACGCTCCCTTTCCCAGAAGTCCACAAACCACCTTTTGGGCCTCACAGGCAAAAACATTCCAGAACTTTTCAAAACCCAACCCTTTCGCCTCCTCTCTCCCTTTACCCCCTCAAAAACGCACAATCCCCCACCCTAAATGGCATACTCGAAATCAGCGCCAAAGTCCACATAGTCCTCGGGCGTCATGTCATACGCCATCTCTTGCATATCGTCACTGTCGCTATCCCGAGCCTTTCTTCTTCTCCCCGACAGCCTCCTTTCCGCCTCAATCTGCTCAAACTGCCGATACTTCGCTAGGTATATCTTCAAGGTCTCTGCGTAATGCTCAAACCCTAGAGTGAACATCGCCCAGAGCATATCCTCGCCATTAAGCGTTTTTCTCTTTTCCAACTTGCTCTTATCCGCCGCCTGCGACGTGATAAAGCTGATAAACTCGGAAACACACTCTTGAACGCATTCCTTGGATTCTTTGGAAAGTTTGGCATGCGGCGGAAGCGCCAGTTTCATCACCCGGGCCACGTTGGCGATGGGAAGAAACCGGTCCTGCTCCTTGATCTCGTAGTCACAATTGCGTAAATCGTCGTACTCTTCTTCCTTGATTTTCTTCTTCATGCTGGGGTTCTTTTGGGTGCGAAAACACGGCTATATATGCTGGGGAAGTGCGATCTCGGACTCGGGCTGGGGTTGCTGGGAAGGGGATATTCCTGGGGATTACAGGTGGCGGACCCGGCAGAAATCGATGAGTACCTTTTTAAGAAAAATAGGATCCGCTTACGGAAACAAATTATCTGTTTTCGGCTGTTTTCAGAAATCTGCCCCTCGTTATCTATTCCATCAGTATGGCACCTCGCCTAATTGAGAAAACGGTGCAGTTGCGCCGGTCAACGGTGCTCCATTCATGTAGGAACCAACCCGATTAAACGGCTGACTTTTTCTTGAATGAGCCAGAGAATCGTAATACTGAAAAAGTAAATTTGCTTTGCTTTCGTTTTCGCTGGATTCCAGCCATTGCCTATTTAGTATGTACATTTTGGACCTTGAACCCTGTTTTCAAGGAACCGTAGATTAACTTTTTAGCGGTGCAGCCACCGAAAGCTTCCGAAGCGCAAATCTGACAGATTTACGTCAATCATAGTCAGCTTTTGAAGACTGACTGCTCGACTGTATTGACCTCGGCTGCAAATACCCCATTCTGTCTTCGATAGCCAAATTCCATATTATTCTAGTCATGGCACTGAAGCAGCCCTAGAGAACATCAAGACAGAGCTGGACTTGCTCTATGTAGATCTCACAGTCCGGACTCTCCTCCTTCCAGTAGTGAAGCATAAGCAAGGTGTGCTCAAGAGACCCTTTGATCAGCTCCCGGCTGAAGATCAAGTTGAGCGCTTCCATCACCTCTTCCCCACCAGAAAAAGCGTTATTTTGCACCAACATTTTGATGGCCTGCTGCACCTTTTTGTAAAGCATGAAAAGCGAGATGTTTCCCACTATGAGCTGCCTGACATAGTACCACAGGCCTGAATGACGATGCAGCCCGATCTTGGGAATATTGCCTTTGGGCACGGTGATGAGATTTTTCACAAATGCCTGGAGCACCCTTTTCCGTGCTGCAGGGTAGTCCTTGATGTTGAGGAAATCAGGACTGGTGTCGTCCTTCAGATTATCGTACTCCACGATATCGTTGAAGTTGTCCTCGCTCATGTCGCTTCTTTCCTTGGGAGGAGCCTTGATGGCTTCAATGTAGGCAACCTCGCCGTCCATGAAGTTATTGGCAAACTGAGACGACGAACTGGAGGTGTCAAGCTGCAAAGTGTCGTTGTTTAAGGAAACCGTCGAGTTCAGCTGAGAAGGCAGATGGCTATGATTCATGACTACTTCTTCTCTTTTTTCAGCTTTGACCTGGGCAAGCACCGCTGCAGCAGCTTCAAAGATCTCTGAAAACGGAATCCGGTCCTCGAGAATAAGGTACATGATGGGCCGGAAAAGTGCAATTTTGGACGCCAAAAAACGGGTCTTGATGAACATTATCAGCTCCAGCTGCGCCTTGAGAAGAAGGTCCTCGTCAATGAAAAACTCGTCGAGGTTGTCGAGAATGTCTGTTTCGAAGGCCTCCAGGGCACCTCTTTTCCGACAGGCTCTTCTTTTCATGCTGGCATGGATTTCGTCCACATCGGCCTCCAGCAAGACGAAACTCCGGATTCGGGGCGAAAGCGACGCAACAATGGCATCGTACTGCTTGAGGTACTTGATCAGAAGCTTCCAGATGTTCCTATCCACAAACTCGTCCAGGTCCCAAAGGGCCTCTCTGACGGCGTCAACGGAGTAAATCTCGTCATAGAGCTTGTTGTCCACTTTCCTAACGGCCACCTCGGTAAGGAAAAAGTACCACAGGTTCTTATCGTCGTACTTGTTCGTCAAAGCCACACTATCGGCTAGATGCTCTTCCGCAGAAACGGCATCTGGAATCCTCAAAAACGGCGATGGCGGCACCATCTGTGTAATTCCCGAAAGCGGCACATGAGGACTAAGCTCAGCCCGAAGCTCACACTCGAGTTTGAGACATGTCCAGAAAAGACGGTCCACTATCAGCCTTCTTTCGGCAAACAGGTACCTGAGCTGCTCGCTGGTGGCCTCTCTGTTCATTTCTTTTTCCAAATAGTACATCATATCGGTGCTGGCGGTGACGATGGCCTTGTGGGCGCTGAGCGGGTCCATATTGTAGAGATGGTACTGGTTGAGCATTATGTGGTACTCGATGGAAACGAGGGAGTTTCGTTTAAGCGACAACGGGAACACCAGGGAAATGATCAAGGCGTAGTCGATGAGCGAGCGGCTCAATTTCTTGCGGTCTTTGGGGATCAAAGGGCTGGATTTGGCGAGTGTAGCAGCGGAGTTTTCCATCGAGCGGCCTTCCTCGGTGGAGTTATTGAACGTCTGGTGGTTATCGAGCTTCACGGGCGAGGCGATGATGCCAATGGCGCAAACAGCCAAAATTAGCGGCACCAGCTCGCAGCAGTTGATGAAAGCACGGCGTCTGACAGCGGTATTTTCGAGGTTCAACGTCAAAAGAGCGTCGTTGAACGACTGAGGCACGGTTTCCCCCTCCTCCAACGACATGTAGTCCTCGAGCATGCTGATGAACGTCGTTTGCGGGTTTGCCTTTTGCATGAGCGTATAAATTTCAATGCTTTCCAAGAGACTGATGATATCAAGACAGGGCACCTTGGTATGGGCATTGAGGAAGAAGGAGTTCGTAAAAGACGATATTTGCAGCCGGAGAAGCTCCTCCAACGCTGTGCACGTATCAAAACGCTCCTTGAACTTCCGTGGAAGCCCCCAGCTGACCTTCATGTCGTACTTGGAAATCAACCGTCTTGTCCAGTTAGCCTGGTCGTTATCAGACACGCCAAGCACCTTCTGCACGGCCCGCCAGCGGAACATGCTCATGAGCGACATGTCCCAAAGACAGTGCTGGAAATAAGCCACTTTCGTGCGTGGAAGCAGCTCCAGATCGCCCTTGACATGGCGTAGTATCACATCGAGTTTCAGAAGGATCGTGAGCGACGCTGGATCGTACAGCGAGTAGTCGGAGCCCGGGAAGTCCGCTCTGTAGCGGCAATTCATGTTTCCCGAACGCACACAGGCGCCACAACGAGGCCTGACGTTGTCACATTTGGACTTTTTCTGTCTGCAAGTGTCACAGGCCGTCAGGGACCGTTTTCGGGGCAACGCTGCCGCCGCCCGGGTCACGAAATTGGACGTGTGTGGCGACGGCTGCTGCGGGGTCTGGAGATGCTGTGGATTTTGTGGATTTTGTGTGTTTTGTGTGTTTTGTGTGTTTGGGTGGATGTGCTGATGATGCAAGTTCTGCGGCGTTTGGGCCACCTGGATGCCCTGGCCCGGGAGAACCTGGCCGTGCGGCGAGACCCCGTGAACAGCGTAGCCCTGGCCGTTTCCTGGGATCCCGTGAACCGGCAAGTGGTGGAGGTTGGAGCCAGGGTTCTGGCTTTGACTCGGATTTGAAAGCTGGCTCTGGCTCGGCTGGCCCTGACTCGGATTGGCTGCCGCCGGGGCCTGGCTTTCGTGAGAGCCAGACGAGTTATCGCTCCGGGCCTCCCGAGGAGCGTATCCAGGGTACAAGTCCTGAGGCAGATGGCCCACGGGTCTGTAGTACGGTGGAGCCTGAAGCGGGGGGATGCGAGCCTGGGGATGGTTTGGTGCAGCGTCATTGGAGTAGGCCAGGCTGTTTTCCGTGTTATCTCGCAGCGGGGTTCGAAACTGGCCCATGTGGGTGTTGTTGTGTTGTGGTTCGCTCATGGAAAAGAGAGTATGGCGATGTTGAGCTTCTGTGCATAGTGCGGCGCTGGAGGGTGCCTGAGCACAGGCGTGAGGGTGCATTGAGAGACTTTTGAGAGACCGGGGGAGGCGGTCTAAAACGGAGGTGCTTTTTTGAACTAGGCAAGTACGTTTTTGTTTTATTTTATTGGTGTTTCAGGTTGTGGTGGCGGTTTCAACGGGCTATATGGCCCGTCGGCCTGGGCCGAATCTGCGTTGAGATCTCAAACGGTCGTTCAGCGGCAAAAGCTAGACAAGGTTTCGACTTACGCTTGTCTCCAGAAAAGGCGCCGGGCAGGGCCACAAACCCGAAGTGCTGGAAGTGGCCGAGAGGGCAAAATACTGGTTTTAGGTTGGGCAATTGAAGTTTTTGAAGGTAGTTGGTACCTCGTGGGTAGACAGAAGTTGGTGGTGAATTGACTAGTCAGGCTGTACTGTGTTTGTACGACTATCTTTGTACGACTATGCTCCGTTATTTTGGGGCCTGACTTTTGCTGACTCATCTGGGGTTTTGCCGTTTCAACCTTTTCTTGTCCTTTTCTTAGCTGCTTCGCCAGGTCTCGACTAGGATCGGCATGCAAATAGAGCCGTCGCCTGAATACGAGATTTACCGTCGATTGTGCCAGACGAACAATGGCTGGTTGACATGCACAAAAGTCTAGGCGCCGGCGAAGCTGACAATGGGCACGGCGGTGGAAGACTTGGAAAAAGTGAGGTTTTCTGATTCTGGCTGGTTTTGGAGAATTTCTCTTTTTTGGTGTTTTTCGCCGGGTTTCTCCAGCACCTTTGTTCTCCTTGGCGCATTGCTTAAGCGGCGCGCCAGTGACGCAGGGCTTAATAATATTTGCAGCCATTTCGGGACACTTTTGGGGAGGTGGTCCCTTTTGCAAATCTCTTTGTGGTGCATCGCAGCTTCAGTATAGGGAAGGCGAATCCGAGGGGGACTATTTTTTTGGGTTTTGAGAGACGTGGCGATGATTCTAAGGCACCCTGCGTCAACGACGCTTAAGCCACCGGCATCTTCTGTGTTTTGACGGAATTTGTTACAAATGGGGCAAGCATGAAGTAGTTAAGGCATGGTCTCTTATTTTGAAATATAACGTTCAGATGGAAATACCGGCATGGAATGTTCTGATTAGATGATGTGAGTGACCATTGGAGGGTTGCAGAATTACGCAAAAGTCCTGATATCATGCCCTTGTGAGGTAATGAACATGATTTATCTGAACACAAGGTCGGGGTTCGGCCATGTATGTGTCAAGTAATGCACTGATAGATGGTCTGTCGAACAGGTGAATGTATGGTAATTAAGCTAGGGTAGCCAATTATCTTCAAGAACTCAGGTAGGAAATGGTGAAGCGCATGATATTGGGTTCTTCATGAGTACAAAATCCATACCCTTGTCAGCTTACTCGATAAATGTAGGGTTTCAGTCTTCTGGAGTTTGGGAAGTCCACTTCCATTATGACTCAATTGTGCCTCATTCAATATGATGTAGACATTTAAGCACCAGAATAAAGGTTCAGCTCTACCAGCCTTTACATGTGCAATGCAATCATCCTCTCACCTACCAACCTCTAAATCCTACATCAACTCTCCCTTTTTACAAGATTCAATACACACAAAGTCCGGCTAACCTGGAGGCAACTGGGAGGCGTCCACAATGTCATTGGCGTCCATGGCGTCGTCGTCCAACTGCAGGTGGTCCAACGGGGTTCTGGGCAACGCCATCATACCAGACCTGGCGATCTCCAAGATACCGAAGGGCTGCAACAACTGGATGAAGGAGCTGATTCTCGAAGGCTTGGCGCTCAACTCGACAATACAGTTTCTGTCGGAGATGTCCACAATGCGGCCGCCGAACTTGTCGGTGATCACAGAGATGTTCTGCAAATGAGTGTGTTTCTGTCTCAAGGCCTCGGAGGCTGGCAAGTTGCTGGGGTGGAACTCGCTCTCGGTAGCGCTCAAGTCGGGGACAGCCGAGCCGTCGGACGTGTGGGAGTTGTGGGCAGCGATCAACTCCTGGAAGTACTCGGGGCCCAAAAGCGAGATTCTCGCCAAAAGCAACTCTCTCTTGACAATCTCGGCGTTGGTGTAGTCCAAAACAGCGTACACGGGCACCAAGTCCTCGATCTGACGGCGGGCCTGCTCCACAACGGCATCCTGGCCGCCCAAGACAATGGTCATACGCGAAAGGTCCTTGACTTCGGTGTTGCAAACCACCAAAGAGTCAATGTTGAAGCCTCTGGCGGCCAAATGGCCCGAAACGGACGACAACACACCGGGCTCGTTCTGAACCAAACAGTTGAGCACGTGCTGCTTTCTTGGAGCTTTGCTGGGGAAAGGAGTCTCGTACAAAATGGACGAAACAGCAGCATCAGCCAGCCAATTGGGGGTGTCGAAAGTAGGCAAAGGAGGTCTCTTCAGATTTCTGTGCAAGGTCTTGTAGGCCAAAGCCGACGTGGAAGAGGACAGAACCTTGGTTCTAGCCTGGAGTAGACGGCCAGGGAGGCCAGGACGAAGAGCTCTCATTGTAGTTTTGGAATGAATCATAATTTTTTGATGTTAAGCCGGTAAAGGGGTGTACGGGTGTGGGTTTCCCCAGCCCCGGGTGCCCTTGTGTTTGTCCTTCCAGGGATAAATTTTTTGATTTAAAAGTTGTTCAGATAAAAATTCAGGGAAAAAATATGGGCTTAGTTTTGACAATACGTTTTCTAAGGCCCTGTGTGTGAAGTTAGATGGTGACAGTTGATGAGATGCTATCGCAGTCAATGGGTGAGCGGAGGTTTCGACAGTTTCGGGAAATTTAGGTCAAAGTGATTTTGAGATATGGTTGGTGAATTTCATCGGTATAGAGATTGTCTTAGAGTCGAGCTTGTTGGTTTTTTGATCTTTGGAGGTCGACTTTTCATGAGGTTGTGAGCTACAAGAATGGGTGCAAAATGCTTCCCCACCTTTGAGATGAGTGCAATGAAGGTCCTAAGAGGGAGGCTAATTGAATCGTTTTTCGATTACGAGTTGATATGCTGAGCTGAAATGGTCAATTTTCCCATGAAAGCTTTCATTTATTGATTTTTCACTTTTCTCTTCCTGACGAGGTTCCGTTCGTCCTAGGCGAGAATCCGCTTAAGTGATGTGAGTCACTTATGAGCCGATGACTCAGCCAAAAAAGCCTTTAAATGGATAATTTGCTTATGAAGGTTTTTATGATTAATATTGCGAGATCTCAATTGCCATTGATAACTAGGAGGGTTGTGAGTTGGTAAGTACCGTCAGCAATTTGAGACCACTGCTTCTTCATTGACATGTGAGAGAGCAAATGACAAACGGAGGTCAATTGATGTCACTTCAGCTATTATTCAAAGAGCCTTCCCCGATATTGAATGCTAGTGGAATTGGTCTTCCTTCTGACGTTGGTGATGCGGAGCCTGGATCACATTCCATCAAGACCAGCAATTTCTGCACTATCTCTTGGATAAATCTGAGTGTGGCTCTTTGAATTCTAGTTTGCCCTTATCTTCATGTAAAGTAAATTCATGTCACGTTCAGGTTCCATCACCTACCTCAACCTCATAGGCCGGGCCATGTTGTAGATCCTCAACAGATAAGACTTATGCAAAAAGGATTTTTAAAAAATAAAAACTACATTTCTATGAGCCTAACTTTTTTTTTCTTTTTTTTTGAAAGCAGTATTTTCAGATGCCTGCTTATCGGTTCCGATACCTTGAAGGACCCCACATGTACGCGATATTTAAGCGAATCACACGCGTCTGCCATACCCGTGCTAGCGGATATAACCAACCATAAAAGCCCCTGAGAATCCGAATCTCGTCTGCCTGGCTTTTTTTCACTTTTTCTTAAAAAGGTTCATTCTTCAATTCACATTTGACCCATTTCAATCACAATTGCCTGGAATAGCTTATCAGCAGCACTCCCTATCACCATGTCAAGTTTAGAGACCACTCCAGAAGTTGAAGTTGTTCCTTGGAAACCAAAATTTGATTTGGATACTCCAGTGGGACGCGTCTGTATGTTGTCTGAAAAGGACATTGACTCTGAATTCCATAAGCGTTACAACATTTACATGAAAAATTTGGGATCGTACAGCAGAACCCTTGAGCGGTACTATGAGCTCAAGACACACGAGAAGTTTGGCACCCTTTCATGGGAAGTTTTACAGGAAACTAGTAAAGTGTCCAATTATCGTGTCACCAACAAAGAATTTATCGCTTTGGGTATGGAGATTATATCTCGTAAACTTGCATCTCTTCCCGATGAACTCCAACATCTCGAGGAACAATGCTTCCAACCACCCATGAGTAAAGAGTACGATGCTCTCTGTTGGATTTATGAGTTCATCTATCAGCAGAAACCTACTGCTAGTACAGTCGAGATAATTGCACGTATATTGCAGAACCATGTTTCTGATTTTGAAATTTCAAGGATTTGCCCTCATTTGTGTGATATGGGAAAAAGTGACCTTTTTGCATACTTTATAAGTGAATCAGTCCGGCATGACAAAGTTTTAGCCGAAAAGCGGGACTGGATCATAAGGCAGGCTGCCCACAGACGGGCGTTGGTTCAGCAAAGTGCCATGGATATGGCCAAAGGCGACGGCCCGATTTACAAGGTAGATATACCTCACATACATTATGTACCTGAGAGGAATCAGCAATCAGACAGCTCAACGACACCGCTGGCCGACACAAATCCGCAATCAGACAGCTCAACGACACCGCTGGTCGACACAAAGCTGGAATTGACACCACCAACGTCAGGACCACAAGCAACTCGTGCGCCGAACTCCTATACTTGGAATCAGTTTATGAGAGCCTGGGATGATTATTTTCCCTCTGGAGTTAACAAAAACAGAAAGAATCGGAAGCGGTCTAAGCGTGGTGGTAGATCCAGGAGATCTTGGTAGGCAACCGTAATGTTCCACTTTAACGAGCAAATTGTGCAAGCCAGGCCTTGGCACCATTCTTGGACTCTATGAATTATGATATGAACTTCGATATGAACTAATCTATTTTATGTTGGCGGATGCCCTGTGCGGCTAAGTCGGGATCTCTGGTCATGCAGAGGGGATGACGCTGGAGCCTCGCTATAAATTCGGTCTAGAGATGCCTGTTCCGTTCTTCATGTTGGGTTGTACATCGTTGAGGGTGGACTTCTCATGAGTATGAGTGCTACAAGAATGGGTGCAAACCCTCCCCCACCTTTGAGATGAGTGCAACGGAGGTCCTCAGAATTTGGGTTCTCGAATGACGTTTCAATTGTGAGCTTACGAAGTTGACTTGCAATGATCAATTGTTGTGACATCCTTTCTTTTTCGCTTTCCTCTCCACGGTGAGTTTCCGTTTGTCTGAAACGAGAATTCGCTTCTATATGTGACTCACTAGCAGACGACACAGCTACAGCCGAATGACAATCATGATGTTGCGTAACTTCAGCTCGATCTGTTTTATCAAAGTAACATATATCACTTGGTGTTATCGGGCGGTTACGTCAAGGTCAGTGGTTGGTATCAGGTACTTCATACCATAGTGCAAGGAACAAATGAACCAACTTCATATGAACTTTAACGAAAAATCTACGATATATTCTTTTCCAAGTCTCTCCCTCCCAATGTGGTTAACCTTGAAATCGGTGATGCATCTCTTGCATTGATAATGCAGGAGCCTGTTCTCATTATAGGACTAGCTTTTTCTGCTCCTCCTCTGCGATATCTTTTGAGTTTCAGAAATTCAAAATTCAAAATTATCTTGTCGCAATCAGAACCACTTCCAAGACGCAAAAGCTTCCATGATGTCCTTTCTTTTTGAATTTTGATCTTCTGATTGCCAAACTTCCGGACACTTTCAGGTCCATTATCTTGCAGGTTTACGCAGTATTCTTGATACACTTATCCAGTTATAAAAACCCTGATATTTCCGTACTCCAACTGCTTGGCTTTTAAAATAAATCCACCTTTTCATTTCCACTTGACCTTCAAATCGATTGCCTCCGCTTATGCTCAAACACGGGCGACTGCTAGGTATTATGCCAAGCAGGCAGCAGACGGGGGCCCGATTTACAAGGTAGACATTCCTTCCTTACAAAATCTACCAGACAGAAGCTTCCCTTCACACAATTCACTGCCAGGCTCAGCCGACACGAGGACAAACACCACAGCGCCATCTTCAAAACCACAGGGATTGGACACTGGTGCTTCAGATTCTTCTCTTGCAAGTTTTATTAAAAGAGCTTGTGATGATTATTGCACTTCCGGAGTCAAGAAGAACAGAAACAATCGAAAACGGTCTAAACGTGGCGGTAAATCTAATCGATCTTGGTAGGCCACCACAATGCTTGACATGGACGAGAAACAAAATTGTGCATGCTCATAAAGGAGCTTCTCTTATTTCCACGCACAGGCTTTACGAAGTCTTTCCTATTTCCATGTTTATGAAGACCCTGTGCGGCCAAGGTGATGGGATCTCTGGTCATGCAGAGTCTGTGACACCGGCGCCTCGCTACCGTAAAACAGTGACAGCAGCGTTTCTTTGATGCACGAAGCGCTCTACAGAGGTAATAAGCCTCCCTTGCAAGAGGGCCTCGTGATACGAAGAGAAGGCCCGACCATTCATAAGCCCTGAATCCCCACAGTTGACAACCAACTGAATCTATCACCCTACCACGAATGTCTCATACGGCAAACCCTGACGTGCTGACTGCTACTACATTCCCGGGAGGCGTCTATAGTGGAAGGATCGAATGGCTTAGGTTAGAGTGTACTGAATCTCATACAACCAGGACCTGGGAGCTTCCTCCGTCAGCAAGTGATTATTTGTGTATCAACGGAACTGCTTATGCTGAGGGGACGATAATAACCGGCTCTTCGGTGGATATGATTGAAACGGACTCCAGCTCTTCGAAAAATGAAACACCCTCGTTGGAGGTATCAGGGGTGCTCATCCTGGTGATGATTCTCATGAGCTATTTGGTGCAGTGATGAGGTCTCCCAGGAGTCTATATCCTTATTTAAACATAAGGAATTGACCATGGAAGCTCAATGGAGTGATAGCTTCATTTATACTCTTGGTTGCAAATGATCCTCCTCGTCTCAATGATCAGTCAAGTGACCAACACGGACAACCGATGCTGGATATCAGGTTTACAGCTCTTTCATTGAAATTGGACGTTATTCAAAACTCAAGTGCTCATAATTTGAACCTCAATTGCTCATAAACCGGAAAAATGTCCAAGCATGAAAAACTTATCACCTGCAAGGCCATGCAAGAACCCCATATAGTCACCCACGTTGAGCCCACCAATAGCCCGATTGAAGAACCCAGGAAAACACTTTTTTAAAACAAATAACAAAACATTAAGGTCTTCGAGCCTCTTCTTTTTAATTCTTATTTTTTTTTGCCCACTTTTCTAGACGTCCTCTTGTACATCCTCAACCCTCATCACTACCATCAGGATCGGTCCATCCTAGTGCCGAGCCGAACTCCACAAATCCCTATAAATACCCCCTTTCCCCTTCAAATCAACATTTCAAACAATTTTCATCAAGTCCTCCCAAAATCCAAAACCTCCACGAAATTCCACAAAATCAAACCCTCCCCACATTTAAGCTTCACCGTCACTAGCAGTGCCTCGTTCGCACCCTTACCTAAATCACCAACTCCTTCTACTCCAGCCTCTTCCTGATTTCCCAAACAAAACAAAAAACTACCAGGATGTCGGCTGCTCTCATCAACAGATCGCTTACAACTATCCGTACAGAATTGGAGTTTCTCCATGACTCCGAGGTTATAGACGAAAAGCTCTTCAATGCTTTGCTGGAGGCTCTTCCACAACGTTACTCGAAGGGAATGGCCCCTTGGGGAGCAGAGAAGCTTTCAGCTGAAAAGAAGGACTCTGTGGAAGAAATTTCCCAGAACCTCCAGAAATCCGCAATCCAGGACGAAATCAAGGAACCAGCCAATCCTGCCAGAGTGCCTCCTAGAAAGCCAGCTGGCCCTATTGGCTACTGCAAGGCCTTGTACAACTACGAGGCACAGGAGGCGGATGATTTGGTCTTGTCGAAAGACGACAAGTTGGCCGTTTTGGAACATCTCTCTCTGGACTGGTGGAAGGGCTACAAGCTGAGCGAGGGTCCAGACCAGGCGGGTGTTTTCCCATCCAACTACGTGTCTGTGATTCTGGAGACCGAGTTTCAGCTGACCAGGGAGAAGGCTCCAATCAATGAAAAGGCCACGTTTGAAAACAGAAGCCAGTCTCCTTCGGCTCCTCCTTACGACCAGGTGGTGCCCCAGCCCACGTACCCACAGTATCCACAAAACGGCCAGAATGCCCAGTACGGCCAGAATGCCCAGTACGGCCAGAATGCCCAGTACGGCCAGTACCAGAGCCCTCAAAACGGCTACGGCCAGATGCAGCCTTCCTACGGCGGATACTCGCAATATCCTCCTCCATCTACCAACTACTACCCTCAACAGCAGGTTCAACAGATGCCCCAGGAGCAGCAGCTTCAGCAGACTGGCGAGCATGGCAAGGGGCACGAGCACGCCAAGAAGTTTGGTGGTAAATTGGGTAATGCAGCCATTTTCGGTGCGGGTGCCACTATCGGTTCGAACATCGTGAACTCAATCTTCTAGGCCTGCTGGCCTAATTTGAATGGATCGGCCATTCTATGATAATGTGTTGTTGGTATCGGCGCCAAGCGCCTGGTTTAGGTACAATTGGATCGTTTTGAAGACATTGTAGGTGTTGATTTGTTCAGTAGTTTTGGGTTATCCTTTGGTAGTTTGAGTAAGAACTATGCCGTTAAGAGATGTGATTGCGTTGCCAGCAGGATGAACAACTCTTTGCTTCAATTCCAATATCCAAGGGGCAACTACGCCTCCGAATCGTTATCAGTGTCGTTTACTATGTACATCATTTGCGGGTGTCCGCCACAGTGTTCAACAACAAGGTGTCATTGTCCAAAAGGATTCTGTTTGGCGAGTTGGCCAAGATGCGGGCAATCTCACGAGCGGTATCCAAACGCTTCAACTCAACATAGTCCTTCGACTTCTTGATGGCATCACCAATCAATTCGGCAGACTTGGCCTCACCAGCAGCCTTAACCACCAACTGCTGTTTCTCCTGAATTGCCTTATCAACAATGAAAGCAGCTCTCTGAGCGTCTTGCTGTGCAATCTGCTTAGCCTCGACGGCGGCACTGAACTCAGGCGAGAATGTCATGAAAGTCAACGAAACATCGTCCAACAAGATGCTGAATTTGGCGGCACGGCGCGTGAGGTTCTCCTTCACAAGTCTCGACACCTTCTCTCTCTGGGTGATCAATTGGGAAGCGTTAAACTGGGCAATGACTGACTTCAACACCTCGTTGACAATCAGCGGCAAAACCTTCTCGTCATAGTCCTGGCCCAAGGTTCTGTAAATAGATGGCAATTCCAAAACATCAGGCTTGAACAAAACACGGCAGGTGATGTTGACCATCTGCAAGTCCTTGGTGCCTGTCAAAGAAGAGACGTTTCTGGGCTTGGCTCTAACATCGTAGACCACAGGTCTCTGGAACCAAGGCAAAACAAAATGCGTACCTTCTGGATAGATTCTGGACTGGACTCCGCTCAAACGAGAGTAGACAATGGCTCTTTGACCACCGTCAACGTTGAAAAGGGAGTTTCCAGCAGCCCAGAGTCCCACAGAGGCAAGAACAAGACCTCCGACAGAAAAAAGGCCACCGGGCATTCTTGGAGGAGCACCTCCGCCAGGACGTGCCTGGGCCGCACGACGTCTCAATTCATGAGAGATTCTCTGCCAATTAGGGTCACTCATTGGTAAATGGAGGTAATTGGAGTGGTAGATAGTTGGTGATGAAGGGGGAAAGTGAGTTGCCCTCCGCGCGCGACATGCGACATTGCGACACTGGCTGCAAACTGCCCCATAGATAGAGTTCAATTGCAAATTAAGCATTTTGGCAATGTCAATCTTTTTTTGACAGATCGTTGTCGTTGGTAGCTAGACACTGGTAGCGTTCTTTTGAATTGAGGCAAAATGGCATCGAGAGACTGCCTGTTTCAGGTCTGAATAAATAATTAGGGAATAATGCATGGATTGTAAGACCGCCTCTAGATAGTGGCGGTTTGATGATAAATGAAACTGACCACCTACGAAGGCACACCCTCGTAGTCGTTCTTCTTATAGTGCTGGTTGATTGTCCTTTTCCAATGACGACGGCGATTGGTGTGAATTGGGGTCAGTAGGAAGAAACGCTCAAAGAAAATCAATATAAGAATCACAACAGCCACCACCACAGATGGAGCTACCAGTCGAATCAAGTTACTCGTTGTGACGGCCCTCTTATATGGACATTGGGCGTAAGGGCCTCCGTCCACAAAACAGCCCAGGATGGTGATATCGTTCAAGTCGATCCACACCGGATAAACCACACTGGAGGAGTTTAGGAAGTTCTGTAGCGCAAGCTGCTCGGTACTCAGATGGGGAACGCCGAACTTGTAGTTTTTTGGACAGTCCGCCTGATTCGTGCTGAAGTACAGGGAAATCTCGTGAGAGAGCGTCCATTCGAAAGCGTTGTTCTTGTGCTTGCATGCTAAACGGTACTTGTTGTAGCAATTCTCCACAGCCCAGCCATTTCTTTTCATCACCACACACTTCTCTGCAACTTGTGACATTGCCGTTTGTTGCCAGTCCGGGTCATCATCGTGACCCACATCGTAATCGTCATCATCGTCGTCGTGATCGTCATCTCTTGGTCTCATCTCGCTGAAATCAAGAGAAAGCCTCGTGACGTTGCTGTATGTGCTGTCGGGCTCATAGGGCGCCCAGGCCCAGTATGCAAATGGACTAAAGTTATTGAGAACACGCCCGGTGTACTCGCCCGTGAGGTTTGTTCTGTTTAAAAGAGGATAAACCGATGCGTTGAGGACTGGCATGTAGCCGCATTGAAGCGCCTGGTGGGCAGTTTCCGGGGTGAATCGGTTATTGTTGCTGTCTATGAGCATGCGGAACCTGGTTTCCAGAACCCTGTTGTTGTAGTAGTTTGGATCATAGGGCCTTAGACGTCGATCGAAACATTCTTGAAGAACGTCTTCGTCCGTGTGGCTCAGAGTGAAGTTGTTCTGGCCGTAGAAGAAGATCTTTTTGGCGTCGGAGACCGTCACGTTGTAGCCATTGCTGGAATTGCGGTACTCGTCAGTGACAGCAGTGACGAGTGCACGCTTATACAAGGAGTACAAGAAGTCCTGTTGCGAGGGGTACTCGTCATCGTAGGCCACCGTCGAGTTGAGCGGACTGGTCCTGTCTAAATCAGTCGGCAAAAATAAGAACGAGCCGAGCGACAGGAGCGGATCAGACAAAGAGCTGTTTCCTAGTTCCATATACTCAGGCAGATAGACCACCATTCCGGGAGAAATAGACGTGGGGGCTGGCCCGGTGACCAAAGATGTGCTGTTTGTCAGATTCAGCCGTACGACCACCGTGTCGTTAAGTATCAGCTTCAAGTTCAACACCAACTGTACCACGTTGGCCTGACTATTGGTGTTCAGCAGCCGTAGATAGTCTCTTAGCGTTGTGTATACGTCCAGATCGCCGAAGCTCGGCTGGCACTTGTAAGTGTTGCCTTTCCAGGAAACCAGGACCGTTTCAGATCGATTATTCGTGGCACTCTGGGGTATAGGAGCAGGACAAAGCTGCCACCTACCCGTGTACTCATTCCAGTAGACATCTAGCATGACAGCGTCGATGCCGACATTTAAAGCCGTTCTTAGCGTGCCCAAGGCGTCGGTCGAGTAGCCCTGGATATCGAATATAAGTCGATTGGCCGAAATGCCAAACGGTGTATGTTGATCGATGGGGATGTCCATGGCTATATCTCTTTCTGCACGCAAGGCCAGGTCGGCTCTGTCAGAGAGATCTGGCCAGTTTGACTCTTGGGCTAGACTGCATGCAAAGAGAAGCCAGTAAAACCACATGGCGTGGGTTTTGGGAAGGAACGTGGAGTAGTAGGTGATGTTGATATCGCGCGATGTGCGATAAGGTTGTATGGTGGTGGTGGGTCTTCTTGGGTTGGATTCAATGGAATTTTGTTTGGAAATTGGATTCTGAATAGAATATTCGAGATTTGGATGTTTGAGTGGTTTTTGATTTTTTTGATAAGTGGGTGTTTGAACGTTCTGGGAACTCGTGGTGTAATATGGCTGCGAAATGCATGATAGCGCAGTTGTGGTGAATTGCTTACATTGAAGAAAATGCATATATTACAAAGAGGTGACTATCTAAAGTTACACGTTTTTTAAGGCTCCGTTAGTTCGCTACCATTGATAAATGTGCGCCTCATAGAAGTTGAATGTGATTTGTGGATGTACAGAGGAAGCATCATACTTACATGGAGTAGCCACAAAATGAGTCTTTCCGAGATTTAGATGGTCCATTACCTACAGTAAGATAACGTCTACATGTACAAGAGCTGCGCTTTTTCTGCTTGACCCTAAGTGATGGTGAAAGCTGAGAATGTGGAGAGATCTAGGGCTAAAACTAGAGATGCCCACTTGAAAGAGGTGAAAATACCGAAATCCACAAAAACCACCAAATTTCCTACTCTTCACCAAATAACAGCAAATTAAAACTTTTCAGTACATCATCTTCAAATATGCCTGATTTAACTACCCTTCCCTCCCATGCTGGTGCACCTTCACGCGATATGGCTGCGAAATTATCAACATACAACAACACCTCTGATCTCCACCAACTCTCCCCAACGGCTGAACCAAACTTTCAAGCCCAAGTCCCACAAAACCCAAACCTCCAGAAAACCACATACCCAGCAGATGCTGCGGATTCTCGAAAAAGTCTACAGAGGCCTCAATGAACGACAACGCCAGGCGGTCCAGGCTCCCGCCAAGGGGATTCTCCAGATCGTGGCCGGCCCAGGAACAGGAAAAACAAAGGTTCTCATGGCACGTGTTGCTTATCTTCTTTTGAGCGAAGACATCTCGCCAGAACACATCATCGTCACCACATTCACGAAAAAAGCAGCCAATGAGATGATGGACAGACTTCGAGAGTTGCTCAGGGGCACGGAGATCGCCGTGGGCAAGCTTCTCATCGGAACGTTCCACAGCATATGCTACCGTATTATCCAGAAATACGGGGCCAGAGTCGGGTTGGAGGGCTATAGTATAGCCGATGACCGTGATTCCAGACAGGTTTTGAATGAAGCGGTTCTCGGGTTGCCCGACGAGAAATGGGATGAGATTGACCAGATCGAGGAGATGTACACGCTTCCATTCAAAAGCAACGATGATAAGTACAGGGGGCTTGATCCGAAGAAGCTCCAGAAAGCCATATCGTCATTGAAAGCTAGAGGACTACTACCTGAAGATTACGCCAAGGAGGCGCAGAAGAACCCCCTTTCGTTGATCGTGTACCAGGCGTACCAGGAAAGACTAGCACAGAACCGTGTTCTTGATTTTGACGACTGTCTTCTATACTGCCATAGGATTGTCTCAAAATACCCAGTACTCAGTTACATTGAGCATACCCTAGTGGACGAGTTTCAAGACACAAACGAGGTCCAGCTCCAGCTCATGTACCACTTTGCCAAAGGCAGCTTGAGCGATCCTGAGCTTCAAAATAACGTGACGATTGTCGGTGACCCTGATCAGAGCATCTACGCTTTCAGAAACGCCCAAAGCATCAATTTTGACAAGATGAGACAGCACTACAAGCACCACAAACTCAGGGTCATTACTCTCGAGGAGAACTACCGCTCCACACCCGGAATCCTCAGTCTATCTGAGAAACTCATGCACCAGCAGGCTGGAAGAACCATGAAGGAGCTCAGATCGCAAAGCCAATGTGCCATTGAGCCAGTTTACGGAAACTTCCATCTGGCCGAAGAGGAGGCAGCATGGGTTGCCTCGAGGATCAAGCAGATCATGACGCTTCCGTCGTTTCAGCATTCAGATTGTGCCATTCTTGTCCGGTCAGCATACCAAACCAGAGCTATAGAGACGGAACTAGCACGGAAGAAAATACCGTATTTCATGGTCAAGGGAAGGGCTTTCTGGGAACGCAAGGAGGTGGTGGCAATGATGGACTACTTGAGGTGTGTTGCTAACGAGAACGATAGAATTGCGTATTTGCGGTGTGTGAATTTTCCAAAACGAGGATTTGGCCCTAAGGCTGTGGCAGAATTGGAAAGTCAAATTGAAAAAGGAGGTCTGGTTTTTGAAACTCTTCAGAATCTTGCTAACGGCTCAGTATCCTCGTCTTTGGGTCCAAAACTTCGAAAATCGTTGGAAGGCTTTCTTCGGCTAATTGAAAAGCACAGACAGGCCCTTCCCGATGACGTTGAAGGCACTGACGACCTAGGAAGCCGGCTTGACAAGATGTTTACCGGCCTTTACGTCCAATCAGGTCTTCAAAAAGAGTTTGCTGAAAATGTCGACTGCGAGTTGAATATCATGGAAGTCAAGAACCAGCTTGTGGAGTACGAAATGCCCGAGGAGGACTACCTTCCTGACTATCTCGAGGAAGGCGAGGCCCCAGTTCCAACAGAAATCGAGGTTTCCGGTCAACGCTTCCTCCAAACCTTCATAGCATCCGTTAGATTATTCGATACTGATCCTGAACAAGGAGAGAAGGATGCAACACCAAAAGTGGCGGTATCCACGATCCACGGAGCTAAGGGTCTCGAATGGCCCGTAGTGTTTGTTCCTGGTGTTTCAGAAGGCCTTCTTCCTGCTTCGTTTGCCATGACAGACGAGGAATCTGTGAATGAAGAACGAAGGTGTTTCTACGTTGCTGTCACACGAGCCAAAGCGTTGCTTCTTCTTTCATCCTATGTGGATGGACCCAGTAACGGAAGCTGGAGAGGTGTGGAAAAGGTGTCTCGGTTTTTGAAAGGCATCGCTGAAAAGCGTTCGAGGCAGCTCAGTTTCAAGGATCTCCAGGCGCTTGAGCACTTGTATGACTTGCTTGGGAAGGAGAAGGCGGATTTGACCGACGAGTTGATTAAAAAGTTCCACGGCCAAGACGCAGAATCGAAAACTCGCTTCAACGACTACTCTTTGGAGTTTAGCAGCGCCAGGGAAGCCAAGCCGGTGAAGAAATCTCGACTTAATTTTCTTAATCAGAGGTCAGTTGGAGTTTCACAGAAATGGAACGCTCCAGCACCACAAAAAGCTGTTGGTTCAGCACCTGCGCTGTTTAAACCACCTAGGGTATCTCCTTCATTTGCTCCACAGTCAGCACCTCAGGAAACACCGCTATCTCTGGGTGTCAAAAGAGCACCAACATATATTCCGTCGAGACCCAAGGGAAAGAAGCGATTAGGAACGAGGTGGTGATGGTCATGGGACACTTATAGAGAATCATAGAATACACATTGGGTACAACATCATCGAATCGAACTCTGGCTACATTCTACAGCTGGGACAGGCTGCCCCCGTTGAGCCCATATTTCTGCTTTTATACTTAGCTAAGCCAAGGAAACCCCGGAACAGTGCACCGCACTACCGTAAGCCTACTTGGTGATCTGGAACGACCACGGAAACGTCAAGTGCACGGTCTTGTCATCGTCCACAAACTTGGTGGTCGCCAGGTAGCTGCCTCTAGCCAACATACCGCTGGGAGCCTCCGTGGCACCCAAGGACTTCTCGTAGTATGGCTTGTCCTTGGTGTTAGGCGCATACGAGCCCAACGGCTCCTCGATCTTCTCCACGCGGATACCAGCCTTCTTGACCGAGTGCAAGTACTTCAAGCCCGTGATGATCTCGTGCTGGACACGGAACTTGATGTGCAACTCGTACACGGACTTCTCCTTGACAGAGAACTTGATGTCCTTGTCGATGGTGTTTCCGCTGGCGTCCTCCAACGGAATCCGGATTGGCTCGAGCGACTTGTCCTCCGGGAACGTCAACGACATTTCCACAATAACAACTGTCCTTTTGTCGCCTGCTTTCACGGGATAAGGTTCACCTTCAGAAAGACCTAAAGAGGCCTTCCACTTGGCAAGCGACTCGTCCTCGGCGTCGAGTTTGGTGTATTCAGCAATTGTCTTTTTCTCACCCACAGTGTAGCCCTCCACGGACTCGGGCACCAAGTCATCGTCAGCAGACATAGTAGTTGGTGTGAATTGAGTAGGTGATTGAGATCAGATCAGCGTTCCTGGTGGCACATCCGTACACCACACACGGTCTGTGTTGAGCTACATGGTGGGAGAATTGGGGAATTTTGGATTTTGAAATTTTAGTTGAGAGAAGGAAGGTAGAGGTTGGAAGAATTGGCGATGTTTCGTTGTTTTCTGAGCGGCCGGGTGGGGTGGTGGTTTCAGTGTAGAATGGATTCGAACGCATAAAGGCAGGTGTTGAACTTAAGAAACGGTGCATGAGAGAAGGATTTGGAATCGGAGATGGACGCGATGGTGGTTGGGTTTGGATTTTGGAGTTTGCATTGAGAGGTGGGATTTTGGGGATATGTGGTGATTGAGGTGATGGATGTCCATTGAGGTGACTAGATTGTCGAGCAAAGTGGATGTTTGTGAGTTGGGTGGTTTGAATTCGAGGATGTGGATTCTGAACGCATTGAAGCAATGAAACTTATCGATAGGTAAAATAACTCGATAAGTGAGTTTCAGTTTCATGAACGTAGTGATAGTATTGGTGCCAATGCAGCTCTACATTTGACTGTACGGCTGAAAGCACACATCTATGGCAATCGTAGTAAGCTTTCGAAGCTGTGTTCTTACAATTCAGGAACCACATTTGCCGGTATCACTCATTTCGTTTTTTTGAGCTCTTTTTTTATATTATCTCGATGGGAGCGATCTGACTACTTCCGCTTTTCACTATTCGACCCGCAACTTCACGCCATTTCCACAAACCAGCAATTCCCATTTTCTCCAGCAACCCACTCGTATAGCGACCCCTTCAAGCCTCCTCAAGCCATCAGCAGATCAAAACAGAAAAGTCTATTTCGCAGATCTCCAAATCGCCTAACTACACCACCCCACCAGAAACTGAAAAACCACCCAGCGGCCCGACTTCCATTTTTCCACATTCCACAACCCACCTGGGCCATTTCTCGTCCTTCCAATGCACACAATATGCCCAATTAGGCGAACCAATACACCCATATAGGCTATTATGTGCCTTACAAGAACGAATTCACAGGGCAACAAAAGCACAAACCGTTCCATGTGCAAGTTTCCGGGCATACCACGGCATCGTACCTCTTCCTAAAAGAATCAACGTCGACGGTTTGTCAATTGCGGAGACACTCGAATAGGGGATTCAGCCGCATGGGTTGTATTCTCTGTTTGTTCGTTTGTTTGGTTTTCTTGTCGTGGAGTCTCGGCAGGCTAAGGCTGCAAACCCAAAGGGGCAAGAGGTTTGCAATAAACGAGATGTAGTTTTGGAGGCTTAATCTCATCGAAAGCTGTATCTTCATTGGACAATTTTTGGCAGCAGTGATGTCGTCATATGCCATTTGTCGTGGCATCGAACAGCCTCACGACATGCCCAAGTACCTCCTTGCATTTGTTGTCAAGTCTTCCTTTTGCAGCAAAAAAGACAGCGTCTTGGCTCTATGTATTGTCAAGAACACTGACGAGTTAGTCAGGCACCAATAGGGCGCTTTCACTGGTAGCTTTGAATTTCGGCGAAACGACAAGAGCTGAAACGCTAAAAAATAAATAAAATAGATCGTGGCTTAGAAGCACTAATTCCGTCGTATCCACCCACTTTATTGGCCTACCGGCTCGTTTCAAGCAGGTGGAAGATCGTCCATACTCCGGGTGCATGGCCGGTTCCCCGAAGAAGGAAAAAAGGGTCCCGCGGCGGCTCGAAAGTTGCCCGATTGGGCAAAGTTCGCTCGCTGTGTGCAGTACCAACATTGGCTGCAAATATCACCATCCACAACAACCATCGGTGTTCTGACACTGGTAGCTTGGCACGGTGGAGGTATAAAAGAGGGCAGTTCCGCCAAAGTTTTATTGTGTCCCCAGCCATGAAGTTCGTATTCCTCCCGCTTTTTGCGCTTTTCAGTCTTCTTTCCTTCTCGGCAGCTTTGCCTGTCGAGATGCAGAATCTTGCTCTCAAGGAAGAGTTTGTCGTCAAGAGAGAAGAACAGGAGGAGACCGCTCCTTTGCAGAAAAGAGAAAACGAGAGACTCACCGGTTTCCTCGCCTCGCTCAACAGAACAGGCGCCGGTGTGTTTTTCGTCAGAAACGCCGTCAACTCCCCAGGTATCAACAACGCCATCATGAGAACCATTGGTGATTTGTTCAGAGGCGACGGCATCGAGTCCTTTTTGCATGCTGCCGACGAGTCCGGCATGGCCCTCGACTTGACCCTCTTGTTCTTCACCCACTGGGAAGTCTGGGATGGTCTCACTGACCTCACCCACTACTACCGGGGCACTGATCCTTCTCAAACGGGCTCTTTGCTTGTGGCCATCACGAAGTTGATTTTCCAGAACTTCTTCGGCGACTTTTTCGGCAACAGCACTATGGGCGGATTGTTCAACATTTTCAGCGGCAGCAGAGGCGCTGGAGCAGCATCTGGAATGCGTGGGCTCTTGAGCGGGCTCTCTGATATTTCTTCCTCGGCTTCTGCCGGTGTGGCTTCCTCCGCTGGTGCCTCTTCGTCCGACAGCGACTTTGACGGAATCTTTGACATTTTGAATCTGCTCGGTGGTGACACTTCTTCCAACAGAACCACTGGCACCTCTGTGACTCCCGCTGCTGCCACTTCTGCCACTCCAGTTGCTGCCACTTCAGCTGCTGACGCTCCAGTTTCCACCGACGAAGCAGAATTGGACATTGACGACGAGGACGAGGACAGTACGCTTGCTGAACAATTCGCCGATGTCGCCTCCGACGTTGCCTCTTTCTTCAAGCGTTCCGACGACGAGGACCGTGCCATCATGAAGCGTGACTCCGACGTTTTGGCCCTCAGAGTCACCAGACTCCTCAAGCGTTTGGAAGACTCGGAAGAAAACGCCGACGACGACGTCGCCGTGGCCACCATGGACGACTACAACGAAGCCTGGGACCAGACCACCTCGATCATGGCCGAGGAGGACCTGGACTCGCTTGGATTGTTGATTTCCTTGCAGAAGTCCGGGCTTGGTATCAGCGTGATCCACGACGCCTTGACCCACCACAGATGGCACAAATTCATCAAGAACACCATTGAATACCTTCTCGAGGAGGAACTTCTTGACTTGGAGGAGTTGGTGCGTTCGCTTTTCACTACTGGTGTGATTTGGAGCGTCATTGGCGACATTCTCCAATCCCACGTCAGAACCGTTCTTGACTTTGTCGGCGGCGTCTTGAGAAACGAGGTCAACGTGCTTGGTTTCCTCAGAGCCCTTCTTACCTGAGTGCCCGTCTTGGGCTGTACTATACCATTTATGACCCTACTTCGATTTCAATACAGGTAACGATTAGCGGAGTGTAGCTTTTGGAGAGGTCTGTTGAGTTTGGCATCTGTAGAAAGACCGTTGGACTTTATGACGGTACTACCCCGTTCGATAAGGATTAGTGGAGTGTAGCTTTTGGAAGTAATCTGTGCTTGGCATCTGTAACCGTAATACCAAGGCCTTTTGGTTTCAATATAGGTAGCGAAATAGTGAAGGTAGCATTTTTTGAAAACATCGTCTGTTGAGTTTGGAAGGGAGACTGTTGGACTTTTAACGATTAGCGGAGTGTAGCTTTTGGGAAGTAGTCTGAGTTTGGCAGGGCGACCGTTGGACTTTATGACGCTACTACCTAGGCCCTTTCGGTTTCAATTAAGGAAACGATGAAATGTGGCATGTTTTGAAAAAGTCTATTGAGTTTGACGTCTGTGGACCGTTGGATCGGCGGAAAAGCTAGCTTTGGCAGCTTCTGTGCATATGTCACTTTTTGGATTCATGAAAAACGAAAATGCCACCACTTACCCGCCGGTTTGGCGCCATTTTATCAGAACCAGAAACAAACCACGGCCAAGACGGGCGACCAGCGAAAACAAGCCATTTTAGTGGAAGTTACACAAAAGCCTGCTTCGTAAATGGCCATTTGGGTGCTTATTGTGCCACCTTTCGAGGCAGCCACTGGGGGGGGGGGGGGGTATTACGCCGCTCTTTTGGTCACTTTCGCCAACAATGTTAATGCCGGCGTGGCGGTCTTTCACCATGGGAGCCTCCAATTCATCAATTCATCAAAAAAGGTATCATCGATCTCGCAAGGCGCTAGCGAGTACCACAAAAAGAGAACAAAGCAGGCACGGAAGCTTCTACAATGGGAGTAGCGAAAAAACCAACATTTACAGCAATATCTCGGAACCCATCCCCTTTGCATTGTCCCAAAAAGAACACCCATTTACTCGTCCGTACATATCGTCGGGCACGGTTTCCCAAAGCGGCACCCCAAGATACACATTTTTGTTACACAAAACCGGAGCGACGATCACCACGATACATGGCCGTTTCCCACAGTTGCATAATTACCAAGTGAAGAAGTCGCCTAGACGTTCCCGATCGTCGCCTTGTCCGTGTGTAATTTGTGATTTACGCAGCCGTGTCCAGATCTCTCTTTGTGCCGAATCAGCCTTTCCTTTATTGGACGCACATTACCCCAAGCGTGCAAGGCGTTGCCGAGTGCAAGACGACCTTTGTCTTGTCAAGCTATCAGGTGCCTGCGGGGTCTTTGGCGGAGTGGTCTTTGTTTGGTGAAGATGTGGATTTTCTACGTTTTTGAAGTTGTTTTTCCAGTTTGTTTCTTGCTCTGCCGGCTTCGCCCCAATTGCACTTCTCCCTCTTAGGCAATGGAGACCGGGCTTTGGCCGAAGGCTTGGATTAAGCCTTGAGTAGCAAAAACACTCAGGAACTGTTCGAGGTAGGAGGGCTGCGTGGGGTGCAGCAGTCCGGTGGGTTCTTTACCGCATTGGGCAAAAGTGACTCGCCGGCGCTCTTTGTTTGCCCAAATAGGAAGTGTGTCAGATGGACGGTGTGCAGTCCGTGCAGAATGGCTGCGAAAACCATGCCCTGGCGACACCACCACTTATAAATCCCTGTTTCCCAGCTCCCTGGAAGCCGTGCAACCAAACATGAAGTTTGTCTTCTTCCCCCTCGTGGCGCTTTTCACGCTCTTGTCGTTTTCGGCGGCTTTGCCCATCGAGTTGCAGGGCCTCAGAGCCAGAGCCGACTTTGATACCAGACTGGAGGAGGACACCACTCCTGCGATTCTCTCTCCCTTGGACAAGAGAGAAAACACCTTGCTCACCAGCTTCTTCACGTCCTTGAACAAAACAAACACCGGTGTCACGCTCGCCAAGGCTGCCGTCAGAACTCCTCTTGTCGATGACCAGATCGTCAAGTTCATTGCCAACTTGATCGAGGAGAAAAACTTGACCAACTTGTTGGAGATGGCCGACGACTCCGGCTTGGCCTTGGACTTGGTGTTGTTGATCTTGACCCACTACGAGGTCATTGACGGTCTCACCGATTTCGTCAAGTACTACAAGGGCGGCAGCAACCTGACTTCTGGTAGCTCTGGCGGTCTTGGTGGTATTTTGGGTGGCCTCTTGGGAGGCGGCTCTTCTAAGAACTCGTCCTCCAGCTCCGGCGGCGGCTTGGTCAGCGGTCTTTTGGGCGGTCTTCTTGGTGGAGGATCTAGCGGCAGTTCTGGATCCAAAAACACCACTTCCTCCGGTTCCGGCGGCGGATTGGTTAGCGGACTCTTGGGCAGTCTCCTTGGAGGCGGTTCTTCCTCGTCTTCGTCCAGCCCCAGCTCCTCCTCATCTGGTTCTTCTGGATCCGGTGGTGGATTGGTTTCTGGTCTTTTGGGTAACCTCATGGGTGGATCCTCTGGTTCTGGTTCTTCCGGATCCGGCACCACTTCTGCCCCTGCTGCTGTTGCTTCTGCCACTTCTGCCGCTCCTCAGGCTTCTTCCTCGAAGTCTGGCGGTCTTCTTGGTGGTCTTCTTGGTGGTCTTGGAGGATCTAAATCCACCGGTGCTGCTACTACTTCTGGTGCTGCTGCCACCTCTGCTGCTCCCCTTGCCGGTTCCGCTGCTCCAGTTGCCGGTTCCGCTGCTGCCGAGTCCGTTCCAGTCGTTTCTGACCTCCTTGGCTCCAACGCTGGTGCTGCTACCAACACTCCAGCTGCCGATACCGGAGCTGCCGCCGCTACCGGAGCTGCTGACACTGCTGCTACCGCCGCTACCGGAGCGGTTTCGGAGGCTGCCACCGCCGCTACCGGCGCTGCTTCCACCTCCACCGCTTCCGGCCTTGCTGGTGCTCTTGACAACCTCCTCAAGCGTGCCGACGACGAGGACATTACCAACGACGCTGAGCTCCTCAGACGTCACACCGAGGCTTTTGCGGAAGAATTGCAAATTCTTGTCAAGCGCTCCGAAGAAGCCTCCTACTTGGAAAAGCGTGATGTCTGGGACAATGTGTACCAGCAGATGATCAGCCTTATCGGCACTGACTCCAACGTCGAGGACGTCATGGTGTCCTTGAAGAAGTCCGGCTTGGCCATGAACGTCATCTACAACGCCTTGACCGACTCCGACTGGTACGGTTTCGACAAGAAGTTGGTCAAGTACCTTGTGGAGAACGACATTGTCACCTTCCCCATTTTGCTCAACGCTCTTTTGAAGTCCGGTGTGATCTGGCACGTTGCTGCCGACATTATCAGCAACTCCGACTACGTCAAGCTTGTCATTGACTTTGTGCTTGCCATCTTCACCGGCAAGGTCAATGTCACTGGCTTGATCATGGCCTTTTTTTAATTCTTTCGCTACTTAGTTCGTTCGCTGGTTTGTACTATACCATTAAAAGTTATGATAAGCCCCATGTAGGTGAGTTTTTGACGTCTAGCTATGTTTTAAGGTTTTTTGATATGGAGATGCTGGGATTAGTTGTTTTGTGATATTATGCGATTTTGCAGCCATCCGGTCTAATACACCCAGGACCATAGATAAGCAGCATTGCCAAAACTCCAATGATTTTTATTATCTCAATCAAGTTACTCTTCGAACCAATTGAGATACTCCTCAATAATTAACGAAATTGGAATCAAAGATTCGGGTTGCTGCTCAGTTTGTCCAATTTCATTCTGATCCCCTAGTTCAAAAGCCACCCCAATTGTTCTAGACTCAAAAGCTCAAATAAATCACAAAATCAACATGCCAATTGGATTCCTTCAAAACGACGGCACCCTACAAATGGACCCCTGTCACCAGCACAATGATTCATGGTGCGTGAACCTACCTTGTTAGGTTGCATTGTACACATTTGTCGATTATCCCCACATCGTCAAGACTCTCGACAAAGGCCTGGCCCCTGCGTCCAGATATAGAAAGTCGGTTACTATAAGCAGTATGTGCTTTTTTCATGAGCCTACTTCTCGTCGTAGGTCTCTAAGGTGGCCTAGATCTGAGGCGTGGCAGCACCGTCGGCTCTAGGATCAGAACCTCCAGACCACACAACTCTACCATCTCTAGAAATGTTCTTGATGCACTGGGAACGTCCAAACACAAATCTGTCCCACCCAGTGACATGCTCCACACAATGTCCCATTTGACGCAATTCCTCCACGACTTCCTTGTCAATGCCTTCCTCAAGCTTCACAAGAGTATGTGGCGTTGAAACAGGTCCCCACGAGCCTTTACCAACATCCAAGTGTCTGTGCTCCTCATTGGGCTCAAGACAGAAACGTGGTGCATCCATTGCCTCCTGGGCATCATGACCGAAAAGAATCATATTCAACATGATCTGAACGTGAGCCTGTGGTTGGGCCCATCCTCCCATACAAGCGACCGAAGCGTAGAGCTCGTGCTGAGAGTTGGTGAGTTCTGTAATGAGCGAGGGGATGATTGTGTGGTATGGTCTCTTTCCGCCTTCTAAACTGTTGATGGCACCTGGCGACAAGTTGAAGTTACCACCACGGCTCTGGAGTGCAAATCCGTACTTGTCTGGAATAATGCCTGTTCCAAAGGAGGTGAAAACAGAGTTGATGAAAGAACACGCATTGCCGTCCTTGTCGGTGACCGTAAAGTAGACCGTGTCGGCTTTGTACATTGGGTTAGGCACTGGACCTTTGACATGTTCTCCTTCAATCTGCTCACGCTGCAAAACAGCGTCTTTCTTGATCAACCGGGACCTGGTTTCAAGCGCCTCCTCGGTAAGAGCCTTTTTAACGTCGATTTCAGGGTGAAACTCGAGATCGGCCACAAGCTCTTCGGAGTCGTAGAAAGCGAGTTTGACAGCCTCGGTGACGAAATGCAAGTACTCGGCCGAATTGTGCTTGAGGGCACGCAAATCTATGTGCTGGGCCTTGGCGAGCTCCTTAATGTAGCCTAAAGCCAAAAGCGCCACAATTCCTTGTCCACTGGGCGGAATTTCCCAGAGGTACTTGCCCTCGAACTCCATGTTCAAAAGCTCCACCTCCTGGGACTTGTGATTGGCCAAATCCTCGAGCTCCATAACGCCGCCCTTCTCCTGAAGCTTCTTCACGATCTGCTCGGCCACGTCGCCCTCGTAGAACCCCTTCTTGCCCTCCTTGGCCACCTTCAAGAACAAGTTCGCCAATGGCTCGTTCTTGAAGAAATCGCCTTCCTTGCAAAACAGCCCGTCGGCGTTCAAAAACGTATCGGCGTTCTTTCCGCTCTGCTGGATCAACTTCTTCAGCGCATTGGCCCACATTTTGGCTGCCACTGCTGAAACAGCGAATCCACCCTGGGCCAAGTCGATCGCCGGCTGGAAGATATCCAACAACGTGACGTTGCCGGACCCCCACTTCTCCACAGCATCGAGCCACCCGCAAATGGCGCCAGGCACGGTCACGGAATGGACACTTGTCAAAGGCAAACGGGGTCCTTTCACGTCTGGCTCTGTTTGTCTAACAACGTCAATGTTGAGTTTCTGGGGCAGCTTTCCGTGGCCCGACAAGCCCTGGACCTCCTTTTTCTCTTTATCATAATAAAGCACAAAACAATCGCCTCCCACGCCTGTGGAGGTAGGTTCAACAACACACAAAACCGCCAGAACCGCTACCGAGGCATCCACGCAATTGCCGCCTTTTTCCAATATTCTGATCCCTGCAGCGTTAGCCAATGGCTGTGTCAGAGCCACCATGCCCTTGGTGGAGTGCACGGTGGATCTTCTGGAGTTGAAACGAGAAAACATAAAGAAGTGGTAGTTGGTGGTTGGGAGGTTTTGTGGGGTTGTTCAGCCGTGCGTTTTCCGCGTCACGTGTGATAAAGCTGGGCAGAGATAACGAATGTGGGGGCAAGTGGGGGGTCCCAATTCCTCCTGTGATTTGGAATTAAGCGGTTTGGAATAGAAATTTTGAGATAGAACTCAAGAAATTCTTTGGGTGGAAGTTTATCGGCAATTGTCGGTCGCACGGATCGGCTATTCGAGTCGCGATAAGCCGACAGAAGGTGGGACAATGAACCGAGGGCTTAGTCTGGCTGAAAAATAGGCTTATAAGGGTTATAAACGGCTGTGGAGTTTTTTTTTTTTTTTTTTTTTTTTTTTTTTTTTCGAGGAACTCGACTCAATTGATAAAACTAAATTTTTGCCTTGTCGTTGGTGGAGTCACTCTGTTTGCGAGGTGAGTATCCGTGGGTTCCTGAAAATTCCACCGAGCGAAGATGAACCAAATAGGTTTTGATCGTTGAGCTCTTCAATCGAGCCCATTTTGCTCAATTAGGCAGCTTTGGCTTTTTTAAGCTTTTGCGAAAACGAATATATTAATTGGAAGGTGGGAAAGCCGAGGCAAGGTCTTGGAGATGCGTTCATGGAATTAACGCTATGATCAGACCGATCGGCCCGACCTCGACGATTGAGTGAATGGACTTGCCTAGACCAATCAGGAAACTCTCTTTAGTGATAAAAACATGAAATTTGTTTGAATTTTCGAGACAAGGTCACACTTTCATCGATCTAAAGTAGTGCTTCTGTAGGCACAACTGTGACAGAGGAGTCGAGAAGCAGCATTGAAAGCATTGAAAGCATTGATTGAAGGTCACTGACCTCTGCTCAATTTAATTGGATTGTTGGAAACCAGAAAACCCGCCAACTTGGCGATTCGTACACTGGTCCCATGATGACATCACTACGTATATCGACAAAATCCTCGAAATTTTTGATCAAATCGAAAATCAAAGTAAACTTTTCCAATACTTACAAAATCTCCAGCTAAAATCACCGAGCTTTCTCGAGGTAAGTCGTACGACCAGTAAGCGTACATCACCACCCATATCTGCACCGAGCACCGTGAACCACCTACACTTTAAACTACCAACATTTTACCGAAATACAGTTCCTTCAAATCCGTTTCCACGATCAATTCACTCTTTCAAAGACCGTTACTGATTCCACGATCAACCCCATTATTTCATAGACCGTTAGCTATTTCCACGATACGTCGTTTGCAGCCATTCACCAGACCTCCCCTCCACCTCCAAAACTCCACCTCCAAAACTTGAAAATCCAAAATGCAAAATCACCGAAACTCTCAAATTCGCCTTCACCCCGCCCCCGCAAAACCACTAATTGTGGCGATCTGTGGCTGGCGGGTATAACTGCCCTAGTGGTCGCACTGACATCACCGCAATTGCTCTTTCTGGGCTCACCAACCACTCCACGTTCAGCAAGCGCAACCAAGAGCGAGAAAGCGTGATTATTGAACGGCGAATTTCAAAGAATGAAATGTTCAAAGTGAAGTTTCACCAAAGTGAAGGTTCATCAGAGGGAAGTCCACCATAGGAATCTCCATAATCGCCCTTTCAGCTTCACATCCAGCCGTGCAAGGTTTATCTGAAAAACGTCCCACTATACCACAAGCAACCATCAAAAACCACAATCGCGCCCTCAGAGCACGTCTCGTGCAGCTCGGGGTTCAGGGTTCAAGTCCGGTGCAAACGATCACCGCAACAGCAACCATCCCACTATAAAAGGCCCACTGCCCCACGCTTTTTCAACAATATCTATTTTTCATCAAACACCACCCATGGCTGCTCCTTCCGCCACCGAAGTCAAATTCAAGCTCAACGACGGCCACCTGATCCCCGCCTTGGGCTTGGGAACCGTTCCATCGGACGATCCGTCAAACACAAAGCTCGAGGTGCTTACTGCCATCAAGGCTGGATTCCGCCATATCGACACCGCCTGGTACTACGGAACAGAAAAGTACGTGGGCGAGGCGCTCAAGGAGTTGTTTGACGAGGGCGTCGTCAAGAGAGAGGAGATCTTCGTCACCACCAAGGTGTGGCCCTCTTTCTGGCACAACCCGGAAAAGTCCTTGAACACATCCTTGGAGACCTTGGGTCTTGACTATGTGGATCTTCTTTTGCAGCACTGGCCAATTGCCCTCCACGGTGACGCCAAGGGTCTTCCTGCCGTGCCTACGGACGATGACGGAAACTTGAAGTACGACGATGATCCAGTCAAGGGTACCAAGTTCATCGGCGTTTACAAGGAGCTCGAGAGACTCAAGAACACCACCGACAAGGTGCGTTCGATCGGTGTTTCCAACTACAACATTGACCGTTTGGAGTGGCTTCTCAAGGAGGTCGAGACCGTGCCAGTGCTCAACCAGATCGAGTTGCACCCACAGTTGCCACAGCAGGATCTCGTGGAGTGGGCTGAAAAGCACAAGATTTTGATCGAGGCGTACTCGCCCGTGGGAGCTGACGGTGCCCCCGTTTTGCAGCTTCCTTTGGTCAAGAAGCTTGCGGAGAAGTACGACGTTACCACCAACGAGATTGCCAATGCTTACCATATTTTGGAGGGAAGAATCACCTTGCCTAGAACGTCCAACTTGGAGAGAATCAAGAACCTCACCAGGTTGCCGCAATTGACCCAGGAGGAGTTGGAAAAGCTCCACCAGATCGGCGAGAAGGCGCCCAAGCGTTATAGAAACGATCCGTTCGGCCACGGTCTTGGTTTCAAGTACTGGGAGGGCGACAGATTTCCTCCCAAGAACTGAGGCGACGGTTTATAGTAACGACTGATGATCGATGGAGGTGTAGGCTGTATGGTAGAACCAATTTAGCAGTATAGATAGATTTGAGTGCTGTTTAAAGGGTAATGTACTGTTTAGCTTGATTGACTTAGTATTGTGAATGGTTGATTTCAGATGGTCGATACGGTGAATGCAGCCGACCTACCATTTCCAAGATGATGCATATTTCTGGAAATACACTTATCACCAACTTTCATGGACTCACTTTTCGCAGCCATCTTCTGAAACCATCTTTGCGATTTCCACAACGCTGAAACGTCTTTTGCACTATTATAGTTCGTGTAAGCACCGAAAAGATAACTTCCTGCGTCTTTAAGCTATTTTGATCTCTTGTAAAAATCTTCTAGAAATGGGTTGACACATTTTTGCATGAACATTGCATTAGGACGGCAAGATGAATTCAAACGGCACCATCGAGCACATTTTTAAAATCCTTCGAGCACCCATCAACAAATGATATTAAAAGAAAAAAACCATGATTTAAGATCTTAAAATTCTAAATTCAACAAATATCCCCATGCTACCTCTTTTGGTACCTGCATTTCTTATCGGTATGCATCATTCTGCAGGTCGTCTGCTTTAGGATGGATCATTGTGAGGAATATCATCCCTGGACTCCAGCAATTTTAGATATAAAATTCACCATCTTGTAGCTACTAGTTCTTTCTCAATATCATTCAAAAAAAAATTCATCGGACCATGTCAAACCTTGATGCGTCCGTAAAATGCTTCGTTGATCTTCATTATGGCGAATCGGGGACGAAGACTTGATTGAGTTCAGATTACCGTTTGCACTCACCCTAAAAAGAGACTATGCTTATTGGTATTCCTGCTTTATAAAGGAGGTCAAAAGAAAATTCTACTGGGATGTCGGTGATTATATGAATATCTACTTCTTCAATGGGCCGAAGGAGGCAGAAAAGTATCTTCAAAACTTAGACAGCACTCGTAGAACAGAAGTGAAGAATCGTGCTGCAAATATTTGCAAGTCAATTTCCAGAGCATGTATACATCCAGGTTTTGACTAGGATCGATTCGACCTGCTTAATGAACCCCTCGATATGTTTCGTGATCTCCACCTTCGTTGTTGTGAGATGAATCCAAGGGAGTATATCAATTTTTTGCAAGTTAAAGAGGGTCGACTTTGGATTCATGATGACCATAATCATGATCCCGATCTCTATGATCTTTACTGTAATGCCTTTTTTTTTTTTTTTTTTTTTTTTTTTTTCTGGTCTGTTATGAAAAGCAGTTGTCGTTGTTAAAAAAGAAGAATGGAATTCAATCCCCTTGATTAATGTGGTTGTTGGTGGCTTTTGGAACGAGATACTGAAAACAGGGAAATTGACATCAAACCAGGGTAGAAGAGACTAGATTCAATCAGGCTGAACATCAAATGTGATGAGAGTGGGGCTAATTTTTTTTTTTTTTTTCTTTGGTTTGGAGGACGTTTAATCCTACATGATTATTCATTTGGACTCTTTGGTTCATTGGTCGGAACATGTTGACGCTCTGATAGACTTCATTATTGAAGACAACTTGCTGCTTCTAAACAGAGAGGGCTTTAATCGGTACTTCTGTGGAGCTCAATGAGCAACTTCACCCGTTGTTCAAGTATAACTCTTTTTAATTGCGCTGGCAATTTAAAAGGAAATTTGAAGCATGCAAAAATTCTACGAGCATCTCTTGTTTAAAAGTTCGGCATTTTGAGTCATGACAGACTAATAATAATCCAGCAACTGTTTCTAATAACTATAAAACAAACAGCCCGGGCGCCTCAAAACCATTCTTTCAAAAATGGAACCTCCTTTAATCTTTCTTATCTGCTGGGGCGGTTTATCAGGTGTGGTCGTACTTGTTTTTGCTTGCTTTGTGTGCTACCAAGAATGGTACATAGGAAAGTCAAAGAAGAGAATTGTTTCAGCTCAACCTGTCCATGCTAGTATCAGTCCGCAAGTTGTTCAGGATACTACTGCACAGCCTACTAACCAAGAAACCGGGGATCCAGACGATACTGCTACTTCAGTCCAAGAGAGTATAAGTCTTGATGATCTACCATCCACGACGACCGGTGAGGGCCTGAATTCAAATGCCTCTATTGAGACGCCGTTGCCAGTATATGAAAGTGGCTATTTGCCCCAGTATAGTGAGGTTGAGTTTGATAGGTAGGTGGATAGTTCGATGGTATTTGTCTATGATGGTGTGAGCAATTAAGGGTTCTTTATTTGGCAACAATGGCGTTACACAGTGTCCCTGTGTGTTAGTATGATTTTTAGTAATAGGATGATAGAGGCATTTGGTATGTAGGTACTAGAAGTCAAGTAAACTTCGAAATTCCAAGTCTCGCGAGAACTTGATGCACTTACTTGAATTCTTGATAATTAGCTGACTCCAAAAGAGAAGCCCGTTGGTTGCTGTTTATCTTGATGTGCTTTCCCGATTTTGACCTTTCAGTAAAATACTAAAGACTGGTGGGAAGCTTTGACGGACGTAATTCGATTGTTATAAATCCAGCCATGAAAGCTGCTTTTCTCTCTAATTCAAATAGAGCTACCAAAGAGCTAGGTTTCAATTCATGACGCTTGTAGTCTTCGTGAGATTGTACGTTCTGATACATAGAAATCAAATTGGGGTATTATACTGGCTATACGACGTAGTCACGCTGTTTCAGTGAGAATGCAATTTCTGTTATTGCCAGAATGTCAAATTAAAATAAAAATTCGAAAAAGGGGAAAAGGTGTGTTACTTCAGAAGCTCGGGAATGGATTTTTGGACTTTACTACATTCACATCTTCACGACGACTAAATGTTACACCAAGAGCCATTCCTGAAACAGCTCTCACCACTCAAAGACCAAATCTGTATAACTGACCGCTTCCTTGGTCCGCCATCAACTATCCTAAAATGGAAAATCTCGATATAAACGACCGCATGACATCAAAAGCTACAATTCCGATTCACTCCGGGTCTTTCGTTCTTCGTGATATTTCCACTTGCTGAGGAATATGAGAAGATGTCCACGATCGAATCATACTTTCGTCAGAAAGACATTCAATATATGGATATCTCTGAAAGAGTGTACAATGCACATACCAGATCTTACCATCCCCCATTCGATGTCAGCGAATTCTTTGAAATAAAGAGGCGAGTTTGCAACCACGGAATGAGAAACCCAAGAAAAGAAAGTTTTCGGGTCAATAGGTTATTAGTATGTTAGGGTTGATAAATCAGTGGGTAGATTGCGCTCCTCAATTGTTTCTTAACTATGTGATATTGCAAATACTAAAACCGAAAAATTGTCATATGAGATCAGTTTAATGCCCCAGACTCAAAATATAGTCCACACGCTTAATCCCCATTCACCTTCTCCGCATACCCTACACTCTTTCCCAATCTATTATAATATTCTCTATATCCCAATCCTGATCAGCCAAACGACTCGGTGTAGCAGTACACATCTGGAGCATGCTTGACCTTTCTGTTCTTCTGGCAACTCAAGGTGATCTCACCATTGAACAACTCAGGTCCACAGCCCACACAGGCAAGTGCCTTACGGTAAGTAGGGTCCCGAAGCTCCGTGGCAGCGTCGGTGATGATATCGTCAAATTGTGGTCTGCTGTATGTGACAGAATAACCACTCCAGTCCTGGAGAGAAGCCGAGGAGGATCCGTACAGCTGCTGCCTGGCAAAAGTCTGCTCGAGCGTTTCTGACTTTTTCGATTCCTTGTCTTTTTCTTCAACGGTGACGGGCTTAGGCTTCTCCAGAGTAAGATGCAAGGCCAAATGGGCTCTTCCTTCGTTCAAAAAAGGAATGAACTCGGGCCACAAGTGGTCAAACCACTGGAGATTGGCCATCTTCTTCATCGACAAAATAATCTTGATTTTGGTGGTTTCCGGACGGTACATGTAATCGCCAGCCTCGTCTCTCTGCTTGAGCTTTTTGAGGAGATCCAAAGCAACTGGAAGGGTGAAAGAAGCACCAGAACCAGCACTGAAGAAAAGAACGGTTTCAAATTTAGTGAGCGGCTGGTACTTGGCGCCGTAGGGTCCGTTGATGCCTGCTTTCATTTTGAAAATGCGTGGAGATGCAAACTGGTCAACGACGTTTTTGAGTTCCTGGATCTGTGGTCTGAGCTCCTCGTCCTCAGCTGCTTGCATGAGTTTTTCTTCACTAGTGATGGAATTGGACAGCTGGGTGGCAGAAAGCACCGACTGTGTTTCAGCAGATGTCTCGTCGTCCTCGGTTTCACTCAACTTGTTCAACTTCTTCATGAGCGCCTTGGTGAAGCCCTTCATCACCTTGATCACAATGACCTGTTTTCCGGAATCTGGCAAGCTGGCGATCGTGAATGGGTGGTACTGGAACAAACTCACCTTCATGACGTTCAAGTAAATATGCTGACCAGCTCTCCAGCCTCCATAACGAGGAACAAGGAACCACCACCATCTGTCCTGGTTGTGGGGCTTGATTTCCACGGGAATGGAGATTCTGATGGTGGTGTCGTCCAAAATCTCAAAGTCCGAGTTGCCTTTGGTGGGTCCTCTACGTTTTGTGACGATACCCAAAACCCTCGAGGTGATTCTGTCCAAAACCAACATGTGCACAGCCAAAAGCACAGCAGCCTTGTTGCCTCCGTTGTGGAAAAAGGCCAAGAGAAGCATGACAAAATTGAACACTCTGTGCTGGGCCAAAAAAAAGTCGAAAGCGAAGTTTCTAATAAACTTGAACGATGCAAGGCACAACATACCCAAACAGCCGTACGAGATCATGCCGAAGATCTGGGGTGGGATCTGAATCATGATGTAAAACTCCAAACTGAGCCAGTACTGGAGAGAAAGCGCCATGTGAAGCGTCACGGCAAGAAACATAAAACGTCCGAGCCATTTGTGGAAGAAAACGGACTTGTCCAAATCAAGACCACTCAAGGTGGAAACAAAGTCGTTTTTGGCGACAAAAAGGAGAATTGCCGGAAGGTTTCCGATGGCGATACGGCCGATTCTCTTGGAAACAACATAGTATTGAGGCTCGTAGTCGATTTCCTCGGTTTGAGCAATACAGAGCACGGCGTTAAGGCCCAAGTGGATGGCTATCAGAACAAGCATAGCAGGCTGGACAAAAAAGGCGTGTTTGAAGATGGTGATTTTGAACACTTTGGTGAACCCCTCGTAGTGCCTCATCATGGTCCAGAACCTGTGGTATTTGAGTGTTTTCTGTTCCCGCTTGGTCCGGAGGTAGAACGGGATCCAGCAGAAAAGAACACCGTGAATCATGGGAAGAAGAAAACTCACCAACATGGCGAGAAACTCGTATCTGGTGTTACGTTCCTTTTCCACGAAAAACTGGTCTCCAAGGGCGATAGTCATTGTTCGAGGGAGTTGATGCTAACTGGCTGAAATATGCTGATTCTTGCTGGAAGAAACAAGAAGTATAAATATGGGGTTGAAGAAATACACCAAAGAGGAGTTGTTCGAAGCCCTGTTTGATAATCTCTTATGCTATCGATGTGATATGGGAACCTGGCTGACTGAGGGGAAAGCTAATATAGATCTGCCTTGTATGCTTTTGGGTTTGAAGGAGACAGGAAAGATCCACCGATGAGCTAGCTTGACAAGACTTGTGGTTCGATTAATAGGACCTCCTGGGGAATGGACTGATCTTTTTGATAAGAGCCAAGGTGTCTGGATGACTTGGGAGCCGGGGTGTCTTGGTGTGCTGGGCAGAGTATGAAATTTCTGGGTTTTCTTGATCGCCGGATTCAGCTACTTCTTTAATGGAAACGGTGCCTCGATGCGATGGTGATATCGGTGGATTGCGAGGCCGGAAGTCGAAGGGGAGTTCCGAGGGTTTTCGTGCCGAGGGTCTGATAATTCCTCTAAGCGATATGTCCACTGCTGAGAGTACATGAGGCGGCCTACGGAGAGGAAAGACGGGGGCCGGTGATTTCGGTGGAAGAGTTATCTGATGGTCTGTATGCAGTCCGTGCGTCCACATATGCACAAGAAAGGCGTCTTGGAGCGTACAGATGGTCGTAGATACTGCTGTATGCAGGCAGACAATCGTTCGCTCATGCGGGCTTAAATTTCTTGGCGCTTCGTAAAAGCTGGCGCCGTGCCAAGGCGCTTCTTATTATTGACGGGTGTCAACCGGAACGGTTCTAGGGACGAGATGGGGCAGAAGAGATTCGGATTTCATCTAAGGCTATTCGGGTTTTGTTGGCCCCGGATGCGCCCCGTGCGGCGCTACTGTGGTTTAAAATGCCGTGGCCGCCGCACGCAGGCCGGAACGCATGGACCGAGGGTGAGACCCCCGGAACTCTCCCACCGGCTGCCCACCGGCTGCCCACCGGCTGCAGGCCAGATTATAGTTCCGCTCCAACCCTACTCCATAACCTATCAAGCGAAACCAAGAATAATGAATGACCAGAAATGCACCAAGAATTCTGGCCCTGGCTTCTCCTAATATCCCATCGAGCATAAATACCCCCCTCTCTACCCTCCATCTTCCCCCCTCATCAAAAATCAATATCCCACAATGAAGCTTACCAACGCCTTCACCGTCTTCTCCCTCCTTGGTTCCGCCTTTGCGGTCAACCAGTGGAGCACCTACCCCAGTGTTCCCAAAACGGCAACCTACAACGGTTTCGCCGACCCCATCTACGACGATCTTCCAGAATGTGCCAGAAGCTGTGTGGAGCTTTCCACCAGATCCACCCCTTGTCCTTACTGGGACACAGGCTGTCTCTGTGTGATGCCCCAGTGGTCTGGTCTTGTGGCCGAGTGTATTGTCCAGGGCTGCCGTGAAAAGGAAATCGCCACTGCCACGTCGTTGGCCATGTCGCTTTGTAACAAGGTGGGAGCCAATGCCTGGATCATGCCTTCTTCTGTTTCCAACCTTCTTTCCAGCGCTGCCGGTTCTGCTTTCTCCGCGCCCTCCACCACTCCCGACTCGCCATGGACGGAATCGTCTGTTTTGCTGTCTGTGTTGGCTACGGCGAAAACCGAGGACAAGACCCGCTCTGGCGGTCCCACCGATAGTAGCAGTTCCAACGGCGCTGCGGCCCAGGGCGCCGGCGTTGCGCTTATGTTGGTTCTCGGTGCTCTTTTGACTTAGGTACATAGGAATTCAGGACGAGGGTTCTGGTGTTAGAAGAGGTGTAGGTGATGCAAGGCAGGTGAGCTTTGGGATTTCCGTGAGTTTGAAATATAGAGATTTCTGTGAGTTTGAAGCCGTGTAGTGACGTCAATTTGTTTACCAAATGAAAAGCGCCGTTATCCATACTTGCGAGATCTAGGGCACATTGCTCACATTTGCAACCATTCCATAGCACCCATGAACACAATGCTCTTCAGTTAAACACCTACTACTTTTGCAAACGTTCTTCATCAAAAACAGGCTCAATCTTAAGGAGCCTTTTGGCCCCCATTACCCACAAATAATGCATCCATACCCTTACCTTGCACGTCCATACCCTAACCAGTTTCCACAACCCACATATAAAATCTCTTAAAAGTCTCGAACTAATCTATATTAATTCTTTAAATATGTCAGAACGGTCACACGCCCCTCCAGTTTAGAGATTTGGCGATTTGGTTGTTGTATGCCTATGTGGGCTAGGGCGATGGGCCGAAGGCCGATATGTCCGTCGAGGGCGATATGAGGAATGTGATGGATTAATGTAATGAGTGATGTAATGGGGATGGTGAGATAGGGTAGAGCCGAGGGTAGGGCACGGGTTTGAATTTTCGAATTTTCAGTTATTTTAAATTTGCCTCGTTGAAGGGGTTTGAAGGTTCAGGTGGCTCATCTCCAGAAGCGATGCTCATCTCGAGCGATGAGGCGTGAAATATCATTGATTCTGGAAGACAGTCTGGAAAGCAAGAAATGGTATTATTGCTGGCTAATAAGGGCCGCTCGAAGCCAACAATAATAAATCAAGTAATCTCCTTATTCAAATTGTGGTTTTGGTGAACCTACCATCTCCCATCTCATCTCGATTCTGTAGAACCTACAAACATCAGTTTGGCTCCTACTCTTACCAAAGCAATCTACCAATTGTTTTTTTTTTTTTTTTTTTTTTTTTTTTTTTTTCTTTAATTCAATAATTTTCCAAAACTCAAGCCTCCTGCCCAATCCCGCCCATCAACCTCACCTCAATCAAAAGCCCTGGGTCCGCATTTGCAGCCATTTTCCAAACCAACCAAACCCCATCCGCCACGACTTGCCCGTTTTGAAAAACAAACGTCCATTTTCACAGGTTCCCTGAATCCCCAATTGAGCCCTGGTCCCTTCAGCACATCCAAATTCACACGAGACGAGGTGGACACGGACATATCGGAGCCGCTTGGGTCTTGGCTTTCGACCAACCTCTGCCAATCGTCGGCACCTCATTATAATCACGGAATGCTTGTTCTGGGTTTTGTGCTTGTTCTGGGTTTTGGGTACCACTGTGAATTACGAGAAGACAATGGTGGAGGGTCCCCTCAGGTGTATGTCTAGACCAGGCGGGGCATTGATGAATTTGAATGAGAGGATGCCGCTTCAGAGATGTGATATTTTTGAATGCCAGTTTGATACGGCGATATGTCCATGGTGCAACTGGGAGGGGTGACATTATGGATTGACGATCACCTGGTCCAACGGCATATATAAGGTTTGGGGACCATAGAAATTAAAGACTCCAAGATAAGCATTACTTCAACTTTAATAGAAAAGAATGAGCGAAGACTATGTTCCTGACTTTGTGAGCTGAGAACATGTCCTCTTTGTGACTTTAACATCCACCATGCTGCTCTAAAGGTACCACATTCCGATGCTGAAAAATCCGAGATCTCCAGCACATGTCAATCTCCCTGACACTACAATACAACCTACAATTCTCCCAAACGGTCAATCCTAAACGGTCATTCCCGTGCATCCAAGAGTCAATCATAGTACATCATAGTCAATCTTATAACGCATCCAAGCCACCCAAGCCACTGCCGCTTAACCAGAGTCTAACGCCAAAATCCACGTATATTCCTCCATATTAGAAACTGCCTCTCGCTAACTAAACCCATGCCATACTACCACCCAAATCCCCATGCCATTTTTGTGAATTTTTCGGAGCTTCCGGAGAGGTAGACCCTGTTCAGCAATCACTAAACGGAACCGAAGCATAAGCCCCCTAGCGTACCGAGGAGAAAGAGGACCGGTGCACGGCGATCGGGCCCTCGGTTTTCTTGTGCCCGTTCCGACCCGTCAGCCGCCGCACTGCCCTCGGTTTCTGTGCATTAGGCGCATTGCATCTCCCCATCATCTGATGGATCTGATACTGCCGCAAGCCCCCGCCTTACCGAGAAAAGAAAACCTCGTCAGTGATGGCCGAGATGGCCGAGGGTCAGGTGAGATGGAAATAAAAAAATAACATTGATTACGAGCATACAAATCCCTATAAACGAATGCCCCTGCCACAAAAGACCCACCCCGTTTTATGTCACCCCACAGGATCATAACCGGACAGACAGAGACCTATTGTTTTGTCATTTTAGGCCCCTCGGTATCTATTCCATCGGCGGCGCCGCACTCACGCCATCTCTTCTCATTGGTCACCGGCAAGGCCCGAAAGAAACGCAAACATACAGCTTCAAAAGCTGATGCCTTTTTTCAGTTAAGCATGGCTTGCTGTGTAAGCCAAGCTGCGTGACTAAGCCTCCGTAGAGCCCGCTAAGCCCTCTAGAACCATTTCAGAAACTCTCTTTAGACGCACCTGCCCACAACATTGCTTACAATATCAATGTTTGTTTCTTATGCACCTGCTTGACGGATGAACGTCAACCTGGCTCCACTCGCTTGCAGAGCATCCACATCACTCTGCTCGTGACGACCGATGTCACCGAGAAGTCTGTGGTCCTGCACACAGGCCTGCCATCGATCTTTGTCGCTGTGAGCCGTGCATGGGCGACTTCCGAGGGGGCTAAACCGAGCACGGACCTTCGAGGGAAGTCCAAGTGGGAGGGCAGTTTTTAAGGAGAATCGAGCCAATAGAGCAATTCAAAAAGTGGCAGAAAAGCGAAACCTCCCCAGAAAATGCCTACCTTCCACCGGCAGACTGGGATGCCCCCGGAATCCCCGATGCCCTGCAGGGCACCTGGTCCCTACGGGGACGGCACCCTCGGAACTCGCACACCCATTTTGCACCCATAAAAAACCTTCAAAATCCTCATCTCAACCCCAAATACCATGCTTCCTTTCGTCTTCCTCCTTTCCGGCGCCCTCGCCTCCCAGTGGGACACCTACCCCTCCGTGCCCAAGTCCGCCAGCATCAACGGTTTCGCCGATCCCATCTATTCCAAACTCCCAGAATGTGCCAAGGAGTGTGTCACTCTTAGCACCAAGAGCACGCCTTGCCCATACTGGGACACAGGCTGTTTCTGCGTTATGCCCCAGTGGTCGGGCCTCGTGGGCTCCTGTTTTGCCGAAAAGTGCCAAGGCTCCGACGTTGCAAGTGCCACTTCTTTGGCCTACTCTCTCTGTGAGTCCGTGGGTGCCAATATCTGGATGATGCCTGCCTCGATATCCACCGAGCTTTCTCTGGCGGCCGGTACCTGGCAGGTTGCTGCTGCCACGACCAAGGACTCGGACTTTGGCGACAACGGAAACAAGAAGATTTCAGGCACCAACGTGGTGACTGGTTCTGCTTCCACTTCCAGCATTGAGTCTGCCAGCTCTGTGGCTGCTGGTGTGACTGGCGGTGCTAATAACACCAACAGTTCTGGGAACTCCACCGACGGCTCTCTGTCTCTGGACTCTGGTGCCAGTGTGCAGCAGACCGGTATTGCCGCCTTGGTGCTTGTGGCCTTGCTCTCTATGTTGCACTAGGCGTTAGGGGTTTAAAAGTTCGTAAATAGTCAATCTGTGTTTGGATCGGTGTAGCATCCGCTGTTGTCATATTGCAGTTAGCATATTGACGTTATCATATTGCGTTGATTTGAGTAAGTGGTGTAGGCCGTCTTTTATTTAGGGTAATAGATTGTTGTAAGATGGAGAGGGCTAGGTATGGATCCCAGATTGATGGATCGGATTCATTCAATTTAGTAAATTAAAGCGTATTTCAGTTGGTTTGGTGGCTGTATGCTTTGTCTGTGTATAGTTGCAAGGAAGAGAGGACCTAGCATTGATCTCATGGGTTTGAAGAAATGTGTTCTTCACATTAGTTTCAGAAAATAAGAGTTGATTGATAATTTTTATAATTTGTGGATTAATTCTACGGTGCTTCTGAGAATAGTCTGGCTTTTTCACACCACCTTCAAACAAGGACTGGTACCATGTCTCAGACCTGCCAATGTTCCATTGATGCAAAGGCCAATAAAGGAAGAATCTGCTACCAAAGCAGTAAAATTCTGGCAATATTGAGACTGTGCTGGTTGATGGCAGTACATCAATTGTGGGCACTGTTCATAGCACAATTCACGTATTTCCGACTTTTTTTTTTTTTTTTTTTTTCTTTTTTTCGAAACGGACAAATCCATATTGACGGAGAAGAAGACCCCCGAGGAAATGCACGACGCCAAAAGCATATCGTCAACAATAGAACACGAGTTTCCATGCCAAGAGACAAAGACAGCTGACTCCGTATTTTGAAGCGGGTGGAGACCAAACACCATACAGCCCGATTTCAAAAAATTCAGTTAATTCTGAATACCTCCAATTCGAAGCTTCACTGCGTTTTGTGTTCAAGTTCTAGTTCTTCAAAACCTCAAACCATGCTTCACCCCGAGCTTCTAACCTGAAACAATATAGTCAATTTCCGGGGTAGTTTCAGGGCTCAAACCGGCGGGTTCACGAACAAGGCAGCGGATGTTCCAATAAGGAATGCTTCCGACGGAGCCAATGGCGAGTGGATTCAAGAATCAAAACCAAGCCACCCACGTTGATTATAGAAATTGAGATTTGCTTTTGAACATCACAATCCATCTCTACAAGGCATTTAATTTGCAAATGACTAATTGTGCCATTTGTCAGTTGTCTCCCTTTGTAAACCCGAAACCCCAATGCTTCATTTCAAAGCTTTGTCTGTCAAGTATTTTAAGTAGCTGTCGGTGATACCGCTGCCCAATTGGGATGGCTGCAACGAGGATAAACAGGCAGGACACGGCCTTTTTTGGCAGCAACGAAAGAAATGCAAAAGTAAACATGGAGGGGAAAGCTCCAGTGAAACATCGAGCTGTCTAATTAAGGTTTCGGCGAGGAGAAGGCTAAAGGTGAAGCAAGCAATAAACGAGAGCCTGGCGATGAAATTACTTTATTTCTGAAAGAGGCGTAGCAAGCGTGGAGATTTCGGTCTGCTAAATTAAGATCCCGCTTAATTAAGATCCCGTTTAATAAAGATCCCGTTTAATTACGATCCCGTTTAATTAAGTTCCCGTTTAATAAAGTTTCACGTCTGAAGGATCACCATAGATTTCGAGAACGCACTTAACGGAGATTGTTGCAGAGACAAGCAGATTGTCACCCGTGCTGCGACCATGCTTCAAGCTATGCTTCAAGCTGAACGGGTAAAAAGAAAAGAGAATCTCTTAGTTTAAGAAAAACCGCTTTTTCGAGGCCAAGCGAATGAGGCCTTGCAGCGAATCACGCCAGGTAGTCGAGGTGTGTTATTGGAAATTCTTGATGTTTCTTTTTATTTTTTAGAATCACGACGGGACGCAGTGGGTCTGGAACAGTTTCAAGGCCCCGAGTTTCTATTATTTGCCATTTCTCAGCCTATCCATAAGCGATGCGCAGGCGAAAAGTCCGAAAAATAATAAACGTAGAAACGTAAACAGACGCCTGGCCGTGGCCCCGGATGAACCCTGCTGATCAGATAAGATTTTCAAAAAGGCCGGAATCGGAAATATGCGAGCAGCGCCGAAAGGTGAACACACGGGGTGGGGAGGTTATCTTAACCATCTAACGATATCGCCGGACGGCTGGCGGGACCGGGGGCTAAAGGGCGAGACCCGAGGGTGACCGAGTCGGCGCCGAGGGCAGTATGCATTCGCGCCGCAGCGCCCGCAGCGCGCTGCATGGCGCATGTGTTTCGAGCCCTGTCCCCTCATGAAGACTTGTCGCCGCACCCGCACATATTCTGGCCCCAGGGAGCGAGTTCCGGCCGTGCAGCGTCTGCTTTAGGCACTGGCATGTCCCTAAACAGCGGCCAGGCTGAGCGGCCAGAAGCCCCGAAATAGCAACTGCCGATCGCTTGGCGTGCTTGTCTGCAGGACGGCAGCCCCGGCAGCCCAGGTGGGACGGTATTTTTGCAGCCAGGAAAACCGGCCCGTCCAGGGTATATAAACGGGGCGGTCCCCCCGTCAGATCTTATCTTTTCCATCTTCCACCCGCAATGATCTTCGCCCTTCCACTCGCTGCCCTCGTCGCCTCCGCCGCCGCCGCTGAAACCAACCAGTGGGCCACCTACCCATCGGTGCCCAAAACCGCCACCATCAACGGTTTCGCCGACCCCGTCTTCGACTCGCTTCCAGAGTGTGCCCAGCCCTGTGTCAAGGAGTCCACCTCCTCCACCCCCTGCCCATACTGGGACACCGGCTGTCTCTGTGTCATGACCACCTGGTCCTCCAAGGTGACCGAGTGCTACGCCGAAAAGTGTACTGGTTCCGACGCCCAGAAGGCCTACGACGCCTCCGTCCAGATCTGTAAGAACGCCGGTGTCTGGGAGCCATACTGGATCATCAACGACGCCGCCAAGGACGCTGTTTCCTCTGCTGCCGCCAAGGAGCCAGCCACCTCCGACGCTGCCGAGTCCACCCCAGCCACCTCCTCCACTGCTGCCGAGCAGACCACCGAGGAGACCACCACCGAGGGTGAGGCCACCTCCGCCACCTCCCAGCAGGCCCAGGAGACCGGTGAGACTGAGACCACCGAGGCTGCTGAGACCACCGAGGCTGCTGAGACCACCGCTGAGGAGTCTGCTGCTGAGACTTCTGCTGCTGAGACTTCTGCTGAGAAGACCGAGGGTGCTGCTTCTTCTGCTGCTCCTTCTGCCGCTGTTTCTTCCTACGAGGGTGCTGCCCAGGGCGTTTTCCCAGCTGCCGCTGTCGGTGTGGCTGCTGGTGTCGCCATGCTTTTGTAAGTGCTCTGCAGTAGAACTACAATACATGACCCGCTTCTGAGTTTCAACGAATGAGAATGTAGCGAAGCAAACTCTGAGCGATAGCGAAGAGTGCAATGTAGCGTGGCAGGCTTTATCATCAGAACTTCTGAGCGGAAGCGAGGAAGTTCGTTGTAGCATCGACAGCTTTTTGATCAGGACTTCTGAGCGAAAACGAAGAAGCTCGTTGTAGCATAATTAGCGTTTTAATTTAAACTTCTAAGCGAACTCGAGGAAGTTCTATGTAGCGTGGGCAGCATTTTGATATGAACTTATGAGCGAAAGTGAGGATTTTGCGTTGTAGCGTAAGAGGCGTTTTAATCAGAACTTCTCAGTGAAAGCGAGGAAGTTCGTTGTAGCGTTGACAGCTTTTTGATAAGCAAACCTCTGAGCAAAAGCGAGAAAATATGTTTTGGCGTACGGTAGCTTTACAGTAAGCAAGTCTTGAGCAAGATCGAGAAAGTTTGCGCTGTAGCATAGAACGGCTTTAAGGTTCCGATCGAAGTGAGGAAGAAGGAGCGTAGAAGGCTTCTAGGCTTCCGATCGAAGTGAGGATGAATTAGCGGAAGCATCCTTTGCTGTAAAACTGCTTTGAACAGGTTGAGACAAAATCGGCAGAGGCTGCTTCTAGGCGTTCGAAAAAGTACTAAAAGCGTCATTGAACGTATAAACAACTTCTATTGTCAATCTCTACCCGATTTTGGCTTCCAAACGGGGTGTGGAAGATGTAGCGGAAAAGGCTTCAACTGTAAAATAGCTACCATAGCGAGAAAGAAGAAGTCAGAGCTGGGAAATGGCAGCTTTACGGTTCTTAATTTTCAATGGAAGTGAGGAATTGTAAACAACTCTGTTTGGAAAAAGTAGCGAAACCAGTTTCTAGCGTAAACGATTTGTAGCGTAAACAGCTTTTTGGCTCCCAATGGAGTGAGAGAACCTGAAGCGGTAACTAACAAAAAACGGCTATTTTGTCTCCAACTGGTCCTGGCTTTCAACAAAATGAAAATGAAAATGTAGGAAAGCATGGTCTATAGCAACACCTCTCACGAGAGTCGTCTTAAGCACTTTGGGACGAATCGAAGAGTTTGTGAAGCTGTCAAATCTCAATCGGCATGGTGAACCATACATATCGTGCCGAACACATTTGAAAAAGTTTCTTATCATACCGGTTCGATGTCTAAGGTTACACAAGATCAATTGCAGCGTGCTGCTCGATGTTTATCGGGCTACGTTGGTAAGGCACAAGTGTTTTCAAGGTGAATTTCAAGCGATTTCAATACTCAAGAGAAATCTATAGCGGTCTGCAAACCTTGGTTCTCCGCTCTTCGTTCAACCCATATTTGCTCTCTGCAAATCGCTGCTTTGCAGTAAACCAGTCTCAAGCAACAGTAGACTATAATGTTGGCCACACACAGATAGACCTCAAAAGGCTTATTCCATCAGAAATACAACTGCTGAGACCCAATTGACCTTCAGAGGCTTCAGGCTACTCAGTTTATTGGGATCATTTAGAAGCTCTGCTACATTGCGTGATACACCAAAGCGATATTGTCAGCACCACAGGGCGCCAATTCAGATTAAACACTTTTTCTTCTAAATCTCTTATTGGATTCTTTTTGGTCTCCATAATCAAATTCCCTGCCTTCACTACCAATTTCTTCAACAATCTGTCATATATCACAGGCGCCGGGTACCGGAATATCGCAACTCCGAAACCCCTGCCCCACAAAAACGATTTGCAACCGTTATAACGAACCTCGGTTCTTAACACACCGAAACCTGCGCACCCAGAATTCCCCAAATCCTGTCACATCCTGCCAAATCCTGCTTAACCCCTGGCATCTTGAGATCGCTTTTGCCTCCTTTATCATCTGACATGCCTCACGCTTAGCTTTCTCTCCATTGTTCTGTGCGGAGTTGTAACTCTATCTACTACCGAAAATGAAGCTTTAAAAGCAGGCCAATAACCTGGGGTTTTTTGTAATCATGCTGATTCTGCTTTTTTCGTGGCACTTTGTCGCTGCCGTGGTGCTTTTGGTGGCTGCAAAATACACCTACACTAGGATAAGACACCACAGACTCGCTAAAAATTGGGGAACTCAGAAAATCCACGACCGCAAAGAATGGTGGCAGACTTTGCCGATTCTTTTTGACAATTCCATCGATACCTCGTCAGGCTACTTTTTGCAAGGAGTACACCAGCGGTTTGGTCTGGCGAATGCGTTTTCACTCGCTATTCCTGGAAAACAGATCATCATCAGCCAGAGCCCGAAAGTCATGAAAGCGATGTTTCTGACGCAATTCAGCGATTTCAATTTGGGCGTCCGGGTTCCTGCTTTTGCGCCGCTTTTGGGAAACGGCATCTTTGCGGCTGAGGGGCTGCAATGGAAGCATTCTCGAAATCTTCTTAAACCGCAGTTTGTAAGGGAGCAAGTGGGCCATGTCGAGATGCTCGAGCCGCACGTAAAGCTCATGATAGAGCATATAAAGCGGAACAGCGGGTGTGAGTTTGATTTGGAGCACCTTTTTTATGCTTTTACTTTGGACGCAGCGACACACTTTTTGTTTGGCGAAAGCACCGATGTTTTGGGAGAAAAGGGCGGCAACGTTGCGTTTGACAAGTCGCTTCAGTACGTTGGGGAGTACTTGGCCAAAAGACTGTCTCTTTTTGACTTTTACTGGGTCGCCAACAACAAGGGTTTCAGAGATAACATTAAGCAAATCCACGACTACACGCAGCAGTTTGTGGACAAGGCGTTGGATTTGAAACCAGAGGAAATTGAGTTGAAGTCAAATAGCGGGTACACTTTTCTCTACGAGTTGGTCAAACACACGAGAAATCCTGTGGAAATCAGGGACGAACTTCTCAACATCATGATCGCAGGAAGAGCCACCACGGCGCTGCTTTTGCTGTCTGTTTTCATGGAGCTCGGCAGAAATCCACGTGTTTGGGCTAGTTTGAGAGAAGAGGTTCAGCGTCATTTTGGCGGAGGAGAAGCCATCACCTTCGAGAGTCTCAAACGGTGCACCTACCTCAAATGGGTTATCAACGAAACACTCAGACTCTGGCCACCGGTGGCTCTGAACTTGAGAGAAGCTGAAAAAGATACGTCAATTCCAGAAGGCGGCGGTCCTGATGGCCTTTCACCAGTTTTCTGTCCTAAAGGCTCGATCATCGTGGTGATGCTTTTCAGCATCCACAGACTGGAACAGTACTACGGACTGAATGCTAACGATTTTGTTCCTGAGCGATGGCTGGGATTGTCCAAAATCGGCTGGGCTTTTATGCCTTTTGGAAGCGGTCCTCGGGTCTGCTTGGGTCAGCAGTTTGCGCTTACGGAGGTGCTGTATGTGTTGGTTCGTTTGGCTCAGGCTTTTGAGAAGTTGGACTACTGTGGAGAGTATCCTCCCAGGATCTTGGCCAATGCCGTTTTGAAGTACAAGGAGGGGGTGCCCCTGAGAATGGGCTAGGTTGGAGGATTTTTGGCTGGCCCAATAGGAGTATTTATGAATGTAATGCAATTAAGCTTGATGCGATCGAGATCTTGTATTTTGTGACAAGGGGGAGGAAGTAGAGGCCTGAGTAGTGAAGGTGGGCGACATGTCTTGTTAGTTGCAGTAAAGCTGATGATTTTCTTGTTGGTTTCATGAATTGTGTCGTTTGACTTCATGACATGGGCATGGTTTGACAGTTTGTGGGTGTAATCTCCCGTTGCACAAAAATTATACACTTCATCAAATAAATCAGATACGAAAGAAGCGTTCATGAAATGAACATAGAAGAATAAAAATGCCTGCCGCAACATACTTCTCCTAGCCAATGGCTCGTTACCACATATCTCAATCTAGCTTATCAGTGCCGCCGTAACATAACCCCCATATACAAATCTTTCTCTACTTCATGGCTTTTCACGGACCCTGTGGCTATCCTCAGAAAATAATTCCACGGTCTGCCCGCTGTAAAACCCACCTGGTGCATCGGCCGAATCTTAAAGTCCGAATCCCACATCTCTCCTACATCCCTACAAGACCTTTCAACAGAAATACACCATTGAATTGCTTCTTTTTGCCCGATTCTCTCCTCGGCCGCTCCAATTGCTTTTTCGGGCTGTCCTTCGCCAACTTAGGAACGGATCACAAAGAAACGCAAGGCTGACCCCCAAGCCCCAGCAGACCATCTCCACCATCGGGGCTTGTTTGAAAAGAAAAGCAATGACGTCGGTACTCTGCATTTACTAAGATACGGCTGATGTCCGTGGTATCCGTGGAAGAGATTCAACGCCTTACTAAGAACCCCTCCATGATAATGCACAAGATGGAATTGCCCGTGTTAGAGAAAAAGCAGCTCTTCTCGGGTCCCGTTCTTCTCGGGTCCCGTTCTTCTCGGGTCCCGTTCTTCTCGGGTCCCGTTCTTCTCGGGTCCCGTTCTTCTCGGGTTCCGTTCTCCTCCGGTCCCCAGTTTAACCCTCCATACCTTCAGGGAGGAGAAGATCAAGCTGTAACCAGAATGATTGGGTGGTAGCGGGGCCGAGATCCATGATGTTGAGCGAAAAAGGCAGAAGCTTCATTGCTAGTCAAAGTGGGGTTCGGCTTAGAAAAACGGGCGAGGTCTGGGTACTCCAGCTTATACGGTGGTTAGACAACTACTCTGATATCCCCACAGAAGCGGACGGGCATTCCAGCGTCCAATAGAAACGATTCCCCCAGTTTCTCCAGATCACAAAAGGCCCACTGTAATCAGATCCATACTACGTAGAGTCAAAACAGAAATTAAACAGAAATAACGAGGCTGAAGAGCCGGGTAAGATGTCTCAGAATGAGCTTGTTGTGGTGATGATATACACGGATAAGGGGACCGTGACACCGCCGATTCTGACGTCTTGTCCAAGAAAAACCAACAAAAGCTTCACCTCGTTATCTTGTTTCACCGTGTTTCAGCCCGCGTTTCACATCCTCCTCTCGACTAGAGGGGTACCTACATTCACAGGATTTTCGCAGCCACATTACCCAAGGTGGATAAAGCATGGATCGGCCAAATCAACCGAGGCCAATCTGTCGGAGGGGTTCCACAAAGGCATTCTGGAAGCTTTTGGATAATACGGCTGGAACGGTTTTGACATGAAACGTTGGGGAGCCTATAAGCGAGGAGGGATCCGGTCTGGGTAATTTTGAGGTTGAGTTTTTGTTTAATGTAGGAGGGTTTTCTGTGGGAGGAGGTTTTTTGTGGGAGGATGTTTCCTGTGGGAGGTTTGCAGTAGGCGGATTGATTTCGAAAAATGGGTCGTGGAGGGATCTGCTTTCGTCGAGCAGCCATTGTGGATTCTAGGCCAGGCAAAATGAGAAAAGACGGGGGGAACAAGGCGTGGAGGGCAGTTGGGACGTGTTATTTTTCAATAATTTCCATTTCTGTTTTGGGCCCAGCCGTCTATTCCTCGTCAAGGCGTATTGTGCTTTCACTGACGCTTTCTGCGGAGTTAGCCTGGTTTCAGAGCCGTGGAAGCACAGTGGCTACGGACGAATCGAATACAAGTAGAAAAGGGAGAATTGTGTTGGTGGATGTTTCGGAATCCGTGTGGTGCTTCTGTCTGATTCATGGGGTATGGCATTCTCCGTTCGCATCACAAACCACAAGGGTAGGATCTGCCTCTGCCAACGCCAATTTATTGTAGTGGAAAAATTGAAATTACTGAGGCCAGACAATTGGACAGGTGAGACGATCCACGAGTTCCATACCTTATTCGTCACAGGAGGGGATGCCATGAGCTTTATGGTAGTATCAAGGTGTACAAGGCTAATGTCAAATCAGACTCCATCTGTAACTAGGCGTCTGTAACTAGGCATCTGTAACCAGGCATCTGTAACTAGGCATCTGAAACTAAGGGCCCTCCAACCAGGATCCAGCACCGCATTAGGAAGAATCTAATTTCGAGCATGTGTGGTAGTTGGATCTTGGCAGTTTTCTATACCATAAGTCTACTAGTCAATACAACCCGAACAATGCACTGACGCAAAATGGCCAGGAAGCGAAATAGATAGTATCGTTTTTTGGCGCCTCTAGCGATACACCCATTACGTCATGGGCTCGGAAAGCCAGATTTAAAATTTAGTCGCTTGGTGTTTTGGCTCCATCACATGAAGACTTTTCGCAGCCAGAAACCCAAAATTAGCGCAATTTCCCCAAGCGGCAGATATCCCTAGCAAGGCGGGTCTTTCCTGTAGTAGGGTTCAAGGAGCATACACTTCCTGGATAAGAATAAGAGGTTCTTTTTTTTTTTTTTTTTTCTCATTGCATCTATACTGTTTGGGGAAGATATGGGATAGTAGAGACCCGTTTGGGTATTATGTTTCCTGCAGGACGGTAGCCCCTCTCGACGCGCGAATCGGGCAGCACCCCGCTGCACAATTTGAGTCACATGCATGTCATGTGACGTCTGATCGGGCGAATGGCATGTCCGCAATGCGCATACAGACTGCCCTGTCAGGACAGAGAAAGTACCATTACAGCACAAGACCCGTGCCTCTTACAAAGACACATGTTGCAAAAGTTTTATAGATAAAACTCGCCTAACAAAAAAGAATGGAATCTGCCCCGCGGTCTGCCCCACTTGGTGCTTCCACATGTCCGAAAACAATCAACGTAACGGCCGGCAAATTGCATTCAACCCAACACCGTTCTACGCCAGACCCTTGTCCTCCACTTCCGCCATTGTTCGTTATCAGGTTCGCGTCCTGCATAATCCTGGACCCGCAGGTCCCCGCAAATCAACAGAAATTCTCTCTCCGGCCAAAAAAAACTATATAAACGGCCGCTTCGCACTTTTTTGCAAAAATCATCTTAAAACACAAGACACATTTGTATTTATTATGACGCAGGGCAAGTGCAAGGCAGACAGAGTATGGTCCATTGAGGGTCAGCACGAGATTGTTTTCAAGCAAGTGTGGGCTGCTTACCTCAAATCCTTTGGCTACGACTTGGACGACTTGTCCTTTTCTGAAATTGAGTCTGGTAAGGCTTTCGTTAGCGGCAAAGCTAAAAACGCCCTTCCCAAGGTCCTGAGCACCCTGGCTCTCGACTCCGCTCCAAAGTACTCAGAGAGAACAGCAAAGACTTTCGAGGCCAACCAGGGCAAAGCCGTTCCTCACGATGCCACCTTTGATGTCAAGGCCAAGGCTCCATCCAAGGAGGTCTACTCCCACTTGGCCAAGTTCAAGCCAGCAGAGCTCCACCAGGCTTTCTGGGCTTCTTTGAGAAACGACTCCCCAGACAACAACTTGCTTCGTTTCGTGCGTGCCAGAAAGTTCAAGACCGGTCCCATCGTTGAGATGGCTGCCAAGTGCTTGGAGTGGAAGGTGAAGGAATACCCAGTCGACAAGTGGGTCATGGACGGTGACCTCGAGATCTACTCGCTGAAGAAGCACCCAGAGATCATCAAGGCCTTCGAGATGGGCAAGGCTTACTTCCGTGGCGTGGACCGTGACGGTGGCCCAATTGTGGTGATTCGTGTCAAGAAGCACTTTGGCTCTGACTGTCCAGAGAAGGACTTTGAGCGTTTCATCTGTTTGATCATTGAGTGGGTGAGAATTGCCTTGAAGGACTACGAGCTTGGTAACGATGGTGCCAACATTTTGTTCGATATGAATGGATTTTCTTTGAAGAACGCCGATCTCCAAGCTGTCAAGTTCTTGGCCAAGCAGTTTGAGGCTAACTACCCAGAATCGCTTTCCGCCATCTGGATCCACAAGGCTCCATGGATTTTCAACGCTGTGTGGAAGATCATCAAGGGTTGGTTGGACCCAGTCGTTGCCTCCAAGGTGCACTTCACCAAGAGCGCCGACGACTTGGCCAAGTTCGCCGACAAGAAGTTCATTCCAAAGGACTTGGGCGGAAACGACGACTACGCGCCACAGTACGTTACTCCAACGAAGGAGAACGCTTCCACTCTTCCAAAGGACGAGAAGTTTGAGCAGTTGATCAAGGAGAGACAGGACTTGACCTACACATTTATCGAGACGACGTTGGCCTGGATCAAGGCTAAGGACGCCAAGCTGAGCACAGAGCTCATGGACTTGAAGATCCAGTTGGGTGCCGAATTGGCCCAGAACTACTTGAAGATCGACCCTTACGTGCGTTCCCGTGGTGTCTTTGACAGAGATGGCGCCATTGGTACCCCTTCGTTCTAGACAGCTTCCTGGTGAAGCATAGAGAATGAACAATTTTTATTGACTTGACGAGGTTGTAGCGTAGTCGTCTAGCCATTGTGCAGGCGTTGACAGGTTTGTCCTGCAGGTATTCCCCTCTCTTTGGGGTAATGGAGTTACTCGCTTGGACAAGGTCGCAATACTATCGACTTTGAAAAGCACAAGGGTTAGAATTAAAAAGTTAGACTTTCGATTTGAGTTTTTGGGTGAATCTTGAAACTCATCTAGAGACTTGAGAACTTTTACGTATTGTCTTGCATTGTATATTTAGAGCTTCTTAGTTGTACATTAGCTCTAGTTAGTGTATCGTCTTGTGATGTAATAGATGTTGCAAAACCTGGTGCAAAGAGATAAACTTTTTGTATCATACTTCAAATTTCATGTATTTGACCTGTCTTCGATTTAGGGTCCCAAGATTTGTCAATATTGGAATGACCAGTATAGAGGAGAATCTAGAATATCGAAGGTCTTACACGTGGTTCTGATACTCTACATCACCCTTCTTCAAGCATGGGGTGTCCTTTAGCTCTACTGTAATTGACTCTATTCATGAATCAAGTTACCTATGGAAACGATAACGTCTCCTAGTATGTTTTGCTTATTGAGGTCATTAGGGAACCGGCAGAGTTACCGTATATAACATACGCTTCTTCTGTAAATCAGATCAAGATTCAGAAACCTTCTTGCCGTCAATCTGTGTGAAATTTGAAACACGGTCATGTCTTCCATCTACGGTTCTGAGCACATGCTCCTTCGCCATATTAAAGTATTTCTGCAGAAATAAAACCTCTCTTGAAAACAGAAATAACAACCCCACAAGTCAGCCTGTCATTCCTTTTTGACGAGTTTCTTTTGCAGCCAATTTCTTCGTCTTCGCTGTGTGCAGTACGTTTAAATCTGCCCCACTTCGTAAAGAAAAAGTCAGATCTGCACACACCTCCCCTCACAGCTCATCTCCGCTGTGCGCGTCGCCCGCTCGCATGAGAAGAATGTGGTGCACGGATGTGGAAGATTCGAAGATCGGATCGGGTGGTGCACGGGTGTTTGTCTTTGTCGAAAATATTCGGTGGTGTAGGACCATTTGGGTCAAGAAATAGATAGACTACATTAATTTTCAAAAATATTTTATCTCCTAATTCTTGGTCTGGGAGAGTCGATTTTGGCGGCGGTGGATAGAGATTTTCTGGAATGACCGTTGGAAAAGTCTTGCAGTGGCCAAAAGCTTAAATGCCATTTTAGGTTTCGTAAAGCGAAGGAAGACCGTTGACTTATTCTAAGTACAGAAAAAACAGTTTGTAGGATTGTGCACAAAATCGTAGGTGCTTCAGATCACGAACACTTCCGCTTGATATGAAAGATTAAGTATTTTTTTTTTTTTTTTTTAGCAGAGGATCAATTGACGCTTGTTTTCGGTTACCCTTTTCAAAAGATCCACCTTGGGTCCAGAAGAGCTCGAAAGTTCGCAAGTACTTTGAACGATAAGTTAGATTACTGTGAGAACCGCTGTCTGTTCCGCCTTCCAATGGTCGTTGGAAAATGTTAGTGAAAACTCTTTCCGCTTGTCTTCTCCAATTAGCACCTCCGAAAGCCAAAGCCGTTTTGGCCGCTTGGTAACGCAAAATGCCATGATGGCAAACAAGGTGTCTGCTTCACTCACCAAGTTTGGTAACCAAAGCAGTTTTTTGCTTTCAGAAGAGTACTCTCCCAAATCTGTTCCGTAGCATCTGGAGCCAAGGCGTACTTTTCAAAGTACACCAAATGTTGTACCTTTGTGAATCTGTTAGAAGCAGCCTCCGGTATTAAAGATCAATACTCAAAGTTGTGGAGTCTGAACAAGGAAAGCTCCACAAAGCGCATTCCACAGCAAGCTCAATTCGAATCTGGTAGGTTCGACTGCGATAGTTCGAGGAAGTTGGCCCAAGATGTGGAAGATAGCAATTATCAAGAGAGGCATTCGAATTCCCAGGCAGAGAAATAGAATTTTATCTTTGAGTCTTTCAAAACATGTGGCCTTACCTTTTCAATGACTTGAATCACTCCACCCTCTTTGAGACTAGTATGCTCCTCTAGTGTAACAGCTAGTAGAACAGCTGCATCACAAAACAGCGCCTTTACGTTGAGATTCAAGAGCCAAGAACTACTTTAAGCTTGATCCACTTTTCACGATGTTACAAGGCAGAACTAACCTGTACCCTTTTGGTAGAATGTAGTGCGATAGGCTCGATGGAAATAGAGCGTCCACTTCTCTTGTATTCATTGCCGTGGTGCACTTCAAATTCTACAAAAGTTGGCTAATCAAGACAGTAGTACTCAACTGGAGCACAGTATCTGTGGTTTTTGACTTGCCTTTTCAACGCATGACCCGTACTATCTTCCTTCTTAGTCCTCCCACGCCTTACACAAAAGCCAATTTCATATAATCTCAACTTTGGCCACGAGCATCTGTGTGGCACTTTACAGCCGTGCGCTACATCACCTCTGGGTGTTGATAAACACGCAAACAAAGCAACAAATGGAAAAACAAAGCATCAAATGGCCTCTTTCTTCAAAGTTCAACAATATATAATTTTCTTCTCTCGAAAACCACATCCCTTCCATAGTTTACGGAAACAGCACACCGTTCCACCGAAGCATCAAGACGTATCTAAACTCCATTAGCGTGTGACGAACTCGGGAGGCCCGCAGCAATACAAGAGAAAAGTGCGGTTGCTTCGCCTGCCAAGCTTGTCGTTTCGTTTCATCAAAATTGACAATTCGCTTCTATCAAAAACGGAAGTTGCAAAATTTGCAGCCACCCAATCACCCAAAACCCAATCCACGACAAACCCAATAAAGTATAGGCTCTCCTGCTTCCCCAGAATTGCCCCTGCCAGGATTTGCTGTACCTTGTGTCGCTAAGTTGCTTTACATTAGCCGCCATGCGTTCGAGATCGATACAAGATCCACCCTTCAGCCCTGCTTCTTCGCCATGTCTCCGAAATCCCGTTTTTACAACTACAAGCCGTCGCTAGCGGCTCCCATTATTTTCACTATTGCTTTTGCGGCGATGTCGCTTCTTGCGTGTTTTCAGTTCTACAGAGCATTGAAGAATCCCACAGCCTCGAAGCTCGACAAACGCAGAACACTCATTGTGATACCTTTTATTTTCGGAGGCCTCTGTGAAATCGTCGGGTGTATTTGCAGAATCATCAATTCCCAGGATCCCAATGCCAAAAACCCGTTCATCGTTCAGGCGGTTCTTTTGCTAGTGGCAGCTGCTCTTTTTGCAGCCACCATTTACATGATTTTGGGCAGGATCATCGCCATGTTGAACAGCGCCCACCAATCATTGGTTCCTGTCAAATGGCTCACAAAAATATTTGTTCTAGGCGATGTCATTTCCTTTTTGATGCAAGGAATTGGAGCCAGTGTGAGAGCTGCTGATCCTAGTAAAAGTGACCACGCTGAACGGATCATCATCGGCGGTCTTTTCGTGCAAATTGGCTTTTTTGGTGTTTTCATCATTGTGGCGGCTCTTTTCCAATATAAAGTGTGGAGAAACCCTTCTGTGGAAGCCCGGGCATTGAGGTATACTCCTTCCAAGACAACTGGCAGACCATCCTCATTACACTTTTTGTGTGTTCCATTTTGATTCTCGTTCGTTGTATCATTCGTGCAGTGGAGTACCTCCAGGGCTACGACGGTTTCATTATTTCCAACGAGGCGTTCCTCTACACGTTGGATCTTTTGTTGATGTTCCTCAACATGGTGCTTTTGAGCTGGCAGGACAACTGTGCATACTTTGTGGAGGTCGGACCGCTTTCCAGAGACGAGAATTTTATCAATTCTAAGCAAATGCTGTTTCGGTTGGAGCAGGAGAAGCTTTCAGGTCCAATAGCTGAGCTGGATCTGTTCAGAGATGAAGCGAGGACCATGGTATAGGGGATTTTATAGATAAGCAAGAGATATAGATGAGGAGGGGTGGTTTCTTGAAATGTAGAGTTCAGACTGAGTTTGGAGTGAGTTTGGAAAGAAATCATGAGTTTGAGGTTTTACTTCAATGCGGTGCATGGTAGTGATGAGGTGATTTGTCAATGAAGAAGGTAGCGCTAAAGTCGAACACAAAAGCATGCTCTACTAATTCATAATGTGTTCTTGCTACAGATCACTATGAACTTGAAGGAATCGGAGTGTTGATCTGTATTCTTCACAGCCACAGTGGGTCCTCAAGTGCTATTTTGCAGCCACATGGAATCCACTGATTTGCCATCAAAAAAGACCCCCCTTCCCCAGGAATACTCCAAGAGTTCCAAAATGATAGTTAATAGATCAACTCTGCCTTCGTTTGTTAGGATGCTCGGGATTCATAGTAAATTACGACTAACACTTAGATATAACTTCCTCAACTTCTGAGGACTAAGAGCACTTAAATACTAGAACATAGATAGAGTTTGTTGTAATCTGGTTTTATGTTACCAGGAATTTCCATACAGCGGCTCTTGTCTGGTATCTGAGAGACCGTGAATTTCCTGTTATGCCGTGTATCACCTAGTGTCCTTCAAATCAGGAAACTAGCTCTACCGGGAAACCTCCTTATCTATGTCTGATACCTGACACGCTTGATGTTAAGCGTGTATCCATAATTCCTAACGTGACATCGTTGTCATGGTGATGCTGAATGATGTTGAGTCCACCTACTACTCCCTTAAGATTAGCCCACTGACATTAGCCCTCCTGGCATTCACCCTATCACGGCAATGACCCACCACGCTTCAAACCAAAATAATCTCAAAACTCCAAATATGAGCCCCTGAGCCCCTTTCAGGTCCACTAAATCCACCCATATCCGCCGGTTTTGCTTATCAGCAACTTGGGCGGATTCTTGGCAAGGTACCATTTTTTACGAGGCGCCAAGCTGGTGTGGCACCTTCCAGACCTCAACAAAGGGTGACAGAAATCGAAATCCAAAACCTATAGTGAACACATTTTGGCTCTTCACGATCCGATATTCACGATCCGACTCCGCCCGGGTCCATGCGTCTCGGAGTCAGCCACACGTCTCCGAGATTCACAAAATGGCAGTAACGGTGAAAAATGAAAATGAAAAATATCAAAATAATCAAAATCAAGAATCAAAGGCCAACTGGACCACCCCACAGTCCCTATCCTCTTGTTTAGCGAATATACGCGATGGCTGCAAACCACGCCGCAATGCCTTTTTTTTTTTTTTTTTTTTGATAACCAGTTTGAACGGCCCCGGATCGAATCCCATTTTCTACAGCTATTTCTAAAAAAAGACCGTTCCTGGCCCACGGGAAACGGCTGATAAATAGCCGCCTTGCTGCGGCGCTTCCTCCGCGTAGCTCCACCTAATTCCGCCTATATCCGCATACATCCGCATACATCCACCCGTACTAGATACACCCTCCACTACATGGCATCAGATATAAAGATCAAGGTGGTGCACCTGTTTCTTTCGTCAAATCACCATGGCTAGCGGATTCGAGAACTGGCAACCTTACATGTACACGCCGTCGTTGGCGGCAGCGATCATCTTCACCATAGTGTTTGTCGGAGTGACCGCATACGCTTCATTCCAGTTTTACAAGGCATTGAGGTACCCAAACATCCACCCGCTTGATCGCAAAAGAACCCTCATCATCATACCTTTCATAGTCGGAGGATTCTGTGAAATCATTGGCTGCATCGCTAGAGCAGTGTCTTCTCAAGACGACCAGGCTAGAACGCCTTTCATCATCCAGTCGGTGCTTTTGCTTGTGGCTCCTGCTCTTTTTGCAGCCACCATTTACATGATTTTGGGCAGAATCATCGCCATGTTGAACAGCGCCCACCAATCGCTCATTCCCTTGCGTTTCCTCACCAAGATCTTTGTCTTTGGTGATGTTCTTTCCTTCTTGATGCAGGGCACAGGAGCTGGGATCATGTCTGCTGGAAGCCACGACAATATCAGCACGGGTGAAAGTATCATCATTGCCGGTCTTTTCATCCAAATCGCCTTTTTCTCCGTTTTCATCGTCGTCACGGGTCTCTTCCAGTACAGAGTGTTGAGAGAGCCTTCTCTCGAGGCCCAGGGCACCAGATACACGCCTTCCAAGGTCCACAACTGGCAATTGATTATGTTCACGCTTTTTGCGTGCTCCATTCTCATTTTGGTCAGATGCATAGTCCGTGCTGTTGAGTACATTGAAGGCTGGGACGGCTACATCATATCCAACGAGGTCTTCCTTTACACCTTGGATCTCTTGTTGATGTTTTTGAACATGGTGTTATTGTGCTGGCAGGACATTTGTGGCTACTTTGTCGAAGTGGGCCCTATCTCCAGAGATCAGAATGCAGGCCAGCTGCTTACTGCCGATTCTGACGGCTATAACGAGGCCAAGGTCGGCTTTTAGACGGTAAGGAGCAAAAATAGCCAAACTTATAGATTAGCGGCATTTGGCGCTGCAGACCTTTGGCGGAACGGATTGTTCGGTGGTCTGTTTGCATTCTTTTCTAAGCATTTTCAATGGATATTTTAACTGAGGTGTTGGTGTAGGGGTAGTGATTTGTAGTAGGTTTCATGTTAATTTCCTTGATACTTTCGAATTCGTAGTCGGGTCCATTGAAAGTGGCGCCGGACGTGGGACTCAATTCAGTGATGTGAATCTTGGAAATCTTCAAAGCTAGACTAGTTGCAAAAGGTTTTACCCAAATTAAAGGCATTGATTATGAAGAAACATATACTCCAGTGATTAAGTATGCAAGTCTTAGGGTGTGTATCCCTATGTGCTGCAAAAGATTTGATAATACATCAAATGGATGTGAAGACGGCTTTCTTAAATGGTGAGCTCAAAAAGGAAATCTATATGGAACAACCAGAGGGTTATGCTCAGCACGAAGGAGAAGACTATGTTCTCAAACTCAACAAAGCTGTTGGATTGAAACAAGCTCCCAATGTGTGGAATGAGGATATTGGGTCTATCGATTTCACAAGGAGTACGTATGAGTCATGTTGTTATGTTATGAATAAGAAAGGGAAGGCTACCTATGTTGCATTATGTGTTGATGATAAGCTCAGAACATCTGGATCAGCATAATCACCGTGCTTAATTTAGCGAATCTCAAAAAGTCTTTACTTCATTATTTTCAGGTTGCCTCGACTTGACTCCATTTCTTGGCTCCTTATCGGTTTTGACGTTTCAATGAAGTGCCAAGGATCAGTGACAGCTTTGGCAGATATTGTGATGAATGTCACGGAAAAAGAAGACTGACCTAGAATTTTGGGGTTTTGGTCGGTTTTTGCTTTATATGTCAATCTCATTCCAGTTACCGTTGCCTCAAAATCATGGCACTAGATCAGCCATAACTGAGGATAAGCCAAGGGTAAGAATACCCCAAATCAACGTGCATTTTCCTTTCTTACCTTACTTTCCCTCGTCGAAGAAGACCAGAAAATGACAGTCAATAAGACCACTGCTGAAAAAGCAGAATCTGAAATACCCAACTTCCTCATGGTAATGACTTCTCCTTTGTGCGTTTAAATATAATGAGGGAATAGCAAAGGGGAGTCCGAATGACGCTCTTAGCTGCAAGAAGCAATACCAAATTCCGTCCTTCATGACTAGATGCACCTTTTTTTGCAAAAATGGTTCTCGCCAAATAGGCCTATTGTTCTTCTTATTAACGAGCGCCAACTAAAACCCGAACAATGACTGCCAAAGACAAACTAAGCCGAGTGGAATTTTTGCCGATTCACCAAAATTCGGCTAATCCAGCTTCTTACATTCCAATCAATTAAGCACGACATTTTATGGTGTTCCCTTCCTCAGAGTAATGCCTCAGAAACTTCATGATTCTTATTCCCACCGACTTAAAGCTCTTCAGAGTATCGCTTCGGCTAGCGTTTGATCCGATTCAATTTGCATGATCATATAAAGTTGCGGCAAAGTCCACCTTGTTTCCACGTTGCACCAAAATCTGCCTTATAGAGCTCTAGTCTGCTCCATCTCATCCAAAAATGGCTAACGGTTTCGAAAATTGGAGGCCGTACATGTACACGCCTTCGATGGCGGCTGCTATCATATTTGTGGTGGTATTTGCCATCATTACAGCTTTCACTTCATTCCAGTTCTATAAAGCCTTGAGACACCCAGAAATAGAGAAACTCGATCGAAGACGAACCCTCATCATCATCCCTTTTATTGTCGGAGGAGCCTGTGAAATCGGCGGCTGTGTTGCCAGAATCGTATCGTCCAAAGACGAAGGTGCCAAAAACCCGTTTATCGTTCAATCTGTGCTTTTGCTTGTGGCTCCAGCTCTTTTTGCAGCCACGATCTACATGACGCTAGGCCGTATTATCGCCATGCTAAAGAGTGCCCGTCAATCACTCATTCCATTACGCTTTCTAACAAAAATCTTCGTTTTTGGCGACGTCTTGTCGTTTCTAATGCAGGGCACTGGAGCAGGACTTATGGCTGCTAAAGACACCAAGTTCATTACCATAGGCGAGAATATCATCATCACGGGTCTTTTCATTCAGATCGGATTTTTCTCCGTCTTCATCATTGTATCTGGTCTTTTTCAGTACAGAGTGTTGAAGAACCCCTCACATGAAGCCCAAATAACTCGATACATCCCATCCACTAAGCGGAACTGGCAGTGTATCATGATTACGCTTTTTGCATGTTCAATTCTTATTTTGCTCAGATGCATAGTCCGTGCTATCGAGTATATTCAGGGCTGGGACGGATATATCATTTCCCATGAGGTGTTTCTTTACACCTTGGACCTCATGTTGATGTTTTTCACCATGGTGCTCTTGAGTTTCCAGGATATATGTGGATATTTCGTGAAGGTTGGGCCCCAGTCCAGAAGTCAAGGTGGGTTTTTGACGAGGGACTCTGATGGATATGATGAAGCCAAGGTGGGGTTTTGATGTGGGAAGTTAAATGTGATTGATAGTGGATGATTTAGGCCTTTCAGATTTTGGCGGTGCTGTTTTGTTTATTGTGGCATTCCCTGAAAATCTGTGTGATTACTCAGCATGAAAAATGGAGTTTGACAATGGTTTTGGGCCAATGCTGAAGAATTGACGTCACAGTGGATGCTAACAGAAATAAAGCTACAGATCCCAATAATGCTCATGTCACGGGCTTCATTCATTTTGCTTTTGGGAAGAAGCACAGGTCAATTTATTAAAGGAGTGGTCTCCATAATCAAACTTCATCACATACATAGTAAACCAGGATCACAGTCTGCCTATACCATCTACATCAAGCAGGTCTATCCCATAGTAAATTTTATCACCTTCAACTCCAAATTCCCCTCTTTAGCCCTAATCTTCCAACGAGCAGTGCTCTAAAAATAGCAACCGTTTAGTACCTCCTCGTCCACTTGATCTCGGGCTTGGCAGTGCCACTCCGTGACTATCTCGAGATACGAGTCTGTACTGTTTCAGCATTCTTGGCCCCACTGAGCCCCACACATGTAGCCGTGTCCAAAATTTGAAAATCGTGTTTTAAAGTGCTGGAAACGGCACGAAATATATAAGAGGAGCAATTCCGCAACTGTGATTTTGAAGACGTCAAATGGGCTTACTATCACCATGATGCCGATGAGATGAGCACATAGAAGAGGACATAAAGGTTCGTATAGTCGAAATTACAAGAAACTACGAAAGTACTCATTTGGGCTTTTGAATTTTTCAATCCTTGCTGTTAATTTGTCTGCCCTCAGGTTTGTCTGTTTTCAAGGCCCAAATTCGCATCTGTATCAACACATTTAGATCAACACCCACATGTTTTTTCCAAAACAAAGAGCCACCAAAGCCACAGAATCATAGAACAAGAAAATAAGCCACTGGCTTTGACGTGTCCACCAAGAAAATAACAATCCAAATGGCAGCTTTTGACCCCCAATAATCGAATTCCCATCAACCCCATAACTTCAAAACGTGAACGGCATCTCAAAACACGGTCTCCAATTTGTTATCTCTCGATCTGACGCACTCCGCCACTGCATCCCCTCAGATCAAAAGAAAAGCATAATTTTACCTGCCGCCGTGCTTCCACTATCACGATTGCGGATTTGCGCGGGTTTATGCGGATTTATATCCTACGTCCGCACACCCTCCACCTACTTATTCCCTGCAATTCCCCAAATCCGCTGGCATGGCAGAAACCGGGAAAAAAAGACACCGTCGGGTTTTCAGCTGTACAAACTGTCGGCGGAAGAAACGGAGATGCGATCGTGGGGTTCCTTGCGGTGAATGTGCTCGGAATGGCCTCAGCGATTGCTGCTCATACGAGGATGTGAAACCTTATAAACCGAAAAATCCCCAGTATGTCAAGCTAGAAGAATCAGTAATGAAAGACGAAACCACTTCTCCTGCCATGGAGGACTGGCAGTTCAATCTCTTCGAGGCTGCAAACAGACTGAAGAACGGCATCATTGAAACCAGTCTTCTTGGCTATAATACAATGGCGGGCGGTGATCCCATCACTGCTGTTGTCAAGAGCTTTTTGGCAAACCACAAGAATTTTGGTCGTTTGTGGCTGAACCTCATTTCTAGAGACGGAATGGTGCCGAAAGAGAAGCTTGACCAGTTTGAGCAGAAAGCGATAGCTCACTTTGGCGTGAACTATATTCGTCGCCTCAACGCTCATTCTACTGAAGAAGAAGTCGATGCTGTGCGCCAGACTATCAACGCTGGAAGTCTTCAGCATGGAATCGTCTTGAAACCATATGGATCCTGGGCTAGGCTTTCTCTTCTGGAGCAGGTCATTCTGATGCTTCCACCTTATAGTGTCGTTCTCTTGCTCGTTCGGGAATACTTCAAATTCCAGCAGAAGTGGTTGCCGATTTTGGACGAAAAGAAGTTCTTTTCTGAGCTCAATAGAGTGGTGGGACCCACCTTGGAGGGTTCCTGTATCATCAAGAGCTTCGAGCTGGCCACAGATGCCGTCATTTTGGGAACGCTTCTTTTGGCCATTCGTTTGGCATACTGCAGCATTGTTGCTTCGGAATTGACCCTATCAAAAGCCGAAAGAGCATCCATCTTGGAGAACCCTGTGGTCGTGGATGCTGGATTTGTTGCAAACGACCTTTTGAAGGAAATGACATTCTGCAATGTTGGCGGCACTCATGGCCTCCGTGCTCTTATGCTTCTCCAAACATTCCACATTTTCAGTTTTGAACGTGGCATGGTCACCGATCAGATGTCGTCCCTGGACATCATGAAGAAGATACACACCTGTGCCAGCAACATTCACTTGGATCTTGACAGAACTGTGCTTGGGTCTTGGAGAAGCAGGCTTGTCTTTGAAGCCAAAGAAACTGAAGTTGCACGGTCCCTTTGGCACACGATTCTACGGTTGGATGTCTACTGTGCCTTGCTTTTTGATCGGAGTCTTTCAATCCATCCAGATACATACCGTGTGGAGCTTCCTTCTCTGGATTCCGACAATGAGGCCGTGCAGCATATGACCGAAACAACAAGCCTATTCATGGCGCTTCTTGACCTTGTATCATCTACGATGCCGGTTTCCAGCAAAATCGACTACATGCAACTTACAGAGAAAATCAAGCGTTTGGAGGTTCTAACTAGCGAAAAGCTCGGTCGTATCGGAGATTATCTCCAGCCTTTGGGCGACGAGAAATCTAATGCCAAATGCCACCGGTTCTTGCTTCTCATGATAAGCAAAATTTGGCTTCTGACGGTCTACTTCTCGCTCTACTTGTTTTTTGAGCGTAAGGGCGAGCTTGATCTCAGCGTTGAGTACTTAAAAAAGCGTCTTACCGTCACCCAGAGAGACATTTGTTTCCTCAAGCCGGGATTCCTCGACCACATCGAGTCGTACTTCGGTGTCGGCTCAAAAATACTCCTAATACCGTTTTTCATGTCCCTTATGAGCAGTCAGCTCGGTGCTGGAGGTATCAGAGTGCGTTTCGCTTTCACTCTCAGGCTGATAAAATCCGATGAGACCGACATTCAGACAATCAAGAGGAAGCACCTTTACGAGCTGATTCACCGTAACGTTTTTGCAGCCGAGGAGGCCTCTTTGGAGCTTGCAGAATCTGTGTCGGAGAAATACTACCACGCCTGGGGCATCTCAAGATCCACTCGTGTGGGACAGAGAATGATCAACGATGAGATTCTTTTCGATGTCACCGACGAGGTCGCCAGGGCTGTGGAGGTGAACTACACAATTGAGCAGCTCAAAGACATCGATCTGGTGCTCAACGAGGCCAACATGGAGCACAGGCTGTACACCGAAATGTTTGGTAGCCGTCACCAGGACAAAGAGAGCACCTCGGAGGCCCGTGAGCTCCGTCTTTTAAATGCCCTCCAATTGGAGAAAAAATGGCTGCTGGTGACGCAGATCCAGGCCCATGCTCAGAAAAGCGCTTTCCTCAGCAGAGCCGGAGTCAGCACGGTGGAGCCACCCAGTGCAGAGCCAATAGCAGCGTGGCAATACGATCTCGAGCTGTTGCAAGGTTACGACCCGCAGCTCCTCATGGAGTTTTTCGGCAACGTCTAGTGCTTGCACAATGGCAGCGGAATCGAGAGAAAAAGGCAGAAAGACAAGGTTTTCCAAGCCGCCTGGTCCCGTCGCTTCAAACCGCCGGCTAAAGCTGGGGAATCACCGCCAAGTGTGCATGACAATTGGGCATGACAATTAGACACTTTCATTCAACCCAAGCCAAGATTTGGCGAAGCTCGGCGTGGCCTAGGGAAGGTGTCTACAAGGGAGACAAAGAGATGTGTTATTTTCCCTAAGGGAGAAGTGCAATTGGCTTTTACCAGGCGCCGTATTGGCTATCTGCACATATGGAAAGTGGCAGACTAAAAGGGAGAAGTACATTTGAAAAGTGCCAGAATTAAAGGGAGAAGGCAATTGGCTTTTGCCAGGCGTCGTGTTGCATTGACTATTGACTAGCTTCATATATGAAGCAGCAGAATTGAAGACGTCGTCGTTTCGACTATCTACACAGAAAGTGGCAGAATCAAAGGAACTGGAATCAAAGGAAATGGAATCAAAGGAAGGCTTGGGCATCGTATTGACTGTCTACACACATCAAAAGTAGCAGAATTAAAGTAAACACAAAGCATACTCTAGCACTCACAAGAGCATGACCGCAGCAATACCCATAGCAGCACCGCCCACGCCGTACTTGACTGCACCGCCAGTAGCAGAGGTGGTGTCAGCAGAAGTGGTCTGAGCAGCAGAAGTGGTGGTACTGGTGGTCTCCACCTCCTCAGGCAAGTACAATCTGTCGGTCTCGCCGTCAATGGCAGACTGGGCAAGCTCGTTCTTCACAGACAACCAGCTCAAGTAGGAGCTGACCTGGGTCTCGTGCATTTGCAAGGTGGTCTCTCTAGTGTAGGTTTCTTCGGGACCGTAGATGATGTCCAGCGAGGTGACAATGGTGTCCTTGCCGTAGGTGTTGGTCTGCTCCACAGTGGCAGTCCAGTCGTCGTCTGTAAGGGTGAAGGTGGTGGTGTGGATTCCGTCAGTGGGCAAGGTGGTTTCCTGACCAGTGTACAAGTCGGTTCTGGTCTTGGTGTAGGTTCTGTCGTTGTCGGTGAAGGTCATGGTGATGGTGAGCGAGGTGTCGTCGGCCATGACGCCAGACGCAGCAGCAGCAGCAAGTAAAACGGTGGAAAGCTTCATAGTGGTGATGGGCAAAAAGGGCCAGAAGGACGCCTTTAAATAGTAGCCCGCGAGCACCAGCGCCACGAAAAGCTGCTCAGCATTTGGGAAAGCCGATCGGTCTACCCTGCGGGATTGTTCCAAGAAAGCTGTGTCTCCAAGCCTTGGAGGCATTATGCTGGAGTTGTAAGACATCACCGGCTGGGGCTTGGCGGTCTTTGTGTGTGCCACGCAGCGCTATTGAGGATTTGGTAGAGCCGTGGGCCCCTTCAGAAGCTGCCAAGGCGAGGTTTGATGCACACAATGCTGGCTAATTTCTGGGTTTTGCTTCTGGGGTAGCGTCTCAGGGAGGGTGGGACCCCCAGAAGGGTCGGGTGGAAGCGAAATTTGGAAGAATAGAGGGCAGGGACGGGATTTTGGAATTGCAGAGTTTTGAAGAAAAAATTTACCGTGAAAACCACGCCACAACCGGCTCAAGAGGCCCTCGGCGTGTGCGCTGATGTATCAGATTAAGCACCTGTCAAATTCGCAGCCATCTACAGCGTATGCGGACGAAATCAGTTGTTCATTTCTAAATCCAAACTTACAAAAGCAAAACAGCAGCAAGCGCCACAGCGCCAGAGCCCAAGCCGAGTCTAGCGGCGGCGTTGGCAGAGGTGGTCTCGTCGTCGTCAGAGTCACTGTCATCCCAGTCGTCACCTCCGTATGGGTGACCCTCACCACCACCGTCCATTTCAGCCTGAACCTTGGAGTTGAACTCGGCCTTGGACGACTTGTACGCTTCAGCCTCGGTTGTGTGCATCGTACGCGACCATGGTCTGGTGTAGGTTCTCTCTGGACCAGTGACAATCTTGGAAGTAACCACAGTGGTGTCCTCACCATAAGTGTAGGTCATGGTTCTGAATGGGTCACCGCCTCTGTACATGGTTTCGGTGTAGGTGCCACTGGTGGGGGTGGTGGTGTCCTGACCGGTGTAGGTCTGGGTGGCGGTTCTGGTGTAGGTTCTGTCGTTGTTGGTGATGAAGTTGGTGATGGTGACCAAGGTAGGGCTGGTTGTGTCATCGGCAGCAACAACGCCGGCGGCAGCAGCAGCAAGAACAGGGGTGGAAAGCTTCATAGTTAGTGAAATGTGACTACGGCGGAGGGCTGGGGGCCAGCCAGGTATTAAATAGTAGGCAGGGTTCAGCCGAGACGGAGAAGGTGCTCAGGCGGACAATCTCCCTGAAGGTGGGCCTCCAGACTTGGCAGAGCTTGTGCGGGCGGGCCACAAAGAGACTCCAGAAAACCACAATTATCAAGATTTGCCAAGATGTGAGGGCTCTGTGACAATCAGATCTCGGCGCATGAATTCATTCCTTGGACAGGCTTTGGAACCTGCCAATAGGGGCAGGCGCTATCGGTTTAATCAGCCCACAGGGATTGGGAATGAGAGGAAATGGTTTTTGGGGGTTGGTTTGGGGTGGGATCTTGTAAGATGGTTTGAGCTTTTCGTGCATGCAGCAGCGTTGATAATTGACCGATTAGGAAGGTGCGTGGAAGAGGGTTTGGGAGTGTCAACTTCAGCCTAGTCGGTTCAACGGATGTCTGGGGTGGTTTAATTCTACGAGATTGGCTTTCTCTTTTTTTTTTTTTTCTTTTTTCCCCGTTATCGGACAGAAGCCTGGTGCCCACGGACAGAAGCCTGGTGCCGAAATAAGCCTCCACGCAGATTCTCTAAACCAGGGCATGCATCCCCACAAAATAATTTTTCACTCGGAGCATCGCGCCGAGGCCTCGGCCTACAGCTCGAAAGAGGCATGTATTCAAAGTCGGCTATCGCTACAACTCGTAAAATCAGGCATGTATTAAATCAAAAGTCAGCTATCTACAAGATCAAAGCAGCAGCAATACCAACGGCACCAACACCAGCACCGTAGTGCAAAGCAGCAGCAGCGCCAGTGGAGGAGGAGTCAGATCCAGATGAGGAGGAGTCAGAACCAGACGAGGAGGAAGAAGAACCGCCGTCGGAAGCGTTCTCAGCAGCCTTGGAAGCAGCAGACAAGTGCGACGAGTGGGATGACAAGAAGGAAGAAACCTCGGTGGTGTGCATGGCCTGGACCAAAGGTCTGGTGTAGGTCTCGTCAGGACCGGAGATGACCTGGTGGGTGGAGACGGTGGTAGCCTGACCGTAGGTGTTGGTCAAAAGCTTGGTTCTGGAGCCCTTTGGGATGGTGAAGGTGTAGGTGCCGGAGGCGGGCTCGGTGGTGGTCTGGCCGGTGTACTCTTCCGTAGCAGTCTTGGTGTACGTCATACCATTGTTGGTGATGGTACGGGTCAAGGTGACAGAGGAGGCGGCAGAAGCAAGGCCGGCAGAAGCAGCGAGGACGATGGCAGAGAACTTCATTGTTGGCTTGTGATGAAAGAAAAGTAGGAATTCTTGGAAAGCTGGGCGGGCAGGGCCCTTTATATATTGCACTGGAGCTGGATTTGGGGGGACATTTCCGGAATGTCGGGAATGGCAAAACGGAAAACCCAACCAGGAGGGTCCCGGCAGTCAGGGCAGGAGTTTTCCGAACCGGGCAGGTATCTTTTGCCGCGACATGCGGTTTTTTTGCAACTCTGCGACTGTGAGTGGCTCCCAGAAGCTCTTGGCATTTTCATTGTCTGATTTTATAGATAATACATATGGCCCATGGAATATGGAGGAGGCTGCCAAGAGGGCTGAGGAATCTGCAGGCGCGCAGATCCTCTGCTGCTAGCGAGCTGCAGTCATGCAGGTGTTTGTGCTTGTGTGCAGGAGCCCTTGGGGGTGGAATTGAAACGTCAAGCTGTCAGCCTGGCGGCTGGAGGTGCCAAGCAACGTCTATGTTGCAATTTACAGGACTTTTGAAAATTATCGATTACATCTAAACACAGCGCTTGCTCGGCATCCGCTCGGCGTTACAGTTAACCACCGCGCTTACAAGAGCATCACAGCAGCAATCGCCACACCGCCAATGGCGCCGTTTCTCAAGGCAGCAGCACCACCAGCAGACGAAGAGGAGTCAGAGGAGTCAGAAGAGCCCGACGAGCTTGACTCCGAAGTGCTCGACTTGGAGCCGCCGTTCTTGGACACATCCTCCGCAGCCTTGGAAGCCGCAGACAAGTGCGACGAGTGAGATGACAAGAAGGAAGACACCTCGGTCGTATGGAGCACCTGAACCAAGGGCTTGGTGTAGGTCTCGTCGGGGCCGGAAATGATCTGGTGGCTGGAGATGGTCGTGGCCTGACCGTAGGTGTTGGTCATGATCTTGGTGAAGGAGCCCTTGATGATGGAGGTGGTGAAGGTACCAGCAGTGGGCTCGGTGGTAGCCTGGCCGGTGTAGAGGTCAGCACCGGTCTTGGTGTAAGTCATACCGTTGTTGGTGACAACGGTGGTCCAGGTCCATGTGGAGGAGCCAGAAATCGACGAGTCTGCAGACACAAGAGCGGCGGAGGCAGCAAGGGCCAAGGGAGAAGACAACTTCATTGTGGGGTGGGGGGAAAGAAAAGGTGGAGCTTTGAGCTCCTTATATAGACCAGCCGGAGCCGTGACGGAGACGGGAATTGGGGAGGCGCCTGCCTTCAGCAGTTACGGATTGGTTAGGTTTGGGCGTGGTTACTGCGACGGCGTCTCTATGGTGTTTCCTTTTTAGCCCTCTGTGCTGCACGGCTTGACAGATGTCTTGGCAGTGTCATTGTGGGAGCGTGCGGCGCTTTGATGTCCCAGCGCGGTGAAGGCTTTTTTCGACTGGCATTGACATTCTGACATTGTGCCAAACCCGTATATCCAGTAAAAAGAGCTATTTGGAGCACCTCATTATAGCCAGAGTGAGTGTCCTTTAGTGTCTGCACCGGGGCTTGAGAGGTGACGTGCAGAAGGCGGCATGGGCGCGCATATGGTTGCGAATCCTGCCATCAGATTGTACGAGCTACAAGGTCTTGGCTGAAATCGGGCCAGTGTGTGGCCAACGTCTATTGGAAATAAACTACAAAAGCAAAGCGGCAGCAACGCCAAAAGCGCCAACGCCTGCGCCGTACTGCAAGGAGCCGGCGGCGCCAGAAGAAGAGCCGGACGAAGACGAGCCGGACGAAGATTGGGAGGAGGACTTGGACGAGGATCCAGTGGGCTTACCTGCGGCCGAGGCCAGTGCGGCGGAGTTCTCAGTAGAGTGCGAAGAAAACCAACTCGACACCTCGGTGGTGTGAACCACCTGGGAAACAGGTCTGGAGTAGGTCTCATCAGGACCAACGACAAGCATGTCGGTGGACACGGTGGTGGCCTGGCCGTAGGTGTTGGTGATGAGCTTGGTGTAGTCGCCCTTCATGACAGTGAAGGTGTAGGTACCGCTGGTTGGCTCGGTGGTTGGCTGGCCTGTGTAAAGCTCGGTGCCGGTCTTGGTGTACGTCATGCCATTGTTGGTGACGGTGGTGGTGTGGGTCCAGGAGGAGGAGCCAGAGATGGAGGAGTCTGCAGCAGAAACAGCAGAGGCGGCGGCAGCAAGGACAATGGGCACGGAGAACTTCATGGTTAGGAGACTGAGATACTCGAGGTGGTGGGCTGGGGACTCCAGGGTTCTGCCAGGGCTTTATATATCTGGGACTGACAGAGGCGACTCCGACGGTTGACTAGAAGTTTCTAGCCGAACACAAGCGACAGAGTTTCCAGCCAAACTCAAAGTGTGAACTTTGCTAGCCCAATTTGTGTAGGCGACGGAAAGTCTCTCAGGGCCAGGCTGGAGAAAAGGCTTGGCGTAGAGCATGCAGTTGACGTGCGAAGATGCATTAGATAAAATGGGAGAGGTGCTCTGTGGGGGGTGGGGGTGCGGCTGGGCGGACGCGGGAAAAGCGGCACCACAGTCTCTGAAATCGATCCTCCACTACCCCCAACCGCCCTGTCCCCGAGATCCCACTTCTCGCCGATTCAAACCCCCAAAATATGCCGACTGATGGACGAGATTCTGTGCGTCCTGCACACAGCCACGCCAAGACAGCTCGCACGTCAATGTCAAGCTTTCAATGCAAAACAGCAAATATGCATATCCAGGCAGCACCCCGGGGTCGGCGTCCTATCAGATTGCACGCCATGAGCGAACTAAGCCTACCACACCTGTCTTCTAAAAGTGCCGTTCTTTGTTCGCCAGAGGACCCCAGAAACGCCGTCTACTTCTAGCCCTTGTGGCGCTGCACACAGGCGAAACGCAGGCCTCAGTGCCCTGCTCCAGTTTTTTTTTCACTTCCGGCTTTTTTCACCTGCCTCACTTTTGTGTTTTCATCCCTCCGACCTCGGGCTCCCCGGAAACCTCCTTCCCACGCCAAGACACAAGGCCATTTCCACCAACCAGTGCTTCGCTCGCGGTTCGACCGTTTAGGTTATACTTCAGTTTCTGGGCATCTCTCGTTAACCGCCACGCCGACCACTCAGCGTCCAGCACAGGGTCTTCTGCGTCATAGAAGCTCCACCACTTTTTCTGCCGCACTTTGCGCCATGCCTGTCGGGTTTAGTGCCACGGCCCTTTTGGCTGCAAATTAGCTGCGTCGACCCTGTGTTTTCCTCTCTTTTCCGGCACCCCAGCTTATCTGATATATCTGATGCGCCATCGTCTTTGACCGTCTTTGACGAATGGGATCCATGAGCTGATTGGCCGCCTTAACCGAGTGATTTGATGAAGCATTTCCGGGCTCATTTCGGGGCTCCGTGCTCATCCTGGCCTCATCCACCAGTTGAACAACACCCAAAATCACAAAGCCAAACTAGCCAAAACCTGCCTTACCACGTCTTTGACGCCCACGGGCTTTTTCTCTTGGCGCCAATTGGCTGGGCAATACGAGGCACTCACACATTTTTCACCCGCTTTCGCAAGCTCAACTTTTCACGCATTTTTCACCAAGATTTTTCACTACCACCTCACCTCGACTTTTCACCCCAACTTTTCACCCAAATCTTCCACCCAAATCTTCCACCCTTGCAACATCCCAAGCAATGCATTTTCACAGGCGTCACCCCTGGTTGACAAGCACCTTCGACGTCACCACGCCCTGGTGACCTTCCCGGAATGCTCGGTTCCAGCCGTTCCAATAATCCTTCCACACATTCCAAAGCCTCCAGCACCACATTCCCGGGTTTTTCCAATTCAACCCTTCTCCTGCCGGCTCCCGCTGACTCTGCCTAAGCGATAGGCCCCAGACGCTCGATAGCCGTTTTCTGCCTCCTCGCGGCACTTGCGGAGATCAGCACATTCTCATTTGCAGCCATTCTCACCACCTACAACTAACACCACCGCCCATTCTGACCGCCGACATCTCTCTGTTTGATCTTCCTATGGCCCGACACAGCCTGCTTGGCCATGGTATTTATACTCTGCTTCCTCTGGTGGACCCTTTTCGCTCCCCATGCTTTCTCTCGTCTCCCTCACTCTCGCTTTATCAGCATGCCAGGCATTGACTTTGCCTGTCCGCTGGTCCAATGAGACGTTTTCTCCTCTGGCCTCCAGCGGCATAGTGTCCTCGACTCCGCTACTGCTGGTCCTGCTGGTCCCCTTGTCCAGTGCTCCCCTGCTGGCTCCATTGTCCAGTGCTCCGGAGGTCAGTTCTGTGGTTCAGCTTCCCAGCTCCAGCGCTCCTTCAGATTCGCCAGGCAGCTCTCTGGCTCCACCTTCTGGAAGCAGCTCGGCTCCAGCTTCTGCTCTGTCGCAGCCAGGCCAGTCTTCAGAGCCACAATCCTCGGCTCCACCTTCCAGCAGCTCTAACTCTGGAAGCTCCAATGGGCCTTCCGCTAGTTCCCTGGCTCCTAAGGAAAGCTCGGATAGCTCCCCGGCTCAGCCTTCCGAAAGCAACTCGCTGCAGCCTTCCGAGAGCGCTTCGAGCCCTGGCAGCTCTTCTAACCAGCCTAGTAGTGCTTCCAACGAAATAAGCAGATCCTCGATCCTGCCCAGCAGCTCCTCAAGCCAGATCACTTCTTCGGCTCAACCTTCCCAAAGCGCTTCGTCCCAGCCTTCTGGAAGCTCCTCCCAGCCTTCTGGAAGTGCCTCTGGTCAGCCCAGTGCTTCTTCTGAGCAGCCTAGTGGAAGTGCTTCTTCTGGCCAGCCTACTGAAAGCAAGGCGCCAAGTCTGTCTTCCGAAAGTGGTTCTGCTCAACCTTCCGAGAGCAATTCGTCAAACCAGCCTTCCCAGAGTAACTCCTCGAATCAGCCTTCCCAGAGTAACTCCTCGAATCAGCCCCCTGAAAGCAGCTCAAGTCAACCTTCTAGCAACGCTCCCAATGAGCCTTCTAGCAACGCTTCAAGTGAACCCTCGAGCAACTCGTCAGGTCAACCTTCTCAGAGTGCTTCAGAACCCTCTGGCATTTCTTCTGCTCAGCCCTCAGAAACTGCTTCTTCCAACCAGCCATCTGTGACTGGCTCCTCGGACCAACCTTCTGTGAGCAATGTCATTCAGCAGCCCTCCCAGAGCATTTTTAATGAGCCAGACAGATCCAGTGGTCCTTCCGAAAGCGCTTCTTCAAACCAGCCTGAGAGTAACTCCTCAAACCAGCCATCTGATGCCTCTTCTGTTCAGCCTTCCGGCAGCGAATCCTCGAACCAGCCTTCTGAGAGCATTACATCGAACCAGCCTTCTGAAAGCAATGCCTCCTCGAACCAACCCTCTGATACAAACTCCTTGAACCAACCTTCCGAAAGTGCCGTTTCGAACCAACCTTCCGAGAGTAATACTGCGAGTCAACCTTCTGGAAGCCCCTCCGAGAGCAATGCATCGATTCAGCCTTCTGAAAGTAATGCCTCGATTCAGCCCTCTGACGCTTCGGCTCCGGTTCAACCTTCTGAGGGCAACGCTTCGGTTCAGCCCTCTGAAATCAACTCAAATCAACCTTCGGGAAGCATCCCTGCTCAGCCCACCGAGAGCAATGCGTCAGACCCACCCGTGGATAGCAGCATTGCCCAGATTCCATCTGGTGAAATCCCTCAGGGTCCTTCTGACAGCGGCTCCATGGCTCCAACCGGAAGCGAAACTATGACTCCGGCTCCTACCGACATGAACTCGTCAAACCAGGCTCCTACTGGCGGAAACTCTTTTGGACTGGAACCAACCGACAGCTCTCCGAACAACGCTCCTTCTCAAACTGACGACTCCAGTCCAACTCAAAGTGGTTCTCTGGAGCCAACGAGTGAGGACTCTTTTGCACACATTCCAACTGATCCAGCCTGCGATTCTCAGGCTCCTAGCTGTGTGGTCCAGGCTCCTACCGACTCTGAACAGGCTCCTGGCAGTTCCATCGATCAGGCTCCAAATGAGAGCAACTTCTCCCAAGCTCCTACTGATGGCAGCTCTGTTCAAGCTCCAACCGAGGCTCCAACCAACTCTGAAAACCAGACACCCACTGAGCTTCCACCTACCCAGACTGACCCCTCGAATGGAAGTCCAACGAACGTTGATTCTTCCAACCAGGCTCCAACGAGTGTTGAGTCCGTCAACCAGGCTCCTACTGAAACCACCAACGTGAACCAAGACCCTGTGGGTGCCACCTCGACCCAGGCTGCAACTGAGGATCTATGGGATTCGGCTCCTACCAACAGCCCATCTGAACCAGACCAGCCTGAGAATCCAGACCAGCCTGAGAATCCAAACCAACCGGAAAATCCAGACCAGCCTGAAGATCCTTACACGAACCAGTCCCCAGAGGAAAGCACCCCTCCAGCCGACAGACACACTACTTCGCCAGACTCTCCTGCTACTCAGCCATGGAATTCACCTGACGATGTGTACACCACCACCGTTAACGGAGACAACGACAGACCTCATGCCGGTACTACCGTGGCCACCACGGTTGTGGAAACAGTCTACTTCACCCAGGGTCAAGGCCCCCAGGAACCCCAGCAGACTGATGCCAACCCAGGAAGCTCTCCTACAGACACTGGTGATACTCCAGACCAGAATCCCGGTAACGGCCCTGACAACGGCAACAATGGATTTGACGGCAACGAGGGCAATGGGAACGATGGAAACAACTCCAATAACGACTCGGGAAACAACGGCAACAACTTCAACAATGGCGGAAATGACGGCTCCGGTAGCGGCCCGGGAGACAACAATGACCACCAAGACGGATCTGGTGGTAATGACGGGCCTTCAGGAAATAACAATCCTTCGAACCCTGATGCTCCAGGCAGCTCTCCTGACCAATCACCTGGTAACTCGCCAGACAACGCTCCTGGTAACTCGCCAGACAACGCTCCTGGTAACTCGCCAGACAACGCTCCTGGTAACTCGCCAGACAACTTTGGAAACAACCCGGGCCAAGCTCCAGATGCTCCGGGTGATTCTCCACAAAACAGCCCAGGCTACCCTGCACCTCCAACTACCCTGGCGTTCAGTCCTGTTACGGTCCAGCCAATTCAGTCCACCCAGGGCCCTGCAACCACTCCTCCACCTGTCCTTCACTCCACAAGGAGCGGTTATGGTCACAACAGCACATCCATCGTTTCTGCTGTTAGATTCAATTCCACCATGCCTGCAAACTATACCATTCCTTCGACCTCATTGGCTCCGGTGACATCAAGTGCCAGTGAGCCTTCCGCGCTGGACCTGGGACGCTTCTGGTTTTGAATTACATCCGTTTGATTTCATATCAGCATATACGTTAAGATTTCGTTTTCTTCAAAGAGAATATTTTGCTCTTCTTTTCATCTTTGTTCTCGTCCTCTTCTTCACTCTCGTAGCCAGGCGGTGCTGGCATGTACTCCGGTAGTGGCTCGGCATTTTCGCCTTCTAAGAATGGAACGAGGCCTTCCAGGCCCTCTTGCCTGAGGAACACCACCGGCGAAGTACTCTTGATCTTTATCTCCTTCTCTGGCTCGTCGGTTGAGACCAACGTTAAACGAATATACAAATTGACATTCTTTCGAATACTGCAGGTCAAGAAGGACTGGCCAATGTCGTGAATGTAGCAGTCCCACCAGGATGGGTCTAGACTCAAGCGATAACAAATCCTTCGATCGACCTTATCCTGATACTTCGAGGGCGATCGGTCGTAAAGTTCCGACGCCTCATCCTCGGTTCTTTCAAAATCACTAAACGGCACCTCCACGTCGAGGTCCTGGTTGAGTATCTCGAACTTTTCCTCCAGATACGTCTCCGTTGCTCCCAAGAAGCGCATCAACTGGATAATCTTGACCTTGACATGGGTTATTTTGACTGTGGGGGGTTTCGTCGATCCAGACTTTGCCCTGTTCACACCAAGAGCGTCCAAAAGGTTGTCATTTGAGAAGGATGTCAACAAGTCAAGATCTACAAGACTGGAGAGACGCTTTCCGCCTTCAAGCACTCTGCAAGTGGTGCCTCTTTCTGTGTCTATGCGGCACTCTTCTTTGAATCTGACTCTGAGCTCAAACGGGACCTTCACGCTGTTAGAGGTAAACAACCTCATGAAGGAACCCTTCTTCTCCTTCGCCTCGTCGTCTATGCTGTACTTCACTCGCAGGAATGTGTGGTCGGTGTCATCGAGGAGGTTCCTGCTCCTGTCAGAAAGATGCCTTAGACTATAGACAATCTCCGAATTGCGAGGGGCAAAAAATACCGGAACCGAGTCCTTGATACTAAAGTGAAATAGTGGCGTGCCCACCTTGGCGTTTACGCTGTAATGGACCCTGCAGTAGTCGTCTGGATTGGCCTCCTGGTGAAAGAAACTGCCCACTAGCGCCACAGTATCCCGCTTGTCCTTCAGAAGATAGTACTTTGAGTGAAAAAACTTCTTATCTTGGACGCATTGTGCAACGTGCAGCTTATCAGGAAAGGTAAACTCAAAAGGATACGCGTATTCTCCCTTCGTTAGTGTAAACCGTTTAGAGCTCAAGTTGCCCTGGACCTCAGGAGGTGGAAAAGCTCGCAGTGTTAATTGAATGAGCTTGTGCGTTTCTGCTCCGGTAGTGTAAGAGCCATTGTTGGTGGTGTGGTTTCTCGATTTGGCTATACCCAAAAGCTCCACATCCAAGTACTGTAGATCAAGTTGATCTTCCACAATCAATTGGACGCTTCCTCGAACGGTATCGCCGGTTGTGTATAGCTGAGGATTTTCAATGTTGATTTCAAGCCGTGTTTTAGACATAAAGAGGAAAGGAGGCGATTGAACGCCTTATATGTTTGGACGTCATTATTCTGCGATATAGCAGCCGCATATGTCCTCAGACCGTGGGGCTTTTGATGATGCGGTGTGTGCAGGAGGATGACTTCGACGTCAATGGTATGTGGACTAGGTTGGCCAGGTGGGCTCGATAATGGTAACTGCTTTTTGCATTCGACTGAGGGGATTTCAAAGCTTTAGTTTGATTTTGGTAAATGGCTCTATGGCTTCGGGATATCGGAGAAATGCGTAGGATTGAGTGCTCTAAGATGGGCCATGGAACAGTAAAGTGACGACAGCATACTGATGTTCCAAGAATTACGGCCGAATTGGATAGACTTTAAGATCTGAGAAAAATTTCATTATTTTAGTGCACGTCACGTCAATTCATGTACGTCTAAGCGAGGTGCGAATATATGCCAAAGCGGTGGATTAAAAGATAGGGGATTTAAGCGGCCAAAACTGATGATATTTGTAAAGCAAGATACACCCTTTAATTAGTTTACCTTCATTATAAATATATCATCAACAGAGTTTTTTTGGTCAAGATCTGGATTTTTGTATGGTGTTTCAGGTTTCCGGTTCTTGTCTCATGCGGGAAGCTGCACGGAATATACAAAATGGTAAGTAGTACTTCCCACTTGATACGAAAACTACGAATACCTCATACAAAATTCGAATATTCTTTTGGCCGCTATGCATCGATAATTGCATCCTCTGAATCATTCAGGAATGGGGCATAATCGCTGAACTCCTCGCCATCGTCTGCAACCTACTTACCCCAGAACTCGAGCGGATTCAGACCACCGGTGTAGGCAAGTCTGTTGGGATTCTTAGCAGGAAGACCCTTCACTTTGCCCTGTGTTGCGTACTTGAGGAACTGACTTCTGAACTCAACAGGTTTGATGAGATTGGTGTTAAACTCAGACGTCAAACCTGGCTGCAAAGAGATCAAGTAAGACATTGAACCCGTCACATGAGGAGTGGCCATGGAAGTTCCGCTCATGACAGAGGGAGACCAAAGAATACCCACAGACGGCACATCGACACCGTAGGCATGGATATCCACACACTTGCCAAAGTTGGAGAAATCAGCAAGTGTGTCGTTTGAGTCTATAGCACCCACGATAATGGCACTAGTGTTGACGGCAGCAGAGTAACATGCATCCAGGGCGGTATTTCCAGCTGCAACAGCAACGTGAATTCCAGCTTCAGTAACAGCATTGATGGCTTCGGTGATAGCATGAGCAACAAGACCTTCGGTAGATAAGTTGATAGTGGAGCCCTTGAAGCCTGGCAACTTGGCGTCTATCTTTTTGACGTGGTCGTCATGAGCAAACTCAAAGCCTTTGACAATATTCGAAGACCGGACTATACCGAGAAGGGTAACAATACTCACTGAGGTCAAGTTGACTTGTTTAGCTACACCGTAGCTTTTCGACCCAATTGTACCAGCGACATGGGTACCGTGACCAAGGATATCTCCATTGATCCATGGGAATTCAAGCTGTGCACCCTGGGTTACTCTGTCGCCAAACTCAGCATCGTTCTTGACTCCAGAGTCCAACACATACGCATTGACGCCCTTTCCGCCTTCGTTGTCGTAGGTGTAATTTGCAGAGGTGGGTTTGTTGCGAGAGGAAAGTCTGGTAAGACCGTAAGGAGCTTCAGCTTGGGTGGTGATGCTGGAGAAATCGGCCTCCTCGTCTTCCTCCACAAACTTGACCAACGGGTTGTTCTGGATCTTGTTCAAGATGTCAGGGTCAAAGTAGCCTGCGTAGCCTCTGAAGAAGGACAACTTGAAGAAGCTCAATTCTCCGTCCTCGCCTTCGGGAATAACGTCTCTTTTGCTAGGGTGGCTCACAAGCCCTTCGATCCATTTCTGGTCCTCCAGGGCCTCGTCATCAGTGACGTTTCGGTTGTAAACGACAATGTACCTGGACTTGGCTGGTCTGGACACTCTGAGCAAAGGAGCTGCAACTTCTCTTTTGTTTATGGAACCTTCATGCTCTACAGGCTCGACGTCGGTGGAAACAGCGGCCTCTTCATTCAATGGAATGACAGCAGCAAGTGCTCCAATGGAGAGTAAGAGTGGAATCGAGAAGCCAGAAAGTTTCATTGTGGAGGTTGACTTTAAGAGCAAAACAGCCCATTTTATACCGATTGGCGACAAAGCCCGGAGATAACTTTGGTGGTTTTGGAGCGCTGCATTACACGGAATCTACGGTCTCGTAACTAATGCCCTATGGGTCAATAAACACGGCGAGACGTTGGGGAAACTGACCTGAGGGACTCGTGAAGTTGAGGATATTTAGATCTTATTGAAGGATGTTTCTTTAGAAGTATAATGTTTTCTTCTCTAATAGAGTGGTATCAGTTAAGAAAAAAAAAAAAAAATAAGTGACCAAACCTTATGTGAATTGTGAGCGTGGAAGTAAACAACGAGTGGCACCAAAAGGCGCCGAGCAGCTTTTGAATCAATAGCGATCGTGAATCGGAAACTGTTCTTCTTCAATTGCAGATGATTTAATGCTCGGAACACGAGAACAATTCAGAAATGACACAAAAGAGGTTTCTCTGAGATTCTGTGGGGTCCTGGTATCGAAGTCTGAGACTTTCCAATTTTGTGTCACCTTTTCGTGAGTCTTGGTGTAATTTTGTGCAACATATTGAGTACGGCGCAAAAACATGGAGACTCACCAATCAAGACAACAATGCATCAAAAGTGACAAGACAATCAAGAAAATTTTTTCACTCGGTTAGCTTTCTAGGCCTCCTATTCAAAGGATTCGTTGCAGCACGCTTCCTATGAGCAGCAGAGCCTGGTGTCTCGTCAACAACAAAATCGTCGTTTGCTCCAAGGTTTGAGCCAAAAAATTTATTTGACAATCCCTTTAATTTCAAAATGTAGCTGATAGATTTTTGGGAAACAACCAGCCTTGTTTTGAAGGAACATTCCTCAAACATTCTTCTGAGATCAAGATCCTTCTCATAAATCTGGAACAATTGCACATCACTTGGTTAAACATAATCTTCAACAACTGTGAAACGAAGTCAAAACAATAGACGAGTAGTGAGAATCAAAAGTGTAGCCCACCACTGCGGGTCATATTATTTGTGGAACTAGAGAATTGGGATTGATATACGGTAGAGTTTCTGTTCATGCAGATGTGACGTGCCTAAGGTTCACGAAATGGGACGGAAACCCACCAAATTCAAAATAAGGTTGCAACTCAACCCGAGGGCCAATTAGTAGAACCCTTCAAATAGAGGAAAATTCCTATCGAGTGATTCTTCCATCTGCGTAAATTGAATAAGAATGCAGGGACTGGGAACCTTCAAAATGGCCTGTGGCTTCTAAATGAAACACCAGGTCGATCGGAAGGGAAATGCTCTCGATGGCTTAACAAGTATTTGAAGCACCAACCAAATGGCAGCTTGTGTTGTATTTCGCCATCACTCTCGATCCATGAAGCTCTACTCAATTGGGAAACTATGGATCCTCGAGGCTTCTTTTAAAACAATTGTCTTCAAAAGATTCTTGAAAGCTTCATCCCTGACTTCTTGATTATCTTGTCAAGCTGACATTTTCTTGTATTGCATCTGCTTCCACACTATTGCCTGGTTTTGCCTGAGAGGAAGGTCCCGTCAATGCTGGATGTCCCGAGAATCGTTTCTTTTTTTTGCTGCTTTTTTTAAAAACACACCCTGGAAATATTTTTCCGGGACACCTCGATAAGGTTCGTGAGGCTTTTGATGCAATGTGCCCCGGTTTTCGCAGAGGTGTGGCGCCGAATTTGCAACCGTTATTCGCACAATTAAGACGTTCGGCTTCTTCTCTTCACCTATATATGGGAGCCACAGCAAAGCCTAATCAATTTGACGGTTTATTGTCGCAGAAGCAAGGTTACATAAATATGAAAAGTGTGGATCGCTGATTCGGCAAGAGGTGTGCGGACCTTATCAGGAGATGAGGCTGAAGACAAAGAAAAACCTATCAGCTGGAGACGAGGGTTTCTCAGTGATACTTCTCAAATCGAGATGGCGAAGTTTTCTTCATTCTAGACAAAGTAGAGACTTCAAGTTTCTTTCTTTACGGTGAAAATTCTGATGCACCAGCTGTCAAAGGATCAATCCACACTGGGCAATTGACGATGCCGCATATTGTTCAAGTATCACATCAATGTATGCGAAATAACTCCACTATGACAGGGTGTTGCCATTGAGCTGCAACAGCTCTAAAACAAAGGCCGCCAAAGGGGTTTTGTACATGGAAATTAGGTCATAATTGAAGAAAGCAGTCAGCTGGGCTGTGCAATATATATTGCCCTGATCGCCTAATGCTCAACGACCAAGGAAATGTCGGCCACAGAGAGAAGATTCAGCGTTTCATCGGGACCTTCTGACCACTCCAAGAAGAACAATGTTGATGTCAACGTTGTGGACCTTGAATCTCTCGATGCTGAGATCCAGCCTGAGCCTATTGACGACTACATCTTTGGTAAGGACAGGAACCTCAAAAGAGGACTCAAGCAGCGTCATATTCAGATGTTGACGTTGGTTGGCGTTTTTGGTACTGGTCTTTTTTTGTCAAGTGGATCAACTTTGCACTTGACCGGTAATGTGGGTATGGTGCTCTCGTACTTGTTTATCGGAATAATTGTTGGTTTGAACCAGCTTGCCCAGATTGAAATTTCTTGTTTGATGCCGGTTACAGGAGCTGTTATTCGACACGGTGAGCATTTCGTGGATCCTGCTTTCTCATTTGCTCTTGGGTGGATCGGAATCTACTCATCTATCATCCCTAGTGAGTTTTCTGCAACAGCGCTTATTATGAATTACTGGAGTGACTTGAATCCGGCTGTCTGGATCACGGTCTTTTTGGCTGTGATCATTGCATGTAATTCGTACAACATTCGCTTTTACGGTGAGATTGAATTTTTCTTTGGCTGTCTCAAGGTGTTCTTGATTCTCGGGCTTATCATTTTTTGCATCACCATGGACTTGGGGGGTGTGAAGAATGTCGACAGAATCGGGTTTCGTTACTGGAAGGACTCCCCATTTCGAGAGTATTACACTGACGGCAGCCTTGGAAAATTTCTTTCTTGGTGGAAGGCTTCTGGTTCTGTGATCTATTCCTACGGTGGAATCAGTGGTATTTCATACTACGCTGGTGAAACCCAAAACCCAAGACACTCCATCTACCTCGCCGGTAAGAGAATCTTCTTCAGAGTATTCACCTTCTACATGCTTACGGTGTTTGGGCTTACGCTTATCTTGTCTGCCGAACACCCGGACATTGCAAATGGTACTGGCGATTCCAATGGATCTCCTTTCGTGATAGCCATCAAGGATGCCGGTATTCGTGGGCTTCCCAGTGTCATTAACGCCGTTGTGTTAACTTCTGCGTTCTCCGCCTCCAACTTGGGTATTTTGTTGACATCCAGAAACTTCTTTGCATTAGCAGCCAAGGGCCAGGCTCCAAAGATCTTCCTCAAAACCAACAAGCATGGTTTGCCCTACTATGGTGTCATATTGGCTCTCTTGTTTTTGACGTTAGCTTACATGAATGCTAGTTCAGGTGCAGCTACTGTTTTTGGCTGGTTCCAAAGTCTCACAAGTGCCAATTTGCTTGTGAACTGGATTGCCATTTCCATAAACCATATTGCGCTTCAGAGAGCGTTAAAGGCCCAGGGCTACTCCAGAGACGACTTGCCATACAAAATGCCATTTGCTCACGTTGGAGCGTACGTTTCGTTATTCTTCCTTGTCATTCTTCTCTTGACTGGCGGATATCACAACTTCTTGAATGGCAACTTCAACGTCTCCTCCTTCATCAGTTCCTACTTTGTGATCCCGCTCTACTTGGTGTTGTTCTTGTTCTGGAAGTTCTTCAAGAAAACGTCATTGAAGAAGCCCGAGGACGTGGATTTGATGAGCTTATTCAAGCACGTTGAGCAGAACCCCGAACAGCTTCCAGAGAAAAACCGTGGTTGGAGGGTGGTTAAGTACTTGTGGGAGTAGCCTCCAAATTACGCTTTTCACAGATTGTATTGCTGTGTCTCCCATGGTTAGATTACTAGTAAACGAAAAGAATGTCCTGGAGTAGTAAATATCCATCCGATCCAAGCGCCTCAATGGTCCCCACGCCTCGAGGTACCGGGCGGGGCAATTTCCCAAAACATCAATAACAGACATCAGAAGACAGCTGCCTCGGCGTTCTCCAGTACTGACACAAGCAGCTCACCTTATACCACCAACTTGTGCAGATACGCAAAACAGGCCACCCAGGCGTTTCAGCAAATCAAAGTCTTTAAATCACACGATGACTCATCCGTGGCTGTCAACGGCGCAAACGCCCTGGCGCCGAAAAATCCACACTTTTCCAACAATGGTCCGATGTCCCGAGCGATGTCCCGAGCGATAGTGCACGATAGTGTAGATACAACGACCTCTATTTTTTTAGACACGGCATTTTGCGATCCACCCATTCTTATCAGCTTATCTATGTACATTCAGCCCGATATTCCTACATCTGGGCGTACCCCGTATTTCTTGCTTGTCTGTGTGCCGTGCCAAGAGGTGGTGGAGAAGTGTTGATTGTAGTACTACACCTGCGGTTGTGAGCGCTGTTGCGATGAAAGTAAAGGCCTTTTGAAGGTCAAGGGGGAGATGGCGAGGAGCGAAATCGCTTTATGTGCTTTTTGATAAAAATGCTTTTCTAGTACATATTTTCCCAATCCCGGAAAACCCACCCCGTGCGTGGCCAAGTACGCGAAATACCTTGGCACCGTTTGTCGATAGTGATGATGGTGGAGTCGCAAACCCAGGCTGCACTATCCAAGCTTTAATCGCTGATTTCGGCTCGCTGAGGCAGGTCCACCGGCTCCGTTTCTTGGCCGCTTCAGGCCTTGTCTTATCACACGCCTTTTATAAAAGCTAGCACTGCTGCCGAATTTTGCAGCCATATCCCGTCAGACCCAACATCATGAACGTCGACTACGAGAAGCAGACGAAAAGCGATCTGGCTTCGACGGATACGGGAAAGGGCTTGGCCGTGTCCTTGTCCCGCCCTGAACAGCTAAACCAGACCGGAGCAGACCAGGAATTGAGAAGAGCCTTGGACGCCAGACACTTGTCCATGATTGCCATTGGCGGTGCTTTGGGAACCGGCTTGTTGATTGGAACCGGTTCTGCCTTGAGAACGGCTGGGCCGGGTGCAATTTTCATCAGTTACTCGGTCATTGGTTTTGTTGTGTTTATGGTTTTGAGTTCCTTGGGTGAGATTGCAACTTTCATTCCTTTGGCAGACGGTTTTGCCGGCTACTGCAGAAGATATGTCGACGAGGCCCTTGGTTTTGCCTGCGGCTGGACCTACTTGTTTTTGTTTTTGTTGGTGCCTGCCAACCAGTTGGTGGCTGGTGCCTTGACGTTTGAATTCTGGGTAGACACTGATCGGGTCAATCCGGGTGTCTGGATTGCCGTTCTTTTGGTGATCATCACCACCATCAACATTCTCGGTGTTCGCTTTTTCGGCGAAATAGAGTTTTGGTTTTCCGTCGTCAAGGTCTGCACTTGTCTTGGTCTTATCATCTTGTTGCTTGTTATAGCCTTGGGTGGAAGCCCTAGAGGAGACAGACTTGGATTCCGGTACTGGCAGGACCCTGGCGCTTTCAGGGAATACGGAGACTCCTCAAGAGGGTTGCTTGTGGAAGGCGATGTGGGTCGTTTTGTCTCTTTTGTTTCTGTCTTGGTCTCCAGTGTTTTCGCCTACATTGGATGCGAGTTGGTTGGTATCACCTTTTCCGAATGCTCCAGACCAAGAAAAGCCATTCCCAAAGCCATTCGCTTGACATTCTACCGTATCGTCATTTTCTACATCCTCAACGTTTTGGTCTTGGGTATGTGTGTGCCTTCCAACGATGAAAGGCTTTTGGGCTCAGATGGTGCTCTAGCTTCGGCATCTCCGTTCGTCATTGCCATCACAAATGCCCAGATCGACGGCTTGGATCACGTCATCAACGCATGTATCTTGATTTTCGTCACTTCTGCTGCCACCGCCGATATGTACATTGCATCGAGAACCATCTACGGACTTGCTGTTGCTGGATATGCTCCACGCATTTTCTCCAAGACCAACGGCAACGGTGTTCCATTGTACGGAATTGCACTTTCGTTTGCCTTCTGTTTGTTGGGATTCATGACCACGTCCTCCGAGGCTGCCGAGATTTTCGACCATTTCGTGAACGTGGTTTCGCTTGCCGGTTTGATTGCATGGGCTTGTATTCTATTTGTCCACATTCGTTTCATGAGAGCAATGAAAGTGCAAGGAATAAAGAGAAAAGAGTTGGACTACCGCTCGCCCTGCCAGCCGTTCGGCTCCTACTTTGCCTTTTGCATCTGTTGTTTCGTCATGCTTGCCAAAAACTTCACAGTTTTCTTGGGCAACGATTTCCCTTACGAGACCTTCATCACGGGCTACATCATGCTTCCCGTGTTCATAATCATGTTCTTCGGCTGGAAGTTCTGGAAGAAGACCAGACTCATTCCATCCGAGGAAGTCGATTTGGTCACTTTCAAGGAGAACTTCGACTATGAGGAGGAGAACTTCAGGGCCAAGGATGCCGAGGAAAAGGCATACAGAGAAGCCCAGGGTAATCCTAAGGATTTCAAGTGGCTCTACGACAAGATCTTCGGCTGGATTTTCTGAGGACTGTGGGGAAAGTAACGATAATGATTTGCTTATAGCTATAGATAAACGTTTTTGAGATGAAGAAAATCGATTTGGCAAGAGATTAGAGCTATCGAGTAGTAGCAAGACTGTTTAAGGGAAATTCGATAAAAAATTGTTAGCTCCACGAGAACACACATTTGGACATTTTCGCAAACTAAATAAGTTTGTGAAGACGGTGAGAGCTACCTATTTAAGACACCGTGAATCGAGGAAAGAAGGCCTCAACCTTCTGCCCTTCTGATACGTCAATTGAAGAAGGCCGTGAGACAGATATGTCCTATGGGTCGATAAACACGGCGAGACATTCGGGAAACTGACCTGAGTGTCTCGTGAAATTGAGAATAATAAGATCTTATTGGAGGTTGTTTCTATAAAGATATAGTTTTTTTCACTCTAATAAAGAGACATCAGTAAAAAAAAAAAAAAAAAGTGTTTGATGGCCGACATTTTGTGTTCTAAATCAACCTTCTGTCTCAAAAGCAAATCGCATAATGAGCAGCTATAGCTTCCGACAAACTACTCATTTTTTCATCTCAACATAACAGTATTCAGAAATTGAATTTGTTACTTTTTATCATCCTCTCCATACAAATCTAGTGCCCCTCGTTTCCCCCAATAAGACGAGTCCTATAGGTTCGATGCCCTGTCTGAGCACCAGAAGACGCATCCAAAAGATACCCTAAAAGCACGAAGCACGAATTGTGGCAAGAACAGTTAAATGATTCTAAAAATCTGCTTTAAATGACTTTTTTTTTTTTCACCCCACCAAATCCCATATTGGCCCACCGCCTGGTGCGGAATTCTGACTCTTATGCTCGGTGGTAATAATTATGCAATGATAACGACGCGGAAAAAATAATGGCATGCGAGTCAACATGATAAGAGACCCTCATCTCCAAACCTCCCGATCCTAGTTGATCAAAAAAGCACCATGAGCACAAACCCATTGGAAATCATCGACATCTCAAGCTTGGATTTTGAATCTGCCAACAAATTGCTTGAGGCTGCCAAGACGCAGGGCTTCCTTTTCATCAAGGGCCACTCTTTCACGCCTCAAGAGATTGCATCCATCTTTGAACTTTCTGAAGATTTCTTCAAGTTGCCCTTTGACTACAAGTCGAAATACGCCATCGACAAGTACAACCACGGATACACCGGGTACGGCGTGGAGACGTTGGACCCTGAGAAGCTGGCTGTAGGTGATCCAAAGGAGGCTTTGAACATCGGAAGCATGGACTTCACGCTGGGAAAGTCCTCCAAAGTTCTTCCTGACTGGTTTGACGAGCAGCCGCTGAGAAGAGAGCTCATTGAGAAAACAGCCAAGAAGTTGTACGACACCAAGATGCGCTTGTTGAAGCTTTTGGCGATCGCCTTGGAAATTGAGTCTGAGGATGGAAAAGACGGAAGTGAGTGGTTTGAGAGTCGGTTTGAGCCAGACAGCGCCTCTGGTACTATTCTTCGCTTTTTGCACTATCCCAGCGTCAGCTCAACAAGCCCTGAAGTCAAGATTCGTGCTGGTGCTCACACAGACTACGGTGCTATGACGTTGCTTTTCCAGCAGCCCAACCAGGAGGGATTGCAGATTTACTCTCCTGTTTCGAAGAAATGGGAGTCTGTGCCTTATGTTCCCTCTACAGGCGAGCACGAGGGTGCTCCTATTGTCGTGAATATCGGAGACTTGCTTTCGTACTGGACGGCAGGATACCTCAAGTCGACAATTCACAGGGTGCAATTTCCCGAGGGCACTCAGACGAAGGACAGATACTCTGTTGTTTTCTTCAGCCACCCCAACGATGCTACGCCTTTGGACCCCGTTCCTTCTCCCCTTCTTAGGAGTTTGACAAGCCGTGGAGCTTTTGCTGCTCTGGAGGTGATTACTGCTCAGGAACATTTGCAGCGTCGGTTGGCAGCCAGTTACGGCTGGGACAAGAAGTGATGAGTCTGGGCATACAGGCTGGCTGACACTTGACATTTACAGGAAAAAAGGCCACACAGTTTAAACTCGCCATTACTTGTGTTATGCGGGCCTGACCAAACCTTCAGCTCAAAGCACTAAAAGCACACCATGATGAGATGCTCATGAAACTACATATATATATGAATGCGGCACTTTGAAACAAAAGCCTACATCGCCGTGAAAACTGATGATTTTTGGAGTGTTTGTAGACTTGGGTCGATGGTTCATTGTTCATTTTCAATGGCCGCTTATGCTCAGAAACTATTATTGTCGAGGTTACATACCCAAACACCATAGCATGGATACAAAAAGTCTGCTTTGCTTTGGATGATAACATAATTCTTTTCTGATTAGTTCATGCTTGACTTCCTTCGATTTGTTTGGCCGAACCTAGCTCCACAATATTAGATTACAAGAAATCCTTATCGTTCGTCCAGATACACGCTTTCTATAATAGATATCCAAACCATCGTTTCAAAAGACTTCTAAATCTTTGCTGATATCATCCGGTCAAGTATGCAGCTGATTGGCATTCTGCAGAACTTTCAAATTTACGAGAAGCGTGTGCAGTTTGCATTGGCCTAGCCACGATATCTCGTATCTGGAAATGATCATACTTACGTACCATTCGATAAAACAAGCACTTTTCGATATAACCTCACTATTATTACAGTACTATGGAAGCTTCCAGTGGAAAAGAGTCATACCACTCACACAACTCGAACAAAGAGTCTCCTCACTTAAACCTGCAAGGGAACGCCATAAACAAGAAGATGCAAAGGATGATTCACTTTTTGAAGAACGCTAAACCAGAATTGGTTCCAGACTTGGAGCTTTTTGTAATGTCTGGTGATCTGAAAAGCCCGAACGAACTCATTTACTATAAGCCCTCGAGCGAAGAGCTTGGGGTGGTACAATTACCTCTCGATGAGGGTCCATTTGTTGAAATCACCAAAGCACGTCGTTATTGTAGAGCAGCCTTGAGGACCAAAGATTTTCAGATTTTGTGTACGGACAAGGAACCCTTACAGGCGTTTACGCTACTAGGGCAGGAGATTGACCTCAAACTCGAACTGTTCAAGGATGTGCTAGAAACTGCAAAGCAGGAGTCACCATATGGCTATGAAATAGACTACAGCAGCTTGTTTGAAGACATCGCTTTTTCGGAGAACTACATTTATTTAGGCACAGGCTACTTTGGACCGCTATTTAGGGCACCGTTAAGTGAATTTGTTTCAGGGAAGGCGACGTATGAGAAAATTGCCGAGTGTAACTACTTTGAAGATCTATCTGTGGAAGGAGATCTTGTTTCTTTTGCCGGGGAGCGAGACGTTTTTGTTATAAAGGATTCAGAGCTTTCCATTTGGCAGCAAGAACATACCGTGTACCGTTTGTTTCGTGTCGTTGAAGGAAATACTGCAATATTTGCAGCTGTCACTGAAAACACAATCGAAATCAGGAGTCTTGATATTGGAAGTCTACGGTGGGGAGAAACTCTCAAAATTCCATGCACAGGGTTCCTCCAGTGGTTCAGCTTTCTTCACGGAGGGCTTTTGGTCGTGGAGGAAGGGATCGGGAAGTTCGTTGTTGTAGATATCCATGACGGCAACGTGCAAAAGTGTCACTCCACTGGGTTCGAAGGTGTTCAAAAAAGAGAACACTTCAACCAGGTCCTTTTTGATGAAGTGCACGGATTAGTGTACTTACTGCTGAGAGAGGGGACATACTCCACCAGGCTTTAAGCAGAATGATTATTCATTAAATTGGTGTTTTGGCGACCACCTTCTCAAAATGTTGGAATGGGCTTTGACCCAAAACTCCCCATATCATGTTCCCAAGGTAAGAGCGAAGGCATCAAATTCTCGATGCTGGAAACTAACCTGCTTTGGTTGACACTGTCAGATGCACCAAGAGTCGGCAACGTTGTTTCTTCTTGTTCCAATTGCGACGAGGTACAACGAGAGCAAGTCCGAGCAGCTCGAGCAGCAGGAGAATCAAATTCAGCCCGCAATCTTTTCTCCTCGTCTTTCATATACTGCTCATTTGGAGTCACTTGCATTGTAACAGCAGCTGTTACCTCATGCATACAGTCATGTACCAACTTGTCAATTCCTCTGTACTCCACCATCCTGTACTCCTTCACGGTTACATCAAGTCCGAGTCCGTCAACTTCGTCAATTGTGTACTTTTCAATTTCATCACCTAGACAGTCCCTCAACTGTTGAGCGGCTAACAGTGAGTTGTATAATTCTCTGTTACGTGTAGTCGTGACCCATCTTAAGCCGTATGCTGATACCACGTTGGTCAAAACAAAGAAGTTGAAAATAATGCCTGTCACTCTCATTGTTGGTGTCACTCAGTTGATAGATAAGATAAGATACCATGCGGGTACACTGCATTATATGCTCGCATGCTGCCTTTTTTCAGTTACCTCATTGTGCCTCTTGTGACTCAATGCCAAGAAATGCTCGTTTCACCGAACATAACGTTCAAAGCTAGAGATCTACTCTATCTCACTGATCTGCATGAGTAGTTAGCTGATCCTCACTGTGGCATTAGTCATATGTGATTGTTACATTGACAGGCTAAGGATTCACTAGCGTGCTCTATCTCTATGCTACTAATTGACCTTAATGAACTCTAGCGGGAGTTTCTTTCCAAGACTTCAATTACTCTAGTTAGCTAACCTTGAATTCTTGTAGTGTTGCTGGTTCATTTGATGTCGTTTCCGTCAATTCCAAACCCTGACTATGTATCTCACCAGAAATCAATCTCTGGGGAATGAGACTCTCCAAATAGCTTCAGAAAGCTAGTTAAATGTATCTGAGTAGGTTTTTTGGTGTTCTTTTTGAAAACCTGATTTTTGTTACATCTTTGAAGAATCTCTTTCTCGCAGTCTGTCCAATATCACACAATATATGCATAACGAGTCTCACATTTATGGAAATCGCACCAACTTATAAATTTACAAAAAATGTTTCATAAAATTTTGGCTCGACCAATGGGTAAAATAAAAGATAAATTACGGAAGAAACACACACACGAATCAAAAAGCACAAATTCTGCTTCTCTACTACTCACCGTTTATACTGAATGCACGTTCATTCACAGTTCTGTAGGATCATTCACGGTTATGTAAATACATTCAAGAAAGCTAATGAGCCTATTCCTAGCACATTGGACTGATAAAGGGGCTCAAGGAAAGCCTTTGAATTGGTGAGAAGGGACATCTTTTGAAGAGAGCCTTTGAAGACAAATGCGCCTCGATTCCTAAAGATCATGACCTGGGTGTGTAACTCCATGTCTTCTTTGAATAAATTATTTTTTTGCGATAAGATCTGCGTGACTGCTCTGTGAATTAATTTCTTTCAAATGAAAGTCGATACTTCTGCTTTGCTAGAACACCTTGTTTCTTTCAATTATCTGGAATTATCTCTGATATTTATAAAGTCCCGGGTTTCAGCTCCAATTGAATTTAGGTTCCATAGATCTAGTATAATGGAAAAAGAAGAAACATTAGATTTGGAGGCTCAGCCTCTCAATCCTGAAGGGAATGGAGTTCAAGAACAGACCGATTCTGAGCTTACTTTTTTTGCTAAAATAAGACAGATGTTCAAGAACGTATCTGATATCAAGATCCTGAAATATGATGTTCCTTTCTTGATTTTTCTGCTTTGGCTACTCTGTTTCATCACATATACTAGTGTGTTACTCCAGGGGACATGTATGTTTTACAAAGAATCGGAGTACAATACTTCACTCACCTCGTCGATGAAAAAAGACATTATTGCCATGGAAAGTCTCATGGAAGACCCGACAAAGAAGATATCCAGCTATTTTCCGGACGAATGGGTACATGGAACATACAAAGTTGATCTCTTCGGAATTTGCCGACAAAACGATAATTCGAAGGAGGTCTGCTACAAAGGAAATCATATAGAGGATCTCATTCTTCAGGATATTGGCATACAAATTGCTGAGCAGAATGGTATGGAGAATGTGGAGCTGTTCGGAGAAAACTTCCAAGTGAAGTACCGTGCTTTGCAAGAAAATATGGAACTGGAGTTGAAAAGAAGAAAAACATGCAAACATGGAGTCTGCACCTTTGAAGGTCTAAGTAATGAAGATATCACACTGCTTCCTAATACAGAAAGGCTGATAGCTTGGCCATATTCTTTGGAAATCATAATGATGGTGCTTTCAGCATTAACAGTTATCGCCATCCTCGTGAACTTAAGCATGAACAACGACAAACTCAAGATTGCGATTGCTGTTGGTGTCATTGTTCATTTGCCTGTATTTGTTTTCACGTCTATATGGAAACTTGCTTTGATGGACCTGTTTCAAGTATACTTCGATAATCGCAATCAGGTATCCCACGTCTTATTTTCCGTGATTGACATAGCGATAAGACCTATTTTTTTTGTGACTGCAGTAATGGCACTTGATAAAAAGTACTAATAGAAGCGCTGACAGAATAAGGTTTGCAAGCCACGCCATTTTTTAAAAATTGCATAGAAGATTGATAATTCGTTCATGGACTGGCGGTTCAACTTACAAGCCGGGGAGAAATTTAAGTTAGTGAGAAATCAATAAAGGATTGATTTTCTATATTAAGCGAAGAGAGAAATGGCTCAAAGTATAGATTTCGACTCGAAGTCGTTTGAACAAATTCATGGTGAAGTCTGTTCAAGTGTAAGCTGTATACTCAAGGTAAAACGTTAGATATGGTGATATGCATTTTGATTAAGCTTGATAACATAAAACATTGGGTGAAGGGTATGAAAGCCTGCAGTTTATAGAGTCGTTAAAGGTTGGGCTAATTTGGATTAGGCCGAATGGGGGTTTGCGGTGGAGCTCGAAGAGGGTGACTTTACACGGAAATAGAACATGATTTTCTGAGTCATATTACTAAATATGTCAGTTGAGCAAAGACTGGACTAAAGCTTAATCCAGTTGGCACTCTTTTCAATTTTGAAGGTCTTGGTAACCTCAAGCTTGTCACTCGAAGAACCGATAGCGACATCGTAATCACCCGCCTCCAAAGTCCACTGATTGATGTTGGTGTTGTAGAAGGAACAAGCCAACTTCTTGTCCAAGCTTACCTTAGCCGTTGTCGAGGAGCCAGCCTTGCAGAAAACCTTGGTGAATCCCTTCAAACACTTGACAGCGTTAGGGACAGAAGAGCTCTTAGGCAGGACGTAAGCCTGAACCACAGCAGAGCCATCGGTCTTACCGGTGTTTTTCACATCAACAGCCAACTCAATAGTGTCGTCGCCAACCTCGACCTTAAGGTTGTCGAACTCAAAGGTAGTATAGGAAAGACCGTGGCCAAAAGCGAACAATGGCTCGATCTTACTAATGTCGTGGTGGCGGTAGCCCATGTAGATGTCGTCGAGGTAGGTCAAGGAGAAGCTCTTATCAAGTTCGAAGCTTGTGGCAGATGAGTTGTCCTCATATCTCTTTGGCCAAGTGAATGTGAGCTTTCCGCTTGGGTTGTAGTCACCAAAGATAACATCGAAAATGGCATTTCCGAGCTCCTCACCGAGGTAACCAGAGTGCAAGAGAGCCTTGGCCTTGTTTGCCCAAGGAAGGGTGACCGCAGTTCCGCTCTCAATGATGACGACAGCGTTGGGGTTGCTCTCCAAGACAGACTCTACAAGCTGGTCCTGGTAAGGTGGCATGTCCATGGTGGAGCGGTCAATACCCTCAGTCTCAAAGTCCTTGTTGAGACCAGTGACGACGACGACCTGCTCGTACTTCTTGGCAAGCTCGGTGGCCTCCTTGATGTATTCTTCAGGAGCAACAGCCTTTTCAAGACCACAGCGCAAGGAGCCAGTCAGCATTCCACCCTTGCCAGAGGTGCTCTCAAAGTCAACCTCAAACAAGTAGTCCTTGCCAGTTTCCAAGTAGACCTCCTCGTAAATCTCTGGGGCGTTATTACCCATGTCACTGGAAGACTCGTAATCGTTGATATGAGTAGCGGCGACCTCACCGTCGATCAAAACACGGGCAGTACCACCAACCTTCAAGTTGAATTTGTACTTCGCAGATTCAGGAACATTGATGGTCACCAGGAATGTGGCATGCAAATGGTGGCCTGGTCTGATGCTGGCAGGGTCGTACTCGAACATCATGACATTGACCTCTGGAACGGCCAATTCACTGAGAGCCTTACGGTCCTTCACGGATCTTGGTTCGTCGTAGGTACGGTAGGTTATGGGCTTTTTGGACTTCTCCGTGGCATAAATAGCCAAAGATGGGAACACCTTTCTGTTTGGAGCACCAATGACCCAGTCGACGTTTGATTCTCCGAGATTTTCGACCAAAGAGTCATATAAAGACACAGTCTGGTAAGCGTTCACAGTACAAGCACCACCAGCGCAGTAGTTGGCCTTTTTGGCAGATTCACCAATGAGCAAGACCTTCTTCTTTTGCAAAGGAAGAATGCCCTCATTTTTCAACAACACGAGTGCTTCTTTGGCGGCCTGGCGGTTGAGAGCAATGACCTCTTTGTTATGGAGCTGGCCCTCGTGAGCGTTTTCGGGAATACCAGACTTAGCAGCACCGTTGACCAAGGTCAAAACACCTCTAACGGCCTCGTTCAAGGACTCCTCAGTGATGGTCCTGTGACTAACGCAGTTTTCCACAAGGCGGCCTCTCCAGATTGGAGGACCAGGCATCTCAAGGTGCAAGCCAGCGTTGATACTGTCGGCAGTGGAAACAGTTCCGAACCAGTCGGACATGAAACATCCCTTGAAGCCCCACTCCTTCTCGACAATGCCCCTCATCAAGTACTCGTTTTCAGCACCGTGCTTTCCTCTGATCTTGTTATAAGCAGTCATGTACGACTCTGGGTCGTTGTACTTCTGCACAATCATGAATGGAAGCATGTAGATTTCTCTGAGAGCACGCTCGGAGAGCTCCACGTTCATATTCATACGATTGTCCTCCTTGTCGTTACAGGCCAAGTGTTTTGGGCAGATCATGACCTTTCTGTCCTTGACACCCTGCGACAAGGCCGAGGCCAAAAGACCGGTCAAAACGGGGTCCTCGCCAAAAGACTCGAAACTTCTGCCGCCCAATGGGCTTCTAGCCATGTTGACGGTAGGTCCCAAAAGAACATGGGCACCCTTAGCACGCGCCTGATCTCCCATCATCTTACCAAGCTCGTACATCAACTCCTTGTTCCAGGAACACGCCAAAACCGTACCACTTGGAATTGAAGCCGTAGGAACCGCGTCGGTGAACTTGGTACCTCTGACACCATAAGGACCGTCAGAGAACCTTAAGGAAGGGATACCAAGACGGTGGACTGGGAAAGTGTGCCAGAAGTCCGAACCGCTGGTAAGGTATGCTTTCTCCTCCAAGGTCAACTTGGAGATCACATCGTCAATGTCAATTTGTTTCACCTCCATTGTGGAATCCTATTTGATAAGGAGGAGCAAGACGGAGGGAAAGGCCCATTTATATAGTGGTGGTGAGAAGTAAATAGGAGGTGGGGAAATAGAGCTGATGCACTCGAGGAGGCCTGCGCCGCACCGGCTCGTTTATATTCCGCCCGCAGAGGAAGTGGTATAAGAACACACAGAGAAGCAATTGAGATAAAAGAAGAGACTAAGATATTCTCCATAATCTAGTATCTTCTAGTTCTACGTCATTTCTTCAATATCAGACAACGTTCCCTCTGCTTGCTTTCTTCGATGGGTTTAGCGGGACGCCGCAGACTCGCTAGACCTGCACGGGAGTTTTTCTGTAAATCCTGAGACACGGACCGCATCATTATACTTCCGAAAGGTGTTCGGCATAAATGAGGTAAGCCGCCTCGGACTTCGAGCTTGCCATAATAGGCCGAAACCTCGGCAAGGGGAAGCGCCAAAAATACACCATTGTTGGAAAGAAATGGGACCAGATTTTTCGTATTTTTGGGGAGTTGACTAAATTCCGTGCCGTACTAGATCTCGGATTCTTCGGGGAGGTTTGTTGAGTTCCTTGGCTGGTGAGGGTAGGACATTGGTTGTGGCTATATCTGAGCCTTTCAGGAAGCGAGCTCAACAAAAGAGATCATGATCATTCACTAAGTGGACGCCAGAAAAAATAACATCCCCAGGCAAAACCTATATAGTTATAGGACCTCCATAGTGAACCTCAATATGTTTTCCAGAAGTTGAGTTGAAAATAAGGCAGCTTCCTAGTTAAGGTGAGATCAGCGGAGTCTTCTAGATCTTTTCACAAGCAAAGAAATTAGATTCTTCGAAATCGGAACCCCACCAGAATGCCTATTCCTCAAATTTTTTACTAATTCTTAGGCACGATTCTTCGAAATCGAAACCCCACCAGGATCAATTCCTCAAATTTCTCACTAATTCTTAGTCACCGACCCCACCCCCGCTTTTCTCGCACCATCATTCCCGCGACTTCCCCATACTTCGCACCATCGCATTTAAAACCCAAATTACCATAATGTTCCTCCTCAATTAACCCAAAAACCACTCATGCTTTTGAAGGGAAAAGTTGCAGCCATCACGGGCGGAGTCACGGGCATCGGCAGAGCCATTGCGGTTGAAATGGCGGCTCAAGGAGCCAAGGTGGTGGTCAATCACTTGGACAGTGAAGAACAAGCCCAACTTGCCGAGGAGCTTGGAAAAGAGATTGGACTCGAAAGCTTCTTGGCTGTGCCGGGCGACATCTCCAAGCCGGAAACAAGCAAGCTCTTGATCTCCAGAACGGTTGAGCGGTTTGGCGAAATCAACGTTTTCGTTTCCAACGCTGGAATCTGTCAGTTTGCCGAGTTCATCGATATGGACCCGGAAATCTACTACAAAACCGTTGATATCAACTTGAACGGCTCCTTTTTTGCGATCCAGGCGGCAGCCAGGCAGATGAAGGACCAGGGTAAGGGCGGAAGCATCATCGGGATCCTGTCCATCTCTGCTCTAGTTGGAGGATCCATGCAAACACACTATACGCCAACCAAGGCGGGAATTGTCTCTCTTATTCAATCTACAGCCTGTGCTTTGGGCCCCTACGGCATCAGATGCAATGCCATTCTTCCAGGCACGATCCAGACGGTTCTCAACGAGGAGGACTTGAAGGATCAAGCCAAGAGAACATACATGGAGGGAAGAATCCCGCTTGGGCGGTTGGGAGTTACGCAGGATATCGCCGGTCCTGCTGTGTTTTTGGCCAGCGACATGTCGGGATACATGAACGGAGCCCAGCTTCTCGTGGACGGTGGAGCCTTTGTGAATTTCCAGTAGCATGAGCCCTTGTGAATTTCCATTAGTTGAAACGGATGTTTGTTAAGACGGCATAGTTGGATTCCAGAAAAAAATAAGAAAAAACAAAGAAAAGAACAGCAAAACGAAAGCTAGACCGTTAACTATTCATAGATTATACCCTTGGATGTAGTTGGTCTCGTAGATCTTCCTTCTGTCCTCTTTGGAAGCGCCCACACGATCCAAAAGATCCTCCGATACCGTGAACCACTGGGAGCTCAACTCATCAGCACCGTATATATTCGTCACAGGCCAATTGCTAGCCCACATTGTTCTTTCAGCTCCCCAGAGGTCATAAGTGACTTTAAACCAGGGGAAGGTCAAATCAGCTATTCTCTTGAGGTCCTTGGGGTGTCGTTGGCGAGTTCCGAGAAACACCCAGAAAGCTTCATGTACGAGTTTGGGGTGAGATTGTACATCTCAGTCATGAGAGCCTTCCACTTGATGAAAAGCTCGTTTTCCTCAATTCCCTCGACTTCAAGCTCAAGGTGCGGTTTGGTCAAGTGGTTGATGATGTACTTCAAGTTGGGCACCTGGCGAAAGAGCTCAACAGACTCTTCGAACTGCCAGATTCCGCCGTTGTGCACATCGATGCCGTAGTCAAAAACATAGTCATTTGCATCAAGCCACTTCAACCCCTCGATCACTTTTGGATCCAACATGGTTTTGGGCGGTTTGTCCTGGAAAAGGTACCGGTACCCCTTGACGAGTTTGTACTGGTGTCCAAGCTCTTTCTTCAATACATCCACGTATTCAGTAATTTGAGTACCCCAGGGAAGTGGAATCAATGGAATCATCGCTTTCACATATCCAGGTTTCTCGCCATCGTTGTACCGCAGAACGTACTTGCACTCTTCGATGCCGTTTTTCATACCCTCCATTCCATTGTCTAGCGTATGGGAGCAAAGAGCCTCGATCCAGACGATTCCAGTGACTGTGTATCGTGAATCACTGGAACTAGTGTATTCTTCGAGACGGTGGTTTCCTGCAAGCACGTCCGGCTGTTCACGGCGCCATATGTGTTTTAAGGAGTCGTCTATGAGGTGTATGTGGGAGTCAACAATGTTGTACATGGAAAAGAATAGATGGTGAGAATTAAACTTTGTTTTGTGGTTCTGTTGCTGCATATCTGCCCCTCGACATTGTGCACGTCCTATGCAGCCCATGGTGGGGCAAACCTGCGGGCGATGAGCGGAACATTACCACCCCGACGGTTACAAGCTATATCTACCAATTGATGAAATTCGTATATTTTCAATAACTCAAAGGGCTTTTTCGGCCTCGGCGCATCCCGTGAAATTCTCCGCATACTGTTCCCATCCAACCACATCCTGGTTGAGTGGAGCTCTACCCAAGTACGTCTCGCCAAAACCAGTGGCTTGTTGAATGGCTCTTTTGATTCCAACAACACCAAAACGGACCACGAGCTCCTCGCCACGTGTGGCTATCCACTGCAATTTCTGTGCAGTGGCAAGGTCGCCCAGATCGTAGGCTTTCAAGATGTTCACGTAGAGCTGTGGAAAAGCACCACTCAAAGCATCCACTGTACCGTCAAAACCAACTGTAAGAGCAGGAAGCAAAATCTGGCCCAAACCGGTGAGACAGGTGAAATCTGCAGCCTTGACTGAGGGGTCCAATCCAATTGTGGCGTGGTGGGCAACATCGCCATGAGAAATCTTGGTTCCTACTATATTTGGGTGCTTTGAAAGAGTCACCACTGTAGAAGGCTCAACCACGACATTGTTTGTGACTCCAGGGTAAATGTAAACGAGAATAGGCAATTCTGAACGGTCAGCCACCTCGGTGTACCAGTCAATAAGACCCTGTTGCTTCAACGAAGGTCCAAAGTAGGAACTAGGCAACACCAAAGCATGGGATGCACCGGCTTGTTTCAAAGACAGAATTTCTGAAACAGCCTCCTCAACACAGTGCTGGCTGACTCCTCCCAAGATGGGGAAGTCAGGAACGCTTTTGTGGAGATGGGCCACCACCAGGGCTCGTTCTTGTCTTGTCAAGTGGCCAAGCTCACCTGTAGAGCCCATGACAATGAGGCCTGATATGCCGTTATTTTTCAAAAACTGGGCATGTTGAGCCTGGGTCTCGAAGTCGATGGTTTTGAGGTCTTTTTTGAAGAAGGTGGGCACGGGGGTGTAGATACCTCTTTGGATCATTGGTTAAGGTGGCTGGTGAAGTGGATTTGGGTGCAAAATTATAAGTTTTGGGTGTCGGAACATTGATGTAGCGCTGCCATGCACCCCACATGAGCCACTGCTTGAGCCGTGCATGACGATCGCACCTTTGATGAAGCGATGAGGCGCCAGTCCATCAAACCGACTAGAATTTCCTTTTTTTCTTTTTTATTTTTTTACTCAAAGGCATCTAAAGGAGATCTTGAAGAGGAGATCTTGAAGAGGAGATCTTGGAAGCTCCTCCATCTGAAACACGCAGATTGACATCACCGACATAATCATCGCTTCAATCGCTTTAGAGCCTCTTTTAGGTTCCGTCAACCTCAATCTTCAATTTTGCCAGCAACAAGAAAATCAACAAAATCCAATCACAATCTTATCCGATCAAAATAACCCCATAAAGTGTTCTTGTCTCTACCTTGGCATCGCCTCGGAAAATACGAAGCATCAATGTGTTTATGCATGGCTGACGCGACTCAGATCTTCGGCATTGTGTGTATGTTTCCAACTTAGACCCCCAATGTGCCATCTCCACAAAATGAATAAAATTACGAGATCCAGTTCCGTGAAAGCCCTATTTCCAAAAACTCCACTAATCGTACCCCAGATTACCCTAAATCAATGGAAACGCATTCCGAAGCTCGTATATGTCACCCTCTTGGCTGCAGGCCATGCAGCGTCTGTCCAGGAACATCTCGGGTAAGGCGTCAGCTTCACTATAAAAGGCGGGGGTTGCCCGATGAGCCCCACTCAATACCCCATAACGGCGCAGAAAAGATTCTCCGAACCCCAGACCCGGAAACCATCAGCGATGAAGCTCCAACTATTGGCCCAAGTATAAATCTGCACAACTGGCTCTCCGAAGATCATCGATAATGGCGTCCGACGACAACACAAAAACCATCGCCGAAGACGAATTCAGCGAATTGCGCGATGATGATAATCTCAACGACAACAAACAAGTTGCTCTTGCCCAGCAGGACTTGGACCATCGCCTTACCAAATGGCAGGCGGTGAAGGCATACCCGCAAGCATGCATATACATCTTGATCTTGGTGTGGTCGCTTATCACGGTGGGATATGAGAACCAGGCTTCGGGTATCATTGTTTCGATTCCGGCTTTCAGAAAAGACTTTGGATACGCTTATGTCAGTGATGGCGAAACTCAGTATGTTTTGGATGCGCTGTGGCAGTCGGCCATTACCGGAGGTGCTACTGCTGCCTTGGTGTTCGGTTCTTTCATGTCCACCACTATAGTGGACTATGTTGGCAGAAAATGGATTATGACCGTGGGTGTCATTGGCACTATTGCGTTTGTGGGTGTGGAGTTTGCTGCAACCACCATCCAGGTCTTTTTTGTTGGGAAGTTTCTCAATGCTTTTCTTTTGGGTGTTATTCAAACCATAGGTGCATCCTATGTCGCTGAGTTGACTCCTTTGGCTTTGAGAGGAATTTGCACAACCACATTGAATCTTGCATTCTGTGTCGGCCCGTTCATTTGCATGCTTGTTGCATTATTCACTTCTCCGAGAGACGACCGCTGGGCTTACCGTGCCGTTTTCTGCTCCCAGTGGTTTTTCTCTGTCACTTCTTCGATACTTTTGTTTTTTCTTCCAGAGTCACCTTACCACCACGTTTTGAAAGGCAACGACGAAAAAGCCCTTCGCTGCTTGAGAAAATTTCACCCTGACGGCTCGGCCGAGTCTCAGCTTGCTGTGATCCGTGCTACTGTCGATGAAGCTAAGGAATTGTCGCAGTCCGGTTCTTGGTTTGAGGTGTTCAACAAAAAGAACATCAAGAGAACGATCATTGCCATTGCTCCGTTCTTGATGCAGCCTCTCAGTGGTTTGCCTTATGTGATGTCTTACCAAACATACTACTTCCAGAATGCCGGAATAACGACTCGTGAATCCTTCCAGATCAGTTGTGGAGCCCAGGCTCTTTCTGTCACGGGAACGCTCTTGTCGCTTTTCATGGTGGATCGTTTTGGCAGAAGATTCATTCTTCTTTACGGAATGGTGGCTCTTGCGGTCTTGAACCTTTTGATTGCCTCTTTGGGTTTGAACAGAAACAGTCAGCAACTTCTTCTTGCTTCCTCGGCCTTCTTGACAATGTACAATTTCTTCTACAATTCGGGAATTGGTCCAATTGCTTACGTATTTGCCACAGAGATCCCTACATCCAGGTTGCGTGCCAAAACCGTTGCCGTTGGTGTTGCTTCTTCCAACTCCGTCAATACCATGTGGTCTTTTGTTCTTCCATACATGTTCAATGCCGATCAGGCCAACATGGGTTCTGCAATCAACTTTATCTTCGCTGGCTGCTGCTTCATTTCGGTGATTCTTTTCTTTTTCTTCATGCCCGAGGCCTCTGGAAGGTCCTACGAAGAGATTGACGAGATGTTCATGGCCAAGGTGCCCTACAGAAAGTGGCCTTCCTACACCACCTCGGTTTCCGCTGAAGGAAAACAGGTTATTTTGGAGCAAACCAAGGGAGAAACAGAGCACGTCGAGGAGGCCAAAAAAGAGTTTGTGACTGAGGAGAAACGCGATATAGTTTGATACTGTAATTACGAAAATTTATGCTTTGATGTACCGATATGTACCCCACTGCCTCGCTTTCTGCATCGCAGCATTGTTCATACGAAGTGACGTACATTGTTTGTGGAGGAGCAAGAGAAGTACTACAAACCAGAGACATTTGAATTGGTTTTTGAAAATTTAAAGACCCCACGACATGGACTCGGACATTCGGCCTAGAAGTCCGAGAATGCTGAATCGGATCTCGCATAATGCCACAAAACCGAGAACGCGCGATTCTCCACAGCGGAACAATGTTGTGCCGACGTATTTTTCACCTCATAAATACCCAATGAATTCAGCAAAATGAGCCCAAAACACAGACAATGAAAGTCGAACACATTTCTTTCAATTTCACCAAACCGGGGCCTCTTGAAGGCACCATCAACAACGCCACGCCTTCCATCTCCTGGAAGTTTTCTGGATCAGAGGAAAAGTGGCAGCAGGCTTCTTATCAAATCAAGATACGCTCAGGAAACGAAACCCAATGGAAGGAGTTTCCCGCCGTCAGCTCCAATAACAACCTCTTCGTCACGTGGCCCGGCGAACCGTTGAAGTCCAGAGCCTCTTTCGATCTCAGCGTCAGAGTCCAAGGTCAGGATGGAGATTTTTCAGAATGGAGTGAACCAGTTCATGGTCAGGTTGGAGTTTTGTCTCATCAGGAGCAATGGCCTGCTAAGTTTATTGCCATGGAGAACCAGCCCCGTGAAGACGGAAAAACCGCTCCGGAGACGTTGTTCCGCAAATGCTTCTCCATTTCGAAAAAGGTCAAATCAGCCAAGGTCTTCAGCACAGGCTTGGGAATCTACAACCTCGAGCTCAACGGAAAGAAGGTTGCGGACGATTTTCTCAACCCCGGCTGGACCACCTACGAAAAGCGCTTGTTGCACCAGTTTTACGATGTCACAGATTTGGTGAAATCTGGCTCAAACGTGATTGGTGCCAGGGTCGGTGCAGGGTGGTATCTGGGCCAGTTTGGTTTTGACGGAGGTGCCGTGAACATTTACGGCGAAAAAAGGGCCATCAGCTTGTTTGTGGAGGTCACCTACGAGGATAATTCTACAGAAACGGTGTGTTCAGACGATTCCTGGAACGCATCGTATGGACCCATTGTTGCTGCTAGCTTGTACGACGGAGAAACGTACGATGCTGCTAAAGAGATTCCTGGCTGGTCCTCGGATGCTTCTATAGCCGGCTGGGCCGGTGTGGACGTGGTGGACTTTGATACTGCCAAAATAGAGCCCCAGTCGTACCCCACGTAACTGTTCAGAGAAGAATTACTGCCAGGGTTCTTCCACCCACGCCAAAAGGGAAAACGGTGCTTGATTTTGGCGAAAACATCGTTGGAGTGCCCCGCTTCACGAACATCAAAGCTAAAAGAGGGTACAAGGTTACCTTGAGGTTTGCTGAGGTCATGGAGCACGGTGAATTGGGAACCAGGCCTTTGAGAACCGCCAAGTGCACAGACGAATACACCTTCAAAGGCGACGAAAACGGAGAGCTGTACCAGCCACATTTTACCTTTCATGGATTCAGATACTGCGAGGTGGAGGATCCTGAAAATGTGCTTGATTTGGAGAAGCTCGAGGCCGTGGTTATTTCAACCAACGCCAAGCAGATCGGCTCTTTTGAGTGTGACAACGCCTTGTTGAACCAATTGCACAGCAACGTGATCAGAAGTACCAGGGGAAACTTCATCACGCTTCCTACAGACTGTCCACAGCGTGACGAGAGAATGGGATGGACTGGCGATATTGCCGTGTTTGGAAAAACGGCTGCTTTTCTTTTGGACTGTTCCTCGATGTTGGACAGCTTTTTGAAGGATTTGTGGAGCGAGCAGCAAATCAGAACCTCAGGTCCTTGGCCTCATGCACCTGCTGTGGTTGTTCCGGACGTTGTGAAGCATTTGGGTCATTTTTGGGAAAACCAGATCAGTGCTATCTGGCAGGACTGTGCCGTTATTTTGCCCTTTTCGTTGTACAAGGCCACCAACAGCACTGCTTTATTAAGGCAGCAGTACGAGAGCATGGAGACATGGATCGAGTGTCTTCCCAGATTGAAGGATCAGATGTTGTGGGACAGAACCAACGTCTTTTTGCAGTTGGGAGACTGGTTGGACCCTGCTGCTCCTCCAGAAAGACCTGCTGACGGAAATACAGACAATTACCTCGTGGCCAATGCGTTTTTCTACCACGTTTTGGCCAGCATGGTGACCATAAGTGAGAAGGTCTGTCCAGAAAATGTCTCCAAGTACCAAAAAATGGCTAGCCAGTGTAAGAAAGATTGGCTCAGCGAGTACTCCCGGGAAAACGGCCAATTGCTGAGTGATTCGGAAACCGCCTATTCGCTTGCCATTTGTTTTGGGCTCTACGATACCGAAAAGCAGGTCAAATTTGCCGGCAACCGTCTTTCGGAACTCGTCAAAAAAGCCAACTACACCATCGGAACCGGTTTTGCTGGAACACCCTTCATTTTGCCAGCCTTGTTCTCCACAGGACACTACGAAGAAGCCTTTGCCATGCTTCTCGCCAAAGAATGCCCATCGTGGCTTTATCCTGTCAGCATGGGAGCTACAACGATCTGGGAAAGATGGAACTCGATGATGCCCGATGGAACCATCAATCCTGGCGAAATGACGTCTTTTAACCATTACGCTTTGGGTGCCGTTGCCAGCACGATGCACGAAATCATTGGCGGTTTGGAAATTGTCGAACCTGGCTACAAGAAGTTCAAGGTTTGTCCACATCCAGGCAGAAACTTGAAGAAGTGCCATGTTGAGCATGAGTCTCCGTTTGGGTTGGTTTCCTCAAAATGGGTGGTTTCTGGGGATGAGTTCACGTTGGAAGTGACTGTTCCGCCTAACACCACGGCGGTTATCGAATTGCCTGATGGAAGCTCCGAGGAGCACGGATCTGGAAAGTACACCTTGGCGTGTAAAGTCTGAAGGTGATGGAGGCATGATCTAATCTGTACTCCAGGTCCCTGAAATCTATATAATTTCAAGAGTATCACTATTTTCTTGTTATAATGTTTCATCGATTCCGTATGAATCAACATGTACAGATTCACAATTCTCATCTAGGCAATTGTTCCAAAGTAGGATCAGTCTTTTGAGACACACCGTCTTCAGAGGAAAGCAGCATGAAGTTCAAGAATTAAAAAGTGAAAAATATGGAAGAAGAGGCTGATACAATCAGCCAATAGAAGAATGCCGTCCACAGCGAAGTCCGATCAAAAATGATGTGAGTCGAATGTTCAGAAGTAAGAATTTTCTACGGTAGATTTAAAAAGCTCCTTCTCGTCAAGGTACCGTGTCCAGTGATAAATCATAAATACGACAACTCTTTACCTTCTGACTCGTACGGATCATGCTTGCCGACCACTTTACAAACTACCAATTAGTCACTCTGGCTTCGGGCAATTGAAGTTCCGCAACTTCCGCAGCACAATTCAACTTGTAACCTTCAAAAGCCAAATAAAGACCTCCTACTTTAAAAGATCCACAAATCTTTCAATTTCCACTCCCCCAAAATTACCTCATCTCATAAAAATCCCAACTCACCCATAAATACCTGGACACCCGCATTCTCAACAATCGCACCCCACATTTTTCACTACTCGTTCTTATGGCTGAAGATCCAACCACAAGCAGGACCTCCAAAGCATGCACGGAGTGCAAAACAAAAAAGAAAAAATGTGACAGGGCCGTTCCCAAGTGTGGCTATTGCACGAAAAAAGACCTTATTTGCGAGTACCAGACGCTCCAGAAACCAGGGCTTCCTTCTGGATATGGAGCTTCCATGTTGGAGAAACTCGGCAATATTGAAGACTCCATTACGCTGAGAAGCGATTCGGTGAGCCTGGAATTACAGGCGATTTTTGCCACCGTCCGGTCCTTGGAGTCCAAGGTGCTGCAAATGTTGGAAAACCAGCCCACGTTGGACCATCCAGCCGATCGCCAGATTGAGCCAGAAACATGGATGAACGGACACGAGAATAACGCGTCTGGCTTGCTGCAAAATGGCGAAACTGAAAACCCGAAACAAAACGGAAATGGCACCACAGAAGCTCCATCTAAGGTCGTCCCGTCAGTATCTGTATTCACAGAGTTGGTCGATATCTTCCACGTCAACATCTACCCAGGGTTCCGTGTGATCCACCCGTCGCTAAGGCCCCGGCTCATAGAAGAATACGCCATTCTGCTCTCCAACGACCCCAGTGGTGCCGAAATCCTGCCCCATTTGCTTGGAATCGTGTTGGTTGGTATTCCTTTCATGAAACACCGGCTCTCACAGCACCAGTTTGACACTTTCCAGACCCACTGCCGCTCCACGATTCTCGAAAAATGCATCTCCATCACGCTGATCGAGCATCTCCAGGCAATGGCGCTTTTAACCTTCGATCTGTTCGGAAGATCCAACGATCCGCTTACGTGGAGCTACATTGCGTTGATTTCAGCTGCTGTTATCCATTTGGGCCTCACGAAAGAGCACAAAGATGACGAAAAACGTGTTGGTTCCCCAGAGGCCCTGATAGACGGACCTACTCCTAAAAAACCAAGGATCATCACCCCACAGAGCATTTCCTCGCTACGGAAAACAGTGACGCTGTTTGAGGAAGAGTGCGAGCGAAACTTGTTCTGGGAGATTTTCCTCTTGGACAGGCTATCCAGCGTTTCAAACTCGTTTCCTTGCAAAATCGACGAAGACGAAATCGAGCGGCAGCTTCCTCTACGTGACGACATGTGGACCAGACTGATGCGATGGGAGACCGGTCGCAAATTGAACGATTCGCCGACGCCGCAACTCAATGAAAATCACGACTCGGCTGCTTATTTGGTGGAAATCGTCGCCAAGTTGGGCAAAATACACACATTTCTTCGGAAACCATTCGACATCGGCGACGTTAAGCAGGTATTGGCTTGGCAGATGAAGTTTTCAGAGCTAAGCGCCGAGATCCTGCTTTGGAAAAGCCAGTTGCCTGAAACCTACCAGACGTTTTTGGAGACACGGCAGTTTGCTTTTGAAAAGGAGCTCACGGTGAAAGACAGTTTACTTTTCTCCATCTACCACATGACGATCATCAGACTCCACTCCTCCGTCGGCTACCAGAACTTCGACTCAGACTATATCCTTTTTTCCAGTATGGCCAGATCCAAGTGCCTCGAGTCGGCCCACAATATAGCAGCCTACTCCATGAAAATCCCGATCTCATCTGCCTACACCAAAAACGACCCCTGGGCAATTTGTGGACCATACTACGGCTTTGCGATCTGGGTTGCTGCACGATTACTACTTGTCAATGCTATTCGATCAGAAGAAGACTTTTGCACGGATTTGGACCAACTTCTTCAGGCGCTTTCTCATATAGGCTCGCAATGGAGGAGCTCAGCAAAGTACAAGGAGATCATCGACTTGCTCAAGAAAGAAGAGTCCGAGTACAGAGCCAACGGACAGAGTGTGTTCACGATAGACCCCTCTTTGAAAGTGGATGGGAAAGATGGAGAATCTCTTCTTTCTCTCCATCCTGAGAGCTCTCGTCTCCTTTCCGATATGCGTTTCAATGCCTACAGTCTCGACGTAATCTTGTCCAAGAAGATTGAGCAAAATAAGAAGGACGGAATATCGATTTCTCCCCACAACCAAACAGACTTTTCGAACTTCTTCCAGTGGTTCCAAATTCCAATTAATGAGCTCCATGGTGTACCAGCTAACCCGTTCACAGACCTATACCTGTCATAGAAATACCCAGACATCCTACAACGTACCTTTACTATTCGATTCAGTTTATTTGACTATCAACCGTGAAATGTAACAAGCGGGTTCTTATCCGTCTCAGACGTCAGCTCGATAAGCTTTCTAGTGACCATTGACCTTTCCATTGGAGTGCCCATTGGCCTCGATTTTCAAAGGTCTTTCTGGAGAAGGCAGCAAAATGTACTCGGCGTCAAGCAATTGCACTTCTGGGTTCAAAGTCAACCCAAACCCAGGCTTGTCAAAGTCAGACACATTCAAGAAACCCTTTGTTGGAACGGGCTCGTCAATGAACAAGTTACCAAACACAGGCAACACGCTCTTTGAATCTGGAGAGTTGGCAAGGTACTCTTGGAAAGGTGTGTTTTGTTGCGAGACGACAAAGTGGTAGGAATACGGACCAGACGCATGGGGAACCACAGGAATATCGTAAGCAGCGGCCTGGTTAGCCACCTTCAATAACTCGGTCATACCACCGACCCACATCACGTCCGGCTGCAAAATATCGAGGTTTCTTCCTTCGATCAACTTGCGGAACCCGTAACGTGTGTATTCGTGCTCTCCTGTGGTCCACTTGACTCTTGGATGAGCTCTCTTCAACAATTCAAAGCCATCGAAGTCATCGGGGTGCAAAACCTCCTCAAACCAGTTGATGTTCAAGTCCTCGGTGGCAGTGGCCAACTCAATGGCATAAGGCACAGTCAAGGACATGTAACAGTCGACCATGAGAGGGAAATTTGGTCCAACGGCTTCTCTGTGCTTCCTCAAAAACTCCACATTCTTCTTCAATCCCACATGTCCCTCGTCTGGACCGAAAGGAAGAGCGACTTTTCCACCCCAGAATCCCATCTTCTTGGCTGCCACAGGGTCACATCCCGTGCAGTAGAAATCAAGTCTTTCTCTGGTGGCTCCTCCAATCATTTTGTAGACGGGCTCGTTACGAATCTTGCCCAAAAGATCCCAAATCGCCAAGTCGATGACGGAAATCACGGCGATCGGCAAGCCCTTACGTCCGTAGAACATTGAGGCACGGAACATCTTGTCCCAAAGCAAGTTGTAGTCTCTTGGGTCGGCATCTTGCAAGAATCTTAAGAAATGAGACTTCACCAACCAACAAGCTGGAGGACCTCCGAAACCGGTGGCAAAACCCTTGGTTCCATCTGTGGCCTCGATTTCCACACAGAAAGAGCCCAAAACGTTGATACCCCAGGAAACTCTGGATTTACGGTATTCTGGGTACTTGGACATGGGGTTGGAGATGTCGCTATCAATAAGCCAGTGGCCATTGGCGACATTGTGGTAGTCGCCGCCGATACCCTTGCCTTCCAAGAGGTAGGTTTTCACGGATTTGATTTTGGGGAAAGAGGACATGTTTATTGGTGGTGGGTGAGCTTTTCATTTTCTGACGTTCTTATATCTTGATGTCGGAGGAAAGATGTTCCGCCGCTGCATTGTGGGGAATGCGGCCTCTCCACACTACGGTTTGAAAACTATCAGCAAAATCATGACCAGCTCAATGATTTCTTCATCAATTTGCTATAAGCCTTCATTGCCATTTATTTTTTATGAATTATTGCAAAACCAGAATCGATTCTCTCGAGAGGTGGGTTACGTCATGATGTGAATTCAACCCCGCGAACCACATTGTCGCAGCCACGCACTAAACTTTAGCCGACCTTGCACAAACAGACCCAGCAAGTCTCGGTATTAGGGAATTCAAGTTCTTTCCAACCAGAAAAGCCCAATATTTGATGATTTTCTATTTTCAAAAAACCCAGCTTCCATTGACTCCACAAACCCCCAATATCCACGGATACCGCTCTCTCGGTCCTCCACATTAACGCGCCATGCCCCACCATTAGATATAAGAGCGCGGTGATTCGGCCCCGCTTCCGCATTGCGGTAGATTTTGACATATCTGAAAAAGAGGCCCCAGCAGCATATAAGCTGAGGTCCTGGCGAAAAAGAAAGAAAAGCTCATGTTCAGAAGAGTTCCCTTTTGTTCCCGGAAAGTCACAAGGGGCTTCAATGCCCGAAGACTCGTCTCTAGTCGAACGGCAGCTGCCACAGTGAAGCCCAGATGGAAAATTCCCACAATTTCAGCACTTTTGCTTTCTGCTGCTGCACTTTCCTGGTACTCAATTCCTGTTGCTCTGGCTTTGGAGGCCCCAGGCATCACCGTCGAGGAATTGCAAAAACACACCTCTGCAGAAAGCGTGTGGGTAGCCATCAACGGTAAAGTCTACGACTTGACAGGTTTCTTGTCCAGACACCCTGGAGGAGCCAACATCATCCTTAGTTACGCGGGAAAGAACGCCTCCACCATCTTCAACAAGTACCATGCTCCCAACTTCGTGGACAAGTACTTGACTCCCGAGGAGTGCTTGGGTCCTTTGATTGGCGAATTGGAGCCGGAGAAGGATATCACCGAAGTGGGCGGCAGCGAATTGAGGCAGGAGTATATCGAAAACATGCCGCCAATCTCGGAAATCTTCCGTGTCAGCGATTTCGAGTACATTGCTAAGAAAATCCTTCCGCCATCTGCATGGTACTACTACTCGAGTGCCGCCGACGACGAAGTCACACTCAGAGAAAACCACAATGCATTTTCCAGGATATTCTTCAAGCCACGTGTGCTTGTGGATGTCAGCAACGTGGACTTGTCAACCACCTTGATGGGTCTGCCTGCCTCGGTGCCTTTCTACTCTTCAGCCACGGCACAAGGCAAATTGGGCCATCCAGATGGCGAGTGCTCCATTGCAAAGGGCTGTGGAAAAGAAGGCGTTATTCAGATGATCTCGAACTACTCGTCGTATCCCCTAGCGGACATTGTGGGCGTTGCAGAGAAAAATCAACCCCAGTGGTTTCAGGTGTACCATGAAGGCGAGTCCAACTCGAAACTGTTGGTGTCAGAGTGCGACGAACTTGGCCTCAAGGGTATTTTTGTCACCGTTGACACCCCGGAACTTGGGCGTAGAGAAAAGGATATGAGGTTACGTGCTCAGATCGAGGCAAATTCCGACTTGCTGGACGACTCCTCGGGAGCTCAAGAGCTCAAGTCTGCCGTTTCCTACGGTAAAGATACCTCTGTGACGTGGAAAGACGTGGAAAAGATTTCCTCGTGGACCAACATTCCTGTGGCGGTCAAGGGAGTACAGAGTGTTGAAGATGTCGTTTTAGCTGCAGAAAAGGGAGTGAAGGCGGTGGTGATTTCCAACCATGGAGGTCGCCAGTTGGACTATAGCCGTGCTCCAGTGGAGGTTTTGGCAGATGCCGTGCCTGTTCTTAAGGAAAAGGGCTTGGACGGCAAGATTGACATTTTTGTGGATGGTGGAGTCAGACGTGGGTCTGACATTATCAAGTGTTTGGCATTGGGGGCCAAGGGTGTGGGTTTGGGTAGGGTTTTCCTTTATGCCAACTCTTGTTATGGGGAGGAGGGTGTTAGAAAAGCCATCGACTTGTTGAGGTCTGAAATGATTTTGGACATGAAACTCTTGGGCGTGACAAAGATATCAGAACTCGGTCGGCAGCATTTGGACTTGAGGAGCATCCACAACAGGCTACCGCCTAACGACAACTTGTACAATGGAAACTACGAGCCATTATCACCGCCAACTTTCCAGCACGAGCGTTAGGGGTGAAATCAAGCATAGCATCAGTCGACTTTGTAGTCCTTCTATTGAGTAATAGAATGTCCAAACGATTTAAGGCGTATCGATTTCTTTCAATTTGGAGGGATCCGACGATTGAAAATCTAGCAAAGTATAGCTTTTGTCGCAAAAAGTATTATCAAGCACAATGAATAATTTCAGCATTTTCACATATAAAGCTCGAGTTTTGCTGGTGTCATCGACGTTAGGGGAATTCTTTTATAAGTATTTATCTGTATGGCTGAGCTGATAGGTCTTCTCTATTTTTAGGCCGCCCTTCAATAAAGTCTGTCAAAAAAACACTTCGTTCAAAGATAGAGGTGAGCCGCAAGCAAGCCCCCGGAAAAAGATACTATGCATGTGTCAAAACGCATCATGCACCTCGGCATGACATTGCTTTGAAGGCTCAGCCTTGGACCACCAGCACCAATTGAAAAGCATTGAGGAAATCTTCTTGATAAAGGAAAAGGCAAAAGCATGAAAGATTCCATTCAAGTCCTGTAGGAGTTACTTTCTCAGGTTTGCGATCGGCTAATCTCTTATCTTTGTCGATAACGTGCGAAGTCAAGACTGTGTGTTGTTTGCGCCCCCCTGCAATTGACGTCTTGTTTTGTTATTAGAGGTAAAGACTAGATTAAAAACATAACAGAATAAAGTTGTAGCAGTGTAAGTCTCGAATTAAGCTATTAAATAAAGTCTTGACAGGTAGTTCGGAAAACCGCTTCATCTATGAGTTTGATACCCAAATATTGTTTCGAATCGTGCTTGCTTGTAGCCGTCGAATCTGTAAATACCACTTGAGGCTCTGAAAAATACGACAATTTGCTTACTTGAAACTGCGGCCACTAGTGACAAAATGCCCGAGATAAGACGAGAAAAAGGGGTTACAATTACCATATTTTGCAACCTTGTTGGTCGTGTTCTATCTTGGAGCCTAGAAGCTGAAAAAAGGGTGTAAACTCTTCAAATTAGAAAAATTCTATTCTGGTACCGCTTTCTTTAACTATTGTGTTATCGATTTTGCAAGTGAACCGGGGTTTTCGAGGGGTAGATTGCTAGGAGCCGCATGCGGCACGTCCTGCAACATGTTAAGCCACATTATAAATACCCCCACCGCAGTCTCAATAACTGCAAATCACTTTTTACATTTATTTATGTCGCTTTCATTTGAGCATTCACTTGAAGCTATTGCATCCTATAAACTCTGGGCTGACCCAATTAACAATGATACGTGGTCATATAGCTATCTAGTCGTTAATTCCACAGGCACTTACGTCGTTTCTGATGCTTACTATGAGAACAATACCTTTGCAAGTACATGGCTGAATATCGTCGGTGATGAGTGGAAGAATTTGAGAAGCCTCGGAAATGACGAGCTTGTTGATATTTATGGTTCAAGGGAAAATGCTACAAACTATATACTGAGTGTATTCGATGTGGAGACATCCACAGAAACAAGCATCACATCGGGTGAGCTCTTGGAGCTGTAGGGCCCAATGCAGTTTACGAAATTTAAGATGAAGATGATCATTTGAACGCTAAAGCTGGTTTACATACCAACGTGATCGGACCTTAATTGAAGCTAGGTTTTCTAAAGTAATGCAAATATGTTTGAAATGGTCAATCGATGAAAAATTGTCAAGCCTCATGCGTTTACGCTCATCTTAGGAACAAAATTAAACTCTATAGAAACAAACACATTTGGATGTTTTTTGGTCTCTAGCTGCATGGTCGCTTCAGTCTAATCTAATACCCATAAAAATCCAGGTCTGTCGAGTTTGAAACTTGTACACGAACTTCATTATGGAAGAAGATGTTGGCAGATTAGCACTTTGGTCTTTATTTATCAAGATCTGATTTTTGATGAATCAGTCAAATTATGTATTTATGCTGCTTTCTCAAATTCGCACTGCGTCTACACAATATGTACCCACAATTTAAACTTTGAATTTAGTACAAAAAGTAGTCAAATAATAAAGTCAAGTAAAATTACAAATGCACGAGAAAATCCAAAAGGCAAAAAAAGATATCTGTCCGGAAGCTCAAAGCCTTTCACGGTGGTCCACCTTCTGGCGCAAATTATACAAACATGAAAGGTTGGGATATAAAGATTTGACGGCCTTGCACCTATTCAATTTTGGATCGTATGTTCCGTTACATGTTCCGGAAGATAGTGCCAGACCCATGCAATGTCACCTTTGCCTTATTCAAGTTGAAGAAAGAAAGCTCATTCAACACATATACTCAAACTGCGAAATCACTAAATGGTGGTGGAAAGAGTTGCAAGGCAACGAGCCCATGGAGCTCAATGCCATGCTAGCTCCGCTCGACACCTCTTCTCGCAACCTTCAACGCTTAAATTGGTTTTTAAAAATCGCACGTACCTCCAAAGGCTACGTGATAGTCGAGATTCTGCCGGACTTGCTCCACTTCTGCGAGCTCAGCTCAAAGAAGCTAAGGGACGTATATATTCGACGGGTCGATGACATGAACATTCACTATCCTCGCGATGGCAGGCTAGGGCCTAGTGGCGACACAGGGGGACGACTCAGTTCACAGGTGTGGTCAAGCGGAGCTAGTCTGGAAGCTGATAAGATTTTTTTTTTCTCTATGTAAAATTTAAATAGGGTTTGAACAGTCGAATTCAGGAGGGATTGTTGACTAAAATATTGAGATAACTCGATTTAGGGTTTAGCGAGAACCGCTCACTGAGAACTGTAAGCGCGTCTAAGAATCGCAAAACAACTCGCAATACACGGCCAAAGAAGCTTCTTTTTCAAACACATGTCATTATTCTATAAAAATACAAAAAGGGACTCTTGGGAAAATTAAATGAGTATTGCCAGCACAAAAAGGGCAACGAAACTCAAAAAGGCACTCACACCGTTTCTTACTCCAAAATCATCGTAAGTTGAAACGAACACTTTTGGTTGCACAGAACTTGAACTAAAGCTAACGCTTTCTTGCGTTTCAGCCGGATATTTTGGAGCTGCAGTTACAAAATCGTGATCGGTAAATGATGAACGGGAATCAGACTTGCTTCCCTGTGGAATCTCAGAACCGTTTGGATTCTCTCCCTCATTTGTGGGTGAAGGTTGAGCGATATCGCCATTGGGCTTGTTGGTGGTTGAGACCTTCTCACCCTGACTCGTTTCGGACTGATACACAGTGTCAAGCGTGGAGGCGATCCTATTTGACTGATTATCAACGGAGGAGATCAATGGCTCATCAGCAACACCGGAAGGCTGCCGAGCTGCAGTGTCAATGGATGTTGTAGATGATAAAAGTCCGCCATCCTTGCCAGCGGTGATAAAAGCTGTTTCTACCAGCACATGATCTGGATTTCCATGACTGGGAGATCCCGTTGTCAGTGCAGTGGAGGTAGAGAGGGCGATATCATGTTGAGCTGTCCATGACGGCAAATGAGAAGCTCCTGTGGACATCGTTGTCAACTCAATTGTCGATTTAGCAAGGATTATATCTGAGGACAGTTCCGAAACTTTAGGCTCGAAGTTTGGGTCACTTGAGAGGGAACTAGCTCCTGTGGACATTGTTGTCAACGCAATTGTCGATTTAGCAAGGATTATATCTGAGGACAGTTCCGAAACTTTAGGCTCGAAGTTTGGGTCACTTGAGAGGGAACTAGCTCCTGTGGACATTGTTGTCAACGCAATTGTCGATTTAGCAAGGATTATATCTGAGGACAGTTCCGAAACTTTAGGCTCGAAGTTTGGGTCACTTGAGAGGGAACTCGTTTCATGTGGATCAAGTTGGCTGGTTTGTTCCGTCTGACTAGAGAGTGATGACCTGCTAGATGTGAATGCTGGATGGTTGATGCTTGAATTGGTGTAATGCCATGACGATAATGTCTTCAGAGATATTGTTGTTAACCCACTAAAAGCTGATGATACAGGTATTGTCAAGTGTGGGAACATGGTAGTCTCGGTGGTGAATGTACCATCAGAGCCTGTCACAATGACAACACCAGAATCGGTTTCCACCGATCCATCTGAAGCAGTCGAAGTGGTCGTGAATGTGGATCTAGTCAAGTGTGGGAACATGGTGGTCGTTGTTTCAAATGTACCATCAGAACCAGTGACAATGACAACACCAGAATCGGTTTCCACCGATCCGTCTGAAGCGGTCGAAGTGGTCGTGAATGTGGATCTCGTCAAGTGTGGGAACATGCTAGCCGATCCGTTTGAAGCGGTCGACGACGTGGTGAATGTGGATCCAGTCAAGTGTGGGAACATGGTAGTCTCGGTGGTGAATGTACCATCAGAGCCAGTCACAATGACAACACCAGAATCGGTTTCCACCGATCCATCTGAAGCGGTCGACGACGTGGTGAATGTGGATCTAGTCAAGTGTGGGAACATGGTAGTTGTTGTTTCAAATGTACCATCAGAACCAGTGACAATGACAACACCAGAATCGGTTTCCATCGATCCGTCTGAAGCAGTCGAAGTGGTCGTGAATGTGGATCTAGTCAAGTGTGGGAACATGGTAGTCTCGGTGGTGAATTTACCATCAGAGCCAGTGACAATGACAACACCAGAATCGGTTTCCACCGATCCATCTGAAGCGGTCGACGACGTGGTGAATGTGGATCTCGTCAAGTGTGGGAACATGGTAGTCTCGGTGGTGAATGTACCATCAGAGCCAGTCACAATGACAACACCAGAATCGGTTTCCACCGATCCGTCTGAAGCAGTCGAAGTGGTCGTGAATGTGGATCTAGTCAAGTGTGGGAACATGGTGGTCGTTGTTTCAAATGTACCATCAGAACCAGTGACAATGACAACACCAGAATCGGTTTCCATCGATCCGTCTGAAGCAGTCGAAGTGGTCGTGAATGTGGATCTAGTCAAGTGTGGGAACATGGTGGTCGTTGTTTCAAATGTACCATCAGAACCAGTGACAATGACAACACCAGAATCGGTTTCCACCGATCCGTCTGAAGCGGTCGACGACGTGGTGAATGTGGATCTCGTCAAGTGTGGGAACATGGTAGTCTCGGTGGTGAATGTACCATCAGAGCCAGTCACAATGACAACACCAGAATCGGTTTCCACCGATCCATCTGAAGCAGTCGAAGTGGTCGTGAATGTGGATCTAGTCAAGTGTGGGAACATGGTGGTCGTTGTTTCAAATGTACCATCAGAACCAGTGACAATGACAACACCAGAATCGGTTTCCACCGATCCATCTGAAGCGGTCGACGACGTGGTGAATGTGGATCTAGTCAAGTGTGGGAACATGGTAGTTGTTGTTTCAAATGTACCATCAGAACCAGTGACAATGACAACACCAGAATCGGTTTCCACCGATCCATCTGAAGCGGTCGATGACGTGGTGAATGTGGATCTAGTCAAGTGTGGGAACATGGTGGTCGTTGTTTCAAATGTACCATCAGAGCCAGTCACAATCACAACACCAGAATCGGTTTCCACCGATCCATCTGAAGCGGTCGACGACGTGGTGAATGTGGATCTCGTCAAGTGTGGGAACATGGTAGTCTCGGTGGTGAATGTACCATCAGAGCCAGTCACAATGACAACACCAGAATCGGTTTCCACCGATCCGTCTGAAGCAGTCGAAGTGGTCGTGAATGTGGATCTAGTCAAGTGTGGGAACATGGTGGTCGTTGTTTCAAATGTACCATCAGAACCAGTGACAATGACAACACCAGAATCGGTTTCCATCGATCCGTCTGAAGCAGTCGAAGTGGTCGTGAATGTGGATCTCGTCAAGTGTGGGAACATGGTGGTCGTTGTTTCAAATGTACCATCAGAGCCAGTCACAATCACAACACCAGAATCGGTTTCCATCGATCCGTCAGTTCCAATCGACGACGTGGTGAATGTGGATCTAGTCAAGTGTGGGAACATGGTAGTCTCGGTGGTGAATGTACCATCAGAGCCAGTGACAATGACAACACCAGAATCGGTTTCCACCGATCCATCTGAAGCGGTCGACGACGTGGTGAATGTGGATCTAGTCAAGTGTGGGAACATGGTGGTCGTTGTTTCAAATGTACCATCAGAACCAGTGACAATGACAACACCAGAATCGGTTTCCATCGATCCGTCTGAAGCAGTCGAAGTGGTCGTGAATGTGGATCTAGTCAAGTGTGGGAACATGGTAGTCTCGGTGGTGAATTTACCATCAGAGCCAGTGACAATGACAACACCAGAATCGGTTTCCATCGATCCGTCTGAAGCAGTCGATGACGTGGTGAATGTGGATCTAGTCAAGTGTGGGAACATGGTGGTCGTTGTTTCAAATGTACCATCAGAGCCAGTCACAATCACAACACCAGAATCGGTTTCCATCGATCCGTCAGTTCCAATCGACGACGTGGTGAATGTGGATCTAGTCAAGTGTGGGAACATGGTAGTCTCGGTGGTGAATTTACCATCAGAGCCAGTGACAATGACAACACCAGAATCGGTTTCCACCGATCCATCTGAAGCGGTCGACGACGTGGTGAATGTGGATCTCGTGAATAATGTATGAGACGATGGGATGGTCACAATCTCTATAGGGGTAAAATCCCATGTTGATGTGGTTGTTGCAGGCGTAGTGACTGGACCAACTACTGTGGTTGAGGAGATTGATGGAACAGGACAATCAGCTTCGTTAGATCTTTTCGTAACCTTGTATAAATGGTCTGGAACTCTCAACCGATTTCCTGAAGGGTACTTCGCTTCAACTTCAATCACGAACGCCCCTCTGTTGGTAAACCAAACAAGCAAGAAAGGATAATACAAACCCTTTTGCAAATTAACTTTGACGATCCTCTGTGTCAATGTCTTTTGATCGGGATCATTCAAAATCGTTACTCTCATGTCATTGTTAACACTTGCCTTTGGGTCGTCGCAACATTTTCCGTTCGAACCAAATTTGAAATCAATGCCGCTGTTAGTTCCAATTGAAAATGTGTATTCACCTGTTTCGGGGGCCAAGAAATATCCATCTATTTGGAGCGTGAAGTTGGATCGATGCATGACAACACCGAATGTATCTTGAATCTCGAGATCCAGTGGCTTATCCGCAAAGCTCATAACATCGAGATCATCAATGTAAGCAAAAGCGCCGCCTTTGGCGTAATCACCATCAAAGAATGATGGCTCCCATGCGTCCAAAGAGCCGAGAGTGTAGTTGTAAAAAGTGGTACCAAAACCACTAGAACGGGTATTTTTGAAATTACAGCCCGGCAATACCTGAGACAATGCAAGTCCAAAAATGTAGAAGAAAATCAAATACATAGGTGGGTAGTAATCGAGCTTTACAGTAAGACCGCCAACAAAGTGAACTTTATATAGCTAGCCAAAGGAAACTCTTTTTCGACTCACTTGATGGCTCGATGACTTAATTATATTATCGCAAAGTTGCGTCATTTCCATGGTTCTCTGTGAGCTTCGTTTTTAAAGAGTATTTTCTGTAAGTTACAAATTGTATTGCTTGATTCAGTGTTTGACCAGTTTTTCAACTTAACATTTTGCTTTCATCCGTCTGAGTTCTCTCTTCGATTGTTTGCCATCTAGCACAAATTCTAATCTTCTGATGCTCGCTTGCATGAAATTCCTAAAAAATAGTTAGGCCATGAAGCAACATCTGACGATGTCAGGGTCAACGTAAATGCAGATTTCACTTACCAACGTATTTTTCGTTTCAACTTAGCAGTTAAGCAGGCTACCAATTTGATTGTGTATTCTTGCCGAAACAGATACGCAATGAGAACCCGCTTGGAGTCACAGGTCGGTTTCGAATTGGCATACCCGCGTTCGCCAGTATGCATTCCATCACCACAATACTCAGTAAAACGGTTTCTAAAATGTTGTCTCAGCTGCAGTCATAACATGATGCCATTTCACGTAAAATGTTGTCAAAACAAGAAGTGAAAAACAAAAAAGATTCTTGCAGAAACCTTAATTCATGGCTTGCATATAAGCACCAATGTGCATCTCGATGCACCCAACAAAGATGCTGCGTGGAGTGGTTATTCTCTGTACTGGTCTCCTAATATATAATTTCTATACAATAGCCGAAGATAATAAGAGCCGATCAAAAAGCATTCAAAAATCGTATTACTGATGAGCATGTCCTGGATAATAAGAGCCGATCAAAAAGCATTCAAAAATCGTATCACTGTTGAGCATGTCCTGTGTTCTGGGCGCATGTGGGGTGCGTCGCTTCAACCGCTTAAACTAAAGATGGAGAGTGTTATTGTAGTATGAAAAGTCGAGATTTGCGCTTTTCTCTTCTGAGGCTCATTTTCTGTCAAACCTGACAGTTTAGACAGTCATGAGATGCGCCTTTTGATGAACTTTATAAGGCAAAGAAAATGACAAAGACACCACTTAGATCATTTGAGCTCATCGCTAGCAGTATTTTCGCAGCCATCATTGTCGCATCAGCTAACATCCCCAAAAAACCAGAGTGGTGAATTTCCACATTTTGTGGACAATTTCGATACTGGGTGTTGTTCTGCACCAAGGAACATAATCTTCGGCCACTCTGAGTTCTCGCAGAGGCCGCATCGCAAATGAAAGGGCCCTGGTAGATGCAGTGTGTTGTCCTCACAATAAAAAGCTCTGAGATTTTGCCTTTCTGCAAGTTTTCGAATAGCTTAGGAAGTAGTCCGTGCTAGCGCAAATACGTAGAATCCTGCTTCGTCTTTCGTGAAGCTGCGGTCAGGTCCATCAGCGCCCATTCACAGCAAAAAACTAGCTGTGTACTCTGTACAAAAAAGTACTTTATCATACATATGGAGAGCTCTTTTTTTTTGCCATATCTCTGAAATGTACTCGAGCCTTCGCTAACAGAGTATGTGTATGATCAGGATTTACGACTTTATGCGTGCGGCTCGTTCTGGTCCCCTGAATCCTCTTTTCTTAATTATGATTCAGCGGTAGTGAATTGTTTTTTGATGCTTTTGGCCTTCTGTTATTACTCAATTTGACATACGAAAAAAGTCACAATTGAAATCTTCAACAAATTTTCAAGTCTGTATTTTGTGTATATCCTGAGATTTTGAGATAGAAACAGAAACTGTGAACACAATGCCTCCATCAAAAATCGAAATGAATTCCAAACAAACTCAAAAGCTACCAACACACTCTAGTGGGAGTATTTCATCATTGTACACCATCATTTCCGTAATCGTGGTTCCTGAATCTATGAAAGGCCTCATGTTGCTACATTACACTTTACGTGAAATAAAAGCACAACGTAGAGAATGCGCACCGAAGCATATAGCAAATAGTCGTTCCCCTTTCAGTTTTTAAAGTTGGTTTTGTCGATTCGGGTTGTTATTAGTGCTGCTGGCATGCAACTAAGCATCATTGAAAACCCCAGAATGGACTTAATAACACATGCGTTCACATAAAATTTCACAGCTACTCAAGCTATAAATACTGGCAGTCTTCGTCTCTGCATTCCTCATCACAACTTATTTCATTATGGTTGCTAAGACTCCTCAACCTAAAAGCAACGCTCCAAAGGACAACATGAACAAATGGGCAGGACGTGGTGCTACGCCTTTTATGTGTACTATCGTTTGGAAGAAATGCTTTGTTTTACGAGTGGCTAATTTTAGATTGTGTTTATCAAAAGACCGTAACATTCCAGGCACCTCTACCTGTGGTTTCACGGATGAATCACACCATGTGGAAAGGTGCTATGGACAAACAAATAACACCATCGTAATTTTCAAGTCTTGGTTGCTTAGATAAGCCCTATTTTGGGAATACCAGGAACATTTGAAAATTTGATCTTTTCTGGAGTAGGTCTTGATTGAGTTGGTTGTTTTTGACCGCGTCCAATAATCTTGGTGCACGGGTGTGCCAGCGCCAAAAGACGGCCCAAGCCTATAGAAAATTAGAGAAATGAAAAAAAGCCAAAATTTTCTACTACGACATTTAATGATGAAGCTTTTTTTAGTTACAGTCAGCATGAATTCTTTCCGAAGTGCATTCAGCTGATCTCTAGAGCTCCTATTTTCCACCAACTACGACTTGTAAAGATAGATGATTCTACAACTGATAAAAAGATAAATTTTATTCATCTAGACAATGGTGCACATGAAAGAAACGGCACCACTACCGGCGTGCTTGTTCAAGTTGTTGTCCTTTGGAGCGTTGTTCCTGGAATGACAGGTGCATCCCTCGGCGATAAGCGTCAGAGTGCCACTTTTTTGCGCTTCAGCAATTGGGCTCCTTGTTGTGTTTTGTTAAAATTGATTGCTCAAAATTAATATCGAATTTTTCTTTCAAATGATCTCATAAACTCTTTTTTGTGCTTCGTGTGGGCGGAGTTATGGACAATTATGAGAACAAAAAGGAAATCTCAGTTTCAGCAGTATATGCCAGCCAAAACAATTGCCAATAAAAATACCCCAGTATTCAGCACGTCAGTAGCTTTCAACTGAGACCACTTTCGCCCTCCCTGCTTTTTCTGTAGACAGAGATATGAGCAAATCTGAGATTGACACATGAGGCATGCTGTTCGTCAGCACCAAGGCTGGCAGTACCTGAGAGATAGCTTGGATTGTGTTCTCTGGACCTGAACTAGACGCCTCGTGTATCTCGTCCATGCCTCTGGTGATGCTGGCTCCGTTTATGGAGTACTTTCACCATCCAGATCATGCGAGCAAAAATGGATGTTCATGGAGCCACACGCACATGTTGGACGACCTCATCGCCATCCCCTGGCTCTCTTCGTACTAGAAAGATCCTTCAATAGCTGCTTTCTGCTCGTTTAATGCACCTCAGATTTGTTGTTTTTATCAACAAAGACTTGTAACCCGGTGCCACAGCGTCTAACCACTTTCGAAAGACAAGTCCCAAGACATTATGAGCTTAACTTAAGCATGAAAGGCGTGGAATGGAATAATTCCTGATGTGGCTTCCGGCATTCCTTTCGTTACCTTTCAAACAGAAATATATCAATTTCACGGGTGAATCACACCATGTGGAAAGGTACTATGGACAAACAACTAACACCATCATGATTTTCGAGCTCTGATTGCCTAGATAAGCTCTATTTTTGGAAAACCAGGAACATTTGAAAATTTGGTCTTTTCTGGAGTAGTAGGTCTTGATTATGGAGCTTGTTTTTGACCGCGTCCAGTTATCTTGGTGCACGGGTGTGCCAGCGCCAAAAGACGGCCTCAAACTAGAAAATTGAATTAGAAAGAGGAAAAAAAGCGAAAATCTTCTACTACGACATTTGATGATGGAGCTTTTTTTTAGTTACAGTCAGCGTGAATTCTTTCCGAAATGCATTCTGCTGATCTAAAGCACTTGTTATCTACCAACTAAGGGTTGCAAAGATAGAAGATTCTACAACTGATAAAAAGATAAATTTATATTCATCTAGACAATGGTGCACATGAAAGGAACGGCACCACGACCGGCGTGCTTGTTCAAGTTGTTGTCCTTTGGAGCGTTGTTCTTGTTCTGAGTAGTTTGAGCGGCCATATTGATTTCTTTGTTTGATGATGGTTAGGGAGGGAATTCGTCCGGTATTTATATCCCAAAAGGCCTCGTAAAGCTTTTGTTAATTGCAGGCTTTTGAGTCTCATTAGACTTCTACTTTGGGGTTCTCAATGACTTGGTGTTTCACGATATTTCCCTATTCGGCGTGGCAATGGATTAAGGTGGAATTGTGATTAAAAGGACCAATAAATTATCTCTTCCAGGCAACGAGCGATATTATTTCTGAAAGATTTGCCTTTGTTCGATCTTCCTTGTTTCAAGCTTCTTATTATTTCGTACTTTGGATGTGAGCTTGGTAGTATAGAATATCCGATATCAGGGGACCGATTAACAAATGATAGTACGAATTTGTCCAATAAACTTATCAACTACAGTATGAAAGCCATTTACTGTCACTTTTGATTAACAGCTGAGGAATCTTGACTTCGATGGTGCTTTCCGAAGAGAAGGTGATGTTACTTTCCATGCGAATGGCTCAAGTGTGCAATATTGAAGCTACGAAAGGCCAAAAAGGACCTCAGAATAGCTCAATATGTTCATTCATAGACACTTAACACTATTTTGATTTTTATCATAATTTTTTATATGGTTCCCATGGTGTTAAATGCGAATGCTATGACGCTGCAACATTGACGTCAAACTCCCTAGACTTTGGATGTTATGTACCGATTAGTGATACTCAGGCATACTTTGTACCACAAAAGCTCATGCCTGCTATATTATATTTTCTTTAACTAGTTTTTGACATGTTTGAAACTACAATTTTG